ACCCCACCACCAATCCCAACCATGAGCCCAAATCGGATGTTCGGAAAGCTGTGGACCATATCCCTAGCCACCCCAGCAGCTGATGATATCCCGTATTCTCCATCTGGCAGAACGGCAATAACAACTTGATGACCGGCGATTTCCCCCAGCGTGTAGTGATTATTATCATTTGGTGACAGTGTCTCCGGGCGAGGATGTTTCTTCTCGAGAAAAGCTCGGGCAGCGACATATTCTGTCTCCAAGGCACATATCCAACCAACAGTGTACTGATCTGGATCTGACATTGTGGGGCAGCAGGCGACAGAAAGGCCCTAGAAGGTAGATTGTGCGAACTTGTGGATACAAGTCTGAATGGATGCGACTAAGAGTTCTACCTGGAAAGGAGATGTAAAAGTGAAAAGGCGATAAGAGGCACATCGGCTGGAAAGAGGGGTAAAAGAGTGAGGCTGCTGGGTGCAATGCATATCATTGGCTTGAAATCCACAAGCGAGCCGCCACCGAACCCGTACACGGTATTGATTTCGCGTAATTCACCGTGTCAATACGTATGCCACTCACGCGCAATAAAGTCCATTAGAACCTGTGTTGAATGGATCTGTGATATACCCTTTTGTCTGAGCCGCCGGGCGTTGATAAATAATGTGTGTGGGTGTATCTGTTCTATCAAATTGTCGATTAAGCTTGTCACGCCGAGGTACCGTCACCACATGGACGTGTCGTCCAATACAATCTTTCCGTGTGTATATTTGAGGCATTTCTCTCTCAATTTTGATACGAGGAGCAGTCTCCGTACTGGAAGAGCGGAAGTTAATCTGTGCGGGGGGGCGCTTGTTTGAGAGGCAGGGTACTCAATGAGTTACAAGGCAGAGGTACGTGGTTGCCAGAGAGGGGAAGTTGATGCCACATGGCCCGTCTGCGAGGGACCAGGAACAGGCGTTCCTAGCTCCCTGAGATCTACGGTGCCGGGGCGGGAGGTTCCATGTACTTCCATGGGTATCTCCCGTGGTTAACTATTGTCGTGGTGGGATTGTGCAAATTAATAAGCCATAAGCATAAGGGCATAAGTTAATACTGTTTTATATACATTTCAGGTATGGTACCATCAAAATTCCTGGCCACCCTCATTTGTAAGCGGGTGGCTCTCTATAAATTCCCCGCTAAGCGGGGCGAGAAAACAATCGTCGTGTGTTTCAAGGTCAGTGGAATTTTGAGACCGACTGTATCAAATTCATCCAACAGAAACAATTCCATCTCATGCAGATATAGATCCGGCTTCTCTAAGAGGTGATCGCATAGGGCTTCTAGCATCACCGGAGTGATTTTGCGTGGCCGTCCCCCTTTGATTCGCGGGGCTTTGAGACTGCCGAACAATTGAAAATTGGCACGAAGTCGGATGATTGCGCGTTTACTACAACCAGCAGCTTTAGCCATTTAGAAGTAGTGAGCTCACCGCTGACCAACATATCATTGATCAGATCGAGCGTCGATTGAGCCAAGTTAAGAGCCATCTCTCCCGATGCAACACAAGCGGTGGCTGGATGTTCAGAGTTTTGGTAAACATGTAAGCCTGCGAAGTTGGATGACTCATGGACCCTAGTTAGTCATGGTACGTGATGCAAAATTGTGTAACGATACCATAGATAAATTACGAAACATACACGGGGAAGAAATATTCCGACCCGTTTTCTAAAAGCAGTTTAGTGTAGTTTCACGTCAGGGTTACTGAAAGAATCGAAGAGTATCAGTGGTGACACCAGTCTCCGGAAAGACTGTACTAACGGGCATGGCTTGTACGCTAGTGACTATAGGAGATGACTTGTGGTTTGGGAGGAGGGATCTTCCGCGTAACTCTATTTATGTCCCTTCGCTAATGTAGGGCCCACATCACAGATGCCCTAGACACCTGAGGCGTAGGCGGCATGCAGGTTGTTCCGATGGCTGGCTGTTGTCCAATCACATCGCAGCAGAATGATTGTCAAAAGTTCGTACTTCATTGCCATCAAGTGACACTGCCCGTGCAGTCAGAGTTGTAAGAGCTATAGATGGGAGTATACTTAACCCCACTTCGATCCCCACACTTCTCCATGGACTATGGAGTTACCGTAACCGTGGGCACCGTGGGCCATGGTAACCACCCATCGGGGCTTCGGCTCAGCCCTTATTCCAGCTCCGACCGGGAAGCCCACCACAACGCCAACACCATCTACGCGGCGTGTTGTTCTTTACTCCTCCACAGACAAACCCTCTCCAATTATCTGTCTGGAGGTTCTCCCTCTAATCGAGGCCTCTATCCCAGCAATAGGTACTCCGTCCTCGCAGAATCTATCCGCACAATTTTCCAAGTTTCGACTCGCTGCCTATTGTATGAGGAATAGCCGCCTTCCAAACATGCAGAAATCCACCGCCATTCATAAATTTGTGCCTGAGGCCAGAAATAATCTATGCCTCAGGCTGCCAGGTTCATAATTCTCTACAGAGTACGGAGTCAAGGCCCAGAGTATGTCTGATAGATCATGCTCTGTAAGATCTTCTGCATCAAAAGCAACAAGGCACTGCAAGATCATGTCCCTCCGAAACAACTCCCCAATGTCCTCTCTTCATAAGTTGCGAGACCTCGCTACTTTTCAGATATGGCTCGAACAGAGGTATTGGAACACGTCAGTATGCCAAATCATACAGAGCGACCAGACTGGATCCAGAAATAAGAGGTTAAAGGGGATGAAGACACCAGGCCTGGCTGATTGGGTGCATATTATCAACTTGTCCCAATACGTGTAGCTTTTGTGTTGCTTGATATTACGAGAGTTGAGATCTAGAAGCTTTGACTGGCAATCTGTATTCATATTCTTGCTTTAACAGGAAGTGTCTACACAGCTAGCTTCACATATAGCGGGCTCCATTAGGTTGATAGGATTTGATTTGACTTTGGTTAAGTTGAACCTCTGAATGGACTTGCGCGCTATCTTCTGCTTCTTGTAATACGCAGTGCGCATCTCTTTGGGTGCCTTCAGGTGATACTTGGCTTGCTACTTAGTGATTTCTCGCCGTGCCCGTCTAGCAATCTTCTTGAGCTCGCGGCATGCGGGAGGGAGGTCAGATCGCGACACAACTGTCGGCCGCGACCGGGGGGTAGGTGCGTCGATGGCCTCGCTGAGAACCCCCATCAGTTTTATCGCCTTGTCGTCGGTGTCCAAGGTGCTGACGTCGCGGTCTCGTGCGACTAGTCCTTGCTTGGCCGACTGCCCGAGCTTCCCCAGGCCTAGGGCTTTGCAGTTGCGCTTAGGCACGGACTGTACAATGGGAAGTGCTATGTTGATCTCCGTTTCCACTGGCTTGTGGTCTGAGATACCGGGCAGTTGTTCCACGACGCGGACGTGGCGGACCTGATGCTGTAGGTCCCAGCAGGTGCAGCAGAGGTTCAACAAGGTCCCTAGATTGGGGCAGATGGTCTCTCTATCGGGGCCCCAGCCCGTGGTGCTTCGGGACGCGCCTGGGGGCGACACTCCATCCGGTATCTGTTGGGGTGGCCTTTCGTTGTTGCTGCACGCGATTGCCGGTCTTGTGATAAACTCTTTGAGGGTCTCGAGGACTAAACTCGTTTGCTCGATGATGCTTTTCAACACTTCGGAGTGTTGTTCGTTGTACGGGGCCCTGACGTACCCTGGGACGCTCCACAGGGGGCCATAGATGTTGAGCTCGCCGACAATAATGTGTCTCTTTTCCCCTGCGAAGCTTTCCGCCTTCCGTATCGCCTCGATCATGTCCTTGACACCTTCGTTTCCTTCCGTCTGAGGGGGGTTGTAGACGTTGTGTATAAAGATCCTGACCCGGTCCGCGGTGACTAAGTATATTGTCAGAACGTGTTGGCTGTAGTATGCCAGTCCGTACTCGAGGCCATGCCGCACAAACGTGCAGATCTTGGGCTTCGCTGGCCTTTTCATTTGGACTCAGACTAGGTTGAAGTGCCTGGTAACTTCTGTGGGAAAGTACGTGGTGTCCGCGTAGGGACAGACCCATGGCTCCTGGATCGCGATAACGTCATAGCCAAGGATTCGTTCGTCTCCTAGGAGTGGTATCATGGCGTTATCGAGCGATTGTTCCACGTTATACTGCAGAATCCGTAGACTCTGCTTGGTTGCAGCTACTCCGTCTGGTCCCGGGGTGGAGGTCTTGGTTGCGTCGGAGGATTGGGACAAGGTCTCGGTGCCTCCAAAGTGGTCTGCTTCTGTGTCCCAACCCCCGGCTCCCCTCGCCACCTGCTGCCCTTTCCCTTGCGCGGCATTTTGCTTTGCGTTTCTTGGACGACGGAGCGTGTGTCTTGGGTCGTTTATTCGGTGTCGGTTGCGGTAGCTTGCGGTGGCCTGTGCTGTATTTAATCCATCGAGGCTGTTTCGCACGGGGGCCGTCGTTTCCAGACCTGCGCAGGCAAGATAGCAGGGTGTGTCTTGATGCCAGCACAAGGCCTGAATTTCTTGCCGGTGGTGTGCTGGGTGCTAGTCTGAAAATCTCCTGCACGGGGCATGTAGTGGCTGGGCTCCATATATAAATGTCTGAGGACTAACTTCTTGGCAGCCAGGGGTTCGAGCTAAGCGAAAGAAAGAACATGCAAGGGACTCCTGGGGCTATCTAGAGACCCCATCTCTGGGTCATGGGCGACGCCAGATTGTGTCACTGCGCGAGAGTCTAGGGACAAAGGTTGAAGATATCATGTTAGACATGGTTGCGTGAAGGAGGAGTGCCTGCCCCTGGCAATACAACACGGAGACGGAGAGCGACACGGAAGAGACGCGTGGAGAGACGCGTGGAGAGACGCGTGGGGAGACGCGTGGGGAGACGCGTGGGGAGATATGGAGCTTCCCGAGGCCGCGGAGGGTCATGTGATTGGGGTTACATGACAGGCGGGGAGTTCTGCAGCCAAGAGGATCGTTCGCAGGAAAATCACGTAGTCACACTACGACATTTGGGGTATTCTTACTTCAACGCTAGTATTATAGTTAGTGGGTTCCATTACATTAATAGAATAAGACGTGACTCGACGGATCACGCATGACACCGCTTGCCATATGTTTACATAGTTATGCTTGCATTGTGTGCTTCGCTCCACTTACCTGGTTCGTCTTCTCCGGACTTCCCAACTTGGAGTTCTCCATGGTAGCACCCAGAAGTTTGTATATTAAACGGCCGTCTCAACATCTACATACATCATATATACACGGAAATGGCTCACAGCTGTCCAGTACCTAATCAGTTGCAGTGAAATAGCGCTTGAACCGATCCGTCCGGGTCAGGCGCAGTTCCACAATGACCGAGTGGCAGCTCATCAAGAGACTCGGGAAACGGACGGTCCAGAAATTGAGGTACCCCTCAGGCAACCCCCCGATATGGGCTTTGAGATGCTCGGGCATATCATTGTAATGGTTGCGTTTGTTCCGCAGGGCTCGTAGCAAGTCTAGCATCTTCGATCCGGTGTACTTGCGCTGCTTTCCGAGGTTGTCCTTGAAGTCGCGGGGGAGCAGTCGCAGGAAGTCCATGTCCGGGCCCATCACCCGCTGGGCCACCGACTCGAGTGTCAGCAGGGCGTCGGACGGAGGGTCCCGTGGTTCAAATTCAAAGTGATCCGAGACGTCGCAAAGGAAACTAAGACGATCGGATGGAGGCCAGAAGAACGGGTGTGTCAGAACGGCGCTCGCATCGGGCCGTTTCCGAGGATCCAGCGACAACATCGACTGAATCAGGTCTTCGGCCTCGTAGGCGTAATCGCCCAGACGCTGCAGCTCATCGAGGTTGTAGTTGCCCTTGACGATATTGGCCTCGCGCATGAACTTGCCATTCTTGTCAAAGGGATGGCAGCCTCGCGTGAGAACATAGTAGAAAACACAGCCCAGAGAGAAGATGTCGATGGCCCGGGTTGCTCGCCGGTTCGTCTGAGGGTCCACGACGGCGGGTTCAGATGATTCCGTGTGCTGCGACTCACTGCCCTGCATGGCCGGGCTCATGTCATCGTCGACCAGCAACTCGGGAGCCCGCCAACCGGAGGTACCAGCTGCGTGTGCCGTGGTTGCGCGGAATGAGCTTTGATTATCCTCAAGTTTCTTGCACAAGCCGAAATCCGAGATCAACAGCCGTAAAGAGCCGGAACCCGTACGTCCCCGAGGCATTGCCGCCAGAATGTTCTGTGGCTTCAGATCGCGGTGCACAATCTTCAGCGAATGGAGGTACCGAACACCCGCCATGATTTGGCGCAGAACGTCAGGCATATTCAAGCCACCTTGAACCAACAGGGGAAAATCTGAAGGACGTTCAACGACATCCTGCAACGAGGCTGGGCACAACTCCAGAGCGATATAAAGGAAACCAGCTGCCTGCTCCCGGCAGTAATACCGGATGACATTACCGTGGTCGTCACTCTCTTGCAACAGACCGACTTCATGGGATGCGATATCGTAAAATTCCACCAGCATGCGCTTGACGGCCACGTCTCGCCCATCAAATGAGCCCTGGTACACCACAGTTCCATGACTTCCATGACCGAGAACACGGTCGGTGAATACCCTCAGACGACCAATTTGAACAACGCCATCCATCTCCAGGATCTCATGCGACACAGTGCGAGTTAATTGTACACCAGGTTCCAGGCGAGACGGAGGTTGGTGAGTGACTTCATCAGCAACGCGATCAACGGGGTCTCTGGATTCACTGTCGCCAGGCTTCTTGCCTCGTCTGTGGTTCTTCCCACCACGACGGCCACGGCGAGCCTTTTTCTTCGGTTTATCGCCATCCTGCAGGTTGAGGTCGTCGATATCGTCGTCAGCGTCTGGGGCTTCTGATGGTTCCCGGATGCGTACTCGTGGGGTTGTGTCGGGGGCAAGGGAGTTCTGGGATTTCTTGGGCCTTGGCGTTGTATCACGAGCCTGGTGCTGCTCTTCTGCAACATTGACGTCGATGGTCATGTTTGCTAGGGAGTGGTTAGGGCCAATGTCGCGGTTCAGGTGAGGGCCTTCCACAATCGGAGTCGATGGGGTAGACAGAGGTGGCTGGCCATACGATGCCATGATATTTTTCAGATCCAGCTTCTGCTTGGCAAGTTCCTGAATGTGATGCGAATTGAACCATATGAAAGTGCCAAAAAAGAGCAGTATGAGTGTCACGAAAATGTCAACGGCATTATCCCAGCCCTTGCGAATGATGGTGCTGTGTCGTAGAGCAGGGGGAAGGGCCAGGTCCGACGAACTGTATATCAACTCCCGAGGCGTGTCATCAGCTGGATCGACAGAAGAAGAGCCGGAAATACTGGGGATATGACGACGGATGATTCGAGGGCTATTCAGAGAATGTACACCGGCCAATGCATCTTGTTGTTGCCTCATGTTCAAACTTGTCAGCGGCTGACCATGGCGGAGGTAGTCTTTCTCATAGCATTGGGCCATCTTGGCCCTTCCAGTAACAAGCGGATATGTCTCCTCCGACATCGCATACCAGCCACCTCCCTCAGTACAATCGATGAATACTCGGTCGTCACGATCGTCGAGCGAACCATAATCGGGGTCAGGGGGCTGTAAAGGTTGAGAGAGCACGATGAGATGAGTAGGCTGGGTGGATGAGTCAACACCGATAGGGCGAGCAACATCGAAGACGCGGACCACAGGGCTCGAGAATCGCTGGGTGTATCGTGGTCGGTCCATTCGAGAATGATCAAAGCCCAGAACCACACCGTCATGCATGCTGTATATATGGCTTTCATCCATTGTACGAATATACTGGCTCTGAAGATCTATATCACGGTTGTTGGCTGTCCATTCTGAGTATTTGAGCGTGCAGATCGGATCTCCGGTTTCGGTATTTTGGATGGCCACTGTGTATTCAACTCGACCGAGGACTAGAGTGCCAGAGGGGGATTCACAGTCCTCCATATCTACACCCAGGCCATCGACCTTTCGACACTCTGGGCCTGAGGGGATGGGACCCCTGGAGCTGAACACCCGTAGGATGGTTCCTGTGCGAGCATCGATGGTATAAAGGGTCGTCTCTTTTCGAGCGGTGTAAGTCACGGCGGGGTCATTTCCTGAGTACGGCGTTTCGTCGACCAACTCCTTCACTGTCAATCCCAATTTTTGGAGGCCGGTATCCGGCCCGGAGCTGTAGATGTAGAGGCTTCCCCCCTGGCTCGGCTCGACGATCCAGATAAAGTCATCCTCTGGTTGTGTACGGTCGAAACTGGAGCGATTGGCCCGATGGTAGATGCTCTCAACCATGGGGCTGCTCGGGACCTCGAGGGCCCAAAGGGCCGTGCCGGTCTTGCGGTCGCGTGCGTGAATGGAACCATCGACGGTCGCCAGCAGGACAAAGTCCTCAACCTCCCAATCCTGCAAGGACCGCGCGTGCAGCTGCGGATCCAGGCCAGCAGAAGAGCTGCTGACCTGGGCAGGAGGGGCTCGAACGGCGCGGCCAGAGCCCGCCAGAGCCAGGGTTGCTAGGGCGCTCGCATCGTTGGATTTCACGTTGAAGGAGGGAGGGGAATCGATGCCGGAAGTGAAACCGGTCGGTCGGAGCGGAACGGAAACGGTGGAAGCGAGGTCATGCTGCCGTTCATGCCACTGCTGCGGAGTAACAAGAACGGGGAGCAGGAGTAGGGCGACACTGGCAGGGAGGGTCGACCGGGCGCCAGGCAGCCGCCACCGCATGGTGAGGGACTCCAATAGGACCAATACCGTAGGCCAGATGGAGGAAGGGACCGGATGGAGGGGAATCCGATGATGGCACGGGGGGGTGTCATCAATTGATGGGGATGGGGGAGGGAGGGGAGGGAGGGAGGTAGAGTGGTAGAGAGGAAACGAAGAATGGATGGCTGGATGGAGTGAGCGGGACCGGAAAGTGAAATACTGGATGACGTGGAGTTGTGGACGGGAAAGTGGAAATCAGGGGGGAGAAAAAGTCTGCCGCGGGTGCGCTTCGCGTCATGCAGTCAGGTGATGGGCGGGGCCCGCGGCTGGAGTCTGGCCGAATCAACTGACACCACCCGCCAAGCCAGCACCTTCGGACGTCGGCGAAGCGCCTAGAACTTCTCCGATCAGCTAGCCGGAACCGGAGGATCTTCGATTCCGGCCCGCCCCCCGGCAAGGCTACGGCGGGCATTAGCGGCCATCAGGCAATAATGATTTTTTGTGTTGGAAGTACGCTCACCGCTGACCTCACCGCTATATGATGCTTATCATTACTCTGCGTACAGTTAATCATGGTGTTGATCATGGTACGTCCAACCATTGACCTTGAGCCGTACAAGGCTGAAATTATCAATCTGTTCTATCAGGATCAATCTACAAGCGATATTGCTTCCACTATTAAAGCCAAATACCACGTACGAGTCCGTGAGCGTACAATCAAGAGTCGCTTAAGCGGTTGGGGAATCAGCAAGCGTGATCGTACGGCCACCACTAATTCTTCTCTACATGATCGGATCAAGGTGTTGTTCTTTGAGCGATGTCTCTCTGATGCAGAGATTCTACGTACTGTACGGGATGAAGGCTATACAGTCTCTGCACGAACACTCGACGGATTCGTACGGAGCAAGGCCTCGTACGACGAACAGATGATTCTAGTGAGCGTCAACTCCAGGAGGATATAGCTACAAAGCATCTGCTTGAAGCATACAATGAAGGGACTATCCAAGGCTACGGACGAGAGTTTTTATTTGCTCATATGCGTGGTGAACGTCTTATTATCCCAAGGTCTGTACAGAGAGCAGTCGTACATGGATATCTTGCTAACTGAGGTCTTTCTATCTCCAGACGACGGCTACATAATATCTACCGTACGATTGCACCCGAGGCTATACAACAACGGAAGAATGACATGCAGCGAAGTCGTGGCTCGTACATGGTCCCAGGTCCAGATCATATCTGGTCCGTGGGTGGTTATATGAAGCTAGAGCCGTACGGTATCCAAATCTATGCAGCCATTGACGCGTACTCTCGCTACATCATCTGGGTCTATGTTGGCATTGATACTCGTACATCAGTCAGTATTGTACGGCAATATCTTGATGCCGTACATGAACGGAAGATTATTTGTAATAAGATCTGTTCAGACCATGGATCAGAGACATCTTTGCTTGCTAAAGCCCACTGCTATCTTCGAAGAGCGTACGAGCCAGGGATTGAGGCAACAGAGTGTTATATCTTTGGATCCAGTACTGCAAACCAGAGAATTGAGGCTTGGTGGGCACAGCTAAGTAAATCATTACTTTTTCGATATCACGTACGTACGGACCAATCCTCGAATATATTCATACTAACTAGTATAGAACTACTTCAAGGTCTTGATTGAAGTAGGAGATTTCTCTAAAGATATGATTCCAGATCAGATTGCTTTGTACGCAGTCTACATGCCTATTCTTCGGACGCAGGTCTCGTCATACGTACACACCTGGAACCAACACACTATCCGGAAGCAACGAGAAAGGCCATATGTTATCTCTGGTCGGCCGTTCATGAATTATTATCATCCAGAACATACAATCAACCATGATCTTCTCGTACACGAAGAGTTTCTTCAACGGCTAAGGAACCCCGTACGAGGCTGGGATATGGCTGAGTATCTACCTGCAGAGACTTTGGAATGGTGCCAGGGAATCCTGCTGGGGCTGGGCTTTGACCCTGAAAAGCCACCACCAGTACGTCCGGATGAAGCGGAAGCCCCTTTTCGTACGATCTACCTTGGCTTACGGGAGCGGGTGATAGCTCACATGTTATCAGGCGCCAAGCCTGGTCTGGCACTATCCGAGGCGCCAACCGGGGCTTTTGATTGGATTGAGCAACAGGGATCGGCGTAGCTATCCGTGATGGCTGTACGAGATGCATGTATATTCTTCTTACTTCACCGCTTATTGGATTTGAAGTCTTAAGATCCTGTTCTTCCCCGTACAGAATGGAAAATCAACATCTCTCGTACAAGGCATTGCTCGTACAAGGCATCTCTCATACAAAATGGCTCTTCCCTGGACCAACTACTGTTCTGCTACTGGCCGACCTCATCCTGCTCATTATCAGCAGTGTCCGACCTGCCAGGCAGTCAATCCTTTACCTAGGCGGACTCCTCATGTTGATCTTACTGTATCGCCTGAATCACAACTTTTGCAATCTGTACAGTCTGGCTTGTACGTACAGACTGCCTCGTCATCTGGTGTTGCTCCTCGTACGGCAATATTTGGGGGAGAGAATGTCCGCCAGAATGCCCTCCTGCGCAAGAAGACTTCAAAAGAGCCAGCCAGTCTTAAGATTATTATTCATTTCTACCTGTACAACGTACAGGAAGGGGAATCAGAGGATGATATTCCAGTTACTACATGTACTCTGCTAGGTTTGACTTCCTATTCTTAACACTCGTACGATGCGGATCTTATTATTCTACAGAATAGGTACAGACCTATATCCATAACCATGTACTTCATGACCTCGATGACTTCCTCCGAGATGAGCTGCTTTCCTCAATGACTGGCTGTACGTACGTACGCAGATTTGATGATCAGTTCCGTCTATCAACAGGGATCGTACGGAAGCAACCGGTCTTTCTGTCTCCAACAGCCAGAGGCAGTGTGAAGATCCTGGACTTCATGAAGAAATGGTTCACAAGCAACCAGGGATCATACCAGGTCTATGTGATCATTCAGCGCCGTACAATACCTTCCTCTACTACAGATGAGGCAGAGACCAAGATCAAGAAGGAGAAGAAGATCAAAAAGAAGATCATTGAAGAGGAGGAGTCAGTTGTACAAGAGGGATCAACCGTACGAGAAGATCAGGACGATCTTGATACTCTGGATGCTGAGATAGAGGCTTTTGATGCTTCTCTAAAGCGTCCACTACCCCAGTCTCCCTCTCCACCTCATCGTACGAGAAAGAGATATGTGATCAGGGAGGATGACAAGAATCGGGCGGCTGAGTATGGGCCATCAGGTCTCTGATTACACACTACTCTACTAGATAGCAGGATCATGGGTTCGTACGGCAGGCTAGGCAGGCAGAGTAAGGTCCACAGTGGTGAGGCCTCTGTACGTACAAAATGGGGTTCAAGCAGTCAAAACAGTGAATACAGTGTTAGTTTAGTTCTACTAAGTAATTTCTATCTTCCACCTCTGCCTTCTACTAACACGTCCACCACCACCACCACCATGTCTGCGTACGTCTTAGATGATCAAAATCAAATAGCTGAGCTTCTTTTCTTTCTTCCCTGACCTATACAGACGTGTCTATGTACATTATCTAACTACATATCATGATACTGTACAGCCTGCCCGCTAACACCACCTCCGGCCGCCGCCGCGCCTCCCGCCCCCTCCGCAATATGGAGGAATACTTCGTCCGTATGTACGAACAGCTTCCCCCTGGTCAGAATCCAGTGCTCCCTACGGGGACACCAGAGTTGATGGGACCGTACGTCTTTACCAATGTACAGAGGGAGGTGGCTGCCATGCCTGGCCAAGATGTTGAGTTCCGACGTGGCCGGATTACAGCTCATCAGCTTGAGTCCCGCCGACCCTCGTACATTAATGCCTGCCTCATTCAATCCCGTGGAAGTCGTCCGCCTGTCCCGTGTTCGAGTTGCCACGCTCAGCCGGGTACGAAGACTTTTGCCTCATGTCGCCATTTACCAGGCGCATGGGGCGGAGCATGCGCCAACTGCAAATGGTCGGATCAGGCATCACGTTGCTCCGTACGGGATGAGGTTTGGACGGGACTTACGGATGGTACAGACTCTGCTGCACAAGACAGGGGCCTGCCAGGGGGAACTGTACGTGATCCTATCCTCATTGAGGATGTAGAAGGACAAAACATCAACCAGCCCATCCTCATCGAGGAGGATGGGGACGAGAATGACCCCATCATTCTCTAGGTACGTATAATTTAAACTGTTTCCTTGATCTACTGCACCCCAGTTGTACGGGATACCTGTATACAACACCCTGGGCAAGACTTGCACCTCTTCGTGGTGCTCAGGACTAGTAGCCATCTGTATGGCGAAGCCAAGCAAGTCATCCAATGATGTACGTACAGCTTCATGTAACGTATTCGGTAAGCGAGCTGCGCATGTAAGCGAGCTGCGCACCTCCACCCGATTTCCATGACTAGGTGAGATTCAAGCACCTTTTTACCAACCAACCAATTGCATTTCTATATAAAACTAATTACTAGGTGGATTAGGACATCTAACCCTAGTATGCCCCCGAATATGACAATTAGAACACTGCGGCGGAGCGCGTACACGGGGCCCAACTGTAGAAAGCTCTGGATCCCTAGGTAGAGTATCTTGAGCTTCAAAGACCTGATTCTCCTGCTGAAATCGCTTCTGGCCCTCCTGAATAGAAAGACCCTCTGTAGCAGTAAGTTGCTTAGTAGAATTCTTTCTCTTTTGAAGCTGCGTCTCATTTGCAGCTCGTAAATCACGAATTTCTTGACGCGCAAGAGCTGCCTCATTTAGGGCTAATTCACTGCATTTGATAATCTTGTCCAGCCGTACCTCTAAAGAAGAGGTAGGGCTTTGGGAGCCTTCCTGCTCTTGTACACGTCTTTGGAGCTTTCTTCTCACTATAGATGCCTGCTTTTCGAGCTGTCTGGTGGTGTAGGGTGTCTTAGGCACTGAATGAGTTGACTGACTGCCTGGTGGTGTTGGGGTCCTTAGTTGAATATTCAACTGACTGAGCACTTGCTCTGGGTCATATGGAACTAGCCCAGTAGCAGAAAAACCACTGCAGATATTGCTAGTAGTATAGGTTGCTGTACGAGCCTCAGGGAAATCCTTAAGGAAGTCAAGCTTATCGATATGATTAAATCCAAGGCGCATTCTCTTCTCCACTAAGTGTCCATATGCACGCTTTAATGGTGAAAAGCAGCCAACATCCAGAGGTTGCAGTAGATGCGAAGAATGAGCAGGCATACAGATAGGAATAACATTATTCTCACTGCATATCTGGTCGAATTGAGGTGTTAAATGACTGCCATGGCCATCAAGAACTAGGAGACGATATTTCCCAGTTGTACGGCCAGTAGTAGCAGGAAGAAAGAGGTTTTGAAGCCAGCGAAGGCTTATTTCATCACTAGTCCAGCCATTTGGACTAACTTCAATCCTCCAGTCATGTGGTAGATCGCTCTGATACCAGCTTTCTATATGGACCTGCCCTTTGAAGATAATGCATGGTGGAAGGGCCCATCCAGAGGCACTAATACACTCAATAGAAGTAACCCATTCCCGATTCCCTGGCTGTACGAGAGGTGTCCTTCCATAGTAGTCAGCTCTAGTAATTACTCGAGCAGTAGCTACTAGACCCATAGCAAAGCCAGTCTCGTCAAAGTTGTAGATATCTTCAGGTACAATCCCATGCTGCATTATAGTGATTTGTACACGGTCAAACCACTCCCTAATAACCTTAGGATCTTCACATTGAGCACGCCGATAGTCATATCGTCGAGAGAAGCATGTCTTTAATTCATCATGCCTTTGGACGAAGTTGTAGACCCATTTCTCTCCAACTGATTGAATAGGTGTAGTATCACGGGCAGCAAGAAGAACATTAGCCATTTCTCGTACATGAGACGGTCGGGGAGGTGCTCCACGTTGAATAAGTGATAGTATCCATCGTATAAGCGATTCCTCTTCATTTTGAGTCAGTTTATGAGAGTTGGCGCGTGTTTCTGCTCGAAAGGTTGCTCCACGGAGCCTTGTACGTAGGGTAGATTCAGGAATAGCATAAGATCGTGCTGCTTGACGAATAGATGGACAATCTTTATTCTTAATAGCTGAAATTGCTAATAAAATCCTCCCTTCCTGCTCAGCTTGATTTCTAGCATTTTGACGCGCTTTTGGAGGCATGGCTGGTGGTTGAATTGAGTGAGGTTTTTGACTGGAGCTAAGACGCGAGCGGCGGAACACCACCCGATTTCCACAACTAGTTAAGATTCAAGCACCTTTATCAATAAAACAATTGCATTTCTATAGAAAAACTAATTACTAGATGGATTAGGACATCTAACCCTAGTATGCCCCCGAATATGACAATTAGAACACTGCGGTGGCGTGCGTACGCGAGGTCCAACTGCAGGAAGCCCTGGATCCCTAGATACAGTATCTTGAGCTTCAAAGCCCTGATTCTCCTGTAGAATTCGCTTCTGGCCCTCTTGGATAGAAAAGCCCTCTGCAGTAGTGAACTGCTTAGTAGACTTCTTTCTCTTTTGAAGCTGCTTCTCACTTACAGCTCGTAAATCACGAATTTCTTGACGCATAAGAACTGCCTCACTTAAAGCAATTTCATTGCTTTTGATAATCTTGTCCAATCGAACCTCTAACGAAGAGGTAGGGCTTTGAGAGCCTTCCTGTACGCGCCGTTGAAGCATTCTTCTTACTCTAGATGCCTGCTTTTCGAGCTGTCTGATGGTATAGGGTGTCTTAGGCACTGAATTAGTTGACGGACTGCCTGGTGGTGTAGGAGTTCTTAGTTGAATATTCAACTGACTGAGCACTCGCTCTGGGTTATATGGAACTAGGCCAGTAGCAGAGAAACCACTGCAGATATTGCTGGTAGTGTAGATCTCTGTACGTGCCTGAGGGAAGGCTTCAAGGAAGTCAAGCTTGTCGATATGATTAAACCCGAGACGTATCTTAGTTTCCACTAAGCGTCCGTACGCACGCTTTAATGGTGAAAAACAGCCAACATCCAGAGGCTGCAGTAGATGCGAAGAATGAGCAGGCATACAGATAGGAATAATATTATTCTCACTGCATATCTGGTCAAATTGAGGTGTTAGATGACTACCATGGCCATCAAGAATTAGAAGACGATATTTCCCAGTTGTATGGCCAGTAGTAGCAGGAATAAAGAGATTCTTAAGCCAGCGAAGACTTATTTCATCACTAGTCCAGCCATTTGGGCTAACTTCAATCCTGCTATTACATGGGAGCTTTGAATCTTCATACCAACCCTGTATATGAACCTTCCCTTTGAAGATAATACAGGGAGGAAGCATCCAACCAGAGGCATTGATACACTCAATTGAGGTTACCCATTCCCGATTCCCTGGCTGTACGAGAGGTGCTCTCCCATAGAAATCAGCTCTAGTAACTACTTTAGCAGTAGCTACTAGGCCCATAGAAAAGCCAGTCTCATCAAAGTTGTAGATATCTTCAGGTACAATCCCATGTTGCATTATAGTGATTTGTACACGATCAAACCACTCTCTTATAACTTTAGGATCCTCACATTGAGCACGCCGATAGTCATATCGTCGAGAGAAACATGTCTTTAGTTTATCATGTCGTTGAATGAAGTTGTATACCCATTTCTCTCCTACTGTTTGAATAGGTGTAGTATCACGTGCAGCAAGAAGAATATTGGCCATTTCTCGTACGTGAGACGGTCGGGGAGGGGCTCCACGTTGAATTAGTGATAGAATCCATCGTACAAGCGATTCCTCCTCATTTTGAGTCATTTTATGAGAATTGGCACGTGTTTCTGAGCGTGAAGTTATACCGCGTAGTCGTCTGCGGAGTGTTGTTTCAGAGACATTAAAAGAGCGTGCTGCTTGACATATAGAAGAGATATGCGAATTCTTTAAAGCAGATATAGCTAGTATAATCCTGCCCTCTTGCTCAGCTGAGTTTCTTGGATTTTGACGCGATTTTGGAGGCATATTTGGTGGTTGAATTGAGTGAGGTTTTTGACCAGAGCCAAAATGCGCGTGTTCCGCCGCTCGCTTACATCCGCCACTCGCTTACCGAATACGTTAGTTACGTTAGATAGGTATGTTAGATAAGCTACGCGGGATCCAATCAGACTTCCTACTCATTCTGCCGGCAGTAAACACAAATCATTATTGCCCGATGGCCGCTAATGCCCACCGTACAAGGCTCCCCCGATGGGAAACTTCCGGATTTCCACACTCGAGCACGAGTCAGACCAAAATAATGGATAATCCAGTCACCTCCGCGCCTAAAAGAACGATTGGAAGAAGCTTACCGACTGCTATATCAAGGGATGAGACTAAATACGCAGCAGTATCAGCAAATTATCAAGAAAATAATCGATAGCAGGCTCGTAAACCCCGAAACATATACTGCGACGGTATTTCCAATACGCACAGCTGCAAAAAGTCACATCAACCGAAACAACCGCATGCATAGGTTTGCGAAATCACTAGTATTTGAGAAATACACTACATATTCCTATCATGTACTATCTTGACCCATATACCATCAGTCACTCAAATCATGTTCTGTTAGCCTAATGGAGCCCGCTAAGTGCGTTGCTTATGTAGGCGCTTCCCGTTGAAGCAAAGAACATTGAGGCCAGAACGCCGTATCCCAATAGTATCCCAATCTCGCAGGAGATCAACGCAACCTAAAACCGCCCCCATAGTAAGAAGTAGACAACGCAGCAAAACATAACAACTGATTTTCCGATGACATGCGACCGATCGGCCAGTTGCTTCCAAGTCTCCATCCTCTCGATGTTCTTCGGCATCTCATCCCTGTTTCGATCCGGTTGATTACATGTGGTTCGTAAGGCATATTACGTTGCTGGGTTGATTGTACGAACAGACCTGCACAAACAGCCTCCGCATATGGAATTTGGTTCTGAACCAGAGCCGGTGACTAAACACACGCATCTATGAAGACTTACCGGTGTGAGGTGAAACACTACGGATGATGATGGATCGGTACCCCGACCACTCGTTGAAGGAAACACGCAAAGAAGCCCACCAAGCAACAGGAACATATATATATGAGAGAAGTAATAAGATACGAGGAGTAAGATGATGAGTATGTACGTAAATGACTGATCAGTTACTTTACATGGTAACCAAAATGTTGGTTGTTGTCTAATCTGATGCGTGGTTATGGACGGATTCTTCTAGGTGTGGTTTTTTAAAGCCGCACACGCGAATCTGGGGATAAACCACAACAGAGCCTTACAGGTATGATATCCGATGGGAAGACAGGCAGACTGGACCCCTGATTTAGTGCAGTATCTTCATCCAGATCCCATTTCTCCCATTGCCAACCAAAACCCATCCGCCACAGTGTTTCCAGCAGCGGCAACCCCCAAAGTATATAATCTCCAGGGTCGACGGCGAAGAGCTGAAATGTCATCAGTAGATAGTCATCCAACAGATATTAGAAATAGTGGCTTACCAGACATTACCCCTGAGCAACAGCCGCTATCTCCTGACCCCTGATGATAATCTCCATCACCACAGTGATGATCTTTTTACCAGCCTCCAAGATTGTGTAGACATGCCCGAGGACCTTCGCAGTGGCTTTGAGGCCCGTGATAACATCATCGCCATTGACGTGGCCCTGGTATCGGAGGGAAAGGAAGACGAGGGTGGCCAGAGTGGCTGGGACAGTGAAAACGGTTGCGGCGGTCATCTCGGCCATTGTGAACGAGGTGGCGGCGGTCGTGGTTGGAAGAATGACAGAGATGAGAGGAAGAGCTGAGAGTTGGGGGGAAGTCCCCTTTGCATAGGCAGGGCAGGGGAAGGCGGGCCCGCAATGGCGCTGTAATAGCAATGCGAAGAGTGAAGATGAAGCTGGTAGTCCGAGTAATGGCGGGGAGAAATCTTTGTAAGTCGAGCATACCGGTACAACGCTGGAAAGGCTTGGCAGCCACTTGGACCCGATTCACAGTTGTTCTCCTGGGGGGAGCAATTAAGAGAAGAACACGTCGAAGCCTTAAAGGCCTTTAAAAACAATCTTATCAAGTTCACCTGCACTGCTCCAAGAGCAACCTTTCCGTCCATACAGGTGTTCCACGAAAAAACGCGCCACCAGGTTCGGTTACTGCCCGGTCAATACCAGTCAGTGTACTAACTGCCAGGGTAACCACAAGGCCGACAACATCGCGTGCCCCGTCCGGCAACAATGCAACAAGGAGCTCGAAGCGAGCAGATAGAGAAAGAACAATCTAAAGTGCTCACTAAGAGGCCTTGAATAAAGCGCATCATCGAGTCGACGCAGTCTGCTCCTGTCTCGCCCGCAGGATCTGACTCATCCAAACCCTCCGAATCCTTGCTCAGATAGAATACATAATCCTGCGCGCGGGAGCCACCATCTCGTATACCCAGAGAGAGAGGTTGATAGCTAAAGGGCGGGGGTATGCATGTATATACATCACAGAAGGCAGGACCGCCATGGTGGCCAGAAGGGGACCTCAGTAGACCGCATAATCCGGATGATCCGTGATCAGGGTATCTTCCGTGATCGGGGCACAGCGAATGGGGAGAAGGATAGGTCGTCAGCATGCTCCTGCTGCATAACACCAAGAAAGACCGCTTGGGTCATTTTGCCCCGATCCACGGGGCCTTCTTGAATGGCAGGACCACGCAGATCAAGGTGCAGGACTATATAAGCGCGCCCATTCAAACTCCGGACGGCATGCCGCAGGGCTCACCCATCCTGGCGGTCTTATTTCTTCTATTCAACGCCCCCTAGCAAGAGGATGTGGGTCCTTCGACCCCCTAGGAATGACCGAGGCCTTTGGCTGGGTCAGCGATGTTTGTATTTTCGCAATTTCGCGCACCTACGCTACTAACAAGCAGCTACTCGAGAAAGCCCCGAGTAGGGCAAACCGGTGGTCCTGGCGGGAGTCGTCGAGGTTCGCCCCCGACAAGCTCGAATTATTTAATTTCAAAAACCCCAATGCCCCAAGATTGACCATAATATTCCCGACAAAGCCCCGCCAGAGCCAGACAGTACATGGAGGATCCCAGACGAATAGGGGTGCCATGATAGCCTCCTTGTAGTGGTCCCCATCTCGACCGGAGGAACTCTAGTCTAGCCCTCTGAATCCGCCCCATATCTGAGGTTCTGGATTAATCAAACCCTCTTGTTCGATAACCATAGTGCTAAGGTAGTAATCAAGTCAAGCGCGCCCCCCGCGGCATCGCGGGCTCAATGCGGAGGATGTCAGTCCTCTCCATGCGCATACGCAAGGTATATCAAGCGTTGGTAATCCCACAGTTGCTCTTTGGCATTTCAGCATGGTATAGCCCGGCCAGCAGGTACCTGGTAAGCAATGGGCACGAGTGGAGACGGAGTCTTCAGGATGCAAAAACGTGCGGCTATCCTGGTCACCGGGTCTTTTAAAAGCATGGCTGCGGCCGTATTTCATATTGAACTCCACTTTCTGCCAATGAATTGGCTCATACAACAAACCATCGAAGATCTCATACGGGTCCAGACAGGGCCCACAATGGCCCAGCTGGAAGGCGCGCGGGCTCGCCGGAATGCCGCACCCATAAAGTTGGAGAGTATGACCCCACTGGAAGCTCTCAAACGGTGCAGGAGCGCAATATCGGACCCCATCCTCTGGCAGCGGATTTCAAAGAGGAATCAGCAGTCAGCCTCTGAGCGGGCAAGGTGGAGCGGAAATCCTTGGGGATCGAGACTGCAGGTTCCGCGGTGAAACGGGAGACCGGGTCGGACCGGAACAATAGATTGTCCGAACGGGCTTCGCGCCTGAACTTCGACACAGCCGCGGAAGAAGGTAGACGTTCAAATTCAATCCAGAAAAGGTTGGAAGTAACCAAAGACGACAGGTAAGACTGCAGATTTGAAGCCATTCAAGACAGTATTGAATTTTAAGAACCAAACAGAAGCGGGAGGCGGTAAAGACCAACGATCTAACCAAGACGAGTGGCGCCTGCCTCCTCCGGAACAAAGTAGGCCCGAAGACCCCCATATCAAAGCAGGCAAACACTGGTGACTACTCAGTCAAGCTCCAGCTTTTCTCATGGGGGGAAAAAAAAAGGCAGAAGCCAAAGATACATAAAGTTACCGACAGGAAACCAATAGTTCAACCTCGATCAAAGTATTTAGAATAAAGCTGCCTGAGCGGAGAAGGAGATGGACTCCATAGACGATCTTCATTTTTAGTAACAATGTGAGCCCACTTGAGCTGCTTATACGGTTTTTGAATTAAATTACCACCCCTCATGGAATCTGTAGTAGAATACAAACAGTCTGTTGGATCTGTGCGTGCATGGTTCGGAAGTCCAGAGAGGGACAAACCGGAAAGTCTGTTGATGTATATGCGTGTAACGCGACGATCGCCGAAAGACTGTAATTCCGGTCCATAGTACTTAACTTCAGAAGCACCATAAAGTAGGATCCTCGTCAACCATCCCTCCTGTCACCTGCTTACTATCTCACCTACTGTCACAAAGTTGCTCGCCATGACCACACATTTTGGTAGGGGCTGGTTTGACAGCACATGGCTTAAACGAATCATACACTTCACAGATGCCTCATGGGAGATAGTCCAGAAAGTACAGGAGCAAGAGACAATCTTTATACAGGATGATTATGAACATTCACGCTTTTACTCAGAATCTATCGGCATCTTCATTTGTGAGAAAATCGGGTGCTTAACCCCAGCCATCATGAAAATCCGAATGCAGTAAGACATTCTTCTTTTCCTCATAGAGTAGCCCTAGATAACGATTCATAGGGTTCTAAACAGTCCTGATGATCCTTCTTCCTCCCAAGCATTCATCCAGCCTCCAGAAAAGGACATCTGTGGTCGAACCCAACAAGAAATTGAAGCACTTGTAGCACTGACAAAGACCGAATGTTCATGTACTCCAAAGTACTTTGCATCAAAACATACAAACCAGGACCCCACCAGCTGGATCCTGGTGGCTTTCTGGACTATATTGTGTTGGAAAAGCTTGAGGGAGTAACTCTCTCTAAGGGGGGGGGGGGGGGGGGGGAAGGCCCCCCAGTCTATATTCAGACCGTAGGTCTGAATTAAGTACTGCGTTTTTAAGTGCTTGACTGAGCCGTGCTTGACTGAGCCCTTTAGATGCGCTCGACGGAGCCCTTTAGATGCGCTCGACGGAGCCCTTTAGATGCGCTCGACGGAGCCCTTTAGATGCGCTCGACGGAGCCCTTTAGATGCGCTCGACGGAGCCCTTTAGTAGCGCTTGATGAAGGCCTTTAGTAGCCCTTTAAATGCGCTCGACGAAGCCCTTTAAATGCGGTCAAAGTGCGTTGCATGTTGCTTACTAAGGCGCTTCGCAATGCCTCGGGCTGGGGGCTTCCCGCAGGCCAGGACCTAGTATTCTATTAGCCTAATGGAGCCCGCTAAGTGTGATGCTAGCTATGTAGGCGCTTCTCTCAGGTGCGTGGTACAGCAGCAATCAGTTCCTGATTATAGGCCCGCCTCACGTTTGACTTCAGATCATACTATTATAGCTTTGCAAAACAGTACACCGCCAAGACAACCGAGGAGCAGGAGGCAGGGATGGATTCAAATCATTTGGATGCTTCACGAAGACGCTTTGTCTCATTCGTCTCTGCTCCACACGGATACTTCCTATGTGATCTCGCCCGTCTTTTCGTAATTCAATACAGAGCAATGAAAGTCAATAATCAGAGCCCGTCCGAGCTCAGCATTCCATAGAATATTGTCCGACCGAAGGTCCTGATGCAAAACTCCGATGGAGAGGATCTCCTTTTCAGACCTTGCAATTTCACGGGCGATCGTCCTATCATGCTCAAGCTTATGTATAAGCTCACCTGCCCAGGCCATGATAAGCATGTGGCGGATCACGCCGGCGCCGTGTAGGAAGTAGGACTTGGCCAAATCAATTGCTCCCAGGAAGACTGGAACAGCAGATCCCTGTGCTCGCCGGAGGACATTGTACACCTCTATTTCGCGCGAGTCCTCGCCCCAAAGCCGGGAAGTCGTTCCCTTACCGATCATAGTATATCCGTACGCTGCGCAAGTAACCTTGAATGGCGCTCCGGATGCGCCACAGCCCCCCAGAGGTGTGCAGTTGGAGTCGATATCTGTATCTAATTGCTGTTTGAGTTGCTGGATCAGTGTGGCAGCGTTGATAAGATGTTCGTTAATGTTACTTCCCTGTCGGTGTAGCATGACATTCGGGCAATTATCATCCAGCTGGCCGCCCCGCTGCAGCGTACGTAGGCATTTCTGGGTGCAAAACTGTGTGGTACGCTGTTCACTTGGGCCGCTGCTCTGAGTATGTCACGATCCTGCTTTGCGTGCCGAGTCTTTAGCGGATAAAGACGAGAGAGAGGATGTAACCTCACTGGAACCACGCTTCTTTCCTCTTGGAGCTGGATTTGCATCAGGATCCGGAGAATCGTCGTGTGGTTTAGATTTCGGCGGCGCGCAGCTAGACCTGGTGACCATTCGACTTGTGTTGGAAGCTCGCGGAGAAGGAGGCGAGGACGGCAGATCCGAGACGGTGCGCTCGGAGATTGAACGCTCTGAGACGGCGTATTCTGAGTCCGGAGGCGTCTGCCGCAATTCCGATATAGGGATCTGGGAAAGTGTGTGATCGAAACTTGTCTTCAACTTTGGCAGCTCGTGTTCTACGGTATTCCGCCACCCCTGGTTACGGTGTTCTGAGTGGAAAGCCATGAGGCATAAACATAACACGCGGGCAATGGCTGTGAGCGGCTGCAGTAGAAATTCCGGGTTATCCTCCTGGTCCACTTCTATGTTGGGCTCACAGAGGTGATAGTATAGGGTGCCTGGTGCATCATACGGCACCCACAAAAAAACCAAGACAAACCCATTAGTCAGGTACGAGTACTCAAGCCCGTCATAGATCATGACATCATACGCCTAGACCAAAGCGAGCCGGTTAGCCGGGCTGCATTGTATGTCAGTTTATGGCTCTTCTTCAGGGGAACAGAGTCCGGTCTGACCACCTCTTCCCAGAACTTCATCGGTCGTAATCCCGCTCGAATATTCTCAACAGACAGCTTATGGGGCGGCTTGTACTCGACTGCTGTAAAAAGAGTATTTCTGTTGCCGTCAACACGGTGGATGCAAGACTGATCCGGTTGGAAAGAATGCTGGAATTCCAACGATTGATCCGTTTGAGACTTATTAGCTTGAACCTGATCGAGGGCGTTAGCATGATTCTCAAACCGGATTCCATCCCCCAAGCGAAATTCCTCTCGAGCAGCAGGGATACTGCAGAGCTCGTGGATGATGTCGTAAACAAAATCCTCCACAGCGAATCGCTGTTGTCTCTCCAAATCCCTTTCAGTGCTTATTGCCCTACTGTTAAGTCGTCTACCAAACCATTCCAGCTCGCGACGCGCCGAAAATAAATGTGGTGCAGACTGCCCCGGTAGTTGTAGATAGGTACAAACCGAGCGATATATCTCGTGCTGCCTGGATTCGCACTCAGTCCAGGGCAGAAGCTTCCATGGACAGCATTTCCCAGTGGGCGCCGGTATCCTCTCTGTTATCGAGCGAGGCAACAGTTTAGCTCTCAATGATCGGGAAAAATTGTCGTGACAGTATTGAATAAGCTCTGCGAAGGTCGTCTGTCGTGATCGCTCTCTTTCTTGGTCTGCCCTCTCTGCCTGCCGTTGGCGTTCCTCTGCCTGCTGTTGGAGTTCTTCTGCTTGCCGTCTTTTTCCACCCCCTTCAAATAGAGTACTTTGTAATCTGGCATTCTGGTGCTAGCCATCCGTATGATATCAATCTCGATCGAAGGTCGTCTAGAACGAACAGGGTGAGGAAACAAGGCGGAGCGCTGACACCGTTGGTCCCTACTGCAGAAGATTATTGCTGTATGCGGTGTCTTAATCGTGAGGGAACGCACACCGAAAGAGGAGTGGAGACAGTAGAATGACTGACTAGGAATAGTAATGGGTAGTAGTGGAGAGATGTGGAGATGGTTGTGCCGGTGGAGGTCGGGAGGACATTCCCCCCGGAGCCGGAACAACAGTTGGGCCGGGGCCCCACCCCACGTCCCGAACGGGAATCATCAGAATTGAGAGTCAGAAGTAGCGGGATTTACCGGGCAAGTGCGGAGGAGCTCATCACCGCATTCATTGGAGGTTGCCGAGTTAATTAAATCGTATGTACCCCGAGATTTGGCGGGTGTTTCCTACTTAGTGGTGGGTCTGATTCCGATGGTCCCTGCATTAATCAGGCATAAATTCAAAAGTTGGTTCTCACTGGGCATGGATCCTTGCAGTGCACTAAACCTATTAGGGTAGGTGAGATGCTCGGCTATCAACTGTGGGGGCCCTTTTGTGTGATTGGACCAGTTCCGTGCCAATATGATCCATCGTCTTCCAGCTGTGGAGTGGAAGGATGATCTTCTTCCCGCGCCTCATCAGCCACCGCGCTGAGTGAAACCCGTTGGGAATCATGACAGCATATCACGCCTAAACAGGAAATGAAGATGCACACGAGGCTCCCGCTTTGGGGGCCAAGTCAGCCGCATCCAGCACAACGATTCCGACCGATCAAATTTGACCTTCGGAGATTACAGCACTGCCTTGCAAGACAATGCGTGTGGGTGTTCCTGAGTGCTATATAAAGGCTTGAGGACCTGCTTGGCTTACGCTGTGTTTGCAAGCCATCCTTACTCTACCTTCTTTCCCGAAATTGTCCTCACATTGCCAACATGAGGCAGTCTGCTCTCCCTAACAAGCTGCTGTCAGTAGCTTCACTTGCCGCACTCGCGCAAGCAGAGCTAGGCAAGATCCATTGGAGAGGGCCTTGCAACTTAACCAATGCCACAGACATGAGCGCGAGCGGATCATTGATCTGTGGGACACTAGAAGTGCCGTTGGACTACACCGATTCGAGCTCCAACAAAACACTGACTCTCGATCTTGCCAAGTGGCCGGCGACCAAGAAGCCGGTCGCAGAGCCGATTATATTCAACTTTGGCGGGCCTGGCGAGAATGCGTTTGAGGGCCTTGGGTTATATGGAGAGGAATTCCAAGCGTAAGCTGCAGTCTGGGTTATGCAATTCATCTGCTGACCGACATTTCCCTAGTATCCTCGGAGGCCATAATGACTTGATAGCATTTAACCCTCGGTTTGTGTTTGACCCCCGTGAGCCACGATGCAATACTAATTTCCTCCAGAGGTGTTGGAAACACTCTTCCGTTTTCGTGCTACACTGATTCTGCTTCCCGGGAACTTGCCTCGCTTCAAGCTCCAGGGGACGGCAGAGCGTCCGACACAGCCTTGGGGGAAATATGGGCCCAGAGCGCAAATGTCGCGCAAGCATGTTATGCCCTGAACAACCAGACTGGAAGTCTCATCGGAACGAGCTTTGCGGCGAGGGACACGATGCAGGTCGTTGATGCTCTCCAGGGAAAGGATGGTTTGCTGAATTTCTGGGGTAAATATTACAATGCAGCCAAGATTTATTTCATATTAATGGGGTATGTTAGGAATCTCATACGGCACTACAGTCGGCGCTGTCCTTGCCGCCATGTTCCCGGAGAGAATGGGGTTTGTCGCACTTGACGGAATTGATAACCCTGCAGAGGTTCTCAATGGATAGTAAGTGGTGCCTTATATCTTCCTCAGTCCTCCAGTCACATTCCAGATCGTTAGTCTGGAAATAATCTAACATTCCCATCTGAACAGCAACCCGCAAAAAGTTGTGGACGTCGACAAGGTTCTGGAGGGCTTCTGCACGGGCTGCATGGCCGCCCCAGACCTCTGCCCTCTAGCAAACTACTATGAGAACGCTGCCAACCTCGAAGCCGCGATCTACATGATGCTCGACACGCTCAAGTTCAATCCAATCGCCATTCCAGAAATCGGTGGAGTCGTGACTTACAGCGACGTCAAATCCACTATCTACGAAGCGCTTTACCTCCCAAGCTCCTGGCCCTTGACCTCCGAGCTCATTCTCTATGTACAAGCCCGGAACACGACAGTCCTCGGACTTTCCGAGGTATACGAGACGATCAAGTCCTACGGCGAGTCGGCGTCTTTGACTTCATCCGCCAAGGAGGCAGGCACCGGTGTCACATGTTCCGACAGAGCACGGCCAGCCACCATGGAGGACCTACTCCCGTACATTCGAGCCAGACAAGCCCTGAGCAAGATCGCAAGTGACAATTCCAATAGCGACATGACATGCGCTCAGTGGAACAAGAACATGTTTGCCAAGGAGCACTACACCGGAAGCTTCGATGTTAAGACAGCCAACCCGGTGTTGATCCTCAGCAACACCTTCGACCCAATCACTCCCCTTGCCGCGGCGAAGAACCTGACCGCGACCTTTGAGGGAAGTGTCTTACTGGAACAGAACGGATACGGTGTAAGTTCCCTTTGAATATTTTCAAAATACAATATCTAACGTATTGATGGTGACAGCACACTACTCTATCCATGCCATCTCTCTGCACCGCCAAGGCCATCCGGGCTTACTTTACCAATGGCACACTGCCTGCAAATGGAACGATCTGCCAGACAGATGTGCCTCTTTTCACGGAGTTGACGTACAAGGATGTGTGGCCGAAGAACTTCCAACGGAGTGTTGAGTCCAGAGACGATACATATACCTTCAGAGCCTTGATGTCGATTCGGGATAAGATGTCTCGACGGAGGATATGGTAAGAGACGCCACGTACTACTGTTGATGAGCTCGGTACTCGCACCACGAGCATGTCAGTAGAGAAATCCTGTTTCCGACAAAAGGGGTACTCGGTGTAACCTAGATATATTTATAATTACAATTAAGGACAATGTTAATAATGATTTTCACACGATTCGAAGAAAACAGGCCAAACTTGACCATTCCTCTAATAGTCACACATTATCTAGATAGTCAATTATCCTCAAATCTGGGATGCGTAGCTCAAAAGCCGCAGAGTATAATGTAGCCGTAGACGAGAGAATATACGACAAAAGCTCTGCCTACGCAGACAAGCGAGAGCGCGGGCGCATATGCTAGGAGAAATTTTACACACATCAATAGTCATCCACTATCAATGTCGTGGGATACCTAAAATCTTAAAAATTGATAGCAAGGCATATTATATTGTCCCATGTATCTGCACATGCAGTAATTTTATTGAGCGTGTCTTCGCTCAGCATTACCTCATGATATATTTACCCAATATATCGGAAGCTTAGTGCCATAAACCAGGTATATGAGTTTGTATGCTCCAGAGGCTGGTAATGCTCCGCAGCACTGAATCCCGAGTGCAAGACCCACCCAATCAAACCCTACCTACACTACCTGATAAGAATATAACATATAGCTCCTATAAATGAAAGAAAAAAAGTAAAAGCAAAAACATACAACAGAAGGGATTCGCTGGTGGTCACCCACCCAACTACTAACCTCCCGGCGTGTGGCTTAAGTACGGCTGAGCGGACGGGAAGCCCTGTTCTCCACACCCTGTGGTCGTATGTATTAGTCCTGGATCATACAGGACATATATAGAACGGGGAGAGATAAAAAAACCACTAAACATGTAAAACCTAAAATTATTATTGTAGAATGCAGCAGCATAAATCCCACTCACGGCTGAATCAAAAACTAATGCCCTTTTGACTCCACGAGGAAGGGTATCACCAGGTTTTAGAGGTAGCCAGCGATGCAATTAGCGGGTTGTATTAGTGTAATAGGATGGTTCACTTGGCTGGACTCGGTATGAGCAGCTTATTTCCTGAAGCTATGAAGTATACGTGATTGTGCAACCCAACAACTAGATCTACTCAATACTAAAATGCGATCGTTACCCTTACGTCATCCTCACATCTCACTTCCGAAGATTAAGCCCTTTCATCAACCACGGATCCATCAACAACTCCAACGCCGTCAGCCGATCCTCCGGATTCCATTGCAGGGCTAAACGCAACCATCGCAGGAATCCCTCCACGTCCTCGCCTCGGATGTCGGCCGCTAAATTATCTAGATTTTGATCAGGAATCGGGACCAGATTGTTCCAAGCTCCGGATTCATCCCAGAATATCCTGCTCATGGGTGTGTTTTTGAGGAATGAGGATGGTGGAGGACCGAGTAGAGATACGAGCTCCACGATGTGGGCTCCATCGTCAGATATCCCGTCGATAGTGTTACCTTTAATGAGGGTGCGAGGGCTGACGATATCCCATGCCTTCAAAATTGGTAAGCGCCGACTGTGGTATTCCGATTGGATCACTTACGACCATCCCAACACTCCAGATATCGACCTTGTAGTCCCACGTCGACTTCAAGATAACTTCAGGCGCGCGGTAATAGTCCGGCATGATGCTCTCATTGCGTGGCTCGTTACCAATTCGGGCCTCGCCAAAGTCGCCGAGTAGAGGGTATCCGTCTCCGGCGGGAAACGACGAGGTGGTATAAATGGTCCGATCTTTGAGGACCTTTCTTGGGACTGGTTGGTTGATCGTACGCTCTTCGAAATCAGAGAGTGCAGATGCTGAAGGTGCAGGAAGAAGGAGGTTTTTCAATTGGATATCTTGTTTGCGAAGTTAGAGGCGTCGCCTAAGGGGCTTGGGACTGAGGGGTGGGGAAGAAAAGGAGTACAGTACCCGTATGGATGACACCCGCCACGGAATGCATAAAGTCCAAGGCACGGAGCAATTGGCGGATAGCGGGTTTCATGAGTTCGAGAGTCATTGTTTTGCCGGGGATGGAGTGCAGCAGATCCGAGGTGTTCATCCCCAGGGGCTCATGAACAAGACAAATATGGCGGCCGTGAGGACCATCGATGAAGAAGTGGTTGAGTAATTTGCGGATGAACTGTCTGCCTGGGTGGTCGGTTTTTCATGTTGAACATGTGATTATAGATCTTTAGCTCATGGTCTCTTTCTTGTCCTAGGACGTAGAGCTTGAGGACAACGTAGGTGGAGTTACTGGGATGTTGGGATTAGAATGGCTGGAAAATGAGAAAGGGTAGGGTAAGCATACACCAGGTCCCGGGCGAACCATACAGTCGAGGTAACTCCGTAACCTACTTTGGCGATGGCTTAGTATCGGTAGTTGAAAATCTGGCTTTGATGGATGGGATAGTATTTCTCGGGGGAGTATGTTGGGAGGGTTTCTTCATCGATCTTTAGAGATGGGTCGAGGATTTGGAATCCCGAGGTTGGAAAGGGGGTGGTTGTCCATGTTGGGGAAACGGTGCTGTAGCTGGAGGCCTTACAGGAATGGAAACTGGAGCTGATTATCCTTTTTTATTTCAAGATTCTTAATGATTACTAGAATTTAGAATACTTTATAACTTAGTAATGACTCTTTGAATAGCAGATACATTGGGCCTAGTTTCTGAGCCACTTTAATTTTATGATTGACTATTGTTTAAAGATAATGAATACCAGATCGGACGCTCTGTCCCGGAGGGCCTAGAACATATCTGAAGAAGAAGATAAGCATATTATAAATTATAAGATCTAGCTATTCTGTCCAGTATTAGGGGATAGACTCGCCTGCATGATATTTATCAAGGACAACTCTAGTAAGAGAGAGCCTGGAGGACTAACCCTAGACAAGACATGGATAGAGGCTGAGAAGGCTGATAAGGACCTAAAGAAGTACTAGAAGGCTGTGACCGAAGGCTGGTCTGAACTTCCCAAGTAGCTAAAACTAAAGGTCTCTATTACAGAGTCTTAACTAAATACTAATAAGTATCTGCTTTTCCAGGAACAGGCTTGGATCTTTAACTCAGAGCCTTTATAAATCTGAATTATCCAAGAGGTTTATAATAACATGATTACTAGATATTCGAAATAAAATCAAATATATAAGATCATCATCTGTTACCATTACTGGCCGGATGTAAGTAAGGATATCTATTATTTGTACCAAGATTATAATAATTACAGAGCTAATTGTCAAACCCTAGGATCGCTTCTCCCTGTTCCTGTTAGCTTAGCTTCCGTTCCTATACGTACCTTTGAACTGAATCAAGGTAAGTCAGGTTGTTGACTATCTAAAGGCGACCGGTCCTGAACAGAAGAAGAGAAGTAAGGCCAGATAGTGCCGCGCAGCTATCCGTAAGTAAGTGCGGACGAGTGTTGTCGCTAAGCTTTACCAAAACGTATGGTTACTTAAAGACAGTGTTATTGAGCACGAAGAACAGAATTAGCTAAGTACATGAAAGAGTGTCCTTATATCCTATCCTTCGTATACCATTTCGTATACCATTCAGGGTAGATCGAGGGTCGATCCAATCATGTCCCTGGATTCCGTATACCATTCCGTATACCCTCGATAGTAGATCTGATGGTAGATGGTCACGTGACACAACGTTACTCCGGACGTTACTCAAACCGGGATTCTACTCGATAAGAGTCTCTGGTTGTCCGAGTCCTGCCTTGTCGCCACTTTTCTGCCTAACCAGTCCGCTTTTGCTAGTAACCTGGCTAGCAGGGGTCTGTAACACTGAGGAGCTCCCTGAAGCTACAGAGGAACCAGCTGAAAGGCATAGGGACTTCTCGATGCTGTACGGGAAGTCTTTAAGGAAGATTAGTTATAAGAAGAATTATTTAACCTGTAGTTAGATAGCTCTCCAGAGGATTCAAATTCTACTTACCTTCACATACCTTGAGTAGTTCTTGGGCTCTTGAGCCCGTCACAATTAGAAACTCACCCACAATTTATCTGGATAGACAAGAAGACAATTATTTATTTATTGTCCATGAAGACAACCAAATTATATAAGTAGTCAATAAATACTAACTAGTTGAGCAACCTTTATTTAACCAGCCATCCATCCATACATCATCCATTTATCAGTCCAAACATTCAATTGTTGGTAGAACCATTCACATATATCTTACTCAGTAGAAGATCAACCCTGTTCACGTGCACACTGACAGACTAGGACAGGGGAAGGTCGTTCATGACCCCCATTATCATGGGCATTCGAACCCGGTACCTCGACATGCTCCATACATAATACATATCACCCAGATCCAATACTCATTTCACATCCTCTGCTGCATACCTATAAGTTTCTATCTAAACACCCCATATCCAACCAATAAAGCCCTACCCTCCAACAAAATCTCCCATCAACCCCAATACCCTCCCTCTCCACAACTCCCTAATAATCCACCCCATCCTCATCTGCATCCCCCCCCCCCCCCTCCCCAACCCCCCACCCAAACCTGCACCGCCCCTACCCCCGCTGCCCCGGCGGTCCCCCACCACGCCAACCCCGTACACCCCACCCCCTTCCCAACCGCATACAACGCCCCTGCTACCGGGGGGGCAACCATCCTGGACACCGCCCCCGCACACGCCGCAAGGCCATTAACTCTTCCCAGCGCCTTTGGATCCACCGTTGCTTGCTTAATCAATATAAGTAATACCGGGTAGGCAATAATCGATAGAACATTCCTGATAATCAGACATATGTATATCCCCGGGAATAATAGATAACGTGGAAGAAAGGCAAGAAAAGGATGTATCAGGTAACATGCTGGATGCAGAGAAGTCACGAATATATAGAGATTCCAGACGCCGTATATGCGGGCCAGGACAGGGAAGAGCATGCTCTGGATGAGGAGGGCGATGATGCTGTCTGAGGCGAGGATGAGGCCGGTGGTTTGGGTGGTTAGGCCGAGACCGGAGGGGATGGAGAGGGGGTTTTTGCTTAGGGTGGGGGAGGAAGAGGGGGAGGAGTCTTGGAGGAAGATGGGGAGGAGGTGGTCGTAGGACATTGAGTGGAAGGTGAAGATTGCGAGGGCGAGGATGAACATTGTTAGGGAGGGGGTGTAGATTGTGGTGGTGGTGGTGTTGGGAGATGAGGGTCTGGGTTTTGGGGGGTCGTTTGAGAGAGGGTTGTTTGTTGGGTCACTGTCAGTGTGGTGGCTGAGGAGAGGTTGTTGTGCTGGGTCGTGCCATTTTGTATCCTGTGGTTGCATGTCTGGATGTGTTTCGCGGAGGAACAGCCACACGCAGAAAATGCTCAGACATAGCAGGATCGAACAGACGAGATTGGGTAGCAGATATGGGAATCTGCCAAATAGCCCCGTGGGAGAGAACATCGAAGGAAACCCTTCTGCTGGTTTGGCCAGTAAACCCCCGATGGCTGCTATGTCAACATATTTCTCATCTGCACTGAACGTATCTGGGAAGGGACATACCAGGACCGATGATCGTCCCCAAGGACCAAAAAAACGGCATCACTGCATACGCTTGCGCTGTGCTCACATCAGCGTTAGCCAGCAGGGGTATAGGGCTGTCGTACGCTCATTCTCTGCATCCTCGATCAACTCACAAACCATGGTCTGGATGACTGCAATGTTCCCATTTAGGGCACCACCCAGAATCCTCCCCACGAGAGCCACCCAGAAAGTCGGCGCTAGGCCCACTAGCATAAGGGACACAATAGTTCCACAACATCCCAGCAGAACCACGGGCCTTCGACCAATGCGATCGGATAACGCACCCCAGAAGACGCTGGTGATTGCCTCAGAAAAGGCATAGGCTCCTACGAGGATGCCAGCGTAAAAGGATGCGTTTTGATCGGTTGTGATGTGGAAGTCCTTGATCATGGACCAGGCGTAGGGTAGGATGGAGGTTATGGCTATGGGTTCTGCTACGCGGCATACCGCTGTTGCAATGGTTAGATTGGTCTGTTGATGTATTGAGTCTGGATGTAACATACCAAGGAGCAATAGTTGGTTTATAGAGGATCTATTGTGTCTCTCTGCTTCCTGAGTTAATGGCATATCTCGTTGAACAAGGGTCTAATCGCCCATATGTCTAATTTGGATACTGAGCCGGCAAAATTGAATTATATTTAATGAGGGGAGAATTAGCGATGATTGGTCCATTGGCAGGCAATTCCATGCGAGGAGTGTGTATGGTGATGGATGATCGCACAATTACCTCATACTAGTTACGCATTCCCTCTGCACCTCGGCTGGAACTCACAGGTTGCACAATCTCCTCTTATTAGGCTTTGTGTAACCTGAAGTACAGTTGTCACATCACTTTGGTCCACTATTCAAACCCATCAATCTGATTCGACCCGATCCATCCATTCTGTCAGCAAGAACTGCATTGATCACACCCACTGCAGCATCCACTGCATCTGATAGTGCATTTTACCGATCGACTCGCCCAACCACCCTCAATCGTACACCTTTCCGACCCTTCGCGGCATAAGCAATAAAGCAGTCGCGAGCTGGTGTAACATCCTCGACGGTAGTTTCAAACAGCCGGAACTGGAAACGCCGGATGAGCATCGCCAGGGTGATAGTGATCTGACAATATGCCAAGCTAGAAGACAACACAAGACTAGCGATCAGCAAGCCACATTCAATAACCCTGCAACCGGGAGATTGCTTTTTCAGACAAATGCGGGGTAATACTTGATGCCTAAACAGCGTCGACTGCCTTTGCCAAAGGAGGTCAGGTATTTGTCCAGTCTGGTGCCACCTTGTGCAGCCCTTATCCACCGATCGGGATCAAATTCAAATGGACGGGGGAATAGAGTTTCGTCGGTGTGAACAAACCAAGTCAGCGTGCTGACAGGTGTCTACGGCACATTATCCGTCAGCCATTCCCATCCCAACGGAGCCAAGTTCGGAAAACAATCTTAAACCGGACTTCGGATTTAGGTGTTGACTTACTCCGGCGGGAATGATCCAGTCCTTGTATTGAAGCGCGGTATGGGAGATCCGCGGGCTTCTGGTCGTGATTCCAAATTGTAACCTGATGCCTTCTTGAATGACAGCTGACTGGCACAGAGGATTTTGTTAACGATGTAAGCAATGAGTAGCTTCGACACTCACCATATACGTCAGAGACTGCAGCTGATTCCACGAAACAGGGCTTGTCGGATCGGGCATAACCGTCTTCAGCTCAGCCCTAAGTCGCTCCAATTTGACAACATCATCAAGAAGGTAAAACATAATAATCTCAAGCGTCTGCAGAAAATAATCAGTACCCCCAGCAAACTGACGTGAACTGCATACCTTAGCCGAAGTCTCACTACCTGCATGAAGCAATGTTTGCGCCTCAATATTCAACCTCCACGATTCCTTCTCTGCATCAGGAAGATTACTATCCAAAATAGCCTGGAATACAGTCCCAGCCGGCAACCTCCCCTCCCTATGGAGCTTACAAACCGAAACAGTCTGGTCCGCAATGCGCTTCTGCCACCTGATGTAAGGCGAGGTAGTACAACCCCACTGATGAAGCCAATGCATGACGGCATGCAGCCAATGAAAATGCCGCAGGATCGCATATCCCTCGTTCGCGGAGACCAAAATCTCCCGAAACTCCGATCCAAGATCAGCTCGTTCAAGACAGTCGTAGCTCTCGCCGTAGGCGTAGCTGGAAATGACATCCACGGTCAATGCGAGCGCAGCGTGGCTGAATATCACCACATTGCCCTCTCCAATGCAGGTGTCGAAGTATGCGCAGAGGCGATTTATTTTGCTTTTGATGAGTGGCTCCATGTTTTCGACGGCCTGTTTGGAGAAGAATGGGACTATAGCGGAGGCTCGTAATCGATGAAGATCGTGGTCCACTGTTGTCAGGGCTGAGCCTGCCTGTCCTCCGAGCTGGACGTAGTTTCTCTCCTTGTCTTGTTTCTTCCATGGCGGGGCGTACACTTCGTGGTAGAAGTCGGGATCGGCGATGTGTAGCTCATCCGGATTGATGCGGACGATTGGTCCTAACAGGTTAGGTAGGGCTAAGACAGAAGGTGACGTACCAACCATAGCGCTGATGAAGTCGTTCAATTTCCCACAGAAACTTGCCCCCTTTCACAACATTCCAATAAAGCTCGTACCAGGATGTCAAAGCGGCCAATCGTGGGCCTGGAAATCTGGCAAGTGGGTGAATGAACAATCTGAAAAACCCTAGGCTTATTGAATAAGCCAGCAGAGCGAGTCCGCAAGCAGTGATTACAGCCCCAAGGCTGCCAGATTTAGAATCCATTATGTCCGACGCTTGTTGGAACAGAATGGAAGTGGCAATGTCACACCTAGAACGGGTACGATTTTCCTTATTATATCCCGTCAGCATGCATATCGTGCGAAGTGGCACAACTAGGCACACCATGATTATTGGTATTGTGTAACATTGGTGTCGCTAGGCTGGGTGTGGTGTCCGCCCTATGAAATGACAAATTCTGTTCATCTTGTGATATCACTTAGACTGGATGCTGCTTTCTAGAAAACTCCGTGGAGAACGTAAAGAGCCGTGAGAGTTTCGACTGTACGAATTAGGAAGTGGACTGACGACAGTCTGGCTGACAACGTCACAGGATGGGAGCAAGAATCAAAGGTCAATGGGATGTCTGATTCCTATAAGGCTGATTGTTGGTGCAACGTTCTTCTATTCAATGTAACTTTGTCCCTCTATATTTCTGCGGTTCTAGATATTCGAAAATGGGTGAAAACATTGTCCTTGACATTCGCCAATCCGATACAGAGGCCAGCATACGGGATGGAATCATCCAAGGGATGTCCAAAAACCCGAAAGAGCTTCCAAGTCTCATATTGTACAGTGCGGAAGGTCTCCGGCATTGGGCGTGTCATTCCAGCGCTCCCAACTACTACTTACGACAAGAGGAAATGCGGATTCTCAAGTCCAAAGGCGATGAGATTGCAAACCGTATCCCCGAGGGGAGTGTGATTGTTGATTTTGGAAGCGCGTGAGTGTAGATGATGACAAACAGCTCAATGCTAACTTTTCAAAGAGCCTTAGAGAAAGTCATCCTTCTTCTGGAAGCCCTCGAGCGACAGGCAAAAGATGTCACCTATTATGCGTTGGATGTCAGCTACTCGGAGCTCGTTTCAACGTTGAAAACTATACCGATGGAGAGATACAAGCATGTCCGCTTCGCCGGACTCTATGGCACCTTTGATGACGGGCTACGTTGGTTGAATGAGGACCCCCATGTTCGCGACTTGCCTCACTGCGTCATGTTCTTGGGCTCGAGTATTGGTAACTTCTCAAAGCCGGAGGCAGCTGGCTTTCTGAGCAGCATTGCAACCAATGCTTTGAGATCACCAGGCAGCTCTCTCCTCATTGGTATCGATGGATGCAAGGAGCCTCTTAAGGTATTGCGGGCATATACAGCAGATGGAGTCGGGGGGTTCACCATGGCTGGATTAGAACATGCGAATTCGATTCTGGAACAGCGACACGTCAATGGCGAGGTCAAGTCCGCTCCTTCAACATTCAACATCGACGAGTGGTATTATTTGACCGAGTGGAATCACCACCTTGGCAGACAAGAGGCTTCCTACATCCCCAAATCGAAAGACATTAGATTGGGAGCTCCATTAGAGGATATAGTGGTCAGCAAGGGCGAGAAGATACGTTTCGCCGTGAGTCAGAAATACGACGCTCAAGAAAGGAAGCAGTTGGTGGATGAGGCTGGCCTTGAAGAAGTTGCGTCCTGGTCAAACCAAGACTGTGACTTAGGTGAGTTCCCAGCACTTTTCTGTTAAATCTCCACTAACTAGGGCTTGCACTAGGATTGTATCTGTTGAAGCTATTACCCAACTGAATGTGTAATCCGGGTCTGCTAGATTAATTGCCCGGTTCACTTCCAAACTATATTTTCGCTGGGCCCACAAACCTGGTTAGTGACAAATAGAGTTATGTCAAAGACGAGAGGTCCCGGACATCTGGAATTAATTTTTAGCAACACATGATTGGGACATTTCATTGGGTCATCTGAACCTGAGTAATCTATACAATAGTGAAACCCTACCTTGGCATCGCCATTCTGACGACATCACTACCTCATGACGGAGCCACAGGGGAAGCAACATGTGGCCTTTTGATTTCCGCATGCAGCAGCATCTATGACAGCCTATACCTCCATACAATCAACAACTCCACACAGAGCCCATGTTTGTATCACCTCCTGTACTATGGTCTATTCCAATCATTGCTAACCCTATGCTTATTACAGCTCCCCCAAACACGGAAAAAGACCATGCCCGACGGCCAAACCCTCTGGGAAACCCTCCAATACAAGCTCAGCAAATGCTCCTGGATCCCATGCACCCGCGATCCCGACAAGCAGCGCGACACCCTCATCTCATTCCTCAATGTAGTCGGACGACCCGAGGACCCGCACGAATGGGACATTACCGAAGCCCGTCGCAAGGTCCATGAAGGACTCGGCGGAGAGAAGCTCAGAACCCAGGTAGAAAACACGAACGAGTGGAAGAAGGCCCAGTTTGCCCGGACCGACCAGCTGCTCTCTCAGCTAGTTCATGACAACCTCCTACACAGTCGGATTAAACCTAAGACTGCGTTCGCCCTTATAGAGAAGAACGTGCAACGCGTGACGTACTTTACGATGATTCTGATTCCCTGGAATATTCTGTTTGATGAATTGACTCGGCCCCCGTTTAATGAGGATTATCTGCCTATTACGTGTTATGAACCGATTTGTTGGCTGCTGGGCTCGCTGTATCGTGAGTATGCTAAGAGTGAGTATTTTGCCTGGTCCCCGGTTAGGTTTGCAATTGCGAGGGCGCTGGCCAGTCCGGATGATGAATTTTATGAGTTTGATTGATGTTGTTGATTGGTTGGGTTGTTTGTATATATGTACTATTATTGGTTTATTCTAGGTCATTCTGATAAAAGTTTCCATTCGACTAGACTAGATTGTTTCTCGATACCAGAGACTGGCGGCCTTGTCTACAGACCTATTATGGTGAAACTTATCAATCTACGTGCACCCCGACGGTTATAGTCCAGGAATCCAGCATGTCCGATCCTCGTGAATTGACTAGAATGCGCTCAAGCCCTGAAGTCCAACTTGCTTCGCACTACCTACCGGACACAGACCATTTTCACGCTCAACACAGTAAAGACAGATAATTCGAACTTCCACACCAAGTTCCGAAACCAACAAGACCAACTGATCCCGGCAAACATTTTCATAACCGATGGAAGAAACAAAAGAACCAGAGCAGACAGACATGACTCAAACATTCCCCACATGCAGTCATTCCCCCAAAGTACCCAGGAAACAACCCAAGCCACATCCAAACCACACTCCAGCCCCTGTCCCTACCCACTCATCATCCATCACAACATCTCCCTCTCAGTACAAGTGTAGTTACTAGTAACCGCAATCGAAGCCCGACGATCACAAGGCGAGGGACAAGCAATCTCGCGCTCACTAGCAGCCCTACAATCCAAAACATATCCGTCCTGCAGTGTCACCGAGGTAGGCGGACCCGCCTGGGACATGGTATCGGGACGCTTGGTGCAGCCCCCGAAGGCGACTTGGCCACGACCGGGGAACTGGGCAGTCACATTGCACAGGCCGTTGTCGTTGTAGGAGTTGACGAGGCCGAGATCGACCCCCGAGCAGGGCGACTGGTTGTCGAACCAGGCGAACCAGTTCGGACCGCGCTTGTTGGTTCCGCAGCCGGCGATGGTTCCGATGTGGAGTTGGGTGGGGGTGCAGTCGAAGGCTTGGGTGGCGGTCATGGTGGCGCCGAGGACGGCGAGGATTTGGAGGAGGTGCATGGTGTTTGGGATTAGATTGAGATTGTTGATGTGGGAGGGTTTGAAGATAGGAAGGTGTAGAGAGGAGATGTTGGTGAGTGATGGTTGGAGAAGATTGGGGGTGGGCGCTGGTCTGTATTTATGCTTGCGGATGAGGGGGGGGGGAAGCTGAGAGAGGTGGTCATATTCTAATAGAAGATGATGCTCTGTGAGTCAATGTGCATTGAGAGGATGGGTGCTCTGGATACTATGTCTAACGGTGGCCATGAAGGTACTGAGTGTATATTGCCGTCGGAGTGATATTGAACTGTTTTGTGGACTATCCAACGATGGAAGGGTATATGAAAGTGAAATGAAAGATTCATTTCTTATGATATTGGTGTTCAATATTCGAGTCAGAAGGATATTCATAGTACCTTATGACAGTCTCTATATCACAACGCAGGTAGAGGTGGGTTTCTCGGAGTACTACACAGTAAGTCAATATTACTATCAGCCTGGGACACAGCTTTCAATGATACTTCTACTTCATGGTTGATGAGGAAGACGAAAAGTGTGCCAAAAGGAATAATTTAGTCAGAGACCCATAAATAAACATCCAAAAGTATGTGGCTTGCTGTCATAATTGCTTGTAGGAGTCTAGACCCAGAGAAAGTGGACGATCGGAATAATCCGACATGCACCTCATGTGCTACAAATGTACAAGCTTCGGGATAACATAGTAATCTTGGGGGACCTGACACACCTGTACCTCGGTGTAACTAGCCCTATGCCCCGTCGGAACATTGCCTACTGGATGGTTGCGTATCTGACCTACATTGTGTCACAACAGCAGTCCGATTGATGACAAGGATTGAGTAAGTCGCCCGCCCAAATGTAGCACAAGGACATTCCAGACTATGATGGTCTTGTTGGTTTGGAATGGCGAAAATTCAGGTAGATTCAGATTAACAACAGCCTAGTAGCCAAACAGCAGACCAGCTATCACACATTGTAAACCGACATAGCAGGACACATACCCACCAGTTTATCCGACTGCAGACTGGGCATGAACTTGGGCTCTTTGCCCGCTTTTTCAGCTCCATTCGCACGCTTCTCCACATCGGCATAACTGAACTTCTTCTGCTGCTCAGGAGGGAGATGATCATACACTCCCTTTGCATACTCAGGCGCAATGCAGAACACCTGTGCAAGATACTTGATCTGAACATCAATAGTATCCACCAGTTTCAGCAGTCGAGCTGTGTTCTTATGTAGATGACGCCGGGCTTTATCGTCCATCACACGGCGATACAATTCCCGTGGTTGATCATACTCTGACGGTTTGCCTTCATGGTAGTAGTGCGACTTTCGACCGACAAAGCTGTCCGAGACTTGGTATGGAGCTTCCGCAGTATCTGGACGGAACTTGTGCACGAAGCTGTTGGGCACGTATTGAGGGTTCATGGCGTGGTTTGCGTCCACGCGCATTTGGCCGTCGAAGTTCAGGCTCGAGTAGGAGGATGTCATGAACGGACAGTTAACTTTACCGTCAGCATGATATGCAAAAAAGAGACTCTGTAAGCTGACTTACCCGGTACTTGATGCAAGTTCACTCCGATCCGGTGATATTGCGCGTCGCGATAGAAGAACATACGGAACTGCAGGAGCGGATCCGGGCTGTCCTCGATACCAGGGACCATGCTTCCCGGCGAAAAGGCCGCTTGCTCGACGTCGCGATGGAAGTTTTCCGGGTTCTTGTTCAGAACCAATCTGCCGAACTCATGCAACTGTACCAGTCAGTCATGCCCAATCTCAGGATGTCGAGAACGAACCGGAAACTGGTCCTTCGGCCAGACTTTAGTCACATCAAAGGGATCGAATCCTAGTTTCTGGGGATCGGCTTCCTCCGGCTTCATGATTTGGACATGAGCAGTCCAGGTAATCTCCTCTCCTTTCTCGATCGCCTGCCACAGGTCACGCTTCGACCAGTCGGGGTCCTCGCCTCCATACTCTAGGGCTTCGTCTGCGTTGAACTGCTTCTGGCCGTGATTGGCGATGAAATGGTATTTGATGTAGACGAATTCGCCGTTGGTATTGACCCTGTCTTGTCAGAAGAGTCTTCTTTGTGGTTTCTAACCTACCATTTGAAGGTATGACAGCCATATCCATGATTGTTCGTCCAACCCTTTGGCGTTCCATGATCGGAAAAGAACATCATTCCCGCGTGGTTGCTGCAGCAGTCAGCTTCACACCCAGTACCTCATCAAGTGAAGACATACCCCTCTGGAGTGTTTGCAAGCAGATCGAAAAGTGAAGTATGATCTAGGAGGAAATTCTTGGGATTGCGATATTGCGAGCGAATGACATCTGGACCTTGAATAGGGTCACGGCAGAAGAAAACCGGCTGTCTGTGTTAGCCAGCTTCACCACGGAGTCTAGGTATCTTACGAAGTTCAATCCGACAATGTCGTAGTTTCCTTCACCGGTGTAAAATTTGATCGCAAAACCGCGTGGGTTCCTCGCCAGATCCGGGAATTCACGACCCAGAGTGACGGTCGAGAATCGAACAAAGACCGGAGTTTTGACACCAGTGGATCGTAGGAAATGAGCCTGTTGGTCAGATCTATTGTACTGAATTCAGAGAAGGTTACCTACCTTGGTAAGGGAAGAGACATCCTTAGTGGTCTCAAAGTATCCAAAGGCACCGCTACCACCTGTCATCGTTAGCAGGTCATCAAGGGACGAAAAGGCAGTCTAACAAGGATGAACCATTCGCTCCAGGTTCTTGGACCGGTTGAATGTCTGTTGCTTCTGGAGAAGGAAAGCATCAGACACAACAGGAATACCGCCTACTGTCTTGCTGTGTGCGGGATCGGGGAATGGAATTCCTTCGTTGTTGGTGAAGTAGGGTCCATCGTCTTCGCGCTTGCCAGGGCCCTGGACACCGGTTATTTTAGCTGCAGTTCTGGCCGGGCCATCGTTTGCGCCCTGGAAAAGCGATGTCAGCTGTGTAGGACGCGGGTCTAGTCCTGCAGCTCCAACAGCTTGTCCGATGATTCCGAGGGGATCAGTTGCCATGGTGGCGGTGATTCAATTGTGCTAACAATTCAGTCTGAAGTCTTGATCATGGATTCAACCCGGCTGGCCGAACTATATACCATTCAAGGACCTCAAATGGACTAGTCAATGATGAAAGCCACAAGGCATCGAACTTGGAATTGGACGTCAATTGATATCCGTGGAACAACAGTAACCAGATCGGCCAATGATAGATGTTGAAACATAAGCAAGATTTGCTCGGAACGCCGTTGTGGTCATCCACATTGAATTGACGGCCCTGATTGGGCCATCTTGACAGTGGACATCTGACAGAAGGTAAACGTATGCCATTTGTGGCGAACGTACATCTAACTATACGTGGTTCCACGAATCAATCAATCAATTGTGCTAGATCTAGAGCTGGCTCAACAGCCAGATTGTACGTATCGCTGACGTCTTCGACAGCAGTCCATGACAAATCTGATTCAACGCTAATAACTACATAGTATGCCCTTATGCACTGGCATTCCAGTCAACAATGGCATCCTCGCCAACCTTCTCCTTGATGAGTCGATGGCTAAGCTCCCACAGTGCAGCGCCTAATGTGGGATCCGAAGCCTGAGCAGACTCCTTTCCAGGCTGTGCAGGGTCATTAAAGTAGTAACCATTCCAGCCCTTCTCTTCAACTTCCGGACTCGTTGCCGCATAGAGTGCACTGAATGATCCATGCTCAACTGTCCGTCCAGCGGCCAGCATCACTGTCGTCAGCAGCTTGCCAAGAAGCCCCGGATACGCGTCCTTCCACTGCTGCTGCATTGCCGTGTTTACCTATATCCTGTTAGCCAGATGCCAGTTGTTCCCACGGGACGACAAACTTACAGCACCCGGATGCACAGAAAGTGCATAGATATCATCCTTGTTAGGCTTGATCACCCGATCCAACAGCCCATACTTCACACCCAAGATAATCGCCAACTTGGTCCGTCCGTAGAGTTCCAGATTGCCCACCTCGGGGTTATTGATCTCCTCGAGGGTCGCGAAATGTACATTCTTCGGCGCCATGCGATGCTGCTCCGATGTTTCGAACACAATCCGCGGCGCAGGGGTATTCGGCAACTTGGATGTCTTTCTCAACAACGGGTATACCAGATTCACAACGTAGAACTGGCCCAGCCAGTTGACCTCGAAATGTCGATCAATGTTATCGTGTGTCTCGCCGTATTGGTTGACGTTTATCCCAGCCGAGAGGATCAACTATCACCATCATTAGTATCCCGCGTCGTTTGTGACTGACAGGGACTAACCAGATCCAATCTATCCTCCTTCTTTCTGAAATCCTCAAACACGTCCTTGATCTGCTTCAAGTTGCCCATATCACAAGGGAACCATTCTATCTGCGCCTTGTCGCCCGCTTCTTTCTTGATTTGTTCGATCGCGGCATGTCCCTGCTCTTCTTTCCGGTTGGTGATGTAGACCTTGGCGCCGTTGAGGACGAATGCGCGGGCGATCTCATACCTGCATTCATCAGCCACTACATCATCATCACAAGGGGAAAGTATTACCCTATACCCAGCGCACCGCCAGTAATGAGGGCGACGCGACCGGTGAGATCATGGATCTCCTTATGAGGACCGAGGATGGGTTGTAGAACTGATTGCATTTTGTTGTTTGGTATTAATCCGTTAATAGCAGACACAGTGAGGAATTGCTGATGAGCGGTATTGGTAGGGTTAATAAGGTTGCGGATGGAGCCAATTGACTTTGCGGCGTAACTATGATATCAGGATAGTGTCACCTCTGGTGCCATGGCTGGGGTGGGTGGACAAACAGGGAAAGCTGATGTCAACACCTTTGACATATGATTAACGATGGCCCTTACCCTTCCTTGGCTTTTGGAGCTGTCAGATCGCGACCGTTGCGATAAACATAGAGAGTTTGAATGTTTGAGGGTTGATGATCACCCGTGTCTCTTTGCCATCATAATTCTGCATAAACCTCTTTCCGATGACTAGCCGGAGTAATGCACTTTATGCCGTATCTAATCTCCCCCACCAACAATCTGCCGCAATCAACTACGTCACCGACGTAACGACTTCAAGACTATCGATCTATCATCCAAACTAGACTTGTCGACAACACCAAACTTCATCACCAATAGTTGCACTGTACCTCTATTACCTCCCTCACAAATCCCCTCACCTTCATACTTCAACATACTCCCCAATAGACCACACAGCACATATCCCAAACATGTTCTCCACCACCACCACCCGCCCCCAAAACCACCGCTTAAAAATCACCGCAGGAACATCCTACGACCCAAGCACCCACCAAACCATCACCGTGAACAGTCCCTCTCCACTACACCTGGAAAACACCCACCTCTCCACAAACCTCTGGGTCCGTATCAAAGATTACACAGGCACATACCCCCCCCTCTTCCCACTCCCCCTCCACCACCACCCCCAACAACACCACTAACAAAAAACAGGCCACCCAACCACCTCCCCCCCCACATCCCGATACTTCACCCACCCCCCCTTCACCAAAAACCTCTACTCCCTAACCTTCACCTTCACGCCCACCACACACCCCATCAACGGGAACAACCTCCTCTTCGGAAATGACTTCGACCATCCGATTCGCTCCTACCTTCCGCCGGGATTCAACACCGCGTTGAAGATTGTCAAGTCGACGTTGGATCCCTCGCTAGAGGGGGATGCGTATGCTGATAAGCCATATTTGTATAGTCCGGGTTTGGCGTCGTGGAATCAGTTTTCTGTTGGTGGATTCGGGGAGGGTGGTGATGGGGTTTGGGGTGCAGATGAGGATGTGATTGTTACTGAAGGGGGTGTTGGGGATGGTGTTGATGTGAGGAAGGGGTATGATATGCCTGAGAGTGCATCGTCGCGGAGATCGTATTTTCTCTCAGAGGAGAAGAGAAAGGAGTTTGTGTTTGAGGAGGGGAGAAGGTATGGGGTTGAGTTTGGGAATGGGTTTTTGGATTTTAATGGTTTGTTTTATTTCCCCCCATCTTCTTTTCCTTTTTAGGGGTGGGGTTGGGGAAGGGGGATGTGGCTGGTTTGCTGATGGGTAATAGAATTCGCAATTCGGATCCCGGGGATCAGTTTTCGTATTGGAAAGTATGTGAGTGAGAAGAATAATGTGTTGAGGTATGTTTTGAAGGATCGGGGGACGGGGGAGGTGTATTTGGTGGTTTGTTTCACGGTGGTTTTGGATGAGGATAGGAAAAATGGGAAGGATGGGGATAATGAGGAGAATGCTGAGGAAGCTAAGGGGGGGAGGGATGGGAATGAGGTGGATGGGGTGGATTAGATGGTTGTGGACTGCTGGCTAGATGGAATGGTAGTCAGCAGTTGCCCGCATCTTTTGTACAGTGTAGGTGTGAGGGGAAATCTGGTGTGGTAGATAGTAAGTTGGAAGCTCCCATCTAGACCAAAAGAGATATCTGCCAGCTAGGGAATAATTTCAAAAGCGGATGAATCCCAACAGATAATACCTGAGATTTCAGAAAGGGCCGATTAGATCCTAGGATTATCATTATCATACTATAGAGTATTATTCATTACTTCAAGTGGACTTCTTCTCAGGGCTGAACATTGAACAACCTGAGCTAGGCTTGTCGGATCGGATGTTCTTCCGGCGCATAGACAGGTCCCATTGCAGCTGTCCGAGTCCACTTGTATGAATCATTCGCCAGGCGACGAAACCCAGCCACTAACAGCGCACTCAGAAAGGCGCAAGAGTAGAAAAAGTACATAATGAATATCCGTGCCTCCAGCGAGCGGTTCGCATAGGCAACCTCGCTTTGGGTCTTAACTACCCAATAGGAAGACTCGACATAGCCGGCGAGCCTGGTGAGAGGTAATCCGAGGCAGGAGATGATGAGGACGGCGAGAGATGAACCAAGTGTCTATATCTGTTAGATCAATAACCAATATTGAACGTCAACTTACCCCCTTTCGTAGGTGGGGTGCTCGCATCATAGCCTTAATCATACTGGCTGCGGCCATTAACATGGCAACCACCTCGAAAGCATAGCACGCTGTGCGAAGGTCCCGCTCAGGTTTGACCAGGTTATAAAAGGTATAGTTCTGTGAGTTGTAGATTCCGTTCGCGATGTCGGTTTCCAGAGCCAGGGCGGCGATGAAAAGGATTCCCAGGAGTGCAAGACAGACAGAGTGAGTGACGACGATTAACCTGTCATTTTGGGCTTGCTGGTGAAGACGTCGACAGATGGGGAGCAGGATCACTGCATAGAGAGCATAATATCCTAGATAATCAAACCAATCTATTGAGATGGTGGTGAGATTGTAGGTCGGTGAATCGATAACTTCGCATTCCCAGAGAGTAATAATGACAATGTATATAATTTGTGAACTGGGGCGTTAGTAATCCTGTCTCGTTCTCAGGAGGAGACGTACATGATCATAGAGTAAATCGAGACACCAAAGAGGAACCATCGTCTAAATGTGCTGGCTCTTCTCTTGCTGGAAAAGAAACGAGTGGCCGCAATAGCAGAAAGGCAGCAGTACACGAGAAAGTAGAGGGCAGAGAATGCAAGAACTATCCTTGACTCCTTGGACGAGAAGGCATTATTTGCGCTACATGTTGAAGCAGCCGACCCGTAGCCGGGGTAGTAGTGCAGACGTCGTCGCTCCATGGTGTTGATTATGGGGAGTCACTGAGTCAACTGCCGGGTAATAGGCAAGGGAGATGATATGTTTTATAGGCACCACTTCAGCCTTATTCATTTTCATGACTGTGCATTAATCTCGGACCAAGGTGCCGACCGAAGCAAGGCGAACCGGGATTGGTTGGTCAACCAGGGCATGACGAGCGAAATATGAGGCCTTTGAAATAGGGGTCGGCTTGAACCAATACGAATGATGCAACCCCTGTCTTAGCGCGGTCTTGTTCGGCATCGGGCGTGCCTTGGACCCCTTTGATGCAGCTGATCCCGCTACAGCCTTGCCAGACACACTACCTCATAGGCAGTTCAACTGAGACATTCGGGTCATTACTTCTCATACTCAGCCAAGGCCCAATCCAACAACTCCGGATACCACCGACGCCCGACATCTTGGTGACTCATGACCCGGTGCACAAGGGTCCCCTCGCCGACATTCCCTCGAAACATGCGATTAAACGTCGCCTCTGCATCCGACCTCACTTTGTCATCTTTGATTAAATTTCTAATATGCGCCGGGATGTCCAGGGAGATGTTCTCCGCCGACAGATCCAGGCTCATCCCCTGGAACACGGGGATGGAAAACCGGGATCCGAGCGGCAGTCCCTGCGCATCCACGAAATTGCCCGGTGCTAAGCTAACGCGGTGAGTGGTGGCCGTGCACACCCCGCCCGTGATGGCCTCAAGCGCCCGACCGATATTGACCACCAGCGAGTCCTGCATGGGCGGTGCGGGGATCCACTCGCCGGCTTTGTTCTGAACTTCCAGTCCTGTATGCGGTGTTGCTTGCAGCAGGAAGGTCAAAAACTCGGAATCCTTGTGGGCTCCCACGCCTTGACCCTCGGATGGTGCCGCGGGAGGGGGATATCTGATCAGTTTGAGCTTCTGTTGGGTTGGGTTTTCGAAGAATTGCTGCAGCGCGGTCGGGGGTAGATCTAGAGCTTCTGCGATCAGGATCCTGAATGCTTCAGCAATCGGACTCATTTCGGCCAGGTATGCCTCTACGGCATGACGGAAGCCCGGGATGGCTGTCTCATCAGGCCACTGCGCCTCATTAGATATTTCGCGATGCAATCACATGATTCAGAAGACGCACCTGATTGGGTCCTCGGATGTTGCGGTACAGAGGGGCGTCGGGAGGGGGCGGAGGCAACTCCGTTGCAAACTACAGGGGTCAGCATGGCGACGGTTGCCGAGGTTGCGACGCACATCGAACTGCTCCCGATAATCGGTCTGACGGGCAGTGGTCTCTGCTCCAAGTCGGGAGTATCCTAGGAAATGTTTACTGTTGACCATTTCAATCTCCACCTTCTTCTCCAGGGGCAGATCAAACAGATGGAATGTCTTGTCGATCAACTCGTCGCGCACCCCGGTCGCGATCGGGGCGTTGACCAGGTAGAAGAAGCCCACGTTGACCAGAGCATTTCGCAGGTCGGAAAGAAATGTGGTTTTGGTGTCAGGAGACGATATCTGGGAGTAGTCAAGGATGGGGATAGAGGTAAATGCAGCTGGGTGAGTCATGATGAAGGTGATGATGAGATGCTCGTGGCCGCGGGGTGGTTTTATCCGAGGCGGTGGGACTCGCGCCATTCACCCGCCCGCTGACACCTTACGACCTTACGATTCAGGACGCATCACACTTCTCTCTCTGTTTTTCGACCTGAAGAATACTTGGTAAGCTTAAAGATCTTACACATCATCAGGAATCTTGTAAAGCATTCGAGATATAACCTGCAAGAAGGTGTTCCTTGGTCCTCTTACTCAAGGTACGAATAAATTCCCAAGTGAGTGTGACATAACAACTTCACTATGGCAGTATGACTGCGGATCCACTCTGTCAAACTTGGGCTCAAACATTCGAGGAGTGGTGGTCATTCCGGACAAGGACACTCGGGCCAGTCAGCACCCACCAAGAATATATTCTGTTAGATCTGGCATCGTGGGAAGTGAATGTCATAGAAATAATCCTTCCTATATACTATATGATCTGCCATGGCATGATCGGAAGTCCTTATTCGGACACTATCAACTTCAGATTGCCTCTGTATACCCTTCACGCACCACATCCCGACGAGATTGTTGCCTCTTGCGTGGATACATGCTTTGACTCCGAGTCTAGTTGGTATGCAATGCGTCAAGTACGGACCTCGACATAGTGGAGCTCTGGCCTTATATTCAACCTAGAATGTCAGCAATAAGCTTTTCTTCATGGACCCCGGGTTATTGCCATATGCGGACCGGTTGACCAAATTCCAAGCAAGGGTGACGGTACGCGACATGGTTTTTCCTGGATAGAATGTTTCTCCATTCCCTCACTGTTAGCTCCACATGATTCTCCGGTTGCTAACGTCCCTTCTTTTAACCAAAACGAGATAAGAGATTGGCAGCACACAAGGTAGAGAAAGTGCCGATCCCGGTGGGATAACCACTCAGGATTGGGTAAGATGCTGATCACTTCCTGAGATGAGAGTACATGGCACATGATCATCTGTCTGCAGAATTCCGTACGGGGTACATATACTCCAGGGGAATATTTCCGATCCGCTAATGCATCTACCCCGCGTTTCCCAGGCCATGCATGCCCATGCGCGTGAACTTTGAAAAAAAACGTGCGCTTAATGAGTGCCGACATGGCAGTGAATAAGACTAGGCAGCGCTAAATTCGTTACAGTGCCATACTGCATGAGTTAACACTCTTGAGATCCGACGGTGTCCGTAACGCGCTGGACGATAGGTTCCCAGCCGATGTGATTGAAGCTATCTTAAGGCGATGATTGGTGCAAGCTTCCTGTCATTCCATACAACGATATACAATTGCACATAATGAGCGACTGGTCGGAAGTTTTTTGTTCCTTTGATCGAGCCAGAGGCGACCCAACCAAAGGATAGGATAGTGGGATGCGCTCATCGTCCACCGTACTAAGACGCGGGGACTGCCGCTTTTGAACACAACCCGCATTCTCAGCTCTCCTACCTCCTTATAATATTTGCTGATACAGACATTGATCAGGTAACAAAGATGGCATGACAGATTGGCTCATCGATCATCCTGAAATGCCCTCAGTCTGTCGGCCGAGTCAATGCCTTTTCGCTTACGGCTCCGCCTGATCACTGCTGCCTAACGTGGTGATTATACCAACAGCCCACACAAGCCCCTATTATCAGAATGGCTGTATCTAGCTTTAGGCATCCTTAATAGCTGGATCAAATCCAACCTTTCACGTACATCGGTGGTTGGATCCTGCAGACAGGCAGCCCACATATATCCTCTTTTAAAGAACACTGCAGTAGGAGGAAAATAAGGTTAGCTTTCTGCTAGATGTGCCGGCATGCCAACAGAATTATTCAGCTTTGCTTACCTGGTATTGAAGCCCATCGATTGCATACATAAACCAGAATTAGTGGTAACAAAAATGCAGGTATGGAGAAGATCGGAAATTACTCCCGCTGTACCCGCTGTATGTTGTGACGAAAACTGCCGTGGCGATACATCTACCGACCGTGTCCCTGCGGGGTCAGCGCTAACGCTGCCATTTAATAATGCTGCAGGATCAGACCCCCAGTAAATCCCGTCACTGACATCATGTCACTTCTATTTGAATTACGGCTGCATACACACACGGTCATGAATCCTTCCACCATTGTATGCCCTGCAGCTTACTCACCTACCTGTGGTGGGTGTGCAGTCTCTCTTGCGATGCTAATGTGCCGATCAACACTATAGGGCTGAGGCTGCAGTGTGGTGCCTCCGGAATATTGCTGTTTCCAATGTCACTCTCAGCACCCACGAAACGACGAAAATAGAACGGAGGGAGCTCCGACCGGCGGAAAACAAATCCACTTTGTCCACGAATGATGGAAGGAGCTTCCCGGTGGAATTCATATCTGCCTGACAAAATGTATAAAAGGCATTGAAACTGGACTTCTTCAGAGGCCATCCACATGTAACATCGGGCTGCATCACCATGTATCTGCTATTATCCGTTGCGTCGGTCCCCCTACTGGCCAGCCTGGTGCATGGCTATGCTGAACCCGGAGCTTGCTCGGGTGTTTGCACCGTGCACGATCCCGGTTTGATTCGAAGGGAGTCTGACGGTACCTGGTTTCGCTTTTCCACGGGAGACAAGATCTCCTACGTCTCTGCATCCTCCATTGAGGGTCCATGGACCAGTGTCGGGTCTATGCTGCCGGACGGTTCGTCGATCGATCTCGATGGCAATGATGATCTCTGGGTAGATTCCCCTTTCTAATGCTTAATCATATGGCTGACAGTCTAGGCCCCCGATGTCTCCTATATCGATGGCCTCTACTACGTGTACTATGCGGTTTCCACCTTCGGGTCTCAAGACTCGGCCATTGGACTTGCGACGTCGGAAACCATGGAATATGACACATGGACCGATCATGGCTCGACCGGCATTGTGTCTTCTTCCTCGAAGATATACAACGCCATTGACCCTAACCTGATCTATGCGGATGGCACGTACTATATCAACTTTGGGTCGTTCTGGGACGACCTCTACCAAGTCCCTATGGACTCCACTCCGACCAAGGCTGCCTCGTCCTCCTACAATCTTGCCTATGACCCTTCCGGGACCCATGCGGAGGAGGCTTCATACATGTACCAGTATGGGGATTACTACTATTTGTTTTACTCGGCAGGTATCTGCTGTGGATATACTACATCCATGCCCGCTGCCGGCGAAGAGTACCATATCAAAGTCTGTCGCTCGACATCACCCACGGGCGATTTTGTAAGTTTTCCTTACCTTGAAAATAAATTGGTATTGATTCGGTCAGGTTGACGCCGATGGTACGGCTTGCACTGATGGCGGGGGCACGATGGTTCTCGAAAGCCACGGGACAGTCTATGGACCTGGTGGACAGTAAGTGGACCTGAAGATAATGCAGGATATCGTGGCTAACTCAATCCAGGGGTGTCTATGATGATGCCGACCTTGGTCCCATTCTCTACTACCACTACATGAACACCACGATCGGGTATGCCGATGACGAGGCGCAGTTTGGATGGAACACAATCGACTTTTCCAGTGGATGGCCTGTGGTCTAAGAGATTGGCGGAGTGGCTGTTACGGGTAGTACACATGTACTCCGAATGTATATATTGAAGCTATGATGGCTCCCAGTCACTGTTCGTATTTACCTGATATCCTGTGGTGGTCTAATGCCTGAGGCCTTTGCCTAGATGCCGCCTTCCCTGCCATGGATGCGCCCGGGCTTCTATCGCAATCCCCGCGCGTGACAGTACACAATACGTTCTCCGCTTTTTTGTAATGGCTCATATCAACCATGATTCTGTCAAATGGCAGCTTGACGAGACATGCTGGATTTGATCAAACTTCTGCTGATGTTGCACAGATGGCACAATGAAATGGAAGCCGGATGGTTACGTTGTTGGCGTGCCAGGCCTCACCTCATCATGACCTGAATATTGCTGCCGCAACTTTCCGCCAGAAGTAGACCTGGTCAGACTCCTCCTTAGATCACATATTTCATTTGACGTCATTCTTTCGAGAGACTTGCCTTTCTGTATTTGCCTTTGCTTTGACTTTCATCTCACTACACTCACTACTCTCACTACTCTCACTATATCTCATCATTCTCTGGGCTACTTCTCTTCTGCTTCTGAAAATGTCTCTAGACGAGTATATCTCTGATCCGCGATTTCTGCAGGAATACTGCATCAGCGAAGATCTGTCCCAACTGAGCATGGATCCGAAATCCGTGCCTCATTCACGTCAGATAAGGCTGGGATTATTCCACCCTCTGGGAAAACCCGACATATTCAAATCATGCTGTCGCTACGAAGGCCGGCATCCGCCTTACCCAGGCATGGTTTTCACGGTGCGAGATCGACAAGAGATTCTCAATCTACAACCACTGGCAAAGATCTGGAGGCAGGAACTATGCAAGGTCCCCCCCTTTTCTCGGGTGATATTCGATCTTACATTACCGCCAAACTGCCGTGACCGAGGAATTGAATGGTATTCATTTGGGCGCCCAAAGTCCTGGCATGGGATTGATACCACCGAAGCCTTTAATCTTGTCAGGACGATTGCTTTGACGACAAGGATGCGGGTGAAGGGGGATGTTTCCTTTCAGATTATTCACGACCAAACCGACCTGAAGGCGATGAAAGAGATAGAACAGCATGTTAGTGCGCTGAATCGAGCGACGTCTACTGAGATGCCAGAGGGGGAGGATGTCTCTATGGATTAGACCGGAAACGAGACAGTGTGTGGAGCTTTAGCTAATTGACAACATTACCTTGTGTGGCTTACTGAATGTCATGTCTTTCCCCAACTGTAGACTTCGCTGTACATATTTCGGGTAATCCTTTATGCTATGCTTCCCTCGCATGGTTCGATCCCCGCACGTGGCCTCGTCTCGAGGGCCGCCGGTGGAGTTGCTGGGCGAATCAGCAACGCCGGCCGGCAGTGGACAAGTGGGAGGCATTCGGCTTTTCTCGCTTGCTCCACTTGGGAACGAACGCCAATTCCGTCCTCGTCGCGACCTGTCACCCCCGACTATCGATCATCCTGCCCTCCATTCCGTTTCTGCAGAGGTATAGGGTCGCCGACCTTGCCCGATAATGTGAGGGACCATGGCCGATGTTACGCAGGGGACCTCGCGTGGCGTTCGGAAGCCTCGCAAATCCCGCGGGCGAGGATTGCGCGCGACCACCGGCTGGTCAGTTCGCTCCCACCTGCCGAACTTTCTCCCCTCTCAGCATTCCTCACCTGCTGACTGCCGCAGCTTGATTTGCAAGCGTCGTCACGTCAAATGTGATGAGGTGCGACATTTCAACATGAACCACCCACTGAACATTCCTTATTGCTGACTGGTCACAGGCTCGTCCACAATGCGGTCCTTGCGCCAAAGGTCATCGCGACTGTGTCTACGGGTCGGATGATTATTCTACCCCCAGTGCAGGGGGGGTTGGCACACCTGTCGCCGCGCACTCTTCCCCTTTCCCACAACTAACCTCGCAGGTACAGCTTCACGAGCCTCTTCGAGTGTTGATCGATGCCTGTCAACATGAACACGCAGCATCCGACCGCCAGCCAGCATCCGTCACAGCATCGCCAGGGGTTCGACACAGCCAAACCCTGACTCCCGACATTGGTGTCAACCACAACCATCGCGTATCATCAACCACTCCAGCCAACGACTTTGCTCCATCTCCAGCGACAGATTCTTCGGTATCAACCAGGCTTGCTCCATTAAGCTGGTTCGAGCTCTTGGCTAATGACGCAGTGAACGCGGATCGAAACTTTCTTCTCTCACCCCTGCAGCGAGACCCCAATCCAGCATGTCAGACGCCAAACCCCCACTTGTCCAACTCGAACCTCCAGCCACACTCCATTAGGGAACATCAGAGCTTCCAAGCAGCCGCTTTTGAACGGGATCCAGATATCGAAAATAGAATCCCGCAGACTTCCGATGGCCAGCCAAAGCTCCTTCCCGATCATCCCTCGTCCTGGTGTACCCCTGCTCCAATCCAGTTGACCGATCAAGAATACCAGATTTTCAATCACTTTGTGAAGAATATGAGTAGTTGGTATGATTTTTTTGACCCGACCCGACAAATCTCGACCAAGATCCCACAATTAGCCTTAAGGAACATCGGTGTGATGAAGGCGCTGCTAGCCATGTCGGCACGTCATCTGTCCATTTGGCATGCCAACAAGGCACAGGGCCGCGGTGCTGGGGTCGTTCGACACCGGGACGATGGGAGAAAAGTGGCGGAGTTCCCGGACGTTGATCGCAACAGTGCAGTCCAGTATTACTATGAGACCCTGCATTACCTAAACAAGGCCATGCAATATCCCAGCTACGCATCTAGCCATGAGATCATATCCACGGCTCTGTTAATTAGCACGTATGAAATGGTGGATGGGTCGAACCGAGACTGGGAACGGCATCTCAAGGGGGTCTTTTGGATTCAAAGATACCAAAACAACGATGGCGAATGCGGCGGACTCCGCCAGGCCATCTGGTGGGCGTGGCTTCGGCAGGACGTATGGGTAGCAATGCGAGAACGTCGTCGCGTATTCAGCTTCTGGAGACCCAAGCGACACATCTCCACGCTGGAGCCCACGGAACTGGCAGGGTTCGCTTCTTACCTGCTTGCACAATGCGTGAACTATGCATCACGTGAAGAAGCGGCATCGAAAGATATTCAAAGCCGCCTGGAACGAGGCAACGAGCTACTTTACATGCTGCAGGAATGGCAGGACTATCTGCCCCCGGAGTTCAGCCCACTTCCCACTCCACAGCATACAGACGTGTTCCCACCGATATGGGTGCACCCTGCATCATATGCGGCCGCTTTGCAAATACACAGTCTAGCTAGAATCCTGGTGATATCGCACCGTCCGTCGGTGGGCGGCTTCCAAGATTACCGGGCTGCTCAGAAGCTGCTCACCACGTCTGTGAATACCATTTGCGGGATTGCCCGAACCGTAAGCGAGGACGATCTGGCTGCAAGCTTGATGTGCCTGTATTGTGTATTTGGGGGTAAGATGATTCTTTCATTAGATGACGGTCGCTGATGTTATGCAGCCGGAATGAGTGTCCATACTCCGCATGAGCGAGCTGCGTTGCTCGACCTGATTGGTGTTTTTGAGCGGCGGGTGTGTTGGCCGCGATACTCGTTGCGGAATGATCTCGAGTTGAAATACCAGAAAGATGGACTTTCTGTATTTGCAGTATAGCATTGGTCCTGATGAGCTAGTCGGTCTGAAGTAGTCAGCACACGAGGGATATTTGTGCTGTTATCTGGCAGTGATCAAGAGCCTTGAGCTCTACTTCATGTCAATGCTGCGCAACGGTCCTGCCAAACTATTAGCAGATATACGGACCATGATGAGAGCAAGATCTATTTGGATTCTGGGCAGCCTGCGATCAATGTATTCTTACGAGCCAATGAACGAACCCAACCACATTTTGGACCTGTTTCATACCTACTATGCGGGCGCATCTCCCCAAAGATCTGCTTCCCTGACCATATGCACCAGGAAACGATCAGACCACCCATATTCCACTAATACATGCAGTCTTGCAGGGATCTGTTGCACTTATTACTGGCTGTAGATGGGTGAGCATCCTTCCGACGGATGATGAGTTGTTCACTGACTGCAGGTGCCTCGAGCCGAGGCAGCCCCTCCAGAACTCAACTGGCCGATCTCCGATCGCGGGGAATCCACGTTATATATAGCACCCATGTTGCAGCTCAATCAAAGGAGGGGCAAGTTCATCGTGACGTCAAATTTCCACCTGTGACCCTGATCGCCAGATATAAATCCAAGGCCTCCTTATCTATCAACATCAAGAACACACCAAGCAACACAACTACACCACAATGTCTCCAACCCCCACAGATACAGCTGCCCCCTTTCAAAACACGATGCCCTCCCCAACCTTCACCTGGCAAATCACCCTCGCCGAAAAAATCATCGCCATCACCGGCGCCAACCGCGGCATCGGTCTCGGCATCGCCGAAGTCTGTCTCGCCAATTCCGCCAAAGCCATCTACTCACTGGACCTGATGGAACCGGGCGAAGAAACCATCGCCCTTCAATCCCGATTCCCGAATTTCCGATATATCCACACGGATGTGACCTCCGAGGAGAGTATCGAAAAGGCCATCAACCAGATCGTGGAGGAAACGGGACGCATTGATGGTCTGGTGGCCAATGCGGGAATGACTAAACATCAACCGGCGCTGAAATTCGAGCGGCCGGAGTTGGAACGCATGTTTAATCTTAATGTGAGTGTAGCGAGAGGGCTGGTGTGATATTCAGGGGCTGATGAGTGTAGGTATTCGGCGCGTATTTCTGTGCGCAGATCGTCGCGAGAAAGTTCATCGAGCTGGGTATTAAGGGCTCGATTGTTATGACGTCTAGTATGACGTCTTATCGTCCGAATCGCGTGAGTATGGTTCTACTCTAGGAGTATGATGTGTATTGACTTGTCAGGCTGCCCCCTCTGCACCGTACGGCGCTACCAAAGCCGCAGGTAAGTGGTGGCTGTTCCTCCAACCACTGCAAGGCTAACGGGTATGTTTAACTTCAGTCCGAAACATGTGTCATACCTTGGCAATGGAGTGGAGTAAACACGGCATCCGCGTGAATAGCATCTCCCCCGGTTTTGTCCGCACTGCCATGACATATTACATCGAGAGTTCTCCAGACTGGGATGCTAAAATGGAAAACTACGGCGGGATGCCTCGGCTGGCTGATCCGCGTGAGTTAGGAGGCGCGTATGTGTATCTGCTTAGCGATAGTAGTTCGTATACCACTGGTATTGATATTCCTATCGCGGGGATTGTTGGGGCTTGGTAGGTAGGATGTTTGCATTGGTTGGGTTGGCGTTGATTATCCACCACCACCACCACGATAACCTGCGGAAGCATACATACATACATACATACATACATACATACGCAAAATTACGATCTGATCAATGATGAACTCACACCAAGACAGCAGCCAAGAATAAGCTGCATGGCATTCCGCGTGCTATCTCGTATTCCCTGACCTATCGGGAAGAGAGGCAGGGATGTGACCTGCGCCTCACTTCACCAGGGTTCACTCTTCAGGAACAGGCTGAGTGCTCACGTTACTGTCATCGTATTCATGTGTATTAGGGAAACTATAACCGATTGGTTAGGGCTTTCGTATTCTCCAGGGCTCGTGTCTCATGATATGAGGTCCTAATGCCCTTTTCTCCCGCGGTGTTGATCTTCTCTTTCACCCTGACCAAGTCATCACATCATCGCTACATTCAACCCACAGTATACTCCTCCGCAGCAGTAATGGAAGACACCTCCAGACACGAGTTCCCATTCTTAGAAGAGATTTACTCCCCCGAGCAACCTAAAGTCGAGTGAGTGCTGTCCACACCACAGTACTGTCCTGAACAGTTTGTTAAATATCCTAGTTTGGTCTTCGTGCATGGTCTAAACCCCCGAGGGAAGAACGACCATCCCTTTGAAACATGGAGACACGAGAATGGGACTTTCTGGCCAAGGGACTACCTCCCCCAGGATATCCCCCAGGCCCGGATCTTTGTCTATGGGTATAACTCGACCATCACGAATCCGCAGAGCATGTCCACGGCTAGTGTCAAGGATCATGCGAATACGTTGTTGAATCTGCTGGACTTGGAGCGGAGTCCACAGTTGGTATGGGCCCATCATATTCATAATCGAGCATACTGTTTTCTAAGGCATTGCAGAATGTGCGACCGCCAAAGATCATCTTTATCGGACATAGCTTAGGCGGCTTGGTTATCAAACAGGTATGTCCTTTCATTGACAAACCCCTCAAGCTAATCAATCGCATAGGCTTTGTTGAACGCACACGAAGACCCCAAATACACCTCCATTCGCAACAACACCTGTGGGCTGGTATTCTTTGGCTGTCCGCATCGAGGCACCAAAGGGGTCGAGCTGGGCAAAATCGCTGCAAAAGTGGCCCGGTTTGTCGCCAAGGGACACGCTAGTAACGACCTCCTCGATTGTCTAGAGCACAACTCGCTATTCACCCGGCAGATGACAAGCCGATTTTCGCATCAGCTGGAGGATTATCGGGTGGTCAGCTTTGTGGAAGGCAAGGAAGTCTTCTTGGGAGGTGCCGGTCCGGCATCGGTGAGCCATGTAAGTCTCATCGAGATCTCTATCTCAACCACTGACTGACAGATTCAGTTGGTCGTAGATGAAGAATCGGCCGTGCTTGGACTCCCTGGTCAGCGGGAAACCCGGCTGAAACTCGACGCCGACCATTCACAAATGTGCAAAGTCGGCAGCCGAGGCCCGATGTACAAGTTAATCAAGGGCAACATCAAACAAATCGCCGATCAGGTGCTTATCGCCGACCAAGGGTACATTCCGCAGCCTTCCACAGCCTCTCACCCCGCGCCTCCCCTCCCCCCGCGTCTCCCAGTGAATAGCAGCATCCCATACCCCCCACCGATCACCCCCCAACCCACAACCAAGCGAGTCATCGGCGTTCTCTACACCGCAGTCGACAACGATGCGCGATCAATCCAAGCAGCAGAGCACAAGAACAACTGGCGATGGGACGAGGCTCGGAGGCTAGAGTATGCCATCTTCCAGGACCATTTGCGATCGCTCGGCCCCGACCACCACAGCACCCTGGAGATCGGCTACAATCTGGCGGAAATCGACCTCGAGTCCGGATACTTCACCAAGGCATCAGAATGGGCACAATGGGTCGCTGCTAACAGCCAGCGGGTGTTCGATAAGCGACATCCTCTCGCGATGAAGGCCGAGAGTATCATTGGGGAGATACTCTGCCATCAGGGAAAAGGCCAGGAAGCTGAATCGGTGTGTGCGAATGTGCTCGCGCGCCAGCAAATGACTATCGGAGAAGATGCCCTCGATACTCTGGACACGCGTCGCCGTCTAGCTGCCGCATATAGTGTCCTGCAACGACGGGAAGAAGCCGTACAGACGTCGGAAAAGGTTACCGAGCGTCTGCGCCAATTGTTAGGGCTTAACCATATTCGGGTCTATGCATCCATCCTCGACACCGCAGAACAAATGCTGTCATGCCGATCCAATAACACCACCGAATTGATGGTGATGCGATTCAACCCGGAGATCGACCAGCTCGTGCAGGCGATCACGCAGATCTCCTGCGAGCTGACCGAACTCCTCGGCCCCCGCCATCCTCTCAGCATTCGCAGCCTGCGCCTGCAGGGGGGGATCCAAATGCTGGAACCAAACGGCACCACAACCGCCTCGGAAACCTTCCGGCGCGCGCTAGCCAGCGCGGAGGAGTACCTTGGACCGGATCATCCCGAGACGATGAGCACCGTGGCTCTGATGGGGGTCATGTACGCGACGCAAGGGCGCAACCGCGGAATCTGGGCCCCTCACCATCAATCCAACACCGATCAGGCGACGCCATGGCTTGTCCGGTACCTCACTTGGGCGGAGAACCGCATGGGGGTGGGCTGTCCCGAGGTGCAGTCCACGCTGAACATGCTGGCCAAGTTGCACATGGAAGGGAAGAATTACGTGGAAGCGCAGGGGTATTACGAGCGGTTGGTTGCATCATACCAGCGGAGTCAGACAGCGGTGCCACAGGAGGTGCAGACCATGTTGCAGCTGTGTCGGATGAACACGCGGTATTTGATGCCGCAGCGGAGTAGTACAGGAGGACTACAGAGTTTGTTGTCGTCATTTCAACGAATGTGATTGGTTTGTTTTCATTAACGTCATAGCATAGCATGCATAAATAATTATCCAGCTCCACCCAATTCATACCCTCATTGTGAAGAAGTGTCTAGTTGGAGATCTTCTCCGGAACCTTGTGTCTATTCCCAAGCCAGTTAGCTAAGTCACCAGAAACCATGAAGCAACCTACCCAGTAGCACCCTCAAACTTGGTACGAGCGCCATCGGTAATCTTCTCGTTGGTGGAGCGCATCTTCTGCGGATCGATCTTGCCCCCACTGTACTTGGATTCCACCGAGTCGAGACCTATATGATATCAGCCCATCCCTGCCATGACGCACATGCCAGCTGGCTAGCTGCACAATCAAGCAACCCACCCTTGTCGAGGTAGTCCTCCTGCTGGCCGGAGCCACCGGCACCCTGGTCGTTGGACTTGTTTCCTCCACCGAGCTTGGAGGCCAATCCGGAAAGCTTATCCATTTTGTGTGATGTGAATAATGTAAGGGCTTTAGATGTGATGTGAGAGATGTAGAATTGTATGCCATCTAGCAAGGGATGACTGCTCTATATATGTTGTGTGCTTAGTGATAGACTCCGGGCCGTCTGTGATGTCATGACGGGGATCTGTTGGTTGCACTGGGAAATTCCTGGTAGATCGGCAGTTCCAGGTCCATGAATCGAGTGTGCAATGCATGGCATACACATGATGCTGTCACTGTCACAGCAGATAACATCACGTGCCATGACATTGTCATGACGTCAGCACAATCCGCTTATGTCAGTGCATTGACCGTGACACGTGACATATTACATCTTATCATGTAATCTATACGCGTATGTAGCACGTGACTACCAGTCCCTCGTATTCGTATCCCTTCCCTGCCATCTTTTTTTCTTTTTCGCCCACTTTTGTGCTCCGTCAACATGCCTCTCGGGGACTATTGTTTCACAGTTCCACGGCACCCCAGGTTCCAACCCTACCCTGCACAGGTGACACTGCCATAATGCTGTATCACTCTCGATCGGCATCTCCCGACGCGATGTCCTACCTCAGATACTGTGTGGGAGAGTGGATAAATCCTCGCCCACCACGCGGGCCCGACCAAACTCAGGGTGCCCAAAATTCAGCTCAGCCTGGTTGGCCCCCAAACACCTCCGAGGAGCGTGGCGCAGGGGCAATCCTGCTGCCTAGCCGATCCTGCATCGTGATGGGCTGCTGCTCGTTCCAGGGACAACAAATGGCACTAGGGGCCTCCCCTCGGCCTCTGGGCCTATCAAGGGTTCTCCAACATTCCTGCCGAACTCCGGGTCAGAGCCGCTGACTGTGTTCTGGCAATCCCTGTTGGTGGTTCTGGTGGATTGCCAAGCTGCCCAAGCCCTTCCGGACGGTCCGCGGATGTGGCTGTTCCCGATGGTTGACCTGATCCCTCAGAACTTATAAGGATTGATTCCTGTTCGATCTTTTATCCCGTCCTGCCGGTGTCTTCATCCTCCCCACCTGTCCGATCGTCGTGCCTGCCGATCATGAAGCTGCCTTTGCTCGCCGCAGCCACTGCTGGCCTTGCCAGCGCAGCCTCCATCCCTGTCGAAAAGGCTCAGGCCGAAATCGCCTCCGTCGCCGCCGACTTGATCGTTCGTGCCCTGCCTAATTCGCCTGATGGATATACTCCTGCCAACGTGACCTGTCCTTCCACACGCCCTAGCATTCGCGATGCCTCGGGGCTCTCCACCAACGAGACCGAATGGCTCAAGGTCCGTCGCAATGCGACCTTGACCCCCATGAAGGATCTCCTGAGCCGGCTCAATCTGACCGGCTTCGATACCACCTCCTACATCAACGAACACTCCAGCAACATCTCCAATATCCCTAACATTGCCATTGCTGCGTCCGGTGGTGGTTATCGCGCGCTCACCAACGGTGCCGGTGGTCTGAAGGCGTTTGACAGTCGCACGGAGAACACCACCAACTCCGGCCAGCTCGGTGGTTTGCTGCAGTCGGCCACCTACGTCGCTGGTCTGAGTGGTGGTAGCTGGCTGGTCGGATCGATGTTCGTCAACAACTTCAGCAGTATCGGCGAGCTGCAAGCCAGCGAAAAGGTCTGGCGATTCGACAAGTCCTTGCTCGTGGGGCCCAACTTCGACCACATTCAGATCGTCAGCACGGTGGAATACTGGAAAGATATCACGGAGGAGGTCGACGGCAAGTCCAATGCGGGATTCAACACGTCTTTTACCGACTACTGGGGCCGTGCGCTGTCCTACCAGCTGGTCAATGCCTCGGATGACAAGGGTGGCCCTGACTACACCTGGTCCTCCATTGCTCTGATGGATGACTTCAAGAACGGTCAGTACCCGATGCCCTTGGTTGTCGCCGATGGCCGTAACCCCGGCGAGGTCATTGTCGAGACCAATTCCACGGTCTACGAGGTCAACCCCTGGGAATTCGGCTCTTTCGACCCCAGTGTTTACGCCTTCGCCCCGCTGGAATACCTGGGTTCGCGTTTCGAGAACGGCACCGTCGCTGAGAATTCGAGCTGCGTGCGCGGCTTCGACAACGCGGGTTTTATCATGGGCTCCTCCTCCACCCTCTTCAACGAGTTCCTCCTCGACATCAACAGCACCAGCATCCCCACCATCCTGAAGGAGGCCTTTAGCGACATCCTCGAGGACCTCGGCGAGCGCAACGATGATATCGCTCTCTACTCCCCCAACCCCTTCTCGGGCTACCGGGACAGCAGCGAAGCCTACGCGACCACCAAGACCCTGGACGTCGTCGATGGCGGTGAGGACGGCGAGAACGTCCCTCTCCACCCGCTCATCCAGCCCGATCGCGACGTGGATGTCATCTTCGCCATTGACTCCTCCGCCGACACCGACTACTACTGGCCCAACGGCACCTCCCTGGTGGCCACCTACGAGCGCAGTCTCGAGCCCAGCGTCGCCAACGGCACCTCTTTCCCTGCTATCCCCGACCAGAACACCTTCGTCAACCTGGGACTCAACAGCCGCCCGACCTTCTTCGGCTGCGACCCCAAGAACATCTCCGGCAAGGCGCCATTGGTCATCTACCTGCCCAACTCGCCCTACACCTACGACTCGAACTTCTCGACCTTCAAGCTGACCTACAGCGACGAGGAGCGCGACTCGGTGATCACCAACGGCTGGAACGTAGTCACCCGCGGCAACGGCACCGTGGACTCCAAGTTCCCCTCCTGCGTCGCCTGCGCCATCCTCCAGCGCTCGACCTACCGCACCAACACCACCCTTCCCGATATCTGCACCACCTGCTTCACCGATTACTGCTGGAACGGCACAACCAACAGCACCGACCCGGGCACCTATGCCCCTAGCGTCTTGATTGCCACTAGCGCGGGTATGAAGAGCGCGCTAGATTACTCGGTCATTCTGATCGCCACCGCCGTGACGGTGTTTATGGCTGTGTAGATACCATACCCTTGTATATGTTGCATGTTGGATGTTTTCTTTTGTATGAAGGATAGCATTAGCGTGATGATGCATGTTTTTTTTCTTTTTCTTTTGATTCTTGATTTTGGATGCTATATAGTTGGCTACAACGTCTGTATAGAGCAATACATAATTTTATTCCCATATCTTATTCACAAAATATCCCCTCTTAATCTTGTTCATTACATCCTTCCCAGACTTACTTCCCAATCATCCATACATTATTAAGACTCTTAGCCCAGTCTCCCAAAAAAAATAAGAGAAAAAGTTTCCACGCCAAGACCAGAACCAAACCAGAGACCGACAGGACCGGAACCCACCGGCTGGTCTCCACTCAGCATTACAGTCATTCAGCATAAGCATAAGCCTAAACCCAAGGCTGGCTGAGCCCTAGGTAGATGAACTAGTATCTACCACTAAGCTACCAAGAACGTACTAGCCCCGCCCCGCCGGAATCAAAACACAGTAGTAGGCTAGACAAGGCTGAGGCTGAGGCTGAGTAAGAAGAAGAGGCTGGGGATTCTCTTCCGACGGTGTGAGAAATTAGTGGGAAATGGGAACTATCTGTAGATGATTGATTATTAATTAATATCAATCAGATCACGCCATTATTTTAACTGATGGGGTTGAGTGTGGTGAGGCTGTGCTGTGCTTATGGTTTATTTATTTAGGTGTTGTGCTGTGATGTGTCGTGTTTGTGGGTATTGCTGTGGTTAGTGGTTAGTGGTTAGTGGTTAGTGTTTAGTGCTTACGGGGTGCGGATGGGGTTGAGGATGGGGTTGAGGATGGAATGGGTTTAGAAGCGTTGGGGTTTGGACAAGGCTGCGGCTGCGGCTAAGAGTGACGGGTGGAGATGGGAAATTAGGGGATGGGATTGGTGGGATCGTTTATCGGCTATTTTAGGGAATGGAATGGAATAGAACCCATGCTTAGATTGGATATGATGGTGGTTCGATGATGGGGTTGTCTTGGGTGGGGGGATAGTACTTGGACTAACTAGTATAGATGGGTCCAGCCTATTGTGGCTTGTATGGAGTAGCTGATTCTGAGAGGGAGGAATGGAAGGAATGGAGGATTAGGTCTCTTTGGAGGAAGGATGGTGGTTAGTATGCCGAATGGGATGGACGGACGGGGTTAAATTCATCTTGGGTATTTCGGCGGTTATTCACGGGTGGGTAATGATTGATATTGATATAGTCCGGATGATCTGTGTTGATTTTATAAGCAGCCGGTTTGTCAACTAGACTAAAAGCCACAGCTGGGTGAAGGTCAGTCCTTGTATGTCAACAGATTCTGGTTCGGTTCGCTTGATTTGGTGGGGTATTGATTGATGGGTAAGTTTTCATGTGGTGTTTGGTGTTTGGTGTTTTGGCTGGGATATGCTATCTAGATTTTTTTTCCATTCCTTGTTGGGTAGATTCCTAGTGTTTGATAATGGTGGGTTCGTTGGAGTTATGTTTCCAGGAGGCCTGGCGTCAGCGTGGAGGCTCATGATAGAGTTCGGTATTTGTATGGGTTGAAAATTGTAGTTAGATGGATATGTTTGTTGTCTATCTAACTACACAGGTTTGTGTTGTGGATTGGGGTATGGGAATGGGCCAAAGAATTGTTAGTTTAAGAAATGGCAGCAAAAAAGGGTTTTTGCATTCAACACGCATACTCCTATGCTGGCATTCTTGCGTGATGCTATACTGCCAGACACAGAAACAGAATCAAACATCAACCCTGATTAATTCTGGAGACGATCATTGACTCCATACGAAATGGCAACCACGTATACATCTTAGGCGTGATATCTTTGATATCTGAATAATACGTCTCAAAAATCCACTCATTCCAGTCCCAATCCACCCACTCATCGTAGCTATCCATGGGCTCTCTTTCACCATCTGTAGTCCACCTCAGAATCGGGCTAATGGATGTCCCCCCGAGATAATGACTCTCCGGAATTTGTTCTGGATGAGGAGATCGGCCGATTTTTGCATGGCCGAAATCAACCAACTTGATATGCACTCTCGACGGACCCATCTCCAATCCTTCTATCAGGACATTCCGCGGATATGTATTGAAATGATCAACCCCAATCTCGTAAACACGTGACTCCACAGTGATAATTTGTTCCATGATGGCTTTCCGGACCAGTTGTGACAGGCTTTTTGGGTCCAGGGTATTCATTGTACACCCATCAACGAGCTCAATAAGTATCAGTCGTACTGTGCAATGACGGCCGTCAGGGTGAGTAAAATCCATTGAGTATGACCCATAGAAGTTGGGGATCCCGGTACTTGTCCCTCGGGCTTAGAAACGTCGATAAGCCGCCGTTTCCGTGGCATATTTTTTATAATATTATATAAGGGGGTCCACGTCATCCTAATAATGATCCCAATACGCGGGTCATAAATCTTGGCCACCACAGAGGTCGCATTTCCAGGGAGTCGACCGGAAATTACATCCACAAGGACTAACTGGGCGGATTTTCCATCGCAGACCCGGATGTGCTTGCGGATCTTGAGACGTAGGGCAACAGACCCCATCTGACCGGGAAGAGGCTCCTTGTTAAGACAGCGCGTCAAGACATCGGTGTTTTATCGCTGAAAGGATTCTTCCCAAGTAAGTAAGAAGTCTTTGATGACCCGAGGATTTGGTGGGAAATGTTCCACGACGGACATTTCAAATCCTTCAGTGTAAGGAAGAGATGGCTTTGGGATGCCATGCAATGTGTTATAATCGTCTGTGAAAGGGTCAGCCATTTTCTATTGCCTTTAAGAAAGATGTCAAGAAAAGTGGAGGTGGAGGAGCAGTCAGAGAAAGATGTGATAGTAGTCATCTAGATGAGTCTATACTGGATTGGGGGGGAAGTTGGGTTATGTATGCCCCTGTACCCAGTTATACGCTGACGTACTCTATCCTACTCCCAGATATCCCCTGCATATACCTAGTTTAGGTCAGTGTTCTGATAATACATGATATTATCCTACATTATCACACATTGCCACACATTGCCATACATTGTCACACATTGTCACTCATTGTCACTCATTGTCATACATTCTCACTAACTTCTACTCATTTTTAATTTTTCACCATGATTTCCACATATATCAACAAACCTTCTACAATTTTCTAGCTTCAACTGACATTTCTACATATTTGCAGAACTACACCACTATGAATACTATATCATCCTCCTCCCTTGGACATATATATATGTTGACATGGAACAAAATGTTTATAGTATTAAACACAAGTCAGATTCAATTTTCATGAAACTGGTGCTTTTCAATATGACTGAGAAATCTCTTCATGAAGCCATTTTCTCCCCCCTCCCGCCTTTGGCGGTGCATAAGGACGCAGTCTACAGGCGTGTAACTGTGAACAACACAACTACCAGAGTGGAAGCCTTTCGGGCTCTCAAGAAAGAAGACGCCGAAATCCTTATGAAATTAGGCTGCGACTTGCTTGAGGACAAGAAGGAGGACAATAAGAAGAGCAAGAAGAAGAAGGAGGAGAATAAGCTGAGTGGAACCGCGATCAAGCAGCTACCAGGCACCCTGAAAAGCGAAGCAGATGCCATGACAGCAAGCATTCTGTACTTCCTCCATCATATCAATTTGGTTATAAACCAAAAGCTACAGAACGGGCACATCAAAACATCTCTTGAGTCGTCCAAGTCCGCTATGAGAACCGATTATATTTGGAACTTCTACCCTAAAACTGGCAACCCTTTCCCAGTTGCTGTGCTCGAAATAAAAGCCCCCAATCTTTTAAAAGGGACGGAATTCGCCGAAGCCATAGCCGATACCGGGGATAGGAATAAAGTGGATCGCGCATCAGGAGACAGAAGTAGCACACTGTTACTATACAACGCTCGGGAATTCACCCAGCAGTTAAGACGATATCTCAAGAAACACAATGTTCAAGATAGAGCTATCATTGATTGGAATTACCTTGCCATCATAGACACTGATGGGCTGCTAGAGGACCACCAGAATCCTGTCCTGGCGAGGCTTGCTTGGTTTGACCGGAGTAGAGAGATTCAAGGTGATAAAAGTATTCATCTCATGATGCTAGGATTTCTCTACCGCGCCTTGAACCGACCCCGCACAGCGAATCCGGAGCTCACAAGACCACAGTTCTCTTGATGCCTGTGCCATGTCTGCATGGTGTGACTGTTCGCCTTTGCCTTTTCTCCCTTTTCTTATCGAGTTTCTGAAATTTGCCTTTGTATCCCGTCTCATTCAACATTGGGAAGGCTGGTCGCAGGTCATTCATGACTCAACTTCATGACTTACCCGCTGTGGCTCTGATATTGCGTTTGCACGTTCTGCCGCGTACATTGTCTTGTTGATTAGTTTATACCCAGTCACTACTAAGGCCGGACTTTAGAAGGCCTTTCTATGTCAAAAGTGCTGGTAGTATATAAGCAATGAAACCGTTTCGATGCATACTCATTTATTCCGGACCAAATTGAGGACTCCACGTCAACCAAGCACGCTTTGCAGAAGTCAAACCATCAACATTAGAGCTCCAAAGGCCTCCGCTCTGCTGAGAGCATGTGTTAATGCATAGATAAGCTATCTATATTGTCTTGTGATTCAGCCCACCCTCATAACGTCCCATGACCACCAGGATGCTTCCTTGATGCTCTACTAAACCAATTTGCAGTGCTACTTAGAAGCTAATTGAACAACTGTAAATAGTTCCGAGATAAGGATTGGCCAGCCATGCTTGCCAAGCAATACTCATTCCCGCTGAGTCTTCAAGTTCATTGTTTCCGTAGATTGCCCCGAAGAAGACGTATTATGTTCGCTCAATCCTAGGCTCAATGATGATAGATCAATCAGAGATCCTATCATCTACTTGCATTACAGTGTAAGGCCTAAGTGATAAAAAGCACTCAAGGTTGTAATCTCCTAGAGGCCCCGACGCCTCGGGGGTCTGCCCATGGATCGTGGGAACCGACACAGAAGCTCCTAACTGGACCAAAAAAGATATCCTCAGCCGGGGGAAGAGCTCCAAAGGTAGATCGATCCCAATATGTAATACCAGCCAATTGTGACGCACTTACACATATAGCAAGTGGTTGAACACGTTTATTCGTAGAAAGATCAGATTGACATGACCGTTAAACTTCATCTGATTTCATGATAGGTCTCACCCGGGTCCCAAGTCTTTGCAAGCCGTGGGTAGGGATTTACTTCCCTTTCTTGGATTATTCCGTATGTCTCAATAAACTTGGATCACAATTGTAACGCTTTAATGTGTCTGATTGTATTGATTAACATGGTACTATATCAGCATTCACTGTCTTTAACATTGGTATTCGACGGAGCAGCCTAGAGATCCCTAGGTTGTGGTTGATATCGGAAATATCTATCTGCTATGCTAAGGCTCTTTATTGATGGGCTGGTGGAACACTTCCCAAATCGGCGTTGAAATAAGGCGTTTCTCAATAAGCGCCTGACAAGCTTCGAGAGATAGTTCTATCCTCGCGCTTTTACCACCCAGGTCAAGATTGATAGCTGGTAAAGGGCGGCCAGAGGGATAACATGTCAATGTCAGATCTGAACACCCAGCCTCGGCTTGTATAAAGCTCAGAAGATCATCAACCGTGAGATCGATATTTGTAGGAGGTGAAGAAGGTCCTATGTTGCTGTAGGAATACAAGTTAGCCATCTGTGAGCCCATTCAGTCTTGAAGATCATACCCTGAGAATAACAAAAAGACGTCCCAATTATTCTCTTCCCAACGTTTAGCCGTGCATGATAGACCAAAAGGATGTTCCACACCCCTCCACCACTTGCGCATCTCTGCAAGAGCTCCAGTTGGGCAAAGTGATCCCAGCTTCGTCACACTCATACCAAGAGCGCAGAGAAGAAATACCTCGGATCCTAAGGCTTCATCTTTATAGACCATCTGCAGCAATGATCGGGCTCTGATATTCGTCCATGTTCTGGATCCCGCATCCGCAACCCTCCATAGCCGCAGACAGCAATCGAGGCGTTTTATCTGTGGATCAATAAGGCCATCATCTATCTCACTGAAAAGGTTTCTTTGGAACTCCAGAGCACCAGAGAGCGTACAAGGTGCATTCTTTTCTTGTCTTATCGGCATTGGAATGTTTCAGGTCTGAGCTGACTACATATGGTACGTACGCGACAAGCAGATGATATTGACATGTAATGCCACTCGAGAGGGAAAGGATGGATCAACAGTATGTCTTCGAATAGTTCAACCAAGCCTTAAGTGTTGGGATTGGGCAAGAAATGAAGTCGATCTGGCATGTCAAAATGCTTCCGGCTATTGGCTTCTTTATATGGATTGCAAAGTCTTAATGCTCTCTTACATAAGAACTCCGTAGTCTAACGTGCTTTGGTATAGAATGCCCTCGCTCTCTCACCACTGCATATCTTTTGAGGATTTTGAGCTGTCTTGCAATATTCTGACACAGAGCGGCGGGGCCCATGGAACCTGAAATCCCAATACAGAGTCTTTGCCTTGAGAACTGACATAATGAGATGATTTGTGACCAGTGCTCGTGGAATAATATAAAGCATACCCTCTCCCCCCCCGCATATTCCTTCCGTAATACCCCGCCGGATACGTCTCCGTCACAAGCTTATGATAGAGTAGCTATGGTTCTATTAACGGAGGTTGAGATACAACTCGCAGTCTGGCTCACTGCCACCATGCTTCTGTTTATTTCAGTGACCATATCGCTCCTTATTTACAAGGCAGTTTTGGAGTCGCCAGAAGATAGGGCTGACTCATTTTTGGTCTAGCAATTCTGCAACTGCTTGGATATGTAAGTAGTATCAGCGATAAAAGTGTTTACGCAATCCCTTTCTAACTATTTAGCGTATACAAATATAGTCAGTGGGAGAGAAACATGTATTAGAATAAACGGCCCGCTTTAAAGTAACAAGATAAATGAGATTTACCTACCAGGCTATCGAGGCTGGGTGATCATGTCCTAGGGAATTTCTGGGACGGCCGCCATAGACAATAACAGATAGTGAAAATACATATACAATGCCGAGCAATTTCGGAGGGCCAATATAAAAGAGTGGACGCTGGGATGAGATTGTTAAGCAAGTCCTGATGTGTAGTGTCCGGAATTATGATGATCTCTTGCTTCCCGGATAGAAATCGGTCGAGCTATTGAAATAGTACTTGCTGTTTGGTGTAGTATCTTCCAGACGAATAAGACAGACATCTCAAGCTCACAATTGAAGACAGTGCTATAAAACCAGTAATGCTTTAACTCAAATTACTCTCCGAGCACTCATCGCAGATCCAAGTATCCCAACTGCTGTTGTCCTGATATGCCATCACGGAATTAGGCATAGTGGGTAAGTTAGATAGGAAAACATCTTCCAAATAGTAGTTACTGGGAGACTGGTCTACGTTCAATCCTGGAGCGAAATTTGTGGGTGAATCAATAAGAGTTGCTTGCAGATCAACAGGTAACTTTGCGCCCGACTGAAGGTTTAGACTGTCGACCAGACCTATGACCCCAGAGATTACTATCTAGGCTGACCGACAATTGCTGTAGAAGAAGGGATACTTACATCCGTAACAGGTAAAGCAACGACCGTTGGGATTGAGAGAATATATTACAATGTTCGGCTCAAGGTGTTGCTGAGTGCGATAGAGAATGTCGAATACAGAGATAGAATCCATTGACATCATCTCGTTTAGGGCTCTTGCAAGGTTGGCTGCAATCTGGAACTGGTTAGATGAGTTAATGAGTACTTTCTTTGTAAACCTGTACTCACACGAGTAACCTCATTGTCATCGTACATCTGGAGGTAAGTGGCATTGGTGGGTGACTCCTCCTGCCAGCCATCTATATGGGAATTCATGTTGTGTTACTGAAGGGCTCAGAGTACGATTGAAAGAGGTGTGATGAATGAAAGGTATTTGGCCATTTACTGGGTCTGAGCTTTGGATAAATACAGAAGCTGGATAAATGGAGCTGACCACGTGTTTTGTAGTGTTCCGAATTCCGACAGTATCCATACGCAAGACAGGCCAAAGGTTATTTCGGTCTAGCACGTGGTCTGTTTAGACCTATAAAGGCATGACCATGGATTGGGCTGGCACGGTAAATTCCTCCTAAAACTGATGTTTACCACCAACCCAGTGGACCGTATACGATCCTGTAACCATGCTGTGTTGGTCTTTATACGGGTCTGAAATTCACTTCATAAGTAAATAGAGACACCAAGTGAATATATAAGATCTATTTGTCCACATATGCTTTCACCGTGTCAACCTATAATATTCCCGAGGTTCCGACCCAACTTCACGTACACAGAGCGATAGGATTTCATATAAATTATGACTCTGCATACGACTCGCAATCAAATAGATCGATTTAAAGACATTTGAGCATGTCTCCAACACAACTTGAATTTATGGTAGTGGGAGAAAGGGGTTCGGGGAAAACCTCCCTGCTTAGGTATGACTAGGTACTGCTTGAAGGTAACATCTCTAAATAGACCTATAGAGCATATATGCGGAAAGAATTCCTCAAGGTCAGCAGTGCCAGGTTTTCAGATTATATCCTGATCTAACGATCACATTAGGAGCCCCAGCCAACTGTCTATGACAGTCATCTGGCTAATGTCAAAGTGAATGGGAAGGATGTGAAACTAAAACTTGTCGATACTCCTGGAAATCCCACCTTTCGTATTCTTCGTTCCCTTACTACGGTAATGCTGATGCTATCATCCTTTGCTTTGCTATTAATGACAGAGATTCATTCAAACGCATTGAGGGTGAGGTAAGGGTGTTGATCTCCCTCACTGGATAGGCTCTACAGACATATGGCATGGGGACAGCGACGGTCTCTGTGAACTTGCACTAATGAATGTAGTGGATCACAGAGATTAGGTCCTTTTGTATGAATACTCCTCTCGTCCTTGTCGGATGCAAAATGGACATGCGCCATAACCCGTTGGAGGATTGTATCGGGATTGAAACAGTGAGTTTTATGCCTCTGCTAGATGAAAGCTCACATTGATGGCATAGGCATGTGCGTTACAGAAGCAGATAGGAGCGTATACATATCTTGAATGCTCCGCGCGCGAACAGTCAAATGTGGATGAGGTATTCAACCATGCTGTTCGGTCCAGCATAAGAAAGAAAAGAAGGGTCAGTGGACAATGCGAGGTACTTTAGCTACGCTTGGCTTTTGTGGGAACATAACACAATGGAAATCCTTCATCTTAAACTTAAATATCTGCTAGCGGTGGTAGCAACTCACAAAGGCCCAGCAAGATATTTTTAGTGAGACAATTATATTATTGACCTAAAGTCCTCTGGAATGCACAAGATGACCAATTTAAGGATTCAGTCCTCATCTTAGACGCGGTAATATCGCACTGCTATGTACGGCCTCAGTCAGCTCAGCGCAATCCATCAATGTAACAGAGACAGCAGTAAAAGATTTCATACCCCTAGACAAGAAATTTGCAACATTTACAGTAGCTTGGCAACTATAGCCAAGACTTCTAGCTCTTCAGACTTTACATTGGGTCAGCTGAGCATATTTCGGTGACTACAGGCGACATTCCGCGTCATGAAGAGCGCATAACTTCAAGTCCTCCCCACGTGCCTCATATTGAATGGATATGAACTTAATGGAACGGAAAGAAGTGCTCATTGAGCTACGAGAAAAAAAGTGTAAGAGCGAGTAGAGCCTAGACTACATCCGAAATTTCCGAAGTCTTCTGGCATGCTTCCTCCTCATACGGACCCGGAAGCCACCCTGCCGGATACCCAAACAAAGCCTGGTTGTAGCGAAGATTATTGCGACATTTTCGATATCCCTCCTTGTCCTGTACAGCTAGACAGTCTTCCAACTTTTGGTAGGCTATGATGGTCTCATCAGGTCGGAGGTACCCAATGTCAGATGCGCCATTTCCATGCATTTTGTGTAGGCGACCAAGCCGTCTGTTGAAAACACATGCAGCGCTTTCGAAAAGTATCTCAGTATCCTCAATTGTGTCTGTGTCTGTATCCGTTTTCCGTAGCTCCCAGATAATTTGCAGAAGAGCCTCGGGAGCTTTTCTGTCGATGAGCTCCCAATAATGGGTATGGTAGGGTTGGTAATCAGAGCCGAGGACCGGTGGTCGACGTGACCCTTCTAGAGGATAGCAGCGTAGTCGACAGAAGTCTGGTAAATGGGACCATAAGTTCCGGTTTTTCCATGCGTGTAGGAAAATATCGATGTCCACAATTCCAAGGTCCGGGGCCAGGTTTTTCTCGATGTTCAATTGACGGGTTTCTTCATTGAGTGAATCGAGAGCATCCAATAGTCCACGCATGTGGGTACTCTCATCCTGAATGGTACCAAACAAGCTGATCCAATATAGCTGAATAAGTAAGGTGCTTGCATATTGGTGTTGGATTCGATGAAAGCGTCTGAGAGGGAAGTCCGCCGTCGAGGGCCGGCAAAGCAATCGAATGCCATTGGGTTCGGCCTCCGCCATATGATATGCAGTATCAAGAGTTGATGGCTTCGTAAAGGTGTGTAATGGAATTTTATTCGAAGTCCAAAATCATACAAAAAACTGAAACACTTCAATGTATCTTCCACGAGGAAGGTACCCATATATCTATAGTGACGGTTAAAAGTGACAGTAACAAAAAGCACACTAAGATTGAACACTATCTCCGCTTCCATAAATTTTCTGCTGGTCAGAGCCGGTATCATAGTGGGGTTATTTTATGACCATCCAGATGGCGGCGCCTACTTTGCGCACAAACATGATAGAAGGGGGTCTCGGGGGAAACGTGCACATCTCTTATGTTCTAGACCCTCACCTACAAGGACAATTTTGAAATATGGGTCATCATAAACCGCATTGAAAGGCGTTGTGACCCACTTCATTCGCTTTCCGCCCACCTGTTCAAGCAATGCTTATCTGCGTATTCCAAAGGCCACTACTAACGTTGTGTATATCACTAAACCTCAGTGATGAATTTCATCGTATTGGCTTCTTGATTAATCATGGGGCAAGACAAGATCACCGCTTCTACACACACAGCTAGGACTGGAGCAGCATGTAGCTGCTAAGCCTGTTCTCATATAGAAATCTGGAATAAGTCATCATGCTGTGTATAATAAATCAGATAAATGTGGCTTCATCTTCAACTACCCCTTTCAGCAGACCCAAGCCCCGATCAGCATCATTTGAAGTCGGGGGGAATTACGGGTGTAAATCAGCACGACATAAGGACTGATATAAAATCTCAACCATCGAGCGATTACTTTGGTCAACATGTCACAATATACAAGATGATAGTGAAATGCATCTCATAAAGTCATAGGCTTCTCCTACCATGCCCATGCAAGGCTTCCTACCGACTTGCTAGCGGTATAACTACCAATCCTTCTTAAGGTCCTTCACCCCTTGGTTTATAACTTCGTCGCCGTGAAGTTGTAGTGGCCACTCTAGCGATTCTCGCTGTCGTTTTCCAAAGGGAAGTTCTTGTCCAGAAGTACGGTTATCTCTGTGCCTGTTTGAGAGTCTCGGCACACAAGTAATGCCACTACTATGCCATCCGCGTCCACACCTACCGCTGTCTTTAAGGTTAGTTCACTGTTGACAGAGGGCCAAGAGCGCAGAGTCGTAAGATTAAATGCTCCGATAGCTTCGGTACCACTTTCATCACCTTCAAAGACTCTGAGATATCGCGGTAGGTATCGACTAAGCCTTCAGTCTAGCGAAGAGTATAGTAAGGCGTTGCTCATCCAACGGAGGTGGCGTGAAGCTTGGTGCATAGGTTCGATCCATCTCATTAAGGCCATCGGCTGGAGGATTTGTCGATTCCAATTCCTGGTCCTGAATAAGCGAAAAAGTTGGAATCCTCTTACGGCCTTGGGCGTCGGGAACGACATGCACCCTGTGATGTTGTAAGGCAGGAACGGATGAGTACATGACTCCAACGTCAATACCTGGTATTTGTTAGAGATTTTGGTGGTTGATTGAATGGTATGGACTTACCAATGGGGGTTAGCATTCTTAGGAGATGTCATATGAGGTGTATGATACTGGCAGCTATGTATGTGAAAGAAAGTTTGCTATCCAAAGTGACTTGGTGAGCTTGGAGGGTACGTTTCGACAATACGAGAGTATTAAGGCCTATAGTGGTTTAAATACACCATGCATTACCGCAGAGAGAAATTTATAACATGTGTGGCAGCATCAATACATTTTCCAACGTTACCAACAAGCATTGTAGGTGTAGGCCATATCTACGGTGCAAACCCTCGAGGCATCCTACCACCCATTTTGATTACTATAATGCATTCATGACACAACGGATTCTCTGGGGATATTGAGGGTACTAGCTTTCCACTACAGCCCCCCCACGGAATATGACAAACCATCGGCCGAGTGCGGAATACCATCACCGAGTATCCATTCTCTGGGTATACCCACGGGGGTATGCTGGTTCCGCATACCCAGGAACGCCCAAAGTAGGTTAGTTGCGCACGGGGATCTTGCCGGCGAGATCATACCCACGAGGGTAGATAACTATCTACATTGACATGCCCTCTCGGGTATGCTGGTTGCTGGCTGGTAGGGTCCCAGTTGCGAGGGGGTCAGAAATTAGTGTGAGGGTGTCAGAGAATTCCTGACACTGGATGAGCTCCATGTGAAAAGATGATCCGGTGTTAGCTATTGAATTCCTAATATCAGACGAGGTTTTCACGTGACTGAGCTTATCCAGTGTTAAGAATTTCTATTAAATTTATAATACTGGATAAGCTTTATTATATAGAGATAATCTTTTTGTAAGTAATAAAGTTGCAGATCTATATAATCTCAGGAATTAAACTCTTGTAATTATATTTAAATATAATATAGTATATCTCCACACTTGTTAGAAATAGAGTAAGTAGACTGGTTTAAATATTATGTTGGGATCCCCGATGGGCTCCCACGCCGGTAGGCAACGTAGGGTCACGTGACACTCCTCCCTACACCGCTAGTTAGTCCATATAGATGGCCTACGAGGCCCCTAGCTAGATCATCATCCATCTCATTCTACACGGTTGAATCGCCTTAGTAGCCACTCCAACATATTATAATTATTACCATCATATTACAAAAAGTTTATAAGGTGTTGATGTTTGTTTATAGTATAGATTATGTTTGTATTGATTATAGTAGGTCTTGAAATTAAATATTAATAGAAAATATATGTTTTTACTATCCTATATCTTTTTTATTCATATTTTTCTTAATATATTTTCTTCTATCTTTTTCTATTTTTTCTACTGTATTAATACACAGTTCAAACTTTTTACAAACTTCAATGAGACTCTATCAAGATGGTTGAGTATTTAAGTTTAAATCTAGATAAAGTTAAAAATATATAATATAAACCTCCGGTTTATAATCCAAATATAATATTAGTAAATAATAAAGAAGATAAGAATAATATTTTTAAGACTCTGGCTATTACTACATTTTTAATTAAGTTTAAACTAAGAAATCATAATATTTATATGTTACTGATTTTAAAAACATATCAGTATCCTACTTATATTAATACCTGGAGCGGTAATATTATAACTATATATTAAAACTATTTTCTCAGTTTAAATTAAACTAAAAGTTAGCTTGTTATTTAGAATGTAACCACACTTATTCAGCTCCAGACTGGATTTTCTTCTGGATTAATTACTTGCGGTTCTAATATTTACTATAACTTAAATATAAATAATACAGAAAGAAAACAGGATTTAAACTTTAATAGTAATCCAGGCAGAGCAGCTACTAATCTATTTGTAATCTTTAACTAATTCAGTTTAAACTCTCCTGCAACCATCTTAAAATTTATTATATTAAGAATTTAAGAATATATTAATCTTGATATTAATAATATAGCTAGTCCATTACAGTTTAACTGATATTAGAATAAGTCTTTAATTTTTACATGAATAATACCGAGTTTAAATTAATATTAAGATTAATAAGATTAATCTTATCTTGGAGATTGGCTCTTTCTGAGAGAGAGATTATATATATAATAATAAATTCTAGCTGGGATAGTAATAAGATAGCTTTAAACTAGTATCACAGCGGAGTGTAAATCGTTTTTTAATAATATTAAGTTTAAATTTAATAAAATAAATACTGGATTGAATTAAAAGAAAAGTATATTTATAATTTTCAAACCCTAGGATCGCTTCCCTTGTTCCTGTTAGCTTAGCTTCACTGGTATACGTACCTTCGAACTGAATCGAGGATGTATCAGGCTGATGAATATCTAGGAATAACTGGTCTTGAACAAGAGAAGAGAAGTAAGGCTGAATAGTGCCGCGCAGCTATCCGTAAGTGAGTGCGGACGAGTGTTGTTACTAAGCTTCCAAACTTATGGTTACTTAAAGACAGTGTTATTGAGCATGAAGAACAGAACTAGCTAAGTACATGAAAGAGTGTCCTTATATATCCTATCCTTCATATACCAAGTTGTATACCCTTCCGTATACTGTATACTATATACCATATACCCGTTAATATACCATCTCATATACCCGTGGTCACGTGATGCGTAGCTGTTCCGGGTGTTGGTTACTCAAACCGAGATTCTACCCGATAAGAGTCGCTGATAGTCCGGACGTTGCCTTCTGCCTGACGAGTCCGCCTTACTAGTAGCTTTAACTAGCAGGGGTCCGTAACAATTAACTTTATTAAATACTTAAGATTCATTATTAAAATATGGACTGGAATCTGTATAGACTTTACTAAAATCTAGATTATAAAAAACTAAAAAGTGTTACAGACCCCTGCTAGCTGAACAAACTAGTAAGGCGGATACGTTAGGCAGAAGGCCACGTCCGGAAGGCAAGGACTCTTATCGAGTAGAATCCCGATCAGAGCAACCTACAAACCGGGACGGTTACACAACACGTGACCACGACGGACATGTCACCGACACGCTATAACATGGCAGCGCTACGACAGGACATGGCAGCGCTACGACAGGACATGGCAGCGCTACGACATAACATATCGGCGACATGACATATCATGGCGACGCCATGACGAAGGATAGGATATAAGGACACTCTTTCATGTACTTAGCTAGTTCTGTTCTTCGTGCTCAATCCAATTGTCTTTAAGTAACCATACGTTTGGTAAAGCTTAGCGACAACACTCGTCCGCACTTACTTACGGATAGCTGCGCGGCACTATCTGGCCTTACTTCTCTTCTTCTGTTCAGATCAAGTCACCTTTAGATAGTCAACAACCTGACTACCTTTGATTCAGTTCACAAGGTACGTATCGGAACGGGAGCTAAGCTAACAGGAACAGGGAGAAGCGATCCTAGGGTTTGACAATGAAGTTCTGGCTGATCTTTCCGTACGGCATGCAGCCAGTGTTGATCAGGGTATTTATAAAATGAATTCTATTAACTAACTCTAGTATAGAGAAGGTGTAATAATCTTCAAATCTCTGTACTTTATTTTTAAACTTCTTATAACTATAATCCACTAGTAAACACTTTCTTAAATAATTATCTAAAAAAGCTATATTTTTTTAAAGAGATCTGTAAAATTACTAAAACTTTCTAGCTAACTTCTTTTACAGGATCTTTCTTAAATAAGACCTGAAAATTCTTATTCTCTAGACTTTTTTTATTTAAAAAACATTATTAAAACAAATAAAAATACTTAATAATATGATAATCTAAGGTTTTATAGTAGAGACACAGTCTCTACTTTTTACACTAGTTCAGGGTCTCCTTTAACATCTACTAGACTTATTAGACAGGTTCAGTACTGGCTGCAGTTAGTTTCCAGTTTATAATACTATCCAAGCTTATCTTCGTAATAAAGTTACTTATCTAAATATTGAAGTATCTAGGCTACTTTAAGAGTTGGTTAATCTCTATCAGTTCATCTATTACTTAATCTGTTAATAAAAGCCTTCAAAGTCAGTCTTTTATTTAATATCTATCATTTATTAATAAATATTATCATTCAGGGCTTAATACAGAAGGTTCTTTTTATTTATATTCTTCTAATTATAATCACTAGTCTTGATTAATAAGCTGTTAATATTTACAAGATTATTAACTGTTTAGTTTTCTTAATAAAATATAGACAGCTTACTGATAATTTTCTTTTAATAAATAAGATTCTTATAAATTAACTTAAGATAATTAATCAAAATTATGATTAGGGGGATAAGACTTTTTTATTTAGCCTCAATCTAGAGATTAATCTTTATCTTGGCTTCTCTGTCCAGGAGCATAAATATATATTAAATCTATTTAACTAGCAATTTAATAAACTATTAATTAATCCTAATTTTCACTTATATATTATTAAACTGACTTGGGAACTTGCTCTTGTCTTTTCTATTGAAACTAATAGAGATTAATAGCTTAGACTTCTTTATCTTAACTGATTTCTGGAAGGATATTAGTACCGGTACAGGGACTAATATAATAAATATTTAAGAAAGTGAAAATCAGTTACCACTAAACTGCTTAATTTATTAGATACTAGCTTAAATCTTATTATCTATTATAAAATCCTGTTAAAAGAGGGCATGCTGTATCTGAGCACTCTAAAGAATCAATTCTTTAATTTTTTTAATCAACTATTTTATGATATTATTACAAAAAGTACTATTAGATTGGCTTACTAAATCTATTAATATATTATGATTATAATACATGGTTAATACCGGTTCAATAAATAATTCTTAAAGAAATAGAATTCAAAATGTGGCAGGCTCGAGAGTCTAAGAACTACTTAAAATATATAAAGATAAGTAGAAGTCAAATTCTTTAGAAAGCTATCTAACTACAGGTTAAATAGTTCTTCTTATAGCTGATCTCTCTTGAAGACTTCCCGTACAGCGTCAAGAAGTCTCTATATCTTTCAGCCGGTTCCTCTGTAGCTTCAGGGAGCTCCTCGGGTTTCTCCTTTTCTATTGGATGGTTCCTGTACTTCTTCGGGTGTCGTCGATTTAGAGTTGTGGGGCCAGACGGGCCGGAACATAAAATGTTCCGGTTCCGGATGGCTGACAGGGTCTAACAACCCCTTTCACTAATCCCGGCGAGAATGATGCCGATGCGCATGCAGACTTGCTTTTAGTTTACATCAACCAAAGAGAGAAACCATTCCACTCACTCGTTTACACATCCAGAAAAAATATCTCCCAATTGCTTGTCTTCGTGATTGTATGTATGTATATATATATAATGAAGAAAAAAAAAAGAACCAGGCCCGAGCCGCGGATCGAACGCGGGACCTCTCGCAGATATGCTTGGGTTTGTAGGCGAGATGCCATCCCTAAGCGAGAATCATACCACTAGACCACCCGGGCTTGTTATGTGTGACGCCATTAGGTAACCGGTATTGCAGAATGAGCAAGGATATCTGCTCGAACAGTAACCCGAACTTGTATTGAAAAAGGTATCTGCCACCACGGCAGGCCATCCCAGAAGCTGTAAACCCGTAACTTAAGTCTGACCATCGATCCCAGATTTCCAGGTCGAATCCCTCTCCATCTCTCCATTGTGCGTGGCAGGTTCTGTTAATGCTGGGTTTGAATGGGGCACAGGGCTAGTCATGGATTGGTTTGTCCCTCAATTCCTCGATGTGATTCCGCATAGTCTGAAGATTGAGTCGACCGTGAAAGATTATTTATATATGAGGCTTTCAATGTGTCCAGCTGCATCGAAGAGTTAGCTCAACTGCTGGAGAATTTCCGCCAGGTCGTACATAGTCCGTGCCGTATCTATATCCCAGGCGTCATCCTCGACGCAAAGCAATGTCATGGCTTTGATGATCGCCAGGGCAAGGTGGATAATGAAGACAATAGTAAGAGATGGATAGCACCAGGCAGGAATGAGGCAATGCGTCGTAGAGATCACGGGTGCTTTTTAGATAATTCCACAATTCACGGTATTGTATATTATTGGGCTCAATTGTTCCGCCTGACACTGTATTTCAATGGTTTGAATAAGCGCATGTGAACTGCGGTGTAGTGGATCAGCATCAGATCTAGTAGCATCAGCGGCGTCTTCATATGATGAGAATATATAAAGTAGGATTGGACTTTAGACGATGTGGTAGTTGATGGATGAATTTGTCCAACTCATTGCGGACAGGAGCAATGGCGATAGAGTGGACGTGCTCAAGAGGCTTCATGTTTGTATTATCAATCATCTTCCAGAGGTACTATTTGCTGTCACTGCACAAGGTTCACTAGCAGTGAATGTCAGATATTCTTAGTCATCTAGTAGTTGCTCGCAGCACCGATCGGAGTGTGCTGTGTATTCTTGTCTAGTTCGTTTGACCAGGGGGGTACAGCGTTCAATAGGCGTGGTGAGCTATATCGTGTAGAAAAGGGGAATATGGAGGATGCAGTGGGTGAAAGTTGTTATAATCAAACATTATTTTCACAGAATTAGTCCGTGTCCCTGAGATTGACAATGAGTCGGGTATGAGAAACGGTTCGGGCTCTGAAAGGACTCCACGGATGTCATTTTCATATGAAACGACCAGAGGGAATCGGCATCTTGGCCAATCCTGGCATCACGGTGGAAACCTCTCACATTGTAGATTGTCTGAGAGTTATATAGACTGGAAGTGCTTATCTTAAGAAGTGGCACAGACCTCTTGGACAAGTCATCTGAGTGACATCGCATACTAAGTGGAATGAGCCGTCTGACACTAAGTCTTAGTCTCTCCTAATCCCGCCACTCTCATTGGAAGTAATCGGATGCTTATCTATCTAATATAAGCCACTAGCTGCAAGGCTATAGGCAGCACCGAAAGGAGAGCAGCATGATTGGACACCCCATTGATCTACATAACACTACTATGGTCTAATCCTACCCCACCTCATATGAGATAAATACCCCGAACCCACCCCCCCCTGACCGAAATATCCAACCAACATGTCCACCCCCTCCACCCCCTGGCAATCAGGCACCCACGCCGCCCTGGTCCCCCTCAGCACGCATTCCCTCTACCTCTCCGCCTCCGGCCCCAACCGCCCCCTCACCAGCACCGGCAACCTCCAACCCGCCATCATCATCGAAGCCGGTCTCTGCAGCGGCCATTCCGAATGGGTCGCTGCTAGTCGACTAATTTCCCAACGCGCCCGAGTCTACAGCTACGACCGGGTAGGCTACGGACGCAGCGAGCCGTCCCCACACGAATACACCGCCGAAAACGGCGTCCGAGAATGGGTTTCAGACAGTCCAAATCTAGCTGGACTTTCTTTTCTCGGGCATTTCCAACTTTCTTTATTCGCGGTTGCATGATTGTCATTCACCCTCCTAAAGCCAGTATTATCTGCTATCAGCGATAGCGCTATCATACCCCTGGCAACTAAAATTAGCCCTAACAACACTTGTGCATGTCTACGACCATTCAGCGTACCAATATCTGTCAGGCTCCTACACAGCAACCCTCTCCAACAGATCCTCAACCGTCTCCACCAGTGTATCCTCCAGATCCCGATATTCTAACCCGAGCACCTTCTGCGCCTTTCCACCATCCGCAATGTATGTCTCGACGACAGCAGCATCACCAGAACATCCGGGAATCTTATCCGCCAGCTGCGGAAACCTTCTCCGGAGAATCGCACACGCATCCTGGTACAGGAACCGACCACCTGCCACGAGAAACCGTTCCCCACCAGCCTCCGGGCGGACATACGCCTCGTAATGCGCAGCCGCTGCATCGTGGACATTGGCGAACGCGATGTAATCATAGTCCGGGATGGATGTAAGGGATCCGTTGACCAGCCTCCAGATCGCCTCGGACGACTCATTTAGTCCGTTTTTGCCAGGGCTCGGGGCTCCCACTGAAGGGCCGAAGATCCAGGGCGGGCAGATGGCTACGACGTCGAAATTAGGAGAGTGCGCATCAACCCACTCCCATAGCTGGCGCTCGGCCAGGGCCTTAGAGGCACAGTAGACAAAACTCGCGTCGGTCGATGCCTTGGCCTCGTCATAGCTGCACGGGTTCCAGTCCGCCTCGGTGTATCGGTAGCCGGGACGGAGACCCTGGCTGATGTCGACAATTGCGGCGAAGGAGGAGGTAAAAACGAGGCGACGGACCTCGGGCCCTTGGGCAGCGACCGCGGTCAGTATGTTGAGGGTCCCTTGGATGGCGGGCTGGAGGAGGTCGGTCTCATTGTCGGTCACCTTTAGGGTGAAAGGGCTGGCGGTGTGTATGACGCCCGTGACTCCCTCGACGGCCTTGTCGAAGGCACCCGATGCCGCCATGTCAGGCACAACGGCAAAAGACAGCCGCTCCACATGTTCGGGAGCGAAGCGGGATTGAACCGTCTCGGCGGTGGACCCGGACCGGACGGTGCCCCGGACTCGGTATCCCGCTGCCAAAAAGGTGGCGATGATGTGCGAGGCCACAAAGCCTGAGGCACCGGTCACGAGAATGGTTTCGTCGGCCATTTTCACTGATTTGCAGCGATAGATTCCAGGAAGACAGGCTGAGCCGACTCCAGTCGTATTATAACAGCACAGGTCGCTGACACAACGCGGGTGCCGGCCACCCCGCCTGTGACACTCGGATCCCGAATACGAGATGCATTTGTCCAACAAAGAACACGAATGGTTGTGACGTCGGCAATGATGATGGACTGGTCCAGCCACCCCTGGGGTTAATCCCCGGACTCGATGGCTATCGGAGATGCCGAACAATGCGATAGCGTCAATCAAGATACGACAATAGATGCATGTCTTTTCTCCGAACCGATGTCTGTACTACTCTTATAACTTATGCATGACCAGTTGATCTTTCCTTCCCGATTCGAGCCAAGTTGGCCAGAGAACTGGAGAACTGTGTCGTAACGCCAAGAGTCCCCAAAAGCTTAAGGCGCATACACAATACACAGAACCCCCGCTATTCGACTTTCTACCCGGGAGGCATATACTATGCTGACATTGATACACTGGGATTCTGTATAGGGAGATAAGCAGAGAAACTCGGGGTAAGATCAGTGCGTATGTGTCAAAGTCAATTATCAGCAAGAGGCCATCAGTGTCACCCTCCGCTTATTCTCTTCCCATCCGAACACACCCCTCAACGGGTTCATTTGTACGCAGACACGGTCCGCCCCGCTACCCACCTTCCCCCCACATCGCCGCGCGTCGATGCTCCCGCTTTTATGCGCGTGCTTAGCATTAACTTGCAGCGCAGCATTGCCCCCCAAACACATATTCTCGCATATCTGGATCTTGAAATTGAATGTCAACATCATGGTCACATGCCAACGGCCAATGCTGCCTTTAGCAAGCTCTAGCTAGGCATGACATAATTCTGCAACCAATACATGATTCCAATTACCAGGCGATTGTCCTCCAGGTGTCGCATAATACCTCTGTTTGATGTGTTAGATAGGATAGAAAAGCACAGAAAATCAGTGACTTTCTCTCGATGAATGGGAGGGTCTAACACTAGACACTCAGAAGGTAAACGTCCAGCATGCTTCCAGGGGCTAAAGTGGATCAACGACCGGATGAAGATTCATCCGCCTGCCCGGTATCCACCCCTGACCTCCAACAACGTCACGATTGATAAGAAATTAGTTGCGAAAGAAACAATACTAGTGCGAACATATTATATACAACGGAGAGACTATACAGTCACCTGACCCATTATCCCCGATGCATAAGACGCTCGTCGCTGCCTCATTTCCCTCATTCCCCACTGCCCACAACCGTCCTTTTTGGCGGTCTCATGAACCATGGATCGTCTACCGCTGGAGTTAAAGCATTCAATTGCTGGAGTGGTAAGGATATTGTAACCTGCGTTTTGGAACCTGCTAATCCGGATCATAGGTTCAAGACGAGTCGCAGGAAACCCTGCGGGCTTTATCACAGGTGAACCGCCAGTGGAACCAGATAATTACGCCTGGTCTTTATAAAGATCTTACTATCCGCCTGAAGTCCGACGAGCCACCTCATCGTGCGCTTCAGCTGCTAGATGCCACCCTAGTCCTCCCGCACATCAGATATCTAACACTCGTTGATCTAACTGCCTCTAACCTCGGTACTACTGTGGACGTGGGGAGGTATCTCAATGAAACCCTCCCCGAGAATATCAATGTCCCTCCCGTACTGCGTGGATATAAAGGGAGTTGGGACCCGATTATCTCCCTCATACAACGATTGCCATGTCTGGAACGGCTTCATCTCCTACTTCCCCCGTCTTATCCGTCGGAACTGCTGGATACCCTTGCAGAGACCCATCCAAACTGTCAATTGTCGGTGGTCTCTGCCAGTCCAGATACCTACAGAGCAGACATTACACAAACTAAATGGATACGCTCCCCCGTGCTGAATGCCGCCTGGGTCGTTTATCATGAAAATCCACATCATGTGCACTACACCGAGCATCCTGATCGCTTTCTGCGAAATATTCTCTACCAAGCGCCTGGTATGAAGCGTCTGACGTTGCAGATCAGCGCCACGGCTGGTCTGAGCTCATGCCCCAAGTACGCCAAGTGGCTGCAGGCCCAGCCGTTGGAGAATGAGATCGATGCTAATCCGCGCGCGCAATTGGAAATCCTCTCATTGCCGCTGATAAGTAGCATGACAGCACAGAAGTTGCAGGCATGGTCCCGGGTCACAGATCTTAAGTGCCTCACCGCATGGACAGCCGGCGGCATCGAAGATATAACCCTATTTACTACCATCGCAGAACTGCAACCTTTCCGAGCCCTAAAGCGGCTAACCCTCACCCTCAACCCGCCGTCAAACTCCCCCGCCTGGCCACCGTCAGTCAAAGCTATGTTTGACGCGCTCCCGCCCCTGACTTATCTCTGCCTGCTGGGCAGCTACGACCCGGAATGGCTCCCCACCGGCGTTCTGGACCGGCACGGCCCAACGCTGACCGAGCTGCAGCTGCACAGGCCGCGGCCCCGGTTCCAGAACTACGAGACCTACCGACTTCGGCAGAAAGGGGAGATTGCCCCGATCTTCCCCGCGGAGGTGATTGTCCGCATGGGGACCCGCTGCCCTGTACTGCAAACGCTGCGGATCTGCGTGCAGCGGCACCGGGGCCACCCGGTCGAGACGGCAGCCTACGATGCCCTGGGCCAGTTCCCTGCGCTGCAGACGCTGGACCTTCTCCTCCACTGCCCGCCGATGATGGTACCGGGTCATAGGGCACCTTTTCCGCCGAGGGATCTAAGCCCGTGGGAGCAAGAGCTCATTCCGATCGCGATTGATCATTACCCCCTGTGGACCTTCCGGGATTGCCTGATAAACTGCGCGTTCGACGAAGCGCTAGTCACAGCGATCTTCACACGGATCCGGACGGGCCGGGTGACGGGAGGACGCTTGCGACTTCTCCGGCTGCACGCGCTCGCCAGCAAATATGTGCTCGGGGGCGGCAAGATGAATTCCGCCATGTTCGGCGCGTGGCAGGTCGAGTGGAACGGGGCCAGCGGGGTGCGGGCGGAAAACAGGTTCAGCTCCCACCCAGACGTAGGCCGTATGATGAGGCCCCGAGACCTGGACATCTTCAGGTCCATCTGGCCGTCGGACAGGGAACCAGGGACCTGGCCTTTGGAGTGGCATAGCTGGCCTCTGCAGTAAGCCTGACGAGCTGATACCAGCGGGCAGCTGCGTGGCAGTTCAACATCTGTACATAATCATTATCCTCTCCACAATGTGTATATGAATCAGAGACAAGCACAGAGAAAACCCCTCCAGCCCTACTTATACATAGTCGTATGTCAAGGCTCCCTACTATCATGTATACCAAAGCCTCTACTTCCCCCAAGCAAGACACACGAAGACCAAAAGCCCACAGCGAGGTGCCTAGACTGTACTTATAGTTTAACAATGTGTACTGCTGTCATATTTATTAACATACACACAAGGACCGACTAGCACCTAATTGTGGCTTTTCGTATAAAGACTTGGTAACTCGTGAGATGCTTAGACCTCATAGAAGGCATGAAAGATCTCCCAATATATTCTTTCAGTGGTTATTCTTGCTACTATGGTTGTTCCGCTTAGAAAGCTTTTCTTCAGAAGTTTTGTAAGGCCGCTTCTTAGGACTCGGATAGAACTTTAGGTTATTTCTGTCTTCTATGAGTCCTTGCGTGGAATACCTTTGAGATATCGTGAACAAACACTGCTGAATCATTATTATAAGGATTTGATGTATCTTCATAGAGTCTTTTATAAAAATAGTTTCCGAAAAGCGAATAGTTTATCCAATTGCGTAGAACTGAAGTATTACTACTAGTGTTTCTAGACTCAAGTGTCTGTCTATTGGCTATTTGCCTCTTGTTTGATGCATTATCAACTGTTATATACAGTATCTTTCACTAGTCCCAGTCTGGTTGGGAATCAGCCTGTTCTTGCAGGAAATCGGAAGTTTTGTAATATGCAGGTCAGGGACTGTATACTACTGAATGAATATAAATACCCTGAGTCTTGTATACTCCCTAGGCTACCCGATCAAGCGGGTGCGGCTGTAATCAGGATAGGTCCATATAATCCGGTCCAGAGTACGTGTCCACGAAGAACAGCATATGATAGCAAGGTACGTAGCCGGACTTTGGATCATCGTCATCCGTGTCGAGATCAAATACATAGCAGAGGAAATCGTTAGTCCAGATGCGGATTTTTGAAATGGTCTTCAGGCCGGTGATATCGTTCTCATCGCTCTGGTCAGCGCCCAGAGCGCTCTTGTGGTTGATTAGAAGCCAGGCCTGAGCACCACCGTTGGGAGATCCCAGCAGGGCGTACCCGGCTTCCGAATTGGTGTCGAAGTCGGTGTAGCCAACCCAGTCCTTAGCAGGAACATTATTCATGGCCTGCTCGATCACCTGCCGTGTTGCCACATTCACCACGTTCATCTGGAAGATGTACTTCAACGAGCTCGCCTCCACGTTGCTGGCGCTGGTCCGTGCCGCCCACTCGATCCACATCACGTCCGAGAGCTGCCGGAGGCTGGGGAGCTCAGAACCTGTCGGCCAGGGATTCTCCCAGTCCTCGTCAGGATCCTCCTCGAGATCGGCTTGGTACTGGGCCACCATCTCTTGCACCTTGAAGGCTGGGCTCCACGCCAGATCAACGATGATTGCGCCTGCCGGCAGGTTATACCAGCACTGATAGCTTGCTTTAGTGGCCTAAGTGATTACGATGGGGTTTGCCTCGCATTAGCCCGGTTCTCATTCTGGGACTCCCCGAGGGGGGGGTTGGAGAGGAAGGGGGCCTACCGGATGCGTGTCGTCGATCTCCACCGTGTGCTTCCAATCTACCGGGACATTGTTGGTAATGTCCAGGTCCAGCTCTGTCAGGAGCTCCTCGCCCACGTACTGCTCGAACTTCTCGTCCAAGGCGCGGTCCGGGTTGGGGTTCAGGGTCCAGCCGTTCGCGGTGAGCTGTGCGCGGGTGGTGTAGGTTGCGACCACACTCCTGCCTCCGAAGTAGATTTCAGCCATTGCGTCGGACATCTCAGTCGCACAGGCCAGGTCCCTTCCCTTCTCCACGTAGGCTTGCCAGCCAGTGGAACGCTTGGTCAGGGCCGCAGGTGGTGCCGGGGTATTGGGGATGGCAGATCGGGCATTCAGGGGAGGACTCCTGGCCCATGCGTCTCCCGTGAAAAGAAAGACGAGGAAAACAAAAAGAGTGGTAAGAGAGAAGCCATGATTGGGGGTAATCATGGTGAGGGGGGGTCAAACTCGGCGACGAGCCGGGGGAAGGAAGGCAGTGTGAAGGAGTGTGGTTGCCGGAAAATGAGATAGTGAAAAAGAAAGAGTGAATAGGTTGGTGTCGACTGCCTGGTCAGTGAGCGCAGACCAGGCGGTATAACAAGGAGGGGATATGGAGGTATAATAGCGACAGAGCCTTTTCTGTCACCCTTATGCCCTACTTGCGGTTGAGCGATTTCCACGAGCGCTCCCCCTTTTTTCCTCTGCTTTGCTATGATTTGGCGCAATAAATTTGCTCATGCCTAATTTATGTCTCAAGCCTCCGAGCCCCATTTCCTAGCTCAGTTCAATTTCACCTGGGGGATCAAGATGGGGCTCCAATACGCCTAATCTCCAACGGATGAAGATGGAGCACACAAAGGCCCTTCAGCTCGGTGGGTACTCCTCGAAATGAACCCGATGACCGCACGGAACGACATGGTACGATGGGTATGGCTCATCGTGGCAATGTTTCCGAGCAATGCAAGGCGGGCATAAGGTGGAGATGCCAGAGAAAAGGACAATTTCCGGATGCCGCGGACGTTAAGCCAAATCTATCGCCCGATAATCTGACAAGTGGCTATCTAACAATCTGCCACGGACAGAGACAATCTCCCTGGGTCCCCACTTGCTCGGACTAGTGCGACTAGTGAAGCTTGAGGCGCGCGCCGTCCCGAGACAGACGCTGCGGACAGGAAGTGGTTGGGAAAGAAGCTTAGAGATTAGAAGCTTAGTTAGACTTGGTCTTAGCTCTGCCGAGCGAACCGGTCTGTTCCTGCATCCTGCTGTTAGCAGTACAGCAATTTAGCTCATCTCCACTCATTGCTCCGATGGCCGAGGTCGGAGATAATTCCCCCAATCCTTTCGCTTAGGGCTTGCCATGTCCAACCTCTGATCCACTCGACCTTCAGCCTCGCGGACTGATTGATACGGATGAGGGATTTTCCCCCAGGCAAAACGTCTGAACTCTCCCTACTCGGCCAACAAGACATATCCCCAACCTAATGCTCCCTGATATGAAGCATTGCACAGCCACTAAGCCATTACGAGGGAAGCCTAAGCTCGTGAACTGGCCCTAGTGTGGTGGTAGATTTGCTAGGCTAATTAATTCGCAGTGACAACGTGCTCGGACTAATCGACCAAAATCTTATGTTGTAACATTCTCACACCACCGGCCTCGCCTCGCACTCCATCTCACTCAATCCCAATACAGACATAGTAGTCCACCCACAGGCCGCTGCAACTATCCCCGACAGTGGGGTTCCACTCGTAGAATTCATCCAGCGTAATGCCGGCGTCGCTGACAATGGCCGCGCAGGTATCGCCACTAACCACAAGATGGAAGGCGTCGCAGTCGTCCACCATGCCGGTCTCGTAGGGGGTGGGGGTGGTCACCCCGGTGGACGAGGTCGTGCTGGTGGTGCTGACCGCAGTTGTCGATGTCGCCGACGCGCTCTCCCCGGTGGTTCCGACACAGACATAGTCCTCCACCCAGAGATTCGCACAAGTGTCGCCGACGGCGGGGTTCCAATCATAGAACTCGTCCAGCGTAATGTCGTACTCACTGGCGATGGTGGCACACGTATCGCCGCTGACAATCAGGTAGAAATCATCACAGTCGCTTACCATACCAGTCTGGATAGGGCTCGGGGTGGTGATGCCCGTCGCCGACGAGGTCGCGCTGGTGGCGCTGACCACGGTCGAGGTCGTCAGAGCCGAACTGCTCCCCCCGACAATGCCCACGCAGACATAGTCATCCACCCAGAGAGAAGCGCAAGTATCACCCACAGCTGGGTTCCACGCGTAGAAGTCAGCCAGGGATATGCCGAAGTCACTGGCGATGCTCGCGCAGTCGTCGCCGCTGACGACCAGATGGAACTCATCGCAGTCACTCACCATGCCGGTCTGGATGGGGAGGGGAGTGCTGATTGTGGCAGCCGCCGTGGAGGAGGCGGCCGACGGGACGGTTGAGAGGGTCGTGGAGGACGAAATAGTCGACGTAGATGTCAAGGTCACGGACTCTGAGCTGGACGCGGCAGAGGTCGTCGTGGTGGCCGCCGGCGAGGAGGCAGCCACCGTGGTGCTGGGGTAGATGAAGTCGATCTGCACACAGTAGTACAGCCCCGGCAGCATCTCACAGCCTGAGCCCACCTCCGTCACAATTGGGTTCTGGCCGCGTCAGTCCAACTCGGACCACACCAGAAACAGCTGTCTTCACTTACCCATTCCTCGAATTGTGCCGCGGTGATCTGGTAGACCTCCTCGATCAGCTCGCAGGTGGCGTGTTCAATGTAGGCAATCCAGTAACTGCAGTCTTCGGTGCTGCCGGGGGCAGGCGTGCCGGGGGGAGTGACCAGATAGGCGGCGGCCTGGCCTAGAGGCAGGCTGAGGGCAGCAAGAACCCAGGTGAAGGGCTTCATGGCGTTCCGAATGGTTTGCAGGAGACCAGAACAAATGGACAGATGCCAGATAGGTTACAGTGTCGCAGTAACTGCTCCAGAGGCGAGATATATCCTCCCACTTGAGCCCATCCAGAACGCCTTGGTGGATGGTGCTTGGGCGGAGATCGAACCCACGAAGCGGATAATAAAATAGCCCTGGCCATTCAATAGTTTGATGACGTCTCCAGAATGCAATGTGGGTTGATCTATAATCTGACATCCCCACCCCGAAGCCGAGGCGGATCCACCCACTAATGAACGACGGTCGACTGTCTAGATGGCTTCAGACCACGCTTGTACGAGAATTACAGGCTGACTCCAAAATCCCGCTTGGACCGACTGACCAAGATTCCTGTCAAATTTCCGGTGGGAGACTAGCCAGGATGGAGCCTGCATCTCGTGAGCCGGAAGAGATGAGATGGAAAAGTTAGGGTTAGGCAGGGATAGGGGAGAGTCGGAGGAACATGAGCATTGCAAGGTTGACCACATAAGAAGCAGGGCAATCGCAGTCGTTCCAGCCTCATCTTCGTGCTTCACTGCGAGAAGCGTCCATTCACTCCCTTCTGACCCTCGGTGGTCCCCTCGTTCTTTTCTTTTCGTTTGTTGTGGTCGCACGCGATTTCATTGTCTTCAACGTCCGTCGTTCATTCTTTTCTTCCCTCTCGCTCATTCTATCTCTACGACCCCGTCATGCGATGGGCCAGCGGGGTGGCGAGTGCCCTGCTTGGGACTCTCGCCTACCACGCTGCACCAGGCCTGGCTCTGGCTGAGGTTGACCCGGCCGAGGTGGCCTCATCTGTCAGTGCATACCTGGCAGCGCATCCCATTTCCACGCGCCATGCCACCCAGACTCCAGACCCATCGAGTCTGATGGCTGCCGTCCTGGCCGGTAACTACACCTCCCGGCTGTCGAACACGACCAGAAGTCGATGTCCCGTGAGCTGTAGCAGCTCGGGGCTCAATTCCACGGCCTGGTCGGTCTATCACTCGGTTGACCGACTGGGGCTGTGTGGCAGCCCGATGTTGCTGGACTTCAACCTCTTCAATCAACTGGATGACGCAGCAACGCACGTCAGTATTGCAGCCTGTACGGCTGACTTTAAGTCTGTTTCTTCTTCTTCTCTTTCGACGCGGGATACCTCCGATGATAGCAGTTGTATCGCGCAGTCCGTCAGCCGATCCACGGTCACTGCTTCAGTTCAGCTGGCCTCGTCGGGCAATGCTTCCTCCACCGGTGCCACCGATGTTGTCGATGCTCTGGAGCAGCTGCAAAGCACATTCACCCTCTCCGGGTCCGATTGCAATGAAGTCATCCGGGTTGCTTATGCGGGCCAGGCGGCCGTCGGTGTCTACGTCGGCTCAGGGCTCAGTGGCCAGGGAGTCATGTCATCTGTGCTGAATCAGCTGGTCACGGAGATTGACTCCAATGGCAGCATTGCCCAGGAGACTCTCGTTCAGGTCTGCGACAACTCCACGTCCCGATACTCGCTCGGCATCTTCGCCAGCACCACGGGAAATCTCCTATCCGTGCAACGGGCACTGCAGTCCTGGCACAACAGCAGCTGTGTGACCTTCATGGAGGAGTCAATGCCCGCCTGGCAGACCATCTCCTACTTGGCCCCGTCCATGCAGCAAAACTCGTCGGTCCCAAGCAACTACACATCGCTGGCTGCTCGAGAGCAGTCGCATGGGCACACTCACGGTGGCTCCTATCTGCATCGCGGCCTTTCTCACTCGCACCTTCACCACGCGCGTGCTGCCGCCCAGCAGCTGCAGTCGCGCGACGACAGCGACGAGTGCACCACCATTCAGGTGGCATCCGGCGATACGTGCACCACACTCGCCACCGAGTGTGGCATCAGCGGAGCCGATTTCGACGACTATAATCCATCGTCCGACCTCTGCTCGACCCTGACCGTGGGTCAGCATGTCTGCTGCACAAGCGGCACCCTGCCAAACTTTGCTCCCTCGGAAGACTCCAATGGCGACTGCTACTCCTACACGGTCCAGACCGGAGACACCTGCACGGCCCTGGCGGCGGCGTACGACATCACCGTCGACGAGATCGAAGCCTGGAACACTGGTAGCAACGGAACCTGGGGTTGGATGGGATGTAGCGATCTGTTGGTTGGGAGCTACATGTGTCTGAGCAGCGGATGGCCGCCGATGCCGGCCAACGTCCCCAACGCCGTCTGTGGCCCTCAGGTCAACGGCACCAGCACCGCCCCCCACGGAACCGATCTCAGCACGCTCAACGAGTGTCCGCTGAACGCCTGCTGCGATATCTGGGGCCAATGCGGCATCACCGCCGACTTCTGTACGCAGTCCAACTCGACGACGGGCAATCCGGGCACTGCAGCCAAGGGCGAGAACGGATGTATCTCCAACTGTGGCACCGAGATCATCGTCAGCGATGCCCCTAGCGAGACCTACTCCATTGCCTACTTTGAAGCCTCGGACCAGACCCGGCCCTGTCTGACCATGTCGGTGGACCAGATCAACACCACCTTCTACACGCACATCCACTTTGCCTTTGCCACCATCAACACGGACTGGACCATCAACGTGACCGGCCTAGAGGACCAGCTTTCTTTGATGTCCAACATGACGGGGGTCAAGCGGATTCTGTCCATTGGCGGGTGGGACTTTTCCACCGACGCCGACAGCTATATGATTTTCCGGGAAGCCGTCACCGAGGCGAATCGCGACACACTTCTTACCAATGTCGTTGACTTCCTCGAGGAGTGGGACCTGGACGGGGTGGACTTCGACTGGGAGTACCCTGACGAGCCTGATATCCCCGGTATCCCCGCTGGTACCACAGCGGACAGCACCAACTACTATCTCACCCTGGCGGTGCTGAAGGCCACGATGCCCGTCGGTAAGACGGTCTCCATCACCGCCCCAGCCTCGTTCTGGTACCTCGAACGCTTCCCCATCGAGGCCATCAGCTCGGCCGTGGATTACATCGTGTATATGACCTACGATCTGCACGGCCAATGGGACTACGGCAATGCCTACGCAGACAGTGGCTGTTCCGATGGGAACTGCCTCCGGTCTCATGTCAATTTGACGGAGACCCTCAGCTCCCTCTCGATGATCACCAAGGCTGGTGTCTCGTCCAACAAGGTTGCCGTCGGCGTGGCAAGTTATGCGCGATCCTTCGAGATGACCGAGGCTGGCTGCTGGACCGACATGTGCACCTACACGGGGCCGGACTCGGGGGCATGGCCAGGTCCTTGCACGCAGACAGCCGGGTATATCTCCAACTATGAGCTCGAGTTGGTCCTGGCGGAGAATCCCAGTGCGGAGGTGTACTGGGACAACAGCTCGTACACCAACATCATGGTCTACAACGAGACGCAATGGGCGGGATACATGAACGACACCAACAAGGCGGTCCGGACGGTGCTGTACGAGGGTCTGAACTTCCTGGGCACCTCGGACTGGGCCGTTGACCTGCAGTCGGAGGATGGCAACGAGGACACCGGGGGCTCGGGGGTCATCTACATTGATCCCATCATCTTCAACGAGCCCAGCCCGACGGTGGCCGGATACCCCCCGTTCACCATGGTCTGGCCCACGTCGACGCTGGCCACGCCGTCCGTCGTGCACTTTCCCCCGTATCCGCTGGTCAACTACAATGGCCCCTATCCCACCACCACCTGGGTTGCGGTGCCCTCGACGACGGTCTCCAAGATCAGCTTCTCGCAGTGGACGGGGCCCGAGTCGGGCATTCCCACCACCACCTTCAACCTCATCAGCAGCTTCAGCCCGTTGCCCATCACCATCGTCGAGGGCGGGCTGCCCACGATCCTGTACCCACCGCCGATTTCCTCGCCCTACACGCCGCAGATTGGCGTGGTGGATGGCACCTCCCACACGGTCATGAGTGGCACCATCACGCTGGAGGAAGGGCCGGGCACCACGCTGGTCACCGGGTTGCCCTCGCCCACCACCACCACCCAGACCGTCACCGAGACCATCACGGTCCTGGACACCTATGCATCCGGCACCTCCAGCGCGACCTCGACGGCCAATAGTACGGTGGTGGTGGTCATTCTCCCCACAATACCTGCTGCTTCGGTGACCGAGTACACCCTGACGAGCACGACGTCGACCTCGGGCTCCCTCATCTACACGTGGAGCGAGCAGCAGATCGATAGCCTGGCGAAGATCAGCACGACCACCACCATCACGACCACCACCACGAGCGACTCGAAGACCACGACGCGAGTCATTCCCGTCAACACCGGAGGCTTCTACTGGTCGCCTGTGTCGATTCCAGATATTCCCCTGCCCACGGTCAACCCGCCGAATCTGCCTCCTATCCCCACCGTCCCCTGCTTCACTCTCTTCGACATCTTCACCATCGACTGTCCCCCCGACGACGACAAATCAGCCAAGACCACCCACTACACCAGCGCGAAGGAGTCGCCGACCTGTCACCCCACCACCGCCAAATCCTGCGGCGTCCTGTGCACCTCCAACTGCGACGTGTCCACCTCATCCACCTCGAAGACCACCAGTGCTTCCTCCTCGACATGCACGTCGGGCACCACCGTCACAGACTACTGGGTCTCATGCGGAGCCACCGCCTGCTCAACGACCAGCTCCGCCACCGTGACCGGCTGCGACGTGACCGCGACCACCACCACCACGGGGCTATACTGCCAGACGAGCGCCAGCATCTGGTCCACCGACGACCAGGGCGAGAACGGGGCGCAGTACTTTGCCACCACCACCGTGACGAAGCCCGAAGAGGTGGCCGCCGGGGGGACGACCTACGTGGTAGGCGCCAACGGCCAAGTCACTCTAGGCGACGGCGACGTCGTGACCGTCCCGACTGAGACGGCTGGCACGACCGTCGTAACGGCGGGCGGTGACGTGCTGACCGTGATACCTGCGGAGCCGACGGTGATTACCGTTGCTGTGACCCCGGTAGAGACCACCAGCACGACATCCAAGTCTACCACCTCATCCAAGTCCAAATCCACCACCAGCAAATCTTCCACCTCGACCTCCACCACGGAAAAAACCTCCACCACCACCACCACCACCACCACCAGCAAGAAAACCACCACAACCAAGACCACCAAGAAAACCACCTCCACCAAAACCACCACAACCGCCGCCGAGACCACCACCGTCAGCGCCAAATGCGTAGGAGGCACCCTCACCAAGTGCTACAATGAACTGGAGTCGCGCTGCTCCGGGGAATGTACGTCATGGCCGTATTTGATCCGCAATGAGTGCATTAATACCTGTATTGCGGAGGTGTATGCCACGTGTGATAATTATTGTCCTGTGGGGTAGTAGATTATATAGAAAGATTACCTAGGGTAGGGTAGGGTTAGATGGCGGGTGGAATCTGATATCATTTTTCTGTGCTATTGTCCGTAGATATATATTTTCTACCGGATACTGATAGATAAGATTCGTTCATATGATTGGGTGGAAACACTCACCGCCCGCGGGTATTCTGCCGCTTTGTACCCCATCACTTTTTTCCTTCATTTATTTTTTACTTCCCGCTTCGTGTAATGGCTACTAAGATCCCAGCCCTTATTTCTTGTCCAGAGTACGGAGTACTACTAGTTGGGTTGAGGACCAAGAAAGCATATGATTGCTGCATCAACGGGATGGATGGATAGGGTTGAAATGTGGGGAATGAAGTCAGGTGTTGATTTCATCTTGGAGTTGATAATGAATTTGTATGTGGTGGAGATAGTGAAACCTTTTAGAATTCTTATGGTTGATTGGTATTAATGCGGTTATCTCTCTGGGTAGAGTCAGAGTACGGGTGGTGGTGGTGGTTGGTGTGTGAGCGGGGAGATCCTGCGTGGAGAATAAGAGTATGCTGTGTTGCATGCAAGTTTGTTGTGCTACTGGTAGGCTTTCGTGTAGATTAGTTCGGCTTATATACACGGATGGAGGTATGATGGAGATGCTGGATTGAGTCTCTGATATGAGGATGATGGTATCATTGAGGTATTGTAGGTGAATTGCTTGCTTAGATGAGATAGGATGGATAAGATAGAGGACTAGCTGAATGAATACCAAGACGAAATCGAGGCTTAGATCCAGAGTGCCAGCATGGCGACTAGAGCCACGAAAAACGGACCCTGTGAAATGAATGGTGCAATGGGATGGCTGCCACCGGACGAAGAGGATGATCCCACCGCAGCCAGTCGTAGCTGCGAGTACGTGGTATTGCTCACATTGTAGCCACACAGACCACTGCCCGGCATCATGTCAGCGGGGAAGAATACCCGCGGTTCGCCTTTATCCATCTGGACGATCAATTCGCTCTGCGTGTTGACTGTGTAGTTGACGCAGTTGAGCACCTCCGTGACTACGGTACTGGCGCCATAGCTCATCGGTAGGGTTAGATCGTAGGCGGAGCCGTTGGACCCCTGGGTTGATAACAGCATAATGACCTGGCGGCCGTTGTTGCCCTTCCAGAAAGCCAGCTCGCTCCCGCCTTGATAGATCGGGTAGGTTTGGGAATCGATGTAGCTGGAATCGAGGGAAATGGCATGTTTGCGAATGGCGTTGAGCTTGGCGATGACGTTATACAGTGTCGCGTTGGTGTTAAAGTCCGTTAGCCACAGGGCCGCGCGGTTGGAGTAGGTGATGAATTGTTCCAGGCCTTGGTAGACCAGCGGGATCCCGTCGTAGAGCATCATGAAGGTGAGGGCGTTTTTGGCAAGCATGATGTCGTCGTTCATGTAGCCCCATCGGTCGACGTCTTGGTCTTCGATGAAGTTGACCATGGCTGGGACGTCGGAGCACAGGTCGTTGATTGTGGCGATTTCTTCGAGGAGGGTCCCTGGTTCGCCGTTGAGGAAGGCGGTGATCATCGAGTAGTAGAGAGGGTAGTTGGGGAGACTGGGGAGATAGTCTCTTTGGTATTTGCACACGTTGGTGGCGTTGGAGTCCATGACCTCGCCGGTCATCCATCCGCCTACGGTCTTGGCGTAGGTGGGGAGAAAGCTGGGGGTTAGGGATTTGGCGGCATCGATTCGAAGACCGTCGACGGAGTAATTGGTCATGATTGATGTACTCCATGTCATTAGGATGTCTTGCACATCGGTATGCTCGGTGTAGAGATCCGGGAGGGCGGTGTAGTTGTCGCCTGTTTGACAGATCTGGGCATCGGTGTAGTTATTCCAGTTGGTGATGATACAGTAGGGGTGGAAGTATGATGAGCCGTTGAACTGAGGAAAGACGGTGTAGTCGATGGTGGTGGCGGGATTGCTGCCGTCGGTGTTGTAGGCGACATTGTTGATGACGACGTCGAGCAGCAAGTACATGTCTCGGGCGTGCAATTCCTCGCTCAGTTTGAGGAGATCATCCTGGGTACCGAAATGGGAATTGAGCTCGTAGAGATCCAGAGGCCAGTAGCCATGATAGGCCTCGCCGTCTTTGTTTCGGCCGTCGATGTTCTTCGTGACGGGGGAGATCATGACCGCATCGAAACCCATGCCTTGGATGTAATCAAGCTTGTCGATCGTCCCCTGCCAAGTCCCCCCACAATAATTGGCTTCGGTGGTATTGCATGGCGCGGTGGTGGACCCGTTGGTGAGGGCGAACCGATCTGTCATGGTTTGATAGATGGATCGGGTCTTCCATTGTTGGGTGGAGGCAGCTGCGGAGAGATCAACGCAGCCGCTGAGGAGGCCGAGGGCTACGAGCCATTGATTCCGGAGAGAAAACATCTTGACCGTAGCCGGACTCAATTTCATTGAAACACCTTGTGGAGGCTTTTTGTTCCGTGGTTTATGTGGTTGGTTGTTGATTGGTGGGAGAAATGAATGAATGATGACGAATAACAGCTTACTCTAACGAATGTTTGAAACGAATGTTGTTGGAGGGTTCAAGGGATCCAGCTGAGCAGACCGTTGAGCATGATGGGGAGAGGATTGAGTACGTTGCTCCCGGGCTGGGAAAGGGGCAAGGAAAGCAGAACAAATCAAGGCCACGCGATGTCGGGGGCGGACCAACGACACTATATTAAGACCAGGGTGCCGGGCCGGGGGGAGGATGCTGACCAGACACCAGAGGCCAAAAGGGGCTGCCTAACATCCGGAGCAAATGTGTCTCAATCCACCCCCATCGCTGGCAGCGTCGCTGTTGCAGAGTCCCTTATCTTGATTCCTCTTTTCCCCATGTCCATCGAGAATTATGAATATTCAATACGGGATTGGGATCATGTTTGATCGAGGCTACCTGGGAATAATCTCGAGGACGGTCGCAGCATTTAAGTCGGCACTTCCCCCAGGATTAATGAAATTGTTGGGGGGGAGACTGACGAATTCCTCCGACCCGGTTAGGGCTAGTCGGGCTCTAACAAGGCGAGCCAGGCACGAAGGAAATTGCACGCCCCCACCTTCGGCTGGGAGAGGCGCTCGAGCGTCGCACTTCGCAGTGCTTGGCTGGTGGATGCCGGCCATGCATGGTCCGTCACACAAGTCACATTGCGTAAGTCGAGGTGCCCCGCCCCACAGGCCTTGTCATCCTGTGGTTCAGGTGGGGCCAACCAGAGTGGGGGCCAACCAACCAGCGAGTCACAAGGCGGGCTGCACCTGGCTAGGCTTTCCGAACCGAACCGAAAAAAAGCTTCGGTGGCAGAGTGGCGAGATAAGCGGTTAAAATTTTATAAGGCCGACCAGCCTGCCAAGCTCACTATGTCCGAAAGTCTGCCACACCTCGCTGGTCTCTGGCCCCAATCACCGGCTCGGTGCGGGGTGGAAGTTTCACACCATGCAGGAGGGGGGGGGGGGGGGGGTGGGAAGAGCCTGAGAAGAAAAGAAAGATAAAGGGGAAAGCATCCGATGCAGCCCGGACAGGAGAACTACTGAACTAGGTATCCCCCGTTCCAACAAAATAGACCGATTTATCCGGTAATGCGAAGATCGAATCCCCGGGGTTCGGTGATCTGGCTGTGGTTCCTGAATTCGGGACTATCATCAGTAGTCAGAGGTGCTAATTGGACATCAGCCCGTGCGGTCGACCAATGGAGCATCGCCTCGTAATCATCGCTCGAATGAGGCCCTCGTTCGATCGCGTGGTGCTATCAATAGTAGTACCTGACTGGGGAGGACTCCATAATGGGTTCACGTATCAATTCTTCTGCCTGCTGCTCACTTGACCTCTTTCCCTCCACCTCCCATCCATTCTTCCACGAGATTCCTGCCCCAAGCTTTTCATCGTCCTCGCCCTCCTTCTCCCTCCCCATCTCGTTTGCCGTTCCTTTTTCCGACCATTTCCGTTCGCTTTCCACACCTCGCGCATCGTTATTTTATTTTTATTAGTTTTAATTTCTTTTCGGACCGCTTGTCCCTCGTTTAGCTCGGTCCGGTCAAGAGCAAAGGCAGACGGAACTCCTTCTCGCGTGTTCTCGCGTGTTCTGCATCCCGTGGAACCTGGGGAAACGGTCGGCCGATGACGGGCGCGTAGAAGATCCGGGTGAAGTGAAGTGGTTCGTTCTCCTGTCAACCTCGAGCAGCGGACGGTTCCGCGTCCCAGCCAACATGAAACGGCTGATCGCCGGCCTCGTTCCGGCCCTTGTGGCCTGGCAGACCGCCGCATGGCCCTACAATGAATCCCTCGTCGACTACAACTTCAACCAGAACAAGACCGCCACAAACCCCGCCGATTATTGGGGTCAATGGCCCAATCATACCGGCGATTACTATCCTTCGCCGGACAACTGGCGCTTCCCATTCTACACCCTCATGCTGGATCGCTTTGTCAACGGAGATCCCACCAATGACAATTTCAATAAATCCGTGTGGGAACATGATCTGTGGTCCACCCAGATGCGCCATGGGGGGGATGTGGTGGGTTTGGTGGATACGCTGGACTATCTCCAGGGCATGGGCATCAAGGTGGGTGCACAGGACACAATTATAGCGGGGAATCAAGAACTTAGGCCATCATACTGATCAATTGGCCTAGGGAATCTACCTGGCTGGCACCATTCTCATGAATCAGCCCTGGGGCTACGATGGTTATTCCGCTCTCGACACCACCCTGATGGATGGCCATTACGGAACCCTGGCTCAATGGCGAAATGCCATCACCGAGATCCACAAGCGAGGCATGTACGTCATCTTCGACAATACACTTGCGACGTATGTAGTCCCATCCCCTCTGATTCCGGCCCATAGGAATAATTAGCTATCACGATAGCGTCTAATGTCGCCTCGTAGAATGGGGGATTTGATCGGATTTGACGGCTATCTGAATGTCACAGCACCCTTCACAGTGGGAGAGCATGAAGTCCAGTGGAAGACCGATCGTCAATACGTGGACTTTCGGTTCGGGAATACCTACAATGACACATGCGATTATCCCCGGTTTTGGTTCGAAACCGGCTATCCCGTGCAGAAGACCGTGACCGACTCTTTGGTCGGTTGTTATGACAGTGATTTCGACCAGTATGGTGATATCGAAGCCTTTGGAGTCTTTCCGGATTGGAAACGTGAATTGGCCAAGTTTGCCTCCGTGCAGGACCGCCTGCGTGAGTGGTATCCGTCTGTCCGAGAACGACTCATCCGGCATTCGTGTATGATTATTTACCAGCTCGACATTGATGGCTTCCGATATGACAAGGCAACACAGGCCACGGTCGATGCCCTGGGAGATATGTCCTCTGCCTACCGCGAGTGTGCTCGTGCCGTAGGAAAGGAGAATTTCTTCATTGCCGGAGAAATCACTGGAGGCAATACCTTTGGTTCCATTTTCTTGGGACGAGGTCGACAGCCGGATCAGTATCCGGCCTCAGCTGAAGTCGCCATGAATCTCACCGACACTTCAACGCCCCAGTACTTTTTGCGGGAAAAGGGCAAGAATGCGATCGACGGTGCCGCCTTTCATTACTCCATCTATCGCGCGCTCACGCGGTTCCTAGGAATGGATGGAAGTTTATCCGCCGGCTATGATGTCTCGGTGGATTTTGTCACTGCCTGGAATGAGATGGTGATTTCGAACGATTTGGTTAATGCCAATACCGGTAATGCCTTTCCCTTGAGGACCGAATCAAGAAACTGACAAATGCCAGGTGTATTCGATCCTCGTCACATGTACGGTGTCACCAATCAAGACGTCTTTCGCTGGCCGACCTTGGAGAAGGGAACCGAACGCCAACTGCTGGGTCAATTCGTTACCACTTTGCTTCTGCCCGGAATTCCCCTTCTCCTCTGGGGTGAGGAACAGGCATTCTATGTCCTGGACGCCACGGCGGCCAACTACATCTTCGGTCGTCAAGCCATGTCCCCGGCAACCGCCTGGATGGTTCATGGGTGTTTCTCCCTGGATTCATCAACCTACTACAAGTGGCCCATCACCAGGGGTCGCGAAGCCTGCCACGATGTCACCGTGACGTATGATCATCGGGACCCCTCGCACCCGGCTCGCAATATCATCAAACATATGTACCAGATGCGTATCGATTTCCCCGTGCTCAATGATGGTTACAACGTCACGAAACTGTCAAACCACACCGAGAATGTGTACTACCCGGGATCGAACGGAACCGCCACCGAAACTGGTCTCTATTCGGTGCTGCGTGATATCAGCTCCAGCTTTCAGGACTTGGGATCGGATGATAAAAATCAGGCAGTTTGGCTAGTCTATCATAATACGAACCGGACCATCGAATACTCATTTGACTGCACGGAAAGCACCGCATTGATCTCTCCTTTTGATACCGGCACCACGGTCAAGAACCTCTTTTACCCCTTCGATGAACATGAACTCATCAGCAGCCCGAAGAAGCTGGGCCTCAACGGTTCCACGGCATATAACGGCTGCCTTTCCAATATGACACTGGAGGCTTACGGATTCCGGGCATATGTCCCACGCGCTCGCTTCACCAAGCCTCGTCCCATGATCACGAGTTTCTCCCCAGGTCATGATGTTCCTGTGCGCTCTACGGTCGCACCCAATGAGGACGAGACAATTCAGATCAAGCTTTACTTTTCCGAAGCAATGGATTGTGATTCGGTCACCAGTTCCATCTATCTGAATTCCAGTACAGAAATTGGGAAAGTTCCATCTATAGACACAGATAGTGTCAGTTGCAAAGCTGCCACGCTCAATGAGACTGGCAGCACCTGGACCGGCTTTATTCCTAGCGCCTGGGTTTGGCAGGGCAATTTGACCGGCGTTTACAATGGTATTCACCGTGTGACTGTCAACAACGCCACCAATACCTACAAGAACGAGACCACTGACGCGGTTGATCATTTCCTTCTCCGTGTGGGCCAAATTGACAACCCTATGATTTATTACACCGCCAACTACTCCAGCAGTTTACTTCATGAATACTCTAATGGCTCGCTGTACATCCAACACCACGCCGCTGGTGCGGATAAGTGGCGATACTCGACTAATTGGGGATCCTCGTTCTCCGACTGGATGGATTACACCGGCGGAAACACCACCATCACTGAGAATTCGTGGTCAGGTACCAGCAAACAGGCCTGGAAAGGCTACCATGTCCGCGCCGAGTACTGGAGTCAGTGGACGGGTAGTAGTGATTATGTGCAGGAAGGAGACACTGATTGGACCAAACCCCCCCGGCGCTTCCCACACATCTTTTGGGAAGGCCCCTACAACGAGTATGGATATGATGCCGGCTTGGATAGCGTGATACGCCAGGATCCGAGTGATGGGCTCTGGAAGTACCACTTCACGTACGAGTGGCCTGCATATGGTCAGGTGAGCATCTGGGGAATGAATCCCGATGGTGAGCCCGACGAGGGATGGGTGATGGGCGATGCCGACAATGACACTATCCTGGATCGGATGCCCCCATCGTCCCTCTCAGAGACAGTCATCAATATAACCCAGCATCCCCCTTCGCCATACATCTCCTGGAAGCTCGTGATCAACGACGGCACTCAGCAATATCAACTCTTCCCCGTGGGACACCAAGCGACGCAGATTGCGTTATTTGTGCTATTCTGGATTGTGCCTCCTCTCACGGCTGCGGCCTGCGTCTGGGTCTTTATTCAGTCGTTCTACAAGGTTAAATTCAACCAGGTCGGTGTGGACCAGAAGGAATCGGGCTTCACGCTTGCCTTGCGCCGGCGGTTGAAAAGAAAACCCCAAGGTGGAGAGTACAACCGCCTCAATCCTCTGATGCGACTGGCCAATAAGTCAGGCTTGCTACAAACTGCCACCCCGTACATCAGCGCCGCGGCCGGAAAGCGCCGCATGGTTTTGATCGCCACGATGGAGTACGATATTGAAGATTGGGCGATCAAGATCAAGATCGGCGGTCTTGGCGTCATGGCACAGTTAATGGGGAAGACCCTCAGCCACCAGGATTTGATCTGGGTGGTGCCCTGCGTGGGAGACGTGGAGTACCCCGTTGATACTCCGGCCGAGCCTATGACGGTGATCATCATGGGGATGGAATACGAGGTGCAAGTCCAATACCATTTCCTCAACAATATCACCTATATTCTTCTGGACGCCCCCGTCTTTCGCCAACAATCAAAATCCAATCCCTACCCCGCCCGTATGGATGATCTTCAGAGTGCCGTCTATTACTCTGCTTGGAATCAGTGCATCGCAGCTGCTTGCAAGCGGTTCCCGATTGATTTATATCATATCAATGACTACCACGGCTCCCTGGCCCCTCTCTACTTATTACCGGAGACGATACCTGTCTGCTTATCTTTGCACAATGCGGAATTTCAAGGTCTTTGGCCTTTGCGCACGGCAACTGAACGGGAAGAGGTACGGACGGTGTTCAATCTTAATGCCGAGACAGTCCAGCAGTACGTGCAGTTTGGCGAGGTGTTCAACTTGCTTCATGCTGCTGCTAGCTATTTGCGCATCCACCAGCAGGGCTTTGGTGCGGTAGGCGTGTCTAGAAAGTATGGCAAACGATCTTACGCCCGGTACCCGATCTTTTGGGGGTTGCATAAAGTGGGCAACCTTCCAAACCCCGACCCCTCTGACTTGGGTGAATGGAGCAAAGAGCAAGCCATGGCCGCCCAACGAGGCGAAGTAGGAGTCGATCCGGACTATGAATCCAGTCGTGCTGCACTTCGGCTTCAAGCGCAAGAATGGGCTGGTCTCGAGAAGAACCCCGATGCTGACCTGTTCGTGTTCGTCGGCCGCTGGTCTATGCAAAAAGGCGTTGATCTGATTGCCGACATCATGCCCTCCATTATCGAAGCCAACCCCAACGTTCAATTGATCTGTGTTGGACCTGTTATTGACCTCTATGGAAAGTTTGCCGCCTTGAAGCTCGATCAGATGATGAAGATCTATCCGGGTCGCGTCTTCTCCCGGCCTGAATTCACCAGTCTTCCGCCGTATATCTTCTCAGGAGCAGAGTTTGCTTTGATTCCCTCGCGAGATGAACCCTTCGGACTCGTGGCGGTGGAATTTGGTCGGAAGGGTGCATTAGGTGTTGGAGCTCGCGTGGGTGGATTGGGTCAAATGCCGGGATGGTGGTATAATGTGGAGTCGACCTCGACCTTCCACTTACTGGATCAATTCAGACAAGCCATCGACGCGGCCTTGGAATCGAAGCCGGAAACCCGTGCTAAAATGCGCGCTCGTTCAGCCAAACAGCGTTTCCCCGTGGCCCAATGGGTGGAGGACTTGGAAATCCTCCAAACCACCTCGATTCAGGTCCACAATAAGATGATCAAAGACCACGGCCGCTCGTTGACTCCCTTCATGAATAGCTTCCGCGGCAGCGTGTCATCCCGGCCGCAGAGTTCTGCCTGGACACCCATGCAGAGTTCTCTGGCTCCCACTCGGAACAGCAGCCATACCAATCTCAACCGACTTAGCGAGTTCATCGCCCCATCCGAGCCTACCGAGAGAGTCGTCTCCGGCCTGCAACGCAAACTCTCGCTGGGAGTCCGTTCCGGCCCTGGCCATCATCCTCGCTCCGCCCGGGCCGAAGGCGCCCAGGAAGATCTGCCCGTGACACAGGAGATTCCCGAAGATATAACCGTTGATGGCGACACTGATGATCCTCAAGACAATGAATATGTTCCCAATCCCGCCGAATTGGAGGCCGCACGTCGCATGCAGGCCGCTCAGCGATCGGGGCCTCCGGCGACCAACCCTCGCTCCTCCAATTATAGTCAACCTCCGACTAGTCCTGGCGCACCGTTGTCGCCTTCTATGGGCGAGCTCGGTCTTCTGCCTCCTGCGGGGCTCAAGGAGGTGAACAACCGGTTGAGTAGCGCGTCTCTGCTGTCTGTCGACATGGTAGTAGGACAAAAGAAAGACTTTCGGTTGCAGAAAGTTGATCCCTTTTTCACCGATAGTACCGGCGAATATGCCAACCTCTTCGAGCAGAAGCTGCAGAATCTTACTGGTGGCAACTCCGAGTTAGAACTCTGCATCGAAGAATACTTGATCAACAGCGAAAAGGAATGGTTTGACCGATTCCACGACGCCAAGCTGGGTCGCTTGAAGTCTCCATCACCCTCGGTTTTCCGTGACAAGCAGGGAGCTGTGTCCGTCACCTCTCGTGAGGACGGGTCTAGTTTCCAGATGGGGAGCAGTCATGAGAATGAATCCGACGTCGACGACGAGTTCCTGCTCGGCAAAGACTACAGCCCTCCGGCCGGTGTCCGACTTTGGATGCAAATCCGCATTGGCACTTGGCCGGTCTACTCCATGATTCTCGCCTTGGGTCAGATTCTCGCGGCCAATTCCTACCAAATCACGCTGTTGACTGGTGAAGTCGGAGAAACTGCAGTCAAACTCTATGCCATCGCGACGACCTACCTGATTGCCTCGATTTGCTGGTGGCTGGTCTACCGCTATTTCAAATCCGTTGTCTGTCTGTCTCTTCCCTGGTTCTTCTATGGCCTGGCCTTCCTTCTCATCGGCTCTGCTCACTGGACGGAGAACTCTACCGGCCGTGCCTGGATTCAGAATGTCGGAAGCGGCGTTTACGCTGTGGCTTCTGCCAGTGGCTCCTTATTCTTTGCGTTAAACTTTGGCGATGAAGGAGGCGCTCCGATGGAGGTTTGGATCTTCCGGGCTTGTATTGTCCAAGGTCTCCAGTCGGCATATGTGATCGCACTCTGGTACTGGGGATCGGTCTTGACGAAAGCCTCCAGTGCGGGCACCTCCACAACCACCAGTGGAATTTCTGGGTCCTGGAAAATGACGTACGCCTTCCCTGTGACTAGAAATTCACCTCTATCCCCCGCTAACCTTATTATCCTTCTAGTGCCATCTGCTACCCCATCGCTTTAGCCTTGTCTATCGTCGGGGTCCTCCTCTTCCGCGGCTTGCCCAACTACTACCACCAATCCCCAGGCAAGATCGCTTCCTTCTACAAAGCAGTCCTCCGTCGAAAGATCGTCCTCTGGAACTTCGTCTTCGTCATCCTCCAAAACTTCTTCCTGAGTGCCCCCTACGGCCGAAACTGGAACTGTACACTCCCCCTCCCACCCATCTACCCACCCACACCACTAACCACACCACATCTAGTCCTCTGGTCCTCAACCCACGCTCACGCCTGGGAAATCGTCATCCTCTGCATTGTCTTCTTCGGCTTCGTCTGGTGCGGCTTCCTCTACATCGTCAGCCGCTACCTCAAAGCCCACAGCTGGTCCTTACCCCTAATTGCCTGCGGCCTGGGCGCTCCCCGCTGGGCCCAAATCTGGTGGGGCGTCTCGGGGATCGGCTACTTCCTTCCATGGGTATCCGGGGGCTACGTCGGGGGAGCTCTCGCGTCCCGCAGTCTATGGCTCTGGCTCGGTGTCTTGGATAGTATCCAGGGCCTTGGGTTCGGAATTATCCTCCTGCAAACCCTGACACGCACGCATATGCTCTTCACGTTGATCTGCTCGCAGGTCCTCGGGTCGATTGCTACCATTGCGGCGAGAGGATTCGGGCCGAATAAATTGGGTCCCGGGCCGATTTCCCCGGATCCGACTTTTGGGGTTAGTGCGGTGGCTAATGCGTGGTTTTGGGTCGGGTTGTTTTGTCAGTTGGTTATTTGGTATGTTCTCCTCCTTTTCCTGGATGAGTTGTGGGTGAGTGTATGCTGATTGTGGATGACAGTGCCGGGTTCTTGCTTTTCTTCCGAAAGGAACAGCTTGCTAAGCCTTAAGGTGCGGCGCATGGGATTGTTGGGGAGTAGTGGGGTTTTCGTCTCCCCCCTATCGTGGGAATCGGGACAACATATATAGTAACAAGATGGGGCAGGCTCGGGTTGGATGTCTTGCTATCTTGTTCTCTTTTCTTAGATCGGATAGTGACGCAGATACAGATGCAGTGATGTAGATATATATACATGTAATTTTTCACAATAGATTCATCTACCAGGGATAGATGTCTGCCGGCTTTCACGAGCCATATCGTTTCCTTCTGTTTTTGAATCGTACATACGCGGATTGATGTGTTTTCCAAACTTTAAGAACAAATAATATAGCATGGTCTTGAGCCAGGGTTTCTAGGATAAAGAAATAATATGAGTGTGAGTGGGTAAATGACGGACACTGTCAGGGCCTTGAGCTTCAATTTCGTCGAGGAATTCATACGTCACATACAGTAGATGGATGTATCATAGTGCTTCAGACGAGGATCATCATCAACAATAACCACAACAATAGCCCTAAGCATGAGTTTCCAACGGTCGAGAATCTCCAACCTGAACCCGTTATTATCAAGCAATACACACGATAATATGGAATCCGGAACGGAACATCAACCCTAACGAGCATACTACTCCATAATCACCCATTCATACTACCCCCGATCATTCAACAGATAAGAAATCTTACCAAATTATCCATTCGGATTGATTGTATTCTGTATATATAGGAAAGCATTATGGTGGTTACAGTTGGCCGAAACAGAGCGGGAACATTCTGTACAACTGGGGGATTGGTGAGAGTTTGCATGGGGGGATATGAAAAAGGGTCTACATTGTATATAGCAATCGGTCTAGCTGGGTGTGAGCAAGTCGATAAGACCCCTAAAGTGGTATATTCAAGTACAAAACAATCATCATTCCAGAACAACAGTTTTAAACTGTCTCTCCGCTTCAGCCCACCTCTTGAGAAAGATCTGTCCCACTCCGATACGGCGCGCGATACCATCATTCGTTGACCGTCCGATAAGCATCACATTCACCACATTCACGCCCATGAATTTTGCATAGGCCGGGAAATTAGGATCGGGCAGTTGTCCTCGTTCATTCCGAGGTAATATATCCAGGAAGTCATGATCGTCATTTTCAGCATCTAATGCCAGGTCAAGATCGAAATGTGGGTTCTTTGATACCGACAAGAGTAAAAACTCTCCTTTCCACGGTGAGGAAGGGGTTTTAAAATATTCTGCGATCCATATAGCCCCTACCAGGCTTCCACCAGAGGAACGAATGCAGAAAGGCCACCTCGAAAATTGATTGAGAGGTTTTCCATCTGGATAGTGCACGCTAAAGTATGCAACTTGACAATGGACCATGAGAAGGCGATCTATAGATGAGGGCAGTCTGATGTGGTCGATTGTGAAAAGGCCATTATGCAGTTGGGGGCCAAAGGCTCCCTCCCAATATGAATCATAGGTCGGCCATATGGTCATCAGGCGAGACACTGTCGCAGTGCAGAGGTTAATGTCACCTGGAAATGGACTGCCGATACACCCTGCCTCCCATGCTGCACATATGCAGGGTATGATTTCCCGTCTCTGCAACTCGTAGCTGGCCTCCCATTTGGTGTCTGGGGCCGGTTTGCTAACCCTCATATTGACAGTGGATTCAATTATCTCCGCCTTTGCCCAAATGGCTAGAGGAGCGGCGCTTGGGAGATGGCGGATCTCACCAGGGTGCGATGCCCAAGACCATGAAGGAAATTCGCGTTCAATCTGAGTGAGCTGACGACGACCTATTGAATATGGATGCCACAGCATGGCTCGATCAATCTGTTGCAGAGGAATTCCGTAGTGGTGATTTCCTTGCCCATAGTGCTCATTCAAGATAGCCGTGAATGCGCGTATCTTATCCGAGACGAACGTGAGGCTTCGCGCGGTGTATCGATCTAATGTAGAGAAATAGCTATCTAGTGAATAATAGCTAGCCCATGCAGTCGAATCCCCGAGTTTCTCCGAGATAAGTCTGGGGTAATAGAGGCCTTTGTCCAGATATACAAGACCACAGTCGGTGAAACATATTAGTTTTTGAGAGAACATCTCTTCCTGGAAGGTCCAGCCTCTGCTCGCCCATCTGGTTTGTTGCATGCACGTAGCCAAGGGTTGAGATAGTTGGACTATGGTGTCGTCGTAAAGCTGAAGCGTGATTTGCTCCCATTCTCGCCTCTTGCTCACTCCGGGTAATCCATAGAGGGAGTTCTCCCCCGCCTGCGCAACAAGAGTACAGGCGGCGTTGCGATAGATATGATTCATCTGGTCAATTTGTTCCTGGACCTCGGTCTGATCTTGTTGATTGATACATAGTTGGTCCACCCACAGAAATCTAAATCCCATCTTTTGGCACGCGATTAGCGCGTCTCGGATAGTTGCGGGTAGTTGATGTCGATCAAATGACCCCGAAGGTGGGACTTGAATTTTCTTCACATTTCCAAACACATAACTGAGGGCAAGATATCGACAATGAGCGGGTGCATAGATGACATGGTCATGCTGAACATCAATCACCTTCAGCCTTTGCAGGGTATGATTGGACAGTCCGACTTTTTTTGCCTCGACTGTCGTATTTAACCACACCGACACCTCATTCCAGTGGATAGAAGCATCCAGAATGGGAACAGTGTCCCGCCTGACATCCTCGCCATCATAGCCAAGTATATGAAAACGGCCGGACCGAGTTGATTGTCTCCATAAAGTGAATCTTAGGCCATCACGTAGCGACATAGAATTGACACGAATGCCAAGGTTGGGATATATGCTGAGCTTGAACTGTTGTGTGTTGATGAGATTCCTGTCATGATGTAGAAACTCTTTCGGGAATGACAGAATGCCTTTGACAACGATTTGACAGAAATGACATTCTGGGGCCCGATCCAGAAATTCTGAAAAGGTCGCACTGTACTCCACTCCACTAATTATCTCACAGTCAACTAAATGCGGCATCCTCAAATGGTTGCACGTAGAGCATAAATATGGGCTGTTGATGTTCACATCGATGGAGCATGTGTTGCAGTTGCCATGCAGGAGATTGTAGTACCTGAAGTACGTGCTGTCGTCATGCTCCGCGATTCTCCAGCAGATGGTGCATTTTGTGTCTTCAGTCATTTCCCGGAGATGGTTAAAGTTGGAGTTTGTGATGGACGTGGCAAGACCGGAGGAAGATGAGAGAGCCGCGTGGTAAGATGCCTCGCGGCACGTCAGGCAGAAATACCGCGCCGTTCTCAGCCTATCGCTTACGCTAGTACTACTCCTAGTTCTACTGGCAAGACTTCTAGCGATATCACGTGACCGTATAGATGGATCTAAATAGTATATTGGAGTAGTTCGGGAAATAGTAGAGATCCAATCAACAATACTATGAGAATCTACCTAATGTACTACCATCCAAACGGCCGTGCTACCATCGGGATATTCTCACGAACAACCCTCATTCTCCTTCTCCTTCTTTTACCTCTCCCACCGATCAAACAAATCATTCACATCATCATCCGACCCATGCCGCCGATAAAGCTCCGTAAGCTCATTCCTCCACGGACCCAGCCCTTTACTCCGCGAATACGGATTATAATTCTTGTGTCGGGATTGTCGAATCCTGCGCGCTGTTGCCCGTTCCACCCTGCGTCTCCAATGCTCGGTCAATTTCTCATGATACACGGCGTACAATGCCGATAGTAGTTCCACATTCCCAACACAATAATTTATAATTTCCTGTTTCAGAGGCCGCTCGTTGAACACCTGGTATCGGACCCCCTTGGATGGATCAAAGAGTAAAGATGCCCGCGCCTTCTGAATCTTCCATTCGAGTTTCTCGGCGTAGCTGAGGGGACTATCGTGGTCGATGCATTTGGAGAGGCGGAGGACGGCTCGCTTTGAGCCGGTTCGGGAGGCGTTTTCCATGAGTTGGAGGTCGGAGATGCCAGCGAGGGTGATGTTGAAGAGGGAGAAAAGCGCGTCGGAGGGGTTGCTGGCGTCGAAGATGACTTTATGGATGGAGGGGGATTCGAGGATCGTTTTCAGGGATGTGGGTTTGTCTTCGAAGGTGGTTGTGAAGGCGGAGAGACCGAGTCTGTGCACATCGATGAGATAGACTGTGTTGCTGGGGGTGAAAAGAAGTGTAAATAGCGAGATGGTTCCGTAGCCGCATGGGTTGTTGCCTTCGAGGGCGATGTAGATTTGGGGGCATGTAGGGGTGGGGTTATCTTGGATGTTGGAGAGAAACGAAAGAAGCGAAAAGAGTGTGTTGGTCGTGTCGACTAGTTGAATGAGTGGGCTCGATCGTTCCATGGCTATGGCCTGTAGTGACATTCGTTGAGTGTTTGGTAGTTCTGATCTCACGCATGATGGGTATGTGTCGTTGCCGGTGGTTGATGCTGGAAGAAGAGGAAGGTACAATTGAGTCTGTAGATAGTTTGCATGCCTCATCTTGTGGTCATCATAATAAGACCGTACTTTGGACCTCATACACATTTCAAACTTGGGGCTGCTTTTTCTCCTTGATTATTGAGGGCACTGACAAAAAAAACGCCTGCAAATTGATTCATGGTAAGTGATAACAGTTGCCCGCACAATCAAGCATAATGAAATACATATAATATAGAATCAGTGAAGGTAAAGAGGCAAGTGAGTGATGTGAGTGATAACCACCTTTTTTTTCCATGTCATCACATCGACTATCTGTTATCTAAGTAATCCATGTTGAACAAGATAACCACTCGTATACTCAATCCACCACGTTGTTGACCTTGGCGTAAACCGTCATCATTCCTCGCCTGGTCTTGGGAAATACTGTCTCAGAGACAAACTTCATATCTTCAGCAGTAGTGTTGTACAGTTCGAAATCAAACCGTCGAACCATGTACGCGATGGCAAAGTATAGCTCATTCCAGGCCAGACTAGGAATTTTAGCCACCCCGATATATCTTCCAGCAAGGCAGAAACTCACCTCTTACCCACACAAGACCTACTACCCTTGGAGAAGGAGACATGGTATCGTTTTAAATAATCACTCTTCTCACCCTGTAGCCACCTCTCTGGATCAAACTTGTCGCAGTCAGGGAAGAGGATTGGATCACGGTGGATGAAGTAGGTGGAAGAACACATAATTGTCTAGAGAATCAGTGATGAGCTAATGGTAGGTGAATCAGACTTACGCCAGGCGGAAGCACATAATCATTATATCTGAGGGTCTCTGTTGGAGCGATGCGACCAGCGCGGAAAATCGGCCCATAGGAAAGCCTCAGGGTTTCGTAAATAAACGCAGTCTAGAACGGCCACGGTCAAGGTCAACTCCAAGATGAAACGATTTAAGCTTACCAGATAAGGCAGCTTCTCCAGGTCCATCCAGGTGGATGTACTTATGGGTGTTGGCAAAATCTGCTTCAACTCCGTTCGGAGGCGTTGAAGGACATCTGGATGGGTGGCGAGGATATACGCTGCAAAGGTCAGAGTGCTACCTGTCGTCTCCGTGCCAGCACTTAGGAACTGAACGCCTTCGTCCCGGAAGCGATCGAGTGTTCGCTCCTGTGGCGGAATACGAGGATCTCCCAGTTTGGCGAGTATGGTCTTGTACTTTGCTCGTTTGGTTCCGGTGTTATTGACGTCCATGTCGTTTGTCGGAAGTGCTTGCGCTGATAGCTCATAAAGCTTCTTGAGATAGGTATACATAATTCCAAGACCTGGTCGGAAGAAGCACATGAACCGCATTGGTATCATACGCATCAATAAGGGCAGCAGGGGGAATAAGCGGTTGAGATGACTGGCCGTTGTAGTCTCATTGACGGCACGGCGGATGTAACTGCCAAAGTTCTCGCTGCCCAGGAAGCCTTGACTATAACCGTAGCAAAGATAGGTGATGATGTCTGATGCCATAGCAGCAAAAGCATCATCCAGTCGGACAATCTTATCCTCGTCGTGGAATTTCTGAAGACGGTCCATGAGTTTCAACGTACACCCTTCTGAGACGACCGAAAGCTCCTGGATGGAACGCCTCGAGAAAAAAGGGCTGACGACAGCACGTCGCATGCGGTGATGGTCGTGAGTGGTAGTCGACACTAGGGATTGTGGAAAGCCAGTTAGAGGTATGTAATACCCCGGTTTATCCCGCCGACGTCTGCTGGAGGCGTATATCTCATCGTAGAAAGTTGGGTCGCTGATATGAACCTCGTCGGGCGCGATGCGAATAATAGGGCCTAGGGAGTTAGCAGTGTGATTAGACGTATGTCCGGCCGAGAGACGTGCCGTAGATTTTATGCAGCTCTTCAATCTGGAAGATCAATTTTCCTTCATGGTAGACATTATAATAGAAGTCGTAAAGATGGGTGATGGCTGCCAGTCTGGGACCAGGGATGTGGCGCAGCGGGTGAAAGTAGAGACGATAGAAGATCTTCGGGATTTGGAAGATTCCCACGCCCAGACCTACCAGTAATAGCAGTGAAAAGCCCATGTTTGATTGTACGATCGAAAGGGATACTGGATGAACCGGAATCCGCTGAGAGGGCTGGTGGAATATAAGAGAAGTGGCTCCCAGCCATTCTGACAGCAGATGCCCACTGGTACACTTGGTCTCCTCCTGACATCAAGACTGTGCGGACAGACTGCATTCAAGTTGGCATCGACCTAGGCATGATGGTTGTTACACTGCCATTGTCGTTATGTGGCTGGACCTAAAAGGGTAGTGTTGCCAGGTTCCCCTCCTGCTTGAAGGCTCGACGTCTCGAATTGGTGCCACCATCACCTCTTGCTTGTGGATTTGATATCGTAAGGAGCAATCCATTAAAGCCTCTAGCTCTGGTGGCGAACCGTCGCTAACACTGTTATGACACATACTGTCTCGATGGATCCCGCTCCCGAGAGTTTACATGCAACATGCTTTGCATGGCAACGTGAAGGCAAGTTTCAAGATCAAGGCTGTACCAAGGATGAGTTCCCATGCCACGAGGTACATCATCAAGGAATTCTCGGCAGATATCATCATGATTAAACGATCCCACGAAACCTTCCTAGTAGATTTATACTAAAGAGCGGTGGTTAGATATGTATTCGTCTGAGACTCCAAGCCGGCATCCTGCTGCCTTTATGATATCTGCAAAGGCAGAGGTGCTCGAGCGTTGCTTCTTTTGGTCTCATTTCTTACTTTTTCTCTATCAACCAGGAATAGGCAGATTTCTATGACAGATGGCTGCAGCTATGTTAGTGCTTACACAACTCCGAGGAGAAGGGAACTGTGCAAATACCAAGAAGGTTGTGTAGCATGCAGTAAGTCCAATTCCAGTGATAGGCCCGCAGCTGCAGGATCTTCTGACTGCTGCCTAGCTGTTATTCTCCGAGACTCGGTGATTGCACAATCTGACTGTGATTGTGTTGCGGTGGTGGTCCGTGCAACGCTGGGCATTTATATTCTTTTTCCCGGGGATTATTCCCTCCTATGTCGTTTCAGGCATGATGTCTCCAACTCGTCTTATGCATCCAGTATTACCTCCTCAGAACATAGAGCCAACCGGCGCGCTTCCGGGCCGTTCCCGGCATTTGGGGTGGATCGTATGCCCGGGTTCTGCTTCACATCCCGGCCGGCGGAATGGGCTAAAGTCCGAGACAGCGGTATCTCTGACGCGGAGACGGCGCTATACATAGCCTGCCCCGGCCCCTCGTCATCCTCAATCTCACCTCTTTGTCTCACTTATCCCCTCAATCACGTCCAATTCCTCTAGACACTGCATCATGACTTGCGAAGCGTGCCGTACCATTCCCCCGGTCATCTCCGAGGGATACACTCCCAAAGGCACCTACTCTGACATTGCCGGTGTGAAGACCTGTACGTAAAACCCACCAGTGCTCCGTTGCAGTAACGTGGCTCACATGGATCAAGACATCACTGGATCAACCGACGCCAGCATTGGCGTTATTGACGTTTACGACATCTTCGGTATCGCCAGCCAGACCCTCCAGGGAGCTGATCTCCTCGCCGCCCGTCTCAATGCCGTCGTGTTGGTCCCGGACTTCTTCAATGGCGGAGGGGCCGCACTCGAGTGGTTTCCCCCGGACACGGAAGAGAAGAACAAGGCACTGTGGGGTTTTATTAACACCCATGCTTCAATTCCTGAAAATGTCGAGATCCTTAACAAAGTCATTGCGGAGGCCAAGGCTCGGTTCTCGTCTGTGAAGGGCTGGGCTGGGTTCGGATTGTGTTGGGGTGGAAAGGTGCGACTCTCATAATAAGAATGGAACAGCGTTCACTGTTGTTAGGTTACTGTCCAAATCTCGGGACCTAACTCGCCCTTCCTCGCCTCGGGACAAGTTCACCCTGGGTATGGCCTTGAAATTGTTTCAATTACCGCTGCTGACATGGATAGGTTGGTGGATGTCGAGGAGGCCCGGAAGCTGACCATTCCCCACATCTTTCTCGCCTCCAAGGATGAACCGGCTGATGCTGTCAAGGCGTACTCTAAGGTGATTGCCAGTAATGGCATTGGGGGGCATGTTGAGACTTATCCGACCATGTGGCATGGCTGGATGGGTGCCCGTGCCAATCTGACAGGAGAGGAGAGCTTGGCGGAGTACAAGCGGGGGTGGGTACTCTCTCTTCAACCTACGATGCAGCTAACAGTAGTATAGGTACAATCAGCTGGCTGATTTCTTCGAGAAGCATCTCAGGACGGAGGCGAAGATCTAGAGCTAAGACTGGTATATGGGCGTTGAAAACCGGGGTCTCTTGCCCGAGCGGGTACAATGTTTGGTGTGACACTATGCTATCATGCCACCACAATTATATAAGTCAATTGTTTGAAATGAAGTTGAACAGATATAAACATACCCACAAATACAATATTGCATTCCTCGTAATTACGTTAAAATCAAGTTAACCTGGAAATGTCCCCATTGTTGTGTCCGGTAAAATGCCCCCGCGGTCCGCCCCACGTGGATCGGGCGCACCCGCCAAGCGAGTCCGACTCAACCTCGACGTCACCCGTCATGCCATCATGACTTCATCCTCTCCCTCCCCCAACGTCCTCGTCTTCGGAGTCGGCAGCGTAGGTGCAATCTACCTACACCAACTCCAACGAGCCGGCTGCATCGTCACTGCTGTCTGCCGTTCCAACTACGACGTCGTCGCCCACCAAGGCTTCAGCCTGTGCAGCCCCCGCTTCGGCAGCGTCACCTACCGTCCCGACCACACCGTCCGCTCCGTCCACGACTGTCCCCGCGACATCGAATACGACTATGTTCTCGTCACCACCAAGGCATTTCCGGGTCGCATTCCCTCCCTAGCGGACCAGTTGCGACCGGTACTCGAGAATCGCCCGACCACGGCGATCGTCCTCGCGCAGAACGGCATCGAAATCGAGAAAGATATCGCAGAGGCGTTCCCTTCCAACCCTATAATCAGCGGAGTGGTCTATCTACCCACTATTCAGACGGAGGCAGGGGTGATTGACCATGCAGAGACACTGGATCTCTTGGAGCTGGGAACGTATCCAGCCCGCGCGCCGGAGAGTCATAAACGCAAGGCGGAGCGGTTCGTGGATTTGATGGTGCGGGGTGGTGGCGATGCCGTGCTGTTTGAGGATATACAAGAGGCGAGATGGGCGAAGCTGTTGCTGAACGCAGCATGGAATCCGATCTGTGCGTTGTCATTGTGCACGGATGGTGGGTTCCTGTTGACGTCGGAGCCATTTGCGCGTGATTTGACGTGGGGAATCATGATGGAGATTGTGGCCTTGGCGAAGGCGGTGGGGATCGCTGGGGTGGATGAGGAGGCGGCCAAGAAGAGGTTTGCGTTGGCGGAGAGACGCGCCCGAGAAGGGACGGGCAGAGAGGTGAGTATGTTGCAAGATGTGCGCATGGGGAGGCCGTTTGAGATCGAGGCTATTGTTGGGAATGCAGTGCGTCTGGGGAGAACATGCGGGGTGTCCATGCCCCGGCTGGAGACAGTGTATGCCTTGGCTAAGGGGAGGTTGGATGCCTTGATGGGGGCGGGTGTATAGATGCATCTTGTTTTGACACGTAGACGTTGCAGGTTCACAGTGGTGTGCATTATTCTGCAGCGACAGTTGGGAGCCTGCGCCGAAGGCTCTGGAGATAATCATGATAGACTGCTAGACACGTCATAGGTACCTGGAGATTATTGTGCTGTGGCTTCCGGAAATGACCTATTATCTTAGCATTGTCTGCAGGGGTTCAATTATGATTGTCCGATTGGACTGCCGATCCGTGGGAATGCACATCACTGCAAAACTGGAGGACCGTGTGAATGCCAGCAGGCTGCAGCAGGCTGCAACACAACCCGAGTACACTCACATCACCTCTATGTCACAGACATCATCCCATCTCTGTAACCACACAGTCTACTCTACCTCAGCTCCATCCCTCCCATCCACACAACCAACAATGTCCTACACCGTCTACACCACCGAAGAAATCGGCGAACGCAACCACATCGCCATCTACATCGAAACCAACCCGGATGCTGCCCCGCAAGTCATCCGTGGCCGCCTCTACCACGTTGTCGGAACCATCCTCATGGGCATGACCTATGCGCCCCGCGATACTCCCGATCCTGAATCCATCCCGGGCCATGTGCCAGGCTCGAAGAAAGAAATCGGGACTATTGCCAAGGAGGATTTGATCCGATTCGAGCAGGAGTGTTGTGAGGTCGTTCCGCCGCCTGCAGCCCAGGTGACTATTAGTGGGAAGCGATTGGATCCGTCGAAGCAGTTGTACCGCTGTGGTGGGTGGGTGGAGGATGTGAAGAGGATGGCGTTTGAGAAGGGGCTTTTCAGAGTGTAGTAGAACATCCAGAGGTTAGAAATGGTTGCGTTATGGAAGGATGGTCCTCATATTTCGAGTACATCTGTGGATCGGCGACAGATTTTATCCACTTAATTCAATAAATGACAGCTGGACTTACTCTATATAGATATTGCAATTCCATCCTTCTGCTAGTCTTGGCAGCCGCCTTCGTAGTTGATGGTCCACTAGATCAGTCGGCGGCCAACTTTGTCTTCTCCATGACTTTGATACTAACGGTAGGATTATATACCACAAGAATACAGCATCTTTCACCGAACTAGCCCGGCTAGCTCAATCGGTAGAGCGTGAGACTCTTAATCTCAAGGCTGCGGGTTCGAGCCCCGCGTTGGGCTTCTCTTTTTGCATTTTTTGTTTTTACATGTCTCTCCCGCACCCCCACGAAAACCGGTCATCGGTCAAGTTGGCTATGTCATGTCGGCTTTTACTTTAACTCTTCAATTGAGTTGCATGGAGTTAGGCCCTTGCTAGTCATTTTATTTCATCGAGTTGTGTCTCTCTTTTACCTGGCAGTAACCCACTGTTCAGTTGCTCTCAGGTCGGAGGCTTCCCAAAATATATAACCGGTCCTCGGTTACCAAAACACAGTGCTGACTTCTGCATACTTCTATCCATCTGTACAATACATGGCGCTCACGACTCTCCAGCTGCGTCTTAGACTAATATATGCTGTTTATGTTCTGTTGCTGTTATATACTTCATCGCGAGGATGTTTTGGGGTTCTAGATAGGTTATCAGAACCAATCCTAAATTCAGAGTCAAAATATCCGGATGTAGAGAATTCCACTGCAACAAGGTGAAGTTTATGGCAGTCTTAGGATTTCTTATTTGCTCGATTCATCACCCGATCTTGGTCGTATTACTTCAACCTGATAGCACTTGGTTTCATGTTGCCTGTGTCTCTTGATTTCGTCTGGCTGTTTAACTCATCTCTTTCTCCTCCCACCCCCAACACATAAATCATTGTGGAAGTGGCGTTGTCGAACACAAGTTGATTCACGTTAATACGTGAAGTAATGTCAGAATTTGCAACATGGTTACTATCTGTTAGATGAATGGGTTTCTTTGTTATCCCCAGGGATTGGCGTAGACCTTTACCCATGAGATCCCTAGCCATCAAGAAATTCACATCATACCAATGCATGTTTATCACTGCACCATGTTCACGTGCCGTATTCACGATAGAAGCCAGGAGATATAAACAGTCATGTCTTCCTCCCTCCTGCCCTACTTTACCACTCCCTATCTGCTTCCCACCCCATATTTTCTCTTCTCTCCGTGACCTCCCTTTATTTACACACAAACCGAGCAAGATGTCCTCACGCGGAAAACTATTCCTCCTGTTACTGGTCTTCAGTCTGCTGATGCAGAATGCCCTGACCCAATTCCAGACCTCCGCCATTGTTACCACCACCGACAACGAGAACGATGGCGTTGCCACTACACTTCCCGACACTCCTGACGACTCTGACGGTCTTGAGGACCTAGACACCGGCGTCTCCCCTGCGACTCCTTTCCAGGCTGGTCCTGTTATAGTAAGTTCCACCGTAAAAACCACAGCTCATACTGACCAACCCAGTGCCATAGTGTTTGTGACCAGCATGACAAATGCAGATGCAAGGTGAACAATCGCATTCTCGTTTGCAATTGCAAAGGTCCCTACACTCGTTGTGGATGTCGCACTGTGATTCGCCCGACTGGGGATGTGGATGCTGCTGTTACGGAGGATGCAGCGGCCGTGGCTGCAGCAGACCCAGTTCCTGATGTGTCTGAGGATGATACTGATGACGACGTGGATGGTGAAAGACTTTCGGCCGACAATTCTTTGATGCCTGAGGCGGATGTAAGTTCATTTTACTGGAATGATGGTTCGGCGGTTGCTAGGAGCGTTGAGGAAGAAGTTGCAAGGAGCCCTGATGAAACGGAGGAGAAAAATGGCGATGATCAAGAAGACAATGGTTCTTCGGGTAATTCCTTGACGCCTGAACGAGAGGTAAGTGATCCAGCCTATAATACGTATTAATATTGACATATGCAGATCTGCTTTAGCAAATGTAGCACGTTGAAGCAGTGCTGGTGCCACCGTCCCAATCAGAAAACCCACTGCAGTTGTCATGACGTGGGTCGGGAATGCAGATGTATTGTGGGGTGGCCTGGAGTTACATCCGCCGAGGATAATAGCAACGATGACACGAAGACCGGTAACAATGACAAGGAAAACAAAAATCAGGGAAGAGATGTCTCTACGGCTGACAATCTCCTGGCTCCTAATCGCGAGGTGAATTCATCCCGTTAATATTGAAGCATGACTGACCATCAAAGAGGTGCTCTGGCATCTGCGATGCTAGATACGGGTGCCTCTGCAAGGCCAAGAAAGGCCGCGCGCACTGCCCTTGCAATAACGCAGGCCAGCAGTGTCTATGCAAAGTACCTTGGCACTTGGATGGCGAGAGTGCTGAGGATACTCTTGCAATCGACGATGTTCCTGCAGTTGACGATGTCCCTGCAGTCGATAACACCCCAACAGTCGACGGTGATGTCCCTCCTGAAAACATCGGGATGATCGATGTCATTGACGGAGTTGCCTACGGCAGCGCGGATGTGAGTCCCGCCGACGTGCTCGGTATTCCCCAAGAAGATAAACCGAAAGTAAGTCACCAGCCATTCTTGACCGAGTTATACTGACGACTAGGTCTGTCACGGTATGATGTGTAACAACAAGAACACGTGTTGGTGCCAGTACGAAGGCCATCGGGTTAGCTGTCCGTGTCACCGACAGGGTGCTCCATGTTATTGCAAAGTGCATTGATTTGAACATTGAGTTGCTTAATGTTGGCTTGGTTTATCTACTTTAGGGTCTGGTTTGAACCTGGTTGCAGACACCTGAGGCTGAGACGAATATTGGAGATTAATCTGGATCTGGTTTAATTGGTTCATTTAGATTGAACAGATACAATTGGCAGATACCTTTATTTATTCCAGTGATTCTATTCAAATAGTAGATCGACCACCACGATACTGCAGTGTTAGCCACGAATATCCAAGTTGGCCAGAGCACCAAAGTATACCCCCAGCTGCCCATCAGCAGCCCAGCCAATATAGGCTAATGCCATGTGTCACTGCAATGTCCGTGCTGAGTGCAGGTGAAAACCATTGGAGGACAAGCAGTGGGATGAATTTGAGAAACGTTTCAGATTCTGTAAGCGAAGGTCTAGATGCCATGCCTCGCTGCTAAATCTGGGTTTTTTTTTAGCCGGGAGAAATGCGTAAAAACGGCTGGGATCGGTCTGGAACACGGCTGGCGGCACTAACCCCTTTAGGATAACGGCAGACCGACGGTGCAAAACGGGCAAAACGGCCAAACAGGAGGCCAGTCCGGTGACATCCGACCAACCACGGGTGAGGGACCGGATAGAAGTGCCGGGGACCACTCACTATTCATCTTCTCCATCTTGACCCTCGGTTGTTGGGCATCCCCCGTCCCCGGCTTCTCCCCCCTATCGAGTCAGTAGTCCACGCAATTTGACTGCCTATAGCAACTAAACTATAGTTCGATCGGACTCATTTCAATCTGATCTCTGATCCGGGGCATCGACACACAGGGATCCCAACGGCCAGTGCCAAGGACGCGAAGCTTTGCAGTGGGGGCGGATCCGCCACGGTTTCAGACGGATTCCTCTCTTCAGCGTTCAGGGGATCTGGCCGTGGCCGTGGCAGAGGCCGCGTATTTGAAAGGGAATTCCCCGGTGCAGCACTCGCGTCTTCTCCGCTTGTCTTCTCCGCTGTGCCAACACTGTCTCTACACTGTGCTCAACACTGTCGTGGTGAATCTGTACACAGTGAAACCTCACCTGAGGAGTAGGAATACATCGCCACGGTTAGTGGGTCGCCCCTTTATCCACCTCTTTTCCTGTTTTCTCTTCCCTGAACTTTTCTCTTGCACTGGCAGTTACCTGTCATTTGACCGCACTGTCGCCACAGATGTAAGTACCGTGGTACGGATTGTCTAAGTTCAGGCACTGCCTGAGACTGACCACCATTAGGAATCAGGAGTATGCCTATCCAGTATGACCAGCCCAGACGACAGCACCCGTCTTGGTCCCCGGCGAGACACCGACCCCGCCAGCGATGACGACCCCCTCGGCGCCCAATCGACCAACAATGATGAACGCCCGCTGACCCGCGATCAGCCCGCCGGTGGCAACCACTGGGGCGTTCTTTTTAAAGCCATCCGCGAAGGCACCTCCCAGCTGGCCGAAAAACTCGGTCGCGATCCCGACGGCGGCGATGGACTGGATTCTGCCTGGCATCCGGAAGATTACGGCTTTCAGGAGGATATTGAGATGCGGGATATGATGGAAAAACAGGAAATGGAGGATCAGGAATATGCCAGCAAGCTGCAGGATGTCCTGGGCTCGGATGCCAATTTGCTCGTCAACAACTTGGGTTTGGGGGAGACCCCGTCGCGCACCAACAGCAACGATGAGAATCTCATCGGGGGTGTCCTCTGGCATCTGCTGAGCCACCAGATGGGACACAATCCGGAGGAAATCCACGACGACGGTGCTGTGCCGGTCTCCTCGGAAGACGGCCTGGCGCCGTTACCGAGTGAGCTACGGAAACGTCGCAAGAAGAAGTGGTACGATGAGGATCCGACCAACGACAAGGAGGGACGGAAGAAGATGAAGGAGGCGCTGTTGACACAGAAAATCGGGTCGCTGCTGACGCGACAACGCTACATGATCCAGCTTTGTCGCGCTTTGATGAAATTCGGCGCGCCCACCCACCGCCTGGAGGAATACATGCAGATGACGGCCAACGTGCTGCGCGTGCAGGGCCAATTCATGTACATCCCCAGCTGCATGATCATCTCGTTCGATGACCCACTCACCCGCACCGCCACGGTCAAGCTGGTCCGGACCGTGCATGGACTGGATCTGGGACGACTGGGGGATATCCACAATTGCTACAAAAACGTGCTGCACGGGCGGTTGTCGGCAGAAGAGGCCCTCCCAGTGATGGACGACCTAATTACCCGACAGAGCAAGTTCCACAAGGCCTGGATGCTGGTGCTGCTCTCAGGACTGGCCAGCGTGGCCGTCGGCCCGTGGGCGTTTTCCGCCCGTCCGGTGGACATGCCGATTATCTTTGTCCTGGGCTGTATTCTGGGGATCATGCAGCATGTGGTCGCGCCCCGGTCGGCGCTATACTCGAATGTGTTTGAAGTGACGGTGGCGATGGTCACGTCGTTTCTGGCTCGGGCATTCGGGAGCATCTACTATTCCAACGGACAGCCGGTGTTTTGCTTCTCAGCCCTGGCGGAGTCGTCCATTGCGCTGATCCTCCCGGGATACTCGGTGCTGTGCAGCAGCCTGGAGCTGCAATCTCATCAGATCGTGGCGGGATCGATCCGACTGGTCTATACGATTATTTATTCGCTCTTCCTGGGCTACGGCGTGACGGTGGGCCTCACCATCTACGGGCTGATTGACGATCATGCGACCGATTCAACCACCTGCCCGGCGCAGACGGAGAACATCTATGGCAGCGTGTACGTGCAGGAGTTTGTGTTTGTGGCCATCTACTGCGCATTTGCGGCGATTCTCAACCAGGCCAAGTGGAAGCAGCTCCCGATCATGTCGTTTATGGGTGTGGCGGGATATACCACGTATTACTTTACGGCAAACCATTTGGACAGTCGATTTGGCAGTACGATTGGGGCATTTACCATTGGGTTGTGTGCGAACTTGTACAGTCGGGTGTGGCATGGCCATGCGGCGGCGGCGATTGTGCCGGGCATGTGGACGCTGGTGTCGTCCGGTCTGGCGAGCAGTGGCTCGATCATCTCAGGACTGGCATATGCGGATGCAGTGAAGAATAATACAGTGTCGGACCAGACGACGACGTCGACGGAGGAGTCCTTGGGAGGATTGGCGTTGAGTATGGTGCAGACGGCGTTGGGGATTACGGTTGGACTGTTTTTGTCTGCGATGGTGGTATACCCGAGTGGGAAGCGACGGGGAGGGATATTCAACTTGTAGATACAATCTATCTTATGGTGAATCTATTCCTGGGTTGATCTATCCATCTATCCATCTATCTGTCCACCATACTCCCTAGCCAGCTTGCGATCTTCTAAGCTTACCCCAAACCGACGAATAACCAACCAGGCCGGGAGCAGCGAGATGCCCCAGAGTCCAAAGTTGATATAAGTACCACCAACCGAGGCCATGATGCCGACACTGCTCAAGCCATACTGAATGTAAATGGTCAGCAACCAACCAGAAGCATAGAACCAACCCGAAGCATAGACAGACAGCTTACCGAAACCGCCTGCACGGCCGATTCAACACCTCTCAACAGCCCACTAATCCTAACCACCTCTTCTTCATCCGCCGCCAAATTGCCCACCACAAAGTACCTATTCAGTCAGCATCCCATCACCACCTCAGGGTAAGAAACTCACAAAAACATATAATTCAACTGAAACCCCAGCACCCACATCAAATACAACACAAACCCCCTCGCAAACCCCTCATCCGACCAATCAATCGCCACCTGCCCACTTCCACCACTTCCATATGTATACCCCGTTGTCACCACCGTCGCCCAAACCCACCACCCTCCCTGCAACCCCAACACCACAAAAAACGCCCCCGACTCCTGACCTTCAACCCAAGCCCACCTCTATCCAAAAACCACCCCAACACATTCCCCCCAATCAACGCCAACACCCCGGACAAAAAACTCGCCAACGCCCGAACCCGCACACTAAACCACAAATCCAAATACGTGAACATGACCGCCTCCGTATACGTCGCCTGCGCAATCAACGGTACTATCAGGAGAAACTCCCGTCGACAAAACATCCCCATCATTGCCTTCACCTCATACCAAGGATTATGCGCAATGCGCAACTTAACCTTCTGCCCATCACTCCTCTGCACCCGTTCCGGAGACGTAAGCAATAACCCCCCCACTGGTCCCAAAGCCTGCAGAGCAATAAACACAGCAAAGACAGAATACGACACACTCCCCGCTGTATTCCGTCCAACATTCAATCCCAGATTAATCGCTCCGCCGAGAATCTGCCCCCCGACACGAAAACTCAACCATAATCCCAGAAACCGGCCTTGATTCCCGGGCTCAGGGTAAGATAGCGCGATCGCACTCTCCGCCATCCAGAACACCCCCGCGGAGAGTCCACACAGCGCTGCGCCGAATAGAACTAACCAGTCGGTTCCGAAGCGGTTATGGGTGTATAGCCCCGCTGCGTATGGTGCGTAGCCGATTGTGCCGAGGACAAGGGTGTATTTGATCCCGACGAAACGGACGAGAATGCTCCCGAAGAAACAGGAAAATACCATTAGCCCGAAGGTGAGCGCGTTGGCGGCGTCAACGAGGTAGGGCGATTCGGATCCTCCTCCGCCGAGACTGTTCATTGCGGTCCAGATTCCGGGGGCGAGGAAGTTGCAGAGCCCGAGGATTAGGGCGTTGTAGGTTGTTGAGCGGTACCATTTTACTATTAATTATTTTTATTGTTAGGTTTGGGGGGTTGGGTGGGTGGGAGGGAGGGCGGACCTGGATGTTTGATGGTATGGTCAATGTCAACGGGGGTAGATGGTTGGAGTTCTTCATCGCTGGGATGGGGGGTTTTCTCTAGGGACATTTTGGTCCGAGAGGTTATTCAAACAGATAAGTGAGAAAAAAAACCGAAGAGCTAGAATGAGAGGGTCAATGCAAGGGTTACATACCTACATATATCTCACCTCATCCCCTCATCCCCTCATCACCGATGAAATAGAAGATAGTAAAGTGAGCATGTTATCGCGCGTATTGCATCATGCAAGGAGCGATACTCCATTGGCAGCAGGGTTGACTCGGTCGAGACCATGGTAAGAATGTTGTGGTTTGAGGGGGAGATTACGTGCTCGCACGGCATTTTAGCTGCATACTGTCACCACCACATTGTACTTAGTGACAGTGTGGGGGCAGGGGGCAGATTAGATCCTGTTTTTGCAATACGGTTGAAACAGATACCGAGACTGTCCTCTTCAGGGTAGTTTATTTGGGGAAATTGATGATTGTTAATGTTGTGGTTGTGGATCCTGCCATTCTCCCTCTGTCTGGTCTGTGCCGGGCTTAGCCTTATCGATATCGATAGAGATAGATAACATCGGAGCCCTAACTCATGCTATAAGACTTCATATATCTCTCCAATTGAAAAAGAGGAAGAAAGAAGAAATCCCTCCTCTCCACACCCGTGCTTCGCGAAGCGAAGCACATTCATCCAAGATCATTCTCATGAATCTCCCCCAACCCTAACTAAATATTAACAAAAAACGATTTCATAAACATTCTCTCCTGATAGGAAATACCCTACTCTTCTGACCCCGTGCTTCGCTCCGCTCAGCACCGAGTCAATCAAGATCATCCTCATGAAACACCAAAACCCTAACCTCAATACTCTCCCTCGCCGGCTCCCCCTCCGTCCCCGGCACCACAAACGCACTATGAGGCACTCTCCTCGCGCGTCCATCCGTCTTCGAATCAAAACACTTAATCAACGTTACCAAATCCGGTCCCTGTCGATGCCGATAATACCATTTCACGTCTGGATTCGGCTTCACGGAACAGGTTTCTCCCTCTCGATCGGGGTAGATCAGTTTGGTTGGGATGAGATCGCTATCCGGGACGGTATGGGCGTCTGCGACGGCGAGGGGATCCCGGGTGATGGTTTTGATGGGTCGCCAGACGTTGATGATTTGGTAGCGCGATTTGAGAAGCGATGGGGCGAGGTCCGGGAGGTGGTGTTTTACCCGTGCGGTGGAGGCCGCGTAGCTTTGGTCGATGTGCACGCGTTGAACCGGGGTGCGGAGGCTGGATGGGGGGTGTTGGGGGTGGAGGAGGGGCGGCGGATGGTGTGGTCGAAGATGAAGGTGCGGGTGCAGTTGGTTCTGTTCATTGATTAGGGTTAGTGGTGGTTTGGGGGTTTGTGGTGGGGATGGTAGGGATGGATGCAGTGGGAGTATTGAATGTACGGGAGAAGGGGAGGGGGACGCACGCATCTTTCAACAGCTGGTCAATCTCCGGATAATACTCTTGTTTAATCTTGTCCTCGTCAAGAAAGTCCTTCTCCGCACTGGTATGGTAGTAGAACTGGAATCCGTTGCCATCTAGTGTATAATCCAGCTCGTGGCCACTGACATCGTGGATAGTCACCGGCAACACGGCACTGGGTCGTTCGTAGCTAGATGGAACGCCCACGTAAGCGGGAGCCAGGTGCGATCCATCCGGAAGCTCTTTGATATAGTTAAGGGTGGTCTGCACATGGTGCGGGCCGGAAGATCCGGTAACGGGTTTCTGAGTGGGTAGGGTGGTATTCCCCGTGGGGAGCTGGACTGCTGCGGAGGCCATGATGTATACCTAGGAAGATATTGTGAATGGAAGTGAAGTATGAGGATGGGTTGCTATATATGTCAAACCAGTGCTGCAGTGCTGCTGCTGCAAGCACGCCATCGATGCGAGTTGTGGTACATGCTGATAAATCCAACTCTGGGTGTGGTATGCACCCGCATTATTAATGCTGCATGAGCTCATCGATTTCTAATCTACAAGGATGATCGCACAAGCTTGGTAATCGGAGTCCCGTCATCCAACACCTCCTCTTCTTCCTCCAATTGATAGCCCCCCCAGCGTGGTAGTAGCACCGTCCATACATACCAGTAGAGAACGCCAAACACGATCCTGATTCGTTAGTAGTTGAATCGACCAAGAAGGGATTACGTACACTCCCATCCCGACAATGGCATATGTCGCGTAGAAGAAATTCACGTCGCTCTTCCCGTCTGCTGGAGGGAAGAATGGAGCTGCCAGCAAGGTCACGCAGATTACCACGCGTAGCCATACAGCTGGTAGCCAGGCTTTGAATGGCCGCGGAAGAGACGGTTCGCGGTATCGTAGAAGCAACAGGCCGCCTGCAACTGCCAAGCTGAATACCTGTCCGGGGTAGCCTTCGACGTCGAGAATGAAGTTGTACACATCTCCTTGTGGTGGCAAGGCGATGACCAGCAACGAGGGAATGTAATGCACGATCAATCCCCCTAATGGCGCGCCAAATGGTTTCGAAGATGACAGAAGCCGGGACCACGGCAGAAAGCCCTGGCGGGCGATTTCTTGATTCACCCGGGCCTGATCATTAGATACATCGTAGATTTATCAAAGAGGAGGAATCTTACCAGTGCATAAGTCACCACCATGACATTCCCAGCTGCCGAAATGGCTATGGCTAGCGGAAACAGAGTCCGTCCGACGTTGCCAAACAGCCGCTCAAAGAGTAACCCTGCCACCAACTCTCCGCTGTTCTTGATATCCTCCAACGGAACGATCAAGAAGTATGAAATGTTGGCAAGAAAGTATAGAGCTCCCGCCGTGAGTAGCGCTGCCGGACAAACTGTCAGCACCGTTCGCACCGGATTGTCCACCTCGCTGAGCACATTGTTCACGTTGTTCAACCCAGCATACGAGTAAAACACCTTGAGCAACGACGTCGACAACAGATTCCAGCTCCAATTGGAATCCTCCCACAAGGTATCCCACGAAAACACACTGGTTGCCGGGGCATCGGAACCATACGGATGCAACAGAATGACCCAGATGCCTGTCAAAGAAATCACCCCGATCAGGAAAATCTTGACCCATCCCAGTGCATTCTGAATCCAGATGCCTGTCCGTAAAAAGCAGCCATGCACGATCGTCACAGCCGTCATCAATCCCACTGCCAACACTTTGTGCTGAAACTCCGTCGGCACCACATTAAAGGCGAAAAAGGTATACTTGGCGAATACAATACAGTTACTCGCAGTGAAGCCGAGAACCACTGCCTGCACTGCCACCATGGTCGATGCCAGAAACCGAGGACGCGGATAGGTATATTCCAAATACACCTACACAAGTTAGACGGGACTGACACGGCGAGGAAGCTACCTTTTCTCCGCCTGATCGAGGCAGCATGCAGCCATATTCCATCGACACGGCCAACGAGCAGGCAGCCAGAATGGTCCCGACCACCCATATTGACAGCGACAATCCGACGCTGCCGGCGGATTTGACAATGGTACCGGGTGTTGCGAAGATGCCGCTGCCGATAACCCGTGAGACCACCAGAATGTATGCGCTCATCCAGGTGAGATGTTTTCTCTGGTGAACAGGGGCATCACTAGTTGCGCCCAACAAGGGCTGTCGTTCATGCGTCATTGTTAGATAGACGATTCACCTCAACCTCAGTCAGGTGTGTGCGAAGTTCATTTGAAAACATGGTGCTGGAAATCAGGATGGCTGGCAGGCACGTCATTCCGACCGCAGCTTGTGTTTACGTCCTGCTGATAGCATGGCAGCAAGGGATCGTGGATCGAATCAGATGCCGAGTATAGATTCCTTGATAAGCAGCACAGCATAGTGACCTTCTCCATTGCACGGTACTTATGTTGGAACCTATTCACCTTGAATTGTTCCACTAGCCAAAGAGGTATCTATGACTATCAGTGATGGATCTCTCGGTCGCAACCATACTTCGATCACATCATATCGGATGAAATGATGCCAGCGCCGATCCTGATTGGCCGCTGTCTTCCCATCTGTTGAAGCATTGAATCACCACTACAAAGTATACCAGTTATTGATCAGGACAGTCCAATTTTTCGACAATCATCATTATCTCAAAATTAGAGCATGATAATAATATCTGGTCGGGATACTGCTTTGATGCACCAACTTTATCACGCCATCGCGACCCCGCCCTGCGCCATCCGCTCCAGCATCACGAATCCGGCCTGCAAATCACGCCGATCATCGTTATCTGAGCATGCTCTCGGCCGGTACATGCATGTATATCTGCTGGGTGTACCTCGATTCTTCCCTCAGTATGCAATACTGCCATAATGATGACAACAACCTATACTGTACCTGCCGAGGAAAAGTACCCGACGGTTTTCCATCGGGAGATTCTGCTCGAGCAGCGTGATCCTTATACTTTGACGCCTGCAGTCCCCACTCAGAGTGCCCTGTTGTTGAACGGTGTGGGTGAGCAATATACCCTGGTGACCGATCATGCCATACCAACCATCACCAAGCGGGAGGAGATCTTAGTCAAGGTACGCCCCCCCTCTTCCCCCTGGAGCACTATCTAACATCCCCAGATCCAAGCCGTCGGTCTAAACCCCGTCGACTGGAAAGGCCCGTAAGTCGACCCATCCTACACAAATCCCCAGCTAACCCATCAGAGCATACAACTTTGGCATCCCCAGTCTCCCATGGATCAACGGTCGCGATCTGGCGGGTGTGGTGGTACAAGTGAATGAGAACAGTCGGGTGCGGGTGGGCGACAGGGTGCTCGTGCCCTCGACAGACTACCGGGATATTCGGAAAGCAGCGTTTCAGGAGTATGCTGTTGCTACGCACTTTAATGCGGCACGGATTCCGTCAGGGTCGGGCGTGCATGCATCGGCATCGTTGGGCGTTGCATTCGTGGCATCCGTTCTAGCGTTGGGAGTATCGCTTGGGTTAGATTTTACGGGCACTCGCTGCCCAGGGCCAAACCTCCAGGATACAGTCGGTCAGCTGGATATCGAAGGAATCCCGCAGGATATTCGAGGAGAGTGTTTCGCATCGTCTGAACAGCGGGAACGTCTGAAGCATGGAGACTGGATTGCCATCTGGGGAGGTGAGATCCCACCCCACCCCTAGTGAATTCACTGCTGACGAGAGTAGCATCAACGACAACCGGATACATCACTCTCCAACTTGCCAAGCTGGCAGGGTTACATGTCATCTGTGTAGCGGATATAGCCCGGCACGGGTCACGACTCCACCAACTCGGGGCGGATGTTCTCGTTGATCGACAGAATACTGAGCGCGCGGTGGATATTATTCGAGGTGTCACGGGGGGGAAGTTACGGTATGCCGTGGATATTGTGGGGGCAGAGACAGCGGGGTTATTAGAGCGGACGTTGGATGATTCGCTCTATGAGGATGGCTCTCATGCTCATTTACTGGGGTTGACTGGGCTGCCGAAGGAAAGGAAACCAGGTGTGGTATATCACACTGTTCCGATCAAGTTGTTTCATACGTCGCCGGTGGTGGGTGAACAGATGGTCTCCTGGTTAGAGGGATTGCTGGAGACGGGCACATTGCAATTACCGGAGATTGTTCGTCATGAGGGGGGATTGGGGAGTATTAATGATTCGTTGGAGGTGTTGCGAAAGGGGAGTGTGTCGGGGAAGAGAATTGTGGTTGATTTGGGGGATTAGATGTACATGCATGATTTGTATAGAGGAATCGTGCTTTATTGCAGTGGAAGATTCAAGGGAGCCCATCTACCATAATTAGGGCATCCACCCACCCCATCCTCACCTAAACCATCATCAACACATCACCATCACTATCCCCAAAGAAAAAAGAAAAATAATCAATCACCATTATCTGAACCAACCCCGATCCCACCCGCAGTTAGTTACACAAACTTACCTACCCCTCTCGACTGTCGCAACCCCTCTCCCGAGCTGTCATCATCACCACCACATCTCGCGCAATCATCCGGCAATCGCACGTTCCCCTGCCAAGTCCACCACCACCACCACCACAATCCCTGCAAGACAATCTCTCGGGCGAGACCGTGTGAGGGGTAATTTTGACACCTACTTGTTCTGTTGATAATTTATCTGTTTTGCAATTACTTGCAAATTTCACAAGTCGAGTGGAGGTAGGGATACTATTACTTATAAATTGAGTCGCCCGTTGTATCCATCACAGCTAACCCTTGCTACTGAATCAATTCACTCTTCTATTACATTTACCCTAACAACCACACCTACACAGCCACCACCAAAATGACCACCTCCACACCCACTCCCCAAAAGAAAAAACTAATCCTCAACGCCTTCGCCATGCAATCCCCCAGCCACCTCAACCCGGGCCTCCACCGCCACCCCCGCGACCAAGGCCGCCACTACACCTCCCTCACGCACTGGACCAAACTCGCCCAAAAACTCGAATCCGCCAAATTCCACGCCATCTTCTTCGCCGACGTGCTCGGCGGGTACGACGTCTACAAAGGTCCCTCAAATCTAACCCCCACTATCCCCGCAGGGGCCCAATTCCCCATCAACGATCCACTATACAGTATCCCTGCTTTGGCTGCCGCTACTGAGACGATATCCTTTGGTGTGACTGCGTCCACGACCTACGATGCACCATACGCCATGGCGAGACGGTTCTCCACGGTCGATCATTTGAGTAATGGTCGGGTGGGGTGGAATATTGTGACTTCGTATTTGGAGTCCGCGGCGAGGAATTTCGGGCTGAATACCCAGGTTGAGCATGATGAGAGGTATCGCATTGCTGATGAGTATTTGGATGTGGTTTATAAGCTTTGGGAGGGGTCGTGGAGGGATGGAGCTGTCACTGAGGAAGGGGAGAGGGATGGGGTAAAAGGGTATGCGGATCCGAAGGGGGTCAGGGAGATTGGGCATAAAGGGAAGTATTTCTCTGTTCCTGGGCCGCATCTGTGTGAGCCGAGTGTGCAACGCACCCCGTTTTTGTTGCAGGCGGGGACGTCCACTGCCGGGAAGGCGTTCGCGGCGAAGCATGCCGAGGCGATATTTCTGAATGGGCAGACGCCGGAGTTGGTGCGGCCGTCGGTGGATAGTGTTCGGGAGCAGGCGAGGGGGTTAGGGCGGGATGCGGCGGAGATTAAGATTGTGGCGGGGGTGTTGGTGATTGTTGGGGCGACGGATGAGGATGCGAAGAGGAAGTTCGAGGAGTATACGAGGTTTGGGGATCAGGAGGGGGCGTTGGCGTTGTTTGGGGGGTGGTCGGGGTATGATTTGAGTAAGTATGATGAGGAGCAGGATTTTCGGTTTGTGGAACAGCCGGCTGTGAGGAGTATGGTGAATCATTGGGCGAGTACGGTGCCGGGGATGGAGGGGAAGAAGTGGAATAAGAGGACGATTGCGGAGTATTTGATTCTAGGGGGGAATGGGGCCAAGATTATTGGGGGCCCGGAGACGGTGGCGGATGAGTTGGAGAGGTGGGTGCAGGTGGCGGATGTGGATGGGTTTAATCTGAGTTATGCGAGTGTGCCGGAGACGTTTGATGATATTATTCAGTTTTTGGTGCCCGAGTTGCAGAGGAGAGGGATTTTTCATACCGAGTATGAGGTCCCTGGGGGGACGATGAGGGAGAATATCACCGGGGTGAAGGGGAAGACGAGGTTGGATGAGTCGCATCCGGGGGCGAGGTATGTCTGGAGAGAGGGGGAGGAGGTGCCTGGGTATGCGAAGTGATTGGAAAGGAATTGATGCTGTCGGTGTTTAGGGTAGGTAGAGAATTCATGTTTTATAGTGATGATTGTCTTGTCCGCATGTTGGTTCTGTAAGGGGCTTCGGGGGTTTATAGGTGAAGGATGCAGTAGCATGTAGAAATGAATGCCCTGATGAAGATAGAATTGGGGGAGGATGTGTGAGAAGCTCATGACTAGAAAAGACATATCTTAGGGGTAGGGAACAGCTTCAAAGATAGATAGATCCAACAGAAGATATCAGGTAATCCTCTTGACTACCTGCTTGAAGTCACCTCTGGTTGTGATCTTGACAGAAAAACCTCTTCCAGTCGATCACAGTCCAACATCGTAATCAATATTTATCCCGGTAATCAACATCCTCCCTGATTGCTCGGCCTATACCCCTCCCCAAAGCTCGGTCGTAGTGGAACAAGATGAACGAGATGAGCAACGACAGTGCCATAAAGAACACCATGACGAGAGGAAAGACGAAGAACATGACAAGAAGGAATTGGAGAACGAACCGTCCCAGAATGGGATACAGCTCGATGATCGTAGAGCCCAACTGGCCCAGCAGTCCCCGTCCATCACCTAACAGGTTAGCAGTGAAGAGTGAAGCCAGACCGGGTGCTTACAGATGCCAGCCATAGGCGGTAGGAATATCAGGCCAATGACAGCCAGAATCGACACACCGAGGCATTTGGTAAAGGTTTCTTCGAGTTCCATTGTTTGATTGCTGTGATTGCGGTCGAATGGGTTGCAAAGATGGGATGAGATGGTCTGGAGAGATTAGCGGCGTGTCATCGTTGGACTCGGAACTGACTTCCATCATGAGATAGGGCTGTGCTCATAGTTTGTGTTGACATCGGCCGAATAGGCAAAGACCGCCGTCCTAATTGTGGCACCGATCGATTCCCATCGTGCATCAAGATTAACATGCCAGTCATAGACTCCACCATGCGCTGCCTGAACGCTAAGACCGTTCATCAAACAAATCAGTATTAGCCATATTTAACCCGCACGGTCCCTGACACCGCACTCAGCCTTGTCCGAGGTTCACGAGGCTGGGTGTTGGCCAACTTAGTGTGCATAAGCGAGAATTAGCCTTGTGCACGCATCCAACCACGTGCCTGCATTGGAGATAGCCAAACTTACCACTGCCCTAATTCTCCACTAGACAGGGGTTGCATAGATTAGTGCTTGGGCAGTCATGCTAGATAAGAAGTCTCCCTCTGCCCCTGATGGCCATTGGAAATCGTCCGGGAAATCTCCCCCATATCTTGTCGGGCCACAACCACCAAGACCATTACTCTCCATCATCACAATGACAACCACAATCACACGCACGGTGGCAACCACCACGACTGCCTACCTCTCTCTCCTCGATACCGATGGAGTCCCCATAAATGACGGCATATTTGTCGACCAAGCAGCCAGCATAGTCAGCGTCGATCGCAGCCGAAATGAAACCACTGCTATTCTTAATTGCATGACCGATGACCTGGACATATGCTCCTTCACCCTGCCGGGTACGGTGCTCATAGGGCCCTCCACTGTCGTATTCAGCGTGACCGACACCACCACCACACCTGTTACAGTTGGGACCGAGCCGGTGTTGATTTACGGTGTATGGACCGAATGGATTAACTGTGAAATCACTTCTTCCGCACAAACCGCCCGGTGCGTTACGAGTTTTGAAGAGTGGGAGTCGTATAGCGGTGACACGTCATTGTATACTACGGTCGCCAGTCGGAATTTATCGGCCATTACTTACCTGGATATTCCGATCACAGCGGGTTTGGAGAATTTGATAGTCTCCGCAACTAGTACTGCTGCCTCCACGGTCTCGTCCACGTCTACGGCCGCACCCATGGCCACATCCACGGCCACGGGAACCGCTTCATCGTCAACCTCCGGACAGCCACAATCCTCGCGAACTAGCTCCAAGGCATGGATTGCAGGTCCAGTTATAGGTGGGCTAGCAGGGTGTGTTTTGATAGCGGCGGCAGTGTATTGGTGGATGCGACGCAATCGGCAAGCGGCAGATATTGCTCAAGGGACAGAGAGCCCATCGGATATTCCATATAAAGCGGAGCTTCCGGCGGATAATGTCACGGCGGCAACAGGACCGGTGGTAAGGGCTGAGTTGCCTTCTCCTGATGTGGACGAGCTTTTGGTTCGAGATCCGCAGAGAGTGTCTGAGTTAGCTTAAGCATGAAGGGTCGGTGGATACCTGATGAGATATGCAATAGATACTGTAATGATAATGCATAGTCATGTGACAGGGTGTACGCATATGCGCAGCCCAAATGGTTAAGGAAGACCGATGAATAGATGAGATGAATTATGATGTAGTAGATGTCTTATGCTGGTATAGATGTCTACAGTCCGTCACTCGCTTGTTGCTTCTCTATCAGCATCGACAACGGACCCGTCGGAGCATCCTCTCGATCCATAAACACTTCGACCATCCGCAACTCCTTGCCGTTACTCACTGCCTCGCTGGACAGAGCGTCCTCCAGCTCACGCCAGGTTCGAGCCGTGCCGGTAAAAGTGTCTTCACTCGCGCCGAAGAAACTAGGAGCCTGTAGGTACCTCCATCGCGGAACATCATTGTATCGCTGCTTACGGCCGTGGATGCACCGCTCAATCGTGTATCCGTCATTGTTGATCAGGAATACTACCACATTGAGCTTGTGGTTGATGATGGTGGCCAGTTCCTGCGCCGTCATCTGGAAACTGCCGTCGCCGATCAGGAGAATCGTGCGTGCGTCTTTAATCCCGTGGTATTTGGATGATGCCATCAATTCCTCCTGTGCTAGGGCCGCACCCTGTGCTCCTGGTAGCATATACCCGATGGACAACCAGGTCACTGGGGCAAAGATGCGGGTGTGTGGAGGCAATGCCATTTCTCGTACACCATAACCTGCCGTGCCGGTTTCTCCCAGAACAATATCACCCGGACGGAGAAAATTGGCAAACAGCCGCCATAGCTTATCCTGTGTGATTGGTTTACTGCCATCGACATCCGAGAATGAAAGTAGCTGGTCACGGGGTAGACTGGGGTAGGGGTTGTAGTGGTGGATCCTAGAGAGATCGATATTCTGCAAGAGGAGGTGTGTGATGAGCTTTGCTGGAATATCCCGGACAATGTCGGTGCCGAACTTGACTTCCGTATCGGTGAACAAAATGGCGTTTTCGGGGTTGGGAATGGTGGTGTAAAAGTAAGAGTTGGTGGAGCTGAAATGAGGACCGAAACATAACACTAGATCGGCCGAGTTGAAGAATTCTTGGACTTCAGCAGGCTCATAAGTGCCTCGGTAGATTCCGTGAACGTTAGGAGCTGTCTCATCAAGCAGACCTTTTCCAAACACAGTAGTCCAGGTCGGCCAATTGGTGGCATTCACGAGCTTCTGCACCTCATCGACAATGCCCAAAGGTCGAATCTCCCCATCGACGACAATGATCGGCTGCTTTGCAGAATTGATGCGCTCCACAATACGAGCTACCACGTCATCCTGGGTCTGAGAAGGAACAACCTCTGGCTGGCTAATCGCAACCCCAAGTCTGTCATCCGCCACGTATTGGTCCACCATATCCACCGGTACTTCAATGTAAACCGGACGACTGTGAAGGAGACACTGGCGCAACACCTCGTCGATCTGTTCCGGGCTGGTACGAGGGTCTCGCAGGCTGGCCTGGGCGACTGTCAACTGCGCGTGGATCTGGGCAAAGCGTCCGTATTCGCCGTCGTTGAAGGTGTGGTGGATCAGTTTGCGTCCGGCCTGCAGCTCCCGGGAAGGGGTACCGACGATGTGCACGACCGGCGCTCGTTCAGTGTAGGCCCCGGCGATCGCATTGACGGCGGAGAGTTCTCCAACACCAAAGGTGGTGACGACTGCTCCAATGCCTTTGATTCTGGCATACCCGTCGGCAGCATAGGCGGCGTTCAGCTCGTTGGCGTTGCCGACCCAGCGCAACCCGGCAGGTTCGACATAGTCCAGGAGGGTTAGGTTGAAATCGCCAGGAACGCCATGGACAGAATCGACGCCCAGCTGGCGAAGCCGGCGGAAGAGGTATTCGGCGATTTTAAGGGAAGGCATTTTGGTGATGAGAGCAGAAACAGGAATCCAGGAAGGCCCCCTCTTATAAGCGATAAGACATGCCGCCGATAAGCGATAAGCCGGTGTTACCCCTCTTCCCGTGACTCCGACGGCGGTCCGCCACCAATCACGGAGCTTGCTCGGTCCACCCGTCCCGGTGACTTGGAAAACAATGCGCCCTGTCAGCTACAAGTGAAGGACAGTAGGAAGATTCCCAGCTCTGGAATTACCAGGGTGACATGTAATTTATTGGCATGAAGGGAAGCAGCTCACTGAACATGCAGTGAAACAAGAACTGCCTTCACGAATTCCTGTCAGCCAGTCAGCTGCTGGCTCGGCTAGAGTTGCCTCTTTCATCCAAGGCTCCAAGGCTCCAAGGCTCCAAGGCCTTCAACGCCTTGGCATTGATGATGCATCAGAGACACAATTGGATACTCTCGGATGCATCTTCATATCAATTTTCTTAGTTAGTCGAGACAGTTTATTCTTTCTAGTTCTCCCTTATGGGTCCAGTCTTTCTGTTCGTCCTAATCTCATCACAATAAGACCTCACCCCTGCGCTAGTATCAAACGAGGACAACTCTCTTGTTTGACAGCTCGTGGCAGCAACCCGCAACCCCTGCAGGAACAATAACTTTATCTCCATACAGTTGATGATCTATATCCTCGAATCAAAAGGTCCCACGATAAGGTTCTCGGGACTGACATCACTATTAGAATGAGGTCGTCAACCACATGCCCAATGTGCATGATGTCATTACCACAAGACTTAAAGCCAATGCAACCCTGCAGACAATGTACAGGGCTTCCTCTAGCATGATCTGGGATCGTTCACTCGATCTGAAAAGCCAGGCAAGCATCAATGCTACACCATGAAAGGGCTGGTAAAATGGCTATATGTCGCAATGACAACATACCTCCACCAACTCGTTCCAAATAACTATGACCGTCCGGATTTAGTAACCAAGGACAATTCTGCGACCGGGAAAGGACCCCCTCCTATCTTGCTCAATGTCCAACGATCCGGTGGAAACCAGTCCAGTCCTCTGTTGTATGGTATCATGTTTGAGGTAGGTGCTTGAGGCAGCCCGGAACCACGCTAATGAACCTAGGAAATGGATCATTCAGGTACTGTCTATGCCTCCTCTGCTAGATCTTGCTGATTGGCCAGGCGACGGAGGCATGCATGGGCAATTGCTTCAGAACAACGGGTTTCAGGGGGATAACCCCGGTCTTACCGCATACAAGGCCATCGGCGATGTTGACCTCATGCAGGACATGCGTAATCCAGTCAGCAGTGCAATCACCTCCTCATTACAGGTCTCTTTGCAGCCAGGGGCAAAAGGATTTGTCGGGTTTGCCAATACGGGCTACGACGGTGTGCCTGTGATGAATGCCACGTATTCGTGCGAGTTCTGGATGATGGGCGACTACTCGGGCACGATTATGTTGGAGCTTGCTGGCTCGTCCAATGGAAAGATCTATGCCTCTCATAATATGACCGTGTGGAGTTCCTGGGAGAAGTTCACCAAGCACCAGACCTCATTCAATTCGACTGCTTCTCCGGATGGTGATAATGAATGGCGGCTGCTGTTCAATGCATCGCAGATGTCTGGAACGCTAAACTTCGGTTTGGTGCAGTTGTTTCCCCCTACATATAAGTCAAGGTATGTTCCCTACATTATAATGACATTTCTCATATGACTAGAGCCAATGGACTGCGGAATGATGTGGCCACCTTTCTCGAGAAAATCCATCCATCGTTTCTCCGTTTCCCAGGCGGGAATAACCTGTACGTCTTGTCACCCCGGCTATAAGCATCATTGACAAGAGATAGAGAAGGCCTTCAAATCGATAGTCGATGGCAGTGGAACCTAACCATTGGGCCCGTTGTCGATCGTCCTGGAAGAGAAAGTGAGCGACCCAAGACACCATCACTAAACAGCACTAACCGTCAGGCGACTGGTTCTACCCAAACACCGATGCACTTGGTAAGCCATCCATACATCGGCCACCTACTTCGTCTAACCTCAACAGGTCTAGATGAATACCTCTGGTGGTGCGAGGACATGCACATGGAACCCGTCCTCGCCGTCTGGGACGGCAAATCATACGGCGGCATCGTATCACAAGACGACCTGGAGCCCTACATTGACGACATTCTAAACGAACTCGAGGTATGCCATATTCCACCTCCAACCATCAACCACCAACTAACCGCACAGTACATTCTCGGCCCCTCCAACTCCACCTACGGAAGCCTCCGCGCAAAACACGGACGCACCGACCCCTGGCCACTCCAATACATCGAAATCGGCAACGAAGACGACTACACCGGAGGCTGCGACACCTACCCGGATCGATTCATGCAAATCCACCACGCCATCCAAACCAACTACCCAAGCCTCAGCCTCATCGCATCCAACCTAGACTTCCTCTGTCTCCCCATCGATCCCCCATCCGGCCTCCTATACGACTACCACTATTACCGCAAACCAGAAGACCTCGTCTCCATGTTCAACTTCTGGGATAACCATCCCCGATCCCAACCCGTAATTATCGGTGAGTATGGGTGTCGAGATACCGGCCCTGCAGAAGGAGATGGACCATACTGGTCCTCTATGCAATGCGCCTGCAGCGAAGCAGTACATATGATTGGTCTGGAACGGAATTCTGATGTGGTGAGAATGGCTGCGTACGCACCGTTACTTCAGCACTTTGGGTTTACTCAGTGGTCGGTAAGAACCCCTTTTTATTCCAATATCACAACACACACACATACACACACACACACACACACACAGAGAGAGAGAGAGAGAGAGAGAGACTGACTGATATGAGCCAACCCTCTTCGGTCTCGACTCCACCCCCAACTCCCTAACCCCATCGCTATCCTACTACGTGCAGAGAATGTTCTCCACCAACCGAGGAAATACCATCCTCCCCGTAAACACCACTACCGCATCTCACCCACTCTACTGGGTTGCGTCAAAAACCAACAAGACATACTTTATTAAACTAGCAAACTACAGCCCGGAGAACCATACCGTCCATATACACGTCTCGCATACCGAATCAGGACATGTAGAAGTACTTTCTGGCCAACAGAACGCAACTAATCTACCGCATAATATCACTATCCAACCAAGGGTGAAGAATATTACTAGCTCGAAGGGGAATTATACTGTGGATATGGAGCCGTGGGGTGTTGTGGTGGTGTCTGTATCTTGAGATAGTACTATTCTTACCATAGTACCGATTAAATTATATGCTGAATTGAAAGACAAGGGTCGAAGTGTACTTTAGTTGAATAGAATAGAACTTTATCTGTACACCCTTCCTTCTTTGTAAATGGTATTTAGTTATGTATAATAACGATGCTAATGCTAGTTCCGATGGGGAAATCATGGGTATATTCCATGCGGGATCTTTTGGGGTAGCGCGTTGCAGATTTAGTTAGTGTAGTAGATATATATTTGGAATGGGATGGTCATCTTTGACTAGATGGATGGGTGGATGGATGGGACTCTATATAGCAATAGTCACGTGGCCCAACCCTTAGGCACTTACATTATGGTATGTGTAGAAATGAAGGGGATGTACTCCGTATCCGAACGGATGATAATTGTATTGTATTATGGAGACATGGCATTCTTATTCTTATGATTGACTATCCTTCAGGTGAGGAATCAAGGTCGTGAATGTTCTGAGGTGGGTGTTCCTGGTGATTTGTACTCAGATCCATGGGTAGAAGTTTGCTACTAGTGTAGATCCTATAAATTAGAGTTAGGTGATCTACTATATGTAATCAATGGAAAAGGAATTGGGAACAACTATATATTAGATGATCCTCGTCCAAATCTATATACTAATATACTAATGTACATAAGCAACATCCTCATCTTACACTATGTCCAGCACGGTAGGCTAGGCTATCAAAGCCACTTCCATGTCCACACCAATCGAATCGCTTAGTAGATGGGAACCTTAAAGGCAGGGAAGGTGTAGTAGAAGGTATCGGCACCCTCCTCGTCAGACTCGCAGGTCCACTTGTCGTTCTTCCAGAGAGGACGCTTGGGGAACTGGCAAAGAGACTGCACCTCGCCGTCGTAGGTGCCGGCATCGACAGTAGCGTTCAGACCAGTGGGCTGGACACCGCTCTCAACCCACTTGATCATGGTGGCCATGTTGTCCTCGGGGAAGGGACCGTTGGGCTGGAGAGTGTTGCGACCACAGTGGGCGGCTCCGGGGACCAGGTACAGCTGGTACCAGGACTTCATGTCATCGATGGCCTTGGAGGTGCTGATACCGGGGTACATGATGCTCTTGACGGATTGCCAGTAGTGGATGGAGGAGGCAGTGGGCACACTGGGGTCGCTCTCCCCGTGGTAGTGGAGGATCTTACCGCCGGAGGACTTGAAGGTGGTCAGGTCGGGGAGGGTGGTCTGCAGAGTGTCCATGTAGCGAACCATGGCCTCGTTCATCCAGTCGACCAGGGTGTCGTAGGTGACGTTGTTCAGGTTGTCCAGGTTGGAGAGTTCGACGAGTTCGATGAAGCGGGTGACGAACTCACCACCGGTGGAGGGAATGTCGACGCCCCAGGTGCCGGTGGAGTTGTCGTAGGAGGTCTCACCATCGGTGAACTCGGCTCCGATCTGGTAGGAGAGGTAGGCGCGCTCGCCGGCGGAGTTGAAAAGACCGTCGTAGATGGCCTGGGCCACGGCAACACCTTCCGCGGTCACGTTGCCGGACTGGGCGGGGGTGTAGGAGGTGGAGGTACCGTCGTTACGCTTGTTGAAGTTGAAGCCGAGGGAGGTGGAGGTCTCAGCGGCGCAGTAGTAGGACTCGCCGATGATGGAGGTCAGGTTGAACTCCAGCTGGCACAGGTCGGAACGGGAGATGACACCATCGGTTCTGCCATCGAGGGGATCGCAGGCGTCAATGGTGGCGTTGACGATCTTCTCCATCTCACAGGTAGGGGGGTAGTAGCCGAGAGTCTGCTCGACAACGCTGGAGAACAGGTGGTTGACCTGCTGCTGGCCGTAACGGAAGGCAGGAGCACCGATGATAGCACCATCGTACTCGTCACCGTAACGCTGGATCTGGCTCATACCCTGACGGCCACCGTCGGAGCAACCCTCGTAGTAGGTGTAGACCTTGGCATCGTCGTCCAGGCCGTAGAAGGCGCGGGTGATGGGCTTACCAATGGTGGTCAGCTCACCCAGGGCCTGGTAGGCGAACATGTAGATGGGGTCCCAGTTGATGGTGCCGTTGCCAGCCAAGTTGACCTCATCGACGGTGGTGCCGTTCAGAGCACCGTAGCCAGCGGAGGTGGCACCGCCAACGGCGCCGTAGTCGAGACCACCGGTGGCAGTGCTGCTGAGGGAGTAACCGAAACCACCAGCGACGTAGAAACGGTTGCTGAAGTCATCGGGGCTGGGGAAGGCGTAGTTGAGCTCGATCTCGTTGGTGGTACCGGTGTGGACGTAGGAGACGGACACAGCGCAGTAATCGGTCGAACCGCTGGTGGCAGTCTTGGCCGTCACGGTGGAGGGGATCATGCTGATACCATTGAGGGTGCCATTGGCGGGGAGAGCAGCCTGGACGTTGGCAACAGTACAGACGGAGGAAAGGGAGGACGAGCTGGCGGCGCGGGCAGTTGCTGCCAGAGCAACGGCGGCCGCGGCAGAGCGCGAGTATTGACGCATAGTTGACAAAGAGAAGATAAGGATTGAAATCGCCGAGAGCGAAGAAAGAGTGGATGGATGGAGGGAAAGAATGTAGAGGAATGGATGGAAAGTGATATTCGAGGTGGCGATCCGAAGCTATTTAACTCCTGGGGATGTAGCTGCAAGATTTGGCGTACGTCAGACCCTGTGGCCAGCCGTTTCTAGTTGTTGTATCTTTTTCCGCCGGGCTGGCACCTGCTGCAATCATTGGGCATGATGTTTGGGAGCAGCCTAGATGGCTGGTGGGTGGAACTCCTGATCCTCTCCCTTCCGTGTTTGAAGCTTAATCCAGTTAAACACGCCAGGGTTTTTGCCCACCGGCCCACTCGGAGATAATGCAGAAGTGGACTCGAGACGTAATGCCGCAGTTGTTCTAGGGCCGAAGTTCTTTTTCACTAGTGAGGATACTATGTATTGTCGATCTGAATGGATAGTGGGTTCTGAACCAGAGTTGTTTCTTTTACTTATTTTCAGTATCTCTGCCAGTGTCTAGTTAGTACCTCTCCTATCTGACTGTCGACTGTCGACTGTCCAGTCTCCTCGTGGCGACACTCACATTCTGCATGCAGACAACCGCGGCTCAGGTATCTAGATAGGGTCTGGGTGGGGGAAAGCTTGCGACGCCAGGGGTTTGCCTCTAGCATCCCCATCCGAACCGGGCTGCTGATTGGTTCCCGCGGGGGTGGATGGGGAACCCCGGAAAAGGATTTACCAGAAGTGTTACGCGTAGCACTATCCAGACTTCCAGATGCACGCCCCTCCCAGTTTCAGGGCACTCGCCAAGCTCATGATGCTGCAGAACCGAACCTGCAGCAGAAGCCACCGTGGATCCTGATAAGGTGATCTAGAAATATGTGGAAGCCTGGAAGAAGTCTTGTCGTTCCATGCCTTGGACACGGCAGTTGCCACTCCTATGAAACATTTTCAAAATATGTTCACAGCAAGATAAATGAATTCACATGTGCTGCACACATGCTAGTTGATGGTTAATTAAAAAGCAAAAGAGCCATCGGACTCCGGTGCAGCATAACATGATGGTTGGTGATGTGGTTGCAAGGGAGGAAAATCGCTGCCAAGGCAGATCCCGATGGGGACTAGTTTCTGCACGCTAAGACGAGCTCGGCCCGAAATCCGGACCTGCGATTGGCGAAAGGAAGAACTGCCCGATCAGGATAAGCCCGACCCGGACTAGCTTGAAATGGCGCGAACTGCTCATTTCCCTCATTTCGCTCATGGAGTCGCACTCTGCAGTGGCTGTGACCTCTACCCCCCAGATAACAATCACTAAATGGGTAGCCAGCCTTGATCAACCCGCTAGCCTCGGAAAGGAATGTCCCTCATACATGATACCACATTCCCTGCTTTACTCATCAGAAGGCAGCAAGAATATGTTCTACCACAGCATATATCTTTGACATGAATTACCCACTATAGTAGAAAATAGAAACCACTCTGGCCGAATAATCACTCTCGTCCACCTACCCCTCTGCTATATCAACTGGGCAATGCAATGATGGAGTTGCCTATCTATGGGCCCACAGGACGGCATAACCTATGCAGTATCCACAAGATATGTATAAGGTTGCTGGCATTTCTTCTGCCGTATCTTCCGCTAAGGATAGCAAATGCCGCAAGTTCTGTCTTGGCCCTCTTGGCTCCTTGGGGTGGCTAAATCTTTTCCATCCGATCCACCGGGTCTTAATCTTTCTCTGACGGCTCGCAAGCTCAATCAGACGACCCACAAATGAACGGTACAACGGGATATTGGATTGGATCAGATCTATATCGCTGTGGCATGTCACTTGATGAGGCCTCGTAATCATGCCTTCTCGCTTATTCACTGTTTCTAGGTTGTTCAGAGTTTTTGGTACAGTCCACGGCTGCAGTGGCAGTGTCTGGAGTACCGTAGATAGAGTTTGAAGAAATCTTCCTATAAATAGATTTTTCTGAAGAAGAATTATGTCACTGTCGTGAGGATCAGGTCATTCAATTACATCGTAGCCAATGTTTCTATATCTACGGGTCTCTGTTACTAATCCCAGTCTACAGAGTATCCGATGCCATTGATATCATCGTCATCCATAACTTCATGATGTCACTAGCTCAAAGTCGGTACTGACTTTATGAATCATGACATAAGTATTAGAAGCGTATAGGCTAGAGTGTATATTATAATGTTCTTCCAAACATAAAGCATGTTGATGCTTCTTGCTGTGATGAGGGTAGACAGGGCCATCCCAATCCCATAAACATACTATCACGTAAATTAGAAATCGTAAGCTACAGACAGCTACCGATATGAAGATAGGACATGTTTCTGGTGCTCGATGTATATCTCGATTCAATAGTGTAGGGATTTTACTCTTCATAGCTACATGATTTTATATATATATATATCTTGTGGCATAGTACTACCCATAGCATATATCTGTACGATTGCACAGAATAACGTTAAAGACTACTAATATAATATTATTTTTGTTTTACAAACATGATCTACTTATTTATCCTCTACCTATCTACCGCATAATTGAAAAACCAGAGACTGTGTACATCGTCGTGATATCCTGCGAACAGATTTGGCATGCAGCCCGGTACAATTAGCATCTATAGTGACTTGAACCCACCCACACTCAACAACATTCTATTATGGGTTCAAACAAGAGAAAATACCACTTCCAAGACCCACGATCCATAATATGAACCAGATGAGTTTATTCTGTGATCGTTGATTTGTGCGAAACTATGCAAACAGACAAGAATACAATAGAGCTACTATATCATTGATATAGATCCATAAAGTGGTATGATGATCATTTCCATTAGCCTCTGTTGCGAAGCCTGTACGGGATCATGTCAGAGTAAGTCACCGGAGGACGCTGGCCGCTACTCTACCTTCTAGTTAATCAAGTGTGATAGACAGCCAACTCAGTAAGAAGATCTGCATCATCCCTAAATTAATCATCCGAATCCCCTCAGAAAGACACAAATCTGATAAAATCCTGTTATTTTCTGAAACATATTCAACAGTGCGCTTACGATTACAGATCCCCCCTATTCTTTCATGAAATGTTGGCATTTCCTCGGAATGTACTCGGAACCAAGGATTACTCCGTACGTCGCGGAGCGTTCCGGCAGTATGGTGATCCCGGTCCCGGATAACCCCCGCATAATGGTCTAAAGATCCTTTTGATAACATTACCCGCCTTTGTTAATGTCGTAACGGTTTTCTGTATCGTGATTGCATATGGTAGCGAGTATGGTTACAAGATACTTCGTCTTTGTATAATCATTAATATCAGGATCGGGATAAAGCCCAGCAATTGATTTCATTGCAGCTGGTCTCGGAGGGTGGCGGTGTGGGGGCAAACGAGTAGAGGTGAGAGATCATTGTACCGGCCAAATATCTTCTTTGGATCATATACCTCTCTTTCATTAAGAAAGGGAATGTAAGAAGTGAAAAAATTTGTCTATTGTCATCATAGTCATGTACCAGAGATGCTGTTTTTATCAACTCGTCGTAATCATCCCTCACGGATCAACCCCATAAACCATCAAATCCTCCGCCATCCCCGGAAATGTAAAAACCACACTCTCCTCTCCCCCAAATACTCGCAAATTCCGCACCCCTCTGTTCTCCAACCCAATCTTCTCCAACACTCTGCGACTCGTCGCATTCTTTGGAGAACAAAACCCAAATACCCCGTCCACGCCCCAATCGTGTCGCGCGCGCTCGATCAACCCCTTCGCAGCCTCGGTCGCATAGCCTTGCTTCTGATGCTCTGGTAGAATGCAGAACCCCACGTCTGGGGCACCATAGCAGTTTGGAGGTTCGCCCTGCCATAGGCTGACGGTGCCGATGGGGGTGCTTTCTTCTAAGGTGGCGTCGGGGTGGGGTTTCAGGCTGACGAGCATCAGGCCGTATTGGCGGACATAGTGCGGGGTGACCCGGTTCTCGAGGTATCTTTGTGCGGAAGGGGAATCGATGATGGAGGTTTTGCCAGACGAGGCGATGTATTCGGGGGTGTTCCAGAGGTGGGCGAGAAAGGCGGGGTGGGCTGGATTGTTGGGGATGAAGTAGGAGATGTGGAGGCGGGGAGTGGGGATGCTGAAGTCCGGTCGAATATCGATATTCTTGGTAGACATGATGATGGTTGGTTGGGTGGTTGGCCTGTTGTTGGAGAAAAGGGTAGCTTGCTGACGGGGTTATATGTGGACGGTGGTGGTGCTGCGGGGGCTGAGCTGGTTGATTGACTCATGGAAGCTGATGAATGACTGGAATCTTTAATGAGATTATGCCGGACTAAGATAGCGTTGTCACTAGCGCTTATGGTTGTAAAGTGGGTGCATATCATTCAACTGTTGTTGATCTGGAACCATATTCCTTTCTGTACTGGATTCATTGCACCTTCTCATGCAGTGATGGGACCGGAAATTCTCATAACCATTCGCACGCTGCGAATGGATGTGTTGGTTTAAAAAGGTCTCTATGTTTCTCCACAACTCGAGATGTTAATCTAGATTCTGCCTACTACAGATAAGCATCCTTATTCCTTTTGCTAGTACAGCTACATCTTAAAACCGTGCAGCTATTCGATGCAGCCTACGACGATTCGTTGAGTGAAAGTCACGTCTCTCTGTAGACACTTCACTGACCTGGGCAAATGTCCGAGGATAAACGCGGCAATTCCGTAGAGATAGGCTAAGGCCGGCCTTGCGAGTCCCTTCATCCTTTGGCAGTAGTGGCTTGGCAGAGGGGGCTATGGTGAGTCATTCCGATCCTGCTGTGATTAGGGCTGACGGTGATGACAGCCCCCTCATAAAACAAGACAAGAGGATATTCCCCAATCTTTTGCTCTGTTTCGTTCACACAACTGTCTCCCCCCTATCGACAATGTGAGACTCTCCGAGCGCCCCCTTGAGTACCAAAACCAATTCATCAATGGCCGATAAGAACTTCAAGTACGAACTAATCGCAACACAGTAGCGGCGATAGTTCCCATCACGAACCATCGCTTTGCTCAGTTCAGCTGTTCGATGCTGCTGATTCCACGACTCGTAGCACCGCTTGACCAACGGTGTGGGCAACCGTTCCGGCAGCGCGGCTCCAGCCTTGAGTGCCTGTTCGATCACGCCTAGTACGGCCATGACATCCCCAACAGTGTTGTCGTCCGTGAGACCTACAGTACGCATCAATCGCTCCTGTAGGTACAGCGGCAGTGTAGTTGACAAAATGAGCAGACGGCCTAATGCTTGGTTCAGGTCGCCCAATAGTGACTGTGTCCGATCGAGGGTTTTACGGTGGAATGGACCAAAGGTCATTTCCCATCGGAGGAGGCCAATAGGTGCCTTGAGTGATAGCAGTGTTTCGGCCATTTCTAAAGTGATCTTCTCAGCCACAGTAGCGATGGGATGGTCAGGGTCGGCCCTGGCCCAGTGTGACAACACCAGAGCATAGTGATCTGATATTGTGCGAACGGCACTGGAAAGTGTCTGACAGACATGACGTGTCGCAGACGGTGGCCTTGGAAAGAGTTGAACGAATGTAGCAGCAACAAATCCTAAGAGAACGGTAACCAAGCGTTTCCAGAAAGCCGTGTCTCCGCGACCAGGAAGGCCGTATTGCTGTGCATGGGCGTCATCATAACTGAAGCCGATGACCAAAACAAAAGTGGCACCGCTCATAATGGCAGCCATGGCCAGTGCCGGTGGCAGGAAAATCCTCCACCACATTAGCACCACCGTCATGACTGCTGTTATGGCTCCCAGCCCGTAGGCATTGCCAGGGCCATGTCCTGAACCGATATACCAGGCTACCATCCCCAGCACACCACCCACCACCGTGCCAACTAAACGAGACACCAGAGAAAGGGTAAAGTCGGCCATATACACCAAGAGGGTTGTTTGTGCAGTGATGACCCCCCAGATTCCTTTCTCCCGGTAGTAGAATCCTGCAGTGTGGGGAAGTGCAGAAGGAATTGCCGTGGCGATCGTCACCACCACCATGCGCAGCGCATACATGCCAGCGGGGTTGAAGAGCCATTGGTAGATGGCCATGACTGTCCGTGTGATGCGGCCTCGCTGTGGTGTCCCGTAACCCCGACTGATCCGAAGGCGACGATCCGCTTCTTGAGTCTGTTCTTCAAGAACCTCCGGGTCTGTTGCAGTATTGCCTGCAGCATCTGACATCGGAGTGGGAACAGTCCCGCTCCAGATCCAATTCAAGGCATATTGTAGTCGAGAAGGGATCCAGATCCGGGTCTTGGACCGATTCTGGAGCAGCCACAAGATGTGACCTAACAGGACCTGTGTCGCCTCGGCCACTGCCAAAATGCGCTCTTCAATCACCATCCCTATGATGATCCCTCGCAGTGCATGCGCCCCTTCCACGTTTCCAGTCTTGAAATTACCATTATCATCAAACATCTCGGCATGGCTATTAATCAATGCTTCTGTAGTCGTGGTGAGACTAGATGCTCGGATTTTACGGAGTGTCTCCAACGAGTCTTCAGCTCGTGCAACCTGCTGGTCTATCTGTATCTGTGAGGCCGTACGAACCCAACGTCGAGAGTTCATGGTATCGATGGCATCAACGATAGTATCAATCGCTCCCGAACAGGCCTGGAGGAGTGGGATAGTTGACTGTCTCAGTGCGTCCAGCGTACGCGCACGAATAATCGTTTCCTCAACACCCTGGAAGGCGTTCATCAGCTCGGCACTTTGCTGCAATTGATGGCGACCAATGGCCTGGTCTCTCTTTTCGGCCGTAGTGTTAGCAGTAGATGCATCATTCGGTGAAAGCTTTTGCATGCTCTGGTCGCCGTGAATCCGAGCTATATGATATTCTAGCAGGGATAGTTCAGCCAAGAGTGTCTTCCGTAACGGCTCTTGTAGAGCTCTGACGTCGTCAGAATTCCAGCGACCCCGAGAAAAGTCCAGGGGAAGAAACGCCAGCAGTGGCTCGAGGGCCTTGACAGCACCAATGGATTTTCCTTTTGTCTCAAGGAGGTACGCCAGGTCTAGCTCTTCGCCGTTGAGACGTGACACAGTACACTTCAAAGGTATCTGCCCCAAGCGGAGCAGCTGTCCCATGTTGGCTAGGACCGCGTAGGATGTAGATTGCGGAAAAAATAGGACACAGCAGGCCGTACCCAGTCCGATGCCAATAGCACCAGGCTCGACCAAAACCTTGGGCAGAAGGGCCGTGAATGACGGCAATGCTGGACCAAAGAGTAGAAAGAGGTCGGAAATGATGATGCTGAATATCTGGGCCAGTGCAAACTTGTTGTTGGCGACCCTGAGACGTGACATGGCGTAGATGAAGACACAGATCATGACATAGAAGATGGCCGTGACTCGAGCATCGAACATGAATCCATTGTAGACAAGCTGCTGCGTCACGGTCGCAACGCTTTGTCCGGACTGCTGGACCTCAGCCACTACCTCCTGCTGCAGTTCCTGGAGACGAGCTTGGGTTTGAGGAGCTGGACGTGCAGCCAAAGCCGCCTTCATAGTGAGCAGACCCCAGGCCCAACCTAGACACATTCCAGCGAGAAGGGACAGCGACGCGAGTAGGTATACGAACAAGATCCCCGCCGGGGGAACTATGTAGAGCACCAGAGCGCCGAAGAAAGTGGCGATGCCGATTCGTTGCAGTGCGGGACCGATAAAAATCAACAGTGTTGCAACCCATGCTGCAGTCCAACAACGGAAAAGCACCTTCAAGTCGCGTAGGTTGAAATGGTCCAGCCAAGCAGGCAAGGCGATGCGCGACGGTTTGGCCGCAGCTGCCGCATGGCTGGAGGATTCCCGTCTGCTTGACATTATTGGAGCTTCATGATGCTGCACGGAATATCCTCGGTGCAGTTGAAGGAGGGGCCCAGAAGCATCAGGGTCAGCTCCGCCGGAATTGGTTCCTGGGGAGGCCTGGACCTCTGGTTGCACGCGGCCCGAGACGACGTCATCATCGAGGTTGTTTCTTCTGGAGATTGACCTGGATCACGATGGAGGCAATACTTGCTAACCAACAACCGAAGTGTCAGTATGTTCATATATCGTTCAACTCTCCAATTTGTGTGATTGGCTCTGGAACTGAAAACTGCGAAACTGATAGAATGGATGGGTTGAGGAAAATAGAAATAGTGAAAGTGGGCCACAAATGCCAAGCCAAGTGATTGCGGGATGGCCCGCATTGGGTCTAGTGGTCACGGGATGCTTTGACGGGTTTGGTCCCTTTGCATCATTTGCAGCCGGTGCAACTTTCGAAAAACAAACACCTGGTCCATGCTCGTCAGGGTAGATTATGAAAAGAGCGATGCATATCGTCTAATTCAACACAGTTACATATGTACTATCATTATATAAGAATTTTCCAATCAGGTATCCTATGGGAACATCACCCGGCCTCACCAGGCAATCTTCGCGATGGGTCCCCTCGGAAACATGCGCACCAACACCTTCCGTAACTCATCCATGACCAAAACACCAAACGCTAATCCCAATGGAATGAACCAGAACTCCAGCGGAATCGATGCAGTCTTGAACAGGGACTGGAGTCCCGGCTCTTCCGTCACGAAAATGGCAATGACCAACGAAATGAGCATGGCCAGGGGAAGCCACAGGTTGCGTCGTCCCTTGCGGATAGGATCGGCCTGCAAGATGGACATGCGCTTGCTCCGGACAGATAGAACGTTGCCCCATTGCATGATCACCAGGGTAACGAAATAGACGCTTTGTCCAACATAGTTGAAGTGCGTCAGCTCGGCCTCGGTATAGCCGTAGAATCCGTCGGAGTATTTCTCAAACGCGAACACCAGCGCGTGGAACGGAATACCCGCTTTCTTGTACATGTACAGAAAGAACATGATATGCGCACAGAATGCTTCCATGATACCCACGAACAGGTATGACTGACCGTAAATCTTCAGGTTGATCAGGTGGTCGCTCTTGTGGTTGCGAGGAGGGAGGCCGAGCAAGTCGAACTCCTCTTTCTCCATGATGAGTGATAGCGATAGGAACAGATCTGTGAAAACACAGATAATGATCATCAGGAAAGAGCTCAATGGCAAGGGTAATCCGAAAAAGACATTCATAATCACTGGCCAGATTTCCGACCAACTGCCCGCTGGTAGCAGATAGGCGATGACCTTTTGGAGGTTCTGAAACACCAATCGACCCAGCCGGATGGCTTCCACAATGGAGTCGAACTTGTCCAATAACACCAGGTCCGCCGCCTCAATGGCCACATCGCTGCCGGAGACAACGGCAATTCCGATATCAGCCGCGCGTAAGGCAGGGGCGTCGTTGACCCCGTCACCTGTCACGGCCACGACGCTATCACGGGCCTTTAGCTCCTCAACGATACGGAGCTTCTGCTCCGGGGTGGTGCGGGCAAAGACGATTTCCTCATACTGGCAGATGGAGTTCCACTGGTCCTCGTTGAGGGTAGAGATTTGTGATCCTTCCACCATCAAGCTCCGCCTCGAACTTTGCTGGTCTTTCTCCCTATGAGGTGATGCCACCGGCGACAAGAGGTCCGCGACCGAATCGGGCTCTGCAGTGCCGGTGAAAATGCCAATGTCTCGAGCAATTGCAGCGGCAGTCAGGCCAAAGTCGCCCGTCACCATGAAAAAACGGATGCCAGCCCGTCGGCAGGCGGCAACAGTGTCGAGGATCTCCGGACGGGGGGGGTCGATGATGCCAAAGATACCGATAATGGTGAGGTCTTGCACGCCATTGGCCAACATCTCTTCGTTGAACTGATTTGTGCCAACCGCAGCGGCCGGGGCATATTCGCGTTGGCACAGCACAATCACTCTCTGAGCGCGTCGAGATAGCTTTTGTTGAAAGGCAGAAAACATATCCTTGGCGGCAGCATCTAGGGGCTTGGCCACTCCGTCTCTCGACCAATATGAAGTGCACTTGGGGAGAAGGACATCTGGGGCACCTTTGACATAGACTAGGCAGTGGGTAGACGAAGTCGGGTTATTGTGGACAGTGAGCATCCATTTGTTCTTTGAGTTGAAGGGAATCTGGTGGATGCGTTCAGATTCGTCAGGGCGACTCCCTTCATGCGGTCCCAGGGTTTCGGCCAAACGCAAAACAGCCGCGTCCGTTGCATTCCCGTTGACAGCTCGTTCATTGATTGGTAAACTCAAGGTTTCCTGGTCAAAAAATGCGTCGTTGCACAGCTTGGAACCTCGCAGCAGGGGCTCAAGGGCCAGGGGGAGTGGAACCGACTTCTGCTGCTCGCCCACCAACTCATCCACACTGAATTCTTGGTCAACAAGTCCGACCGATTGCACAAACATCTTGTTTTGTGTTAGCGTGCCGGTTTTGTCGGAGCAGATAACATTGACGCAACCCAGGGTCTCCACGGTGGCTAGTCCCTTGGGCAAGATGTTATTCGCCTTCATCCTCTTCGCGACGATCATGAGGGTCAGGGCGACGCCGACGGGCATTCCTTCGGGGATGAAGGCGACCACACAACCCATCACATCGTTCAACATTTCCACGACATTCATAAATGCCGGGTGCTCAACTCGTAGCCAGCCAACCCAGGTGAAGAGGATAAGGGCCGCTAGTATAACCGTGAGCACCACGACGATCCGGACGAAGCGGGTGATTTCCTTCTGGATGAGTGTTGGCTTTTCTTTCACGCCAGCTGTGATCGATGCCAGGCGACCCATAACCGACCGGCTTCCAGTCAGGACAACAACCCCAATAGCATTGCCGTTGGTGACACTGGTGCCCATGAAGGCGATATTGCGTGTCTCCAGGAAGTTCTGATCCGTTGCATCGGTGGCACCGTCGACCTCGTCCGACTCGCCCGTCAGGATGGATCGGTCAAATCGAACATCACCCGAGCTCTTGATGATGCGCATGTCAGCGGGCACTTTGTTGCCTATAGAGATCTGAACAACATCCCCAGCGACCAGGTCGGTAGCTGGTAATCTGATAAGGCTCCCTTCACGCAGGACCAGAGCTTCCGCCGGCAGAAGGCCCAAGATCGAATTCATCACGCGCGACGTCGACCAATCCTGAAAGGCGGAGAAAGAGGCTTGCAGGACAATGACGATGATTACCAGGATCGCCATGGCTAGATTTGTGACGGAGGGAGGGTTGCTGAGAGGCTTCCAGCACAGGAAGAAGACGATCACACCAACCCAGAGGACGGAGCAGAATCCACCGAAAACATAGCCCAGGATTTTCTTCAGGTAGTTCTCTCTGTGATGTGCAATGATGTTCTTTCCATCTCGTTGCAGACGAGTCGCTGCCGAATCAGTACTCAGCCCGTGATTTGCGTCGACGTTGAACTGCTGACACAACCGGTCGGCACTGAGCACATGAAAGTCTAAACCTTCAAAGTAATCTTGGTTTGGCTTCTTGTCATCCTTTCCTCGTTCTTTCAGTACGTGCTCTGGGGCTGTTTGGGACTCGGAGATCTGGAATGAGATGGTACGATACTCGATCGGGATACCGACTGCCGCTGAGGATTGGGGAATGTTGCGTGCGCTTCGGATGGTGTCACGGCTGCGGGAACGTTTGACCCCAGGAGAATAGATGGAACGGCTGCCGTCTGGGGAATGAGGACCGTGGAAGGTGATATGCTGCGATTGGGTGGTGTTTCGCACATGCTCGTTGGGAGGTTTGTCATCAGCCTCCAGGTCCGCGACGGAGGATGCGTCTGTTGGCTGGTCTACAGACGCAGCACTGGCTGTAGGGGTGGACATGATAACGAAGACGACAAGAAGAAAGATTTGACAAAGACAGATGAAGAGGCTGACGATAAAATGGAATGACACGCCGAAGCGCAGGCCCCTTCACGAAGTAGATGTACAAAAGAAGGTCACTGAAAAGATGTGGTTTGCTAAAGCATTGTAGAGCCAGGACTAGGGAAGCCCGGGGTGTATTTATTGCCTCCGACACAGTCATGATGGCTCTCGTACCAGGCCGAAAAGGTCATGGTACGGTGTATGATAGTGCATCTGCTGCTTGGGGAGGGGAGAAGAAAATATCTGTCAGGGCTTGTGGGCTGGGAAGGCAAACCATTTCCACGTAGTGAATGACAAAGGATTTGCGGATCCCCAAAGGAATCAAAGCAATTAGGGCTTTTCATGCTTCCCGTCCAAAGGAGTCCGAATGCAGGTTGCGACATGTTGAGGATAGGAGCCTGAGAAATCCCTCATTCGCCCTGTGGATCCCAGGTGGTCCTACCGTGGTTTCTCGGGCCCAGGAAAGGTACTGTTCAGGTCCCCGTTCCCAGAACGCAGGGGAAAAGCGAGAAAGAAGTGCATCTGACGCATGGTACTGCACATTGTCACTCTCCCAAGCTCATACGAGAGTCTCCGTATGGTGTCTTTCTAGATTTGCGGTCTCCCATGCTTTCTTACTGCCGAGAACCTTATTCCATGAAACACGAGCATCCTTCCTGAGTGTTGGAAAATGTCGCACATGGGGAATAGGCGGCACGGCACTTGACAACCAGCATCTGCACCGACGGAGGTGCTGGTCATAGCTTCGCCTACTGCAGATAGACTCGCCGTGACTGTTTCCCGATTGGTTCGTCTCCGGAACAAGCATTTCCAAGTGGGGTTGCTGTAGTGTGTAGAAAGTCAGTAGATATAGCTGCCCCCTGTCTATTCGTGTTGCCTGCTTCCAGCTCAAAGCAAAAGGTTGCAAGGGCTTGTTCCATCGATGTTCCTCTCCCAATCCTCGACTTTCGAGCGGATGATTGTAGGTTGCCTTCGCACAGACGTCGCATTCGCGGCGCGCCTAGCATAGAATTAATTTCGCCTCGTGCCGAAACCGTCCCGCGGGATTTTTCTGGCCCAGCAACCTTTGGTCTCGGTCTGTGACGTTTGGGGGGAGCAAGTTCTGTGTGGGTGACGGGTGGAGGCGCAGTCCGGACAAACGAATCGCTCAGAATAATCCCGCATACAAAAAGCGTGCGGGTTGCCACCTGGCGACGGCAGAAATTTTTGCATGGCTGACTACCAGACCACATTTGTTTTTAGTGTCTGTGTGTGTGATTTTGATATCGGTAATCATAATCTCTAACCTAAGGCCTGGTTAGGAATGATTGGCACTTGAGTCAGTGTCCACTTGTAGTTGACGGGGTTTGCCTCCCCGAGCAATGGGGACCGGACCAAGACATGTCCGGTCTTGTTTCTTGATGGGGTCGTATAGGATTTTCTCCCACAGGCAAATTGACGCGTTTCCTTCTTTTGAACTGTCGGCTTCAGAATAAGCAAGCTGTGACATCCGTCACTCCATACGAGGGCCGCCTATTCGTTGGTAGCACGCCATGGTCTCTCACCTTTGACGAAACCTCAATGTGTGGCCCGGTTGTCTCTGATGGTCGTATGCGAGGATTAGCAAGTGAGGCCCTATGCATACAGATAGCTTGATCAAAACAACGCCAGAGCATCAGGATGTGACAATCAGGACCCCGGATGCATTCTCTTGCCGCCATATACATGCACATCAAGTCGCGTAACCAGATCTTCCAAAATTCTACTCACTGTCTGACAAAGGTGACCTTTCTAGCTAACCAACATCCAAAGACTACGCTGGTTATATCGCCATGATCATCACGTTGGAATACGACCGTCCAATTACCTGGTGCCGGCGCATCCAAGCCACGTGCGCACATGAGAACCCAGATATCATCTCCCAGATATCGCATAAGCTCGGCGGGCCCTTGGCCCAAACATCCTTCGAAGGATCCATACAGCATGCCCCTCCCCCCAGTACAGTGGAACGTGGAGTCTACTTCCGCACAGTGATATCGGCCGACATAGTCCCCTTTGGACGGCTGTTGGCCAGCAGTGATACGCTTGGCATGGATATGGCGGTTATCATCGATACGGTGAAGGAAGAGGCTATCGGCACTGATTTTCGCAGTCGTACAGCCAGATTGAGCGCTGCATTCATCGACAAGGCTCAGGGTCTCGTCGTCGCCCGTATACGTGACGATGATCTGACCTGGACCACCAAGCCGGACTTCGATTGCCAACTGAGCATCCGGGTCAAAGAAATAGCCAACCCAGCTTGGGGATGAATTAGAAATCAGGGGATGCTGTTTAGGGAGACCAAGTGCTTCCTGGAGAATGTGTCCCGCCACCGCTGCGGCGTCAGCCTGATGATTGAGCATAACCACAACTGACAGTCGCTCCGATGGGGCCTGGATCCGGTGCAGACGGAATCCACGAATAGCTCCACCATGGCCAATAGTAGCTATCTGTCCGAACTTCATACGCTCCAACCCATATCCGTACCTGGCTGGTGTGCCATCTTCAAATGTTGGGTCTTGGGCGATCTCTCTATACAGGCTTTGCTGGTCGGCCCAGGCCTCGCCCAGATAACGCTCATACGCAACCATATCCTCTAGAGAGGCCACGGCACCTGCGTCGCCAGACCATTGAGTACGGTTAATCGCTGGGATATAGCCAAAGGACTCGTCCCCTTCATACCCCACACAAGGCGGGGGCAAATTGGCGTTGTCTGCGCAGAGGGAAGCGGTTTTCATCTGGGCGGGTGAGAAGAGGCGCTCATCGAGCAGTTCCCCAAGTGCTTTCCCGCTGACGTGCTCGACGACTCGGGCCAGGATATGGAAGTTGAGGTTACAATACGAATACTGCGTGCCTGGCTGATAATGCAGAGACTTGGTGCGACCGAGGGCTTTCTTGGCATCGTCCGCAAGGGTGAATCCACCCTCCGGTTGTGTTCCCCAGAACATTGACATGGCCCAATAATCCCGAATGCCAGACTGGTTGTTGTACAGATGGTCAAGTCGGAGCCCGGTGCCTTCGACGAGCTCGTGCGGGACCAATTGGCGGAGAGCATCCGAGAACTGCTGAGGCACGTTGCCCCGCTTCGCCATCTCGGGCGTGGGGTTGCGCTCGAGATCTTTCAGGATGAGACACAGCATCTGCTTGGTGATCGAACAGATCGGCATCATGGTTGATGGGGTCATGGGGATTCGGCTCCGTAGATCGGCATAGCCCCAGACGTGTTTTCCGATGAGCTCGCCATTTTTTACAACCGCGACCGCTCCACCAGGGCCTCGATAACGCGATGGGACCGTCTCCAGGATATCTTGAATGTTGGCGACCGTCACTGGAGATCTACGAGTTAGCAAATTGATTGTTGCGCGTGGGGGACAGCTCACTTGTATGGAATGCAACAGTCGAACCTTGGGAAATGCCTTGCTTAATCGTGAATAGCAGGAAGTGGCAGGAGAGAGCGAGGTCTTGGTTCGGATCCCTCAGTCGTACCACTTGTCTAACCCGAATCGGTAGGTCTATGCGGCTATCTTATCGAGTGTCCAGTGCAAAGGAATACACGATCAACACAACATGCTGCCTACAGAATAATTTCCCGCATATCTTGCCAAGACCCCTAGGCACGCTATCACCGCCATAGCCATAATAACTCCAGCAATTAAGACGCCGGGAAGGTAGATCAACAGCAGCGCCGTCACCGTCTCGTCCTGGGCTCTTCTTTCGCTCTCAGACACGAATACACGACAAACAGCAGCAGATCCCACCATGCCTGAGCCGCCAGAAACATCAGCCCCCAATTCGGTTGCCGTGGACCCAGGCCGAGGTATTTGTACCCCAGCCATACCCCAATGTGAGCTCCCGCCAGAACCAGCTTCCCGACCGCGGAGACCCCGACCACGATTTTCCGCTGCATTGTTGGACCGCCGGCCTCATCATAGAGGATGAAGATCAGGTAACCGACCCAGAAACTGAGCGAAATGGTGAGGCATAGCGATGCGAAGTATGGAAGCAAGGGAGCCGACACTGGAGGGGACTTGAGATGTGGTCAGCTAGGAAACCCCATTATGGAAGGGAACGTACCAGGTCTGGAGGTGCGTAGCTTCGATATGCCCAGGCAGTAGAGACAATAGTAGTGCCGGTGAAAGTGAGGGCGCTTAATGTTTGAATGACAGGAACGGCCGGATCGGGTGGAACGGCTGGGATGACGATGGCGCTCCGTCGGCGGAAAGATTGGTACCTGTGCTGGGTAGCCGAGGCATACGACGGCAAGAGGGGCTCCGTTGACATGGCTGCCTGGCACTGTGCCAAGTGTAGATAGTTTGGAATGGAATGGAGCCGTGGTCTGTGGTCTGGGAATCAAGCTCTGGATGAGAGTGGGGAGGAAGCGGCGGTGGGGATCCACGATAGTCACATGATTTTGATCAGTTTGCTGGGTTTGTTTGGATTGGCAACAGCGAGAAAAAAAATATCCCCGCATGACGACATCAAGTTGCTCACAACCTAATGTTTTCGACATTGACAACTGAAAAGCAACACATTTGTCACCTTGTCGCAAAAGGCCCCACTCTCCGGGATATTGAATGCCTCTCGGATACTCCGAGGGCGACTTCGGGATGGCAATGGGCCGCTATGCCCCTTCCAGATGACCGTGTCGCCGTCCACAAGCTGGAGTGACTCAATGACTGAGCAAACCCCGCACGACTCTCAAGATCTGATCCGAGGGGGGCTGTATAGGCAACAGCAAACCACTACTTTGTTGAGATCTAGCCAACCCCTGCAAGACTATAAATAAAGCGTGCTTGCTGACGTGCTAGATTGTCTCCATCAGTCATATTTCCTTTATCAACCCTGTCAGTCCTCCAAAATGTCCACCGCCGCTGAAACCGAACGCGCTGCCGCTCTTCTCGATGCCCAAAACAAAGCTGCACAGCTCTTCGAAGAGATCGAACGAGACCTAATCCGTCCCGGCGTCAGCGAGAAAGTTCTCAGCAAGGAAATCCACGAACTCGGTGCGAAGCGCCATGGGGTCCGGACTCACTGGCACAAACGCGTCGTGCGCAGCGGACCCAACACCCTGAGCCCTTTTGCTGAGAACCCTCCGGACCGCATCATCCAGTCGGACGACATCCTCGTCGTCGACCTCGGTCCCGTCTTTGAGGAGTGGGAGGCGGATTTTGGGCGCACATACGTTCTGGGCGATGACCCGGCCAAGATCAAACTGCGGGATGCTCTTGACCCTATCTGGCACACCGTCAAGGGGCGTTTTCGTGAGAACCCGGATATGACCGCGGAGGAGTTGTATGCGATCTCCTGCGAGGTGGTACAACAAGCGGGGTGGGATTTTGGCGCTCCTATCGCGGGTCATCTGGTTGGGTCTTTTCCGCATGAGAGAATCCCGAACGACAAGATTAGTCTTTACATTGCCAAGGGGAACAGCGATAAGATGATGGTTCCGGGGCGTGATGGACACATGCGGCATTGGATCCTGGAGATCCACATTCACGATCGTGCTCGTGGGTTTGGTGGATTCTGCGAGCAGCTATTGACCGTGGATTGAGTCAAACCCTCTGTATCCGGGGTCGATGAGGTTGGCAATACGGGAGAGCCTGTTATACCTTAATATTCACCTAATATCAAGCTTGATTATTAAATATCAGTATTTTCTTTGCAGTTCTGAATATGGTCGTTCAAACGGAAGGAACATAAGCCTGTCGCAGCGGACCTATAGAGCGGGTACGATAACCAGTCCTCAGTTGTTGAGCTGCGGATATGATATTGCAACACAAGTATGGATCGCGTCAGTTACTTCAATTATGGCCCTAGATGGTGCTAACCTTCCAGTTGTCGTTCAACCCTTCTGGTTGCTCGGTACAACAAGTCATCAGCCGTGTTACCTCCGGGTGATAAGCGGGGAAGCCGAGCGATAAGACGACCACAGGTCTTTCGGCGTAACACCAGCCTCAATTGACCTCCAACCTTCCTGTCCGATCAGCAAGTAATGAGATTGTTGAAAGCATTACCGCCATGACTCCCCGCCCCGTCATTGCCATCGCCGGCCTCGCCTGCGAGACGTCCATGTTTACCCCCGCCCGTACACGGGCCCCCGCATTTCACCCCCGACGCGCCCTCGAGATCATCGACGAATACCCCTTCCTCCAACCCGGCACATCCCTGGGAGATGCAGCTGTCTGGCGCGGGGCGCTGATCGGTCACGCACTCCCTGGAGGTATCGTGGTTCGGGACTCTTTCGAAGAACTGGCTGGAGAGATTATCACACGTTTAACCGATATCGCCGCGTCGACACCACTGGACGGATTATGGTTCGACATTCATGGCGCCATGTGTGTGGAAGGTCTTGACGATGCGGAAGCCGAGCTGCTGCGCAGGATCCGAGCGGTGATCGGACCAGAGGTTATCGTATCGGCGTCGATGGATCTCCACGGCAATGTCTCGCGCAACCTGGCACATCAGACGGACCTGATTACTTGTTATCGGATGGCGCCTCATGAAGATGAAAGAGAGACGAAGGAACGGGCGTGTCGGAATTTGGTCGATTTACTCGCACAACAGGAGGATGGCGAAGTGCGCCGACCACTCAAAGCATGGATTCCCCTTCCTATATTGCTCCCTGGCGAGCAGACGTCGACGCGCGTGGAACCTGCCAAAAGCCTTTATGAACTGGTGCCAAAGGTGGAATCACTGCCGGGAATCATCGATGCAGCAATCTGGGTCGGATATGCCTGGGCCGATGAACCACGTAATCGGGCAGCCGTGGTGGTCACAGGAACATGCGAGGAAGCTGTTGCGGCTGGGGCGGAGCGACTGGCGAGGAGGTTCTGGGATGTCCATGCCGACTTTCACTTTGTCGGCCCGACAGGCTCTTTTGCGGACTGTATCAATGCGGCATTAAAATCACATGCACGGCCATTCTTCATCTCGGACTCGGGCGACAATCCGACCGCTGGGGGCTCGGGGGACGTTACTTGGGGCCTGACGCAGCTGCTGGCACGACCCGAATTCCAGCATGCATCCGGACCGACAGTCATCTACGCCAGTTTACCCGGACCACAAGCGGTACAGACAATGGTGGAAGCGGGCATTGGGGCCACTGTCACTGTCACGGCAGGGGCCGAAGTAGACTACACCCACGCGGGTCCTCTCACGATGACTGGACGGGTGCATGCGATCAGACAAGGCGATAAAGATGCCGTGATTGAGGCGGTTCTACAAGTTGGATCGGTGTTTGCGATTCTGACCCAACTCCGCAAGCCGTATCACCACGAACACGACTTTACTGATTTGAATCTCCGACCACGGTCGGCAGACATCGTCATCGTTAAAATTGGGTATTTGGAGCCGGAGCTATTCGACATGGCGGCTGACTGGTTGCTGGCGTTGACTACGGGGGGAGTGGATCAAGATTTGGAGCGACTGGGACATCGTCGGATATGTCGCCCGATGTGGCCATTCGACAAGGTGTTTCCTGTGCCTCCTGACCTTTGTGCACGGATGATTCCACCTTCAAATGAGACTGTCTCGTAGGGATGTTTGAGACAGGCATTTATTTCTAGACTCTGTCCATGTCCTGGGCCACCCTTCCTGCTGCATGGCTCTTACTGTATCTTTGGGAGAGAGTAACTCTATCTTCCCGTGATGAGAGTCCTTTCCTGGCCCAGTACTTCGTCACAACATTCTTATCCGCTGAAGCACCCATACACTGGCCGCAGTGTCATCACAAATGCGAGACCTTCCTGAACACATTCCTATATCTAGATATTACCTCCATCGACTGTTTCCAGTACTATTAGATCCACTTGGTATATTAGGAAACAATGTCTTGTCTAGAAAATGGCCCTCCATACGCAAAGCATCTCAATGACGTCAGACCCAACCCACCGAGATCCGCTCGCCGCATCTGTCCTAGTCCCGAACCACGCACGTGACCCTCTCTTCCGAAAATAGATCCACAAATTTTCCCACTCCCTACCAGTCAGATGACCCGTCACCCAACACCTGCTCCCAGCCTCACACACATCTCACCATTCTTTATTCCCCCGCCACCTTGCAGTGTCAGATGTCAGATCCAGCCAAGCCAAGCCAAGCCCTCACAATCACCACAATACACTGCATGAGCAAGCACTCATCTATTCTCCGAGACATGCTAAATTAGTTCTCACTTTGCAGCCTATATTTTTGGATGGGATACGAGCGGGGGATGGTGCCAAGAGATAAGACTGCCATGCCAATGCTTACTATGGAGTACTACTACTTGTTTTACCGGGCGAATATATATCCAGACGAGAGACGGGTTTTTTTTGGAGATGAATGTAATTGGGGATGTGGGTGGGAGTGGAAGTAGGAGGACTTGAGACATCGTGTTATTTGTGACATCTGTCAGGTAGGTATTATTAGGATAGGTAGGTAGATAGGTAGTAGTTAATTGCACCTGATTAAGTCACAGCATTGTTTTCCTATTTAGAACTGTCGCTCTCGTATAATTATAACTTAGAATAGGTAATAAAACACCTGTTTCATGAATCAAGTAATCTTCTACGGAGCACCTAAATCCTAATCCTAAGAATAATAATAATATCCTATAATCTCACTCGTGGAACAACAAAGGAAACTTATCCGATTCGATACCTAGACCTAGACCGACCTATCTACTCTTACAGGCTAAATAACGGCCCTTCCTATCAGACACTAGTGAGGCACTATCGAAGTGGATGCGGCCTGCCCCCTTCAATTTCCTGTTTCTGTCCGTGTCTTCTGATGGTTTGCTGGGGGTACCGTAGTAGTAATCTCCACAATGCTTACTGCTCGACTTAAGGTGTAAGCTGGAGCATCCACCCACTCACTCAGCGAGTTATTGATAATATTGAAGGTATTCGTATAATTTTACACCCGATAGAAGAATGAATACTACGAATAATAATAAAATGGACATACAAACAATACATGTATATATTGACTTGCACTAATACATCTCCCCTACTAACTAACCACTATCATCCCCTTCACACCAACCCATTAATCCCACCAAAAATAAAAAAAAAAACTATAACTCTCTACAAAAGAATCATACCAGTACCAGACAACAGACCAACGGCCACAAACACAGCCAGTTGACCCAGACCCAGAGAGGTAGTGTAGCTCGAGTACCCAGGGATACCAGCGGAGCTACTCTTCGAGCCACTGCTACCGCTGCTCGAGTCACCGGTGCTAGTACCAGCAGCAGCAGAGAGAGAGACGGTGCCGGTACCGGCGGTACCGACGGCACTGAGCAGGGAGGAGCAAGTACCGGTCGGGGAGACGGTAGAGGTGATGGTGGCGGAACCGCCAAAGTCACAGGCCGAGGTACCGCCCTTGGCCTTGTTCTCCTCGTAGTAGGCGTTCAGAGCCCAGTTGAGCATCTGCTTGGAGTTGCACATGGAGTAGGCGCCGTAGACGCCGGAGGTGGTGTTGGTGTCGATACCGCCGCAGACGCCGTAGCCGCACACGGTGCCGAACATGTCCGAGTACTTCTTGGACGAGACGGAGTCCTTGACCACGCAGCTGAGGGTTTCCTCCATGCAGGAGCAGAGCTCGGCGTTCGGGGCCGGGGGCAGGTTGCTGGCGGCGTCCCAGGAGGCTCCGACGGTGGGGCACGACCGGGCCACGGTGTTGGTGGGGGTGTAGCTGGCGCTGTTGGTGCCGGTGGGGCTGACCGAGTTGATTTCCTTGGAGTAGGAGGAGAAGCCGGTTAGGGTGCTGACGGAGCCGTCGGAGATGGTGACCAGACCTGGGGAGGGTTAGTGGGGGGTGCGTGGATGTGGTAGGGGATGGGGATGGGGATGGGGGGTACCGTAGTCGTTGGCATCCTGGAAGTATTCGTAGACGATACCACCGCTGAGCCAGTCGTCCATCTCGGAACCGTACATGACGGGGACGTTGCTGAAGGAACGGGGCTGGACGGTGATGCAACCGTACTCGGAGAAGAAGTAGGGGACGGAGTAGTTCTTGAGGTCCTCGGTCATGACGTTGTAGCCGGACTCGGTGTAGCTGGAGTCACCGCACCACTCGTAGACGTTGTCACCGAAGAAGTCGACGGCGTCGGTCTGGTCACCGCAGTTGAAGTAGGCGACCAGGTCGTCTCGGATGGCGCTGGCATCGGCGGCGGAGTAACCGACACCGATGTCGCGGTAGCCCTTGGTCTTGATGTAGGCCTTCATGTCACGAACGGCGGCCTTGACGAAGGCACTGGCGCCGGTGTTGTTGGCCCGGTTGGAGTTCTCGTTACCGGCGAAGAAACCCATGGTGTTGGTGTAGTTGGCCAGGGAGTCGACGACACTGGCGTAGAAGTCGTACAGCTCCAGGTTCCACTGGGGGTCGTCGCTGGTGATGGAGTAGTCGGAGGTGGACAGATCCGCCAGCACGTAGATGCCGGCATCGGCAAACAGGTTCATGCAGGTGGTGTGGTCGGCATCGGGGTCGACCTGGTAGACACGCACCACGTTGGTGTTGAGTTCCTGCAGGTAGGGCAGATCCCGCTTGCAGATGGTTTCGTTGGCCAGAGGATCGACGTAATCAACCGTGCCAGCGGAGGTCGTCGTGCCTGTACCATCGTAGGTGGCTGTGAAAGGATTGAGTTAATTTGGAATTGACCGGGCAGACACGAAGGTGATGGATGTCTTACGCTGGTAGGCCACACCACGGATGAAGCTGATGGAGGTTAGCCCGGGTTCAGTAGATAGAAGGATCCAGAAGGAGACTCACAATTCAGTGCCGTTGTTCTCGTAGAAGAATTTGGATCCCTGGGAGAGTTTGTTAAGATCGGGGGAAGAGGGAGAGTGGCCTGATGGAGCCCACCTTGATGACGATGGCTGGGACAGAAGCGACAGCCACGTCGACGAGAGCAGCCGCCGCTGCGACGGAGGCGGCGAGCTTCATAGTGAGTGGTGGTGAAAAAGAAGAATACGATAGAACGAGTGTGGGTTGTATTACAGTCGAGCGAGTGTGGTGGGAATAAAGAGAAAACCAAGCAAAAAGGCTAAGCAGAAGGCAAGATGGATGGATGAGAGAAAGAGAAGAAGAGTAATCCGGAACGAGGGACTAAGAGGGATAAGAGGGATTAATGGAAAGCGATGGAGACGGGCGAGGCGAATTCCTGCTACTAGTCTGGACTCTTATTAGGGCCGCATTGCCTGCTGCCTAAGCGATTGGCCCCCTGAAGTCCATCCGAGTTGACCAGTGGCCACCAGCAGGTTGGCGGTTTGTCTGAGGGCTACGCTTACTAGTTGGTAGTTGGAAGGATGGCGGGCCTCCACACCACCGGCCCTTTCTCAGCCTCGCTGCCACTCCAGCATCCGCCCCGGACAGCCTCTGCAGGCTTCGTGGACAGGCGATATGGTATCACGGATTAGACTCCATGAATGACTTCTTGGCCCATCTCTTGGCTTTGCTTAACGACTCTTGGGAGTTCCCACGGGCGGGGCTCGGGTCCATCCGGCTCAGTGACTGACCGACGATCGGTGTAACTGGGCTCGGGTATGGATAAGTTTTGTTCCCTGCGGGCTGGAGAAAGGGTAGAAAAATTCTATAATTACGACTACTAGTCCAGGGAGTGAGAGGGTCAAGGGTTGAGGGTCAAGGGTCGAGGATCGAGGATCGAGGGTTTTCAGGGCTTTCGCCCACCCGCCCACCAGCCCCTGAACGAGGTCGATGCGAAAGAATTCTTACGACGAGCAAACAAGTAAGTCCCTCGCCTCGGACTTTTGGCCCTCGGACAAGTCGGCCCAGCGAGCCATGGTTACTCACTCCTCTGGTGAAATTTTATTCCACGTGCCGGTCATCCACTCATCAGCAGCATAATAATAGAATCCAGCAGGAATCAGAATCAGGTCAAACCATGTCAGACAAATGTCTTAATCATCCGTTTGATTGCTGTTGACGCGTTACGAGGGATGATCCCTGCGCGCCGTCGCTCGGGAGGGCCCCAACAGGACATTCCAACCAACCAGCCGACCGGCCGGTTTCAGATGGGCGGTCTCGGGGGCGATGGATGAGTGATGGAGCGAAAAAAGCATGGGATTGGGGGGTGGGCAGAAGCAAGCATCTTATGGGGAGTGTCGTCACCCCTCTTTCAGCAAGCCTTTCAGTCGGGCCATCAGGGCATCGGGTAACGATCGGCACTGGACGTGCGGAACCCCCGGAGATCCGTCGGACTGCCGACAATGACGTCCTCTTTGGGCTTAGCGTGGTGTATGCCACAATTGCCGCCTTGGCGGGATTACGTGAGACATTTTGTCTTCTATCTTCCTATCTCTGCATCTCTCAGCATGATTGTGTGAATATTATTGTGTGGATGTGCTTCACTGCATACTGGATTGGAAACAATGCAGAAATCAAGCTCATTGTAAGCACTTAGGTGTACCCCATGTCCTGCACCCCTCTCCCCCAGCCGGGTTGCCAGCCGGATTTCATTCCCATCGGCCCCCGTCGGTGCATGAGACTTCCTATCGACAACAGCAGACTCCATGCAGCGGCGTAAGGCAGACCTTATCGGCTTCTCTATCTCACCACAATCTGGCATTGGACAATGGACTACGAGACTCGTATGCCGGTGGGCCAGGGTTCTGGGGATACCACGCTACCAGTGGTTCGTTGCCCCCGGCCTACAAGCGATGCCAACCGGGCTGCCACCTCCTTATCGAGTCCAATGAGCTCGTCGGGATTGTAGAAAAGGCGCAATCACTTTACACACCATATCCTTCCTTTAGATCCTGCCTTATCGGAAGCTCGCGCTAAAAATGCTTAGCATGCATGGCTTATTGCTTGCCGACCCTGAGCGCTGGCAACAGCCACTCGCACGTTGCCATTCTTATCGCCAGGAACTCCATGTGGCAACCATCAGGTCTTCCTGCTGCCGCCGTTGCTGCTATGGGCGCACCGTCGGGGAGGGTGGTCCCTCCTATATAACCGGGCTGTCCCGTCTTGGTCTTGCCTCGTAGGAAGGCATCCGCACCTCGTTCATCGCCATCATGGAGAGCAAGTCGGCTAGTGTTTCTCCCGAGCTGGAGATACCCACCAGCTATGACGAGAAGAAGAGCAGCCAGGACTCTCCCATGGAGCCTCAGATGCTCGAAAAGGGTCAGACCGTGCACATCGGTGAGGATAGTGAGGACTTTGACAGCGACGTGGTGGTGAGCACCGCTCAGGATCTGGTCACGCATATCATCAAGGTCGAGGATGATCCGTCTCTGAACCCGTGGAGTTTCCGAATGGTCTTCCTGGGTGGGTATCCCTATTCCTTTACAACACGCGGGCATGTTCCCTCCGGACTAACATCACACAGGAGCGGGCTTGTCCATCTTCGGCGGTGTGCTTCAGGAGATCTTCTACTTCAAGCCACAGACCATCTACGTCTCGCAGGTCTTCTTGACCGTCATTGCCTACGTTCTGGGTGAAGCCATGGCCTATTTCATTCCCCGTCGGGGCTATATCGGTCGGCTGCTGAACCCCGGACCCTTCAACGCCAAAGAGCATGCTGCCATTTCCCTCATGTCCTCCGCCGCTACTCAGTCCGCCCTGGCCACCGAGGCCTTGTCGGCTCAACAGCTCTTCTACGGGGGCTACCCGAACCACGCCGCCGCTGTCTTCATCGTCCTCTCCTCCCAGCTGATCGGCTTCGGTATTGCGGGCCTGCTGCGCGATGTCATCGTCCGTCCCACCAAGATGATCTGGCCCATGACCCTGCCCATCACCAGTCTGCTAGAGTCATTGCACAAGGATAAGACCGAGGCCAAGGCGCGGATGAAGATCTTCTACATCTTCTTCTTCATCCTCTTCTTCTGGACCATCATTCCGGAGTACATCTTCCCCATCCTGGAAGGTTTCTCCATCTTCTGCTTGGCCGACCAGCACAGCTTGGTCTTCACCAACCTGTTTGGCGGTGCTTCCGGAAACGAGGGCCTGGGATTCTTGTCCCTGTCCTTTGATTGGAACTACATTGCCTCTCTGGGTTCGCCGCTGTGGTATCCGCTGTATGCCATGACCAACAACTTCATCGGATACTTGTTTTGCATCATCCTTTTCATGGCCATCTACTACGGCAACATCTGGCGCTCCCAGGACTTTCCCTTCCTGTCCCAGTTGCTCTACTACGGCGACTCCAACTCGACCTACTACCATCAGTATAACCAAACCCTGATCCTCAATTCTGAGTTCATCGTGGATCCCACAGCCCTCAAGGAGCAGGGCCTGCCTTGGCTGACCGGAACCTATGTGGTGTACCTCATCACCTCCAACATGGGCCTGACTGCCACGATTACTCACATGCTACTGTGGGATCTCGACGACATCAAGGTCGGCTGGGCCTGGGCTGCCCCAAGCAAGCTCAAGAAATTCCTGAAGCCGGAGACGTACAAGTTCTGGGCCAACCAGGAGACCCCCGAGGAGCGCCTGGCGCGCCGTGTCAACGACGACACGCTGGACCCTCACTACCGCCTGATGCTTCGCAACCTCTACCAAGACACCCCGTTGTGGTGGTGGGGTGCCGTCCTGATCGCCAGTTTTGCCGTCGGTCTGGGCTGTCTGTATGCCATGAAGTCCACGCTTCCCTGGTGGGGATTCATCGTCGGCAACATCATCACGCTCGTCTTCATGCTCTTCTTCGGCGCCCAGTACGGGTTGACCGGCTTCCAGTTCAACGTCCAGCCCATCTGTCAGATGTTGGCGGGCTACATGTTCCCAGGCAAGCCATTGGCCAGTACGTCTCACATCACCGATCTGGATCCAACCTATGCTAACCTCCCCAGACCTCTACTTCACTTGCTTCACCTACAACTCCCTGCAGCAGGGCCAAGTCCTGGCCAAGGATCTGCGACTCGCCCAGCAAGTGCATCTATCCCCACAATGCACCTTTTTCGTCCAAGTCGTAGGCTGTATCATCGGTGCTCTATTCAACTACGTGATGATGTTAATGTATGCCCCCTCCCCTACCACCACAAGCCACCCCCTAACCAACCCCCTCCACAGCATCGTCCGCAACCAATCTGAAGTCCTCATCTCCATCGACGGTACCAACATCTGGAGTGGAGCCAACGTCCAGATAAGTCCCCCATAAACCCTAAACCCATCCAACACCCAAACTAATCCCCCCTTACCAATTCAACAGTCTCGCCATAGCCTGGAGTATCGCCAACGACATGTTCTCCATCGGCGGTCGCTACCAATGGGTGACCATCTCCTACCTGGTCGGCTTCATCGTCCCCGTCCCCTTCTGGCTCGCCAACCGCTTCTACCCCCACCCGATCTTCTCCTACCTCAACACCTCCATCATCCTCTGGTACATGGGCTGGTTGTTCGTCGGCATCAACGCCTCTATCCTGAGTTACTTCCTCCTCGGTTTCGCAGCCCAGTTCTGGCTCCGTCGCTACCATCCCCAGATGTTCAACAAATATAATTATATCGTCTCGGCCGCCCTCGATGGAGGCACTCAGATTTGTGTCTTCATTTTGACTTTTGCGGTCTTTGGTGGAAGTGGCACTGAGCATCCGTTCCCGTGAGTGACCCTTCCCCCATCTCCTCTGTATCCTTCCCATGTAGACACATGCTGATGACCTGATGATTAGAACCTGGGCCGGTAACCCCAACACCGATATCCACAATCTGGATTACTGCAAGGTGAACCCGGCTACTCTGTAATTTGGATGTTTGATGTGATGGACTATCTCATGCATAAGTGATTTGCTATGCTGCATTACTGGCTGGCTCGCTTAGTGACAGGATCAGAGAGTTTGATCCCTGATGTAGTTATTATTCGATTAGGTGTATAGCGCAATATGTTAGTTAAGACATATAATGGAGAATATGTATTATAAGGGTACCGAGCACTGGCATTATTTCTATCGTGTCGATTGCTATGGTTTCATGCTGTAGTGATGATTAGTACATGTAGTGTATAGACTAAGGGGTCGTAGGTGGAATGAATTCGCTCCCCTGTACCTCCTGCATCCCTCTTAGGGATATATCAACTCCTTTGATTGTCAGGAGCAGATAAAGTCTATACGTGATACCAGCCAGAATCATACAGAAAACTAAGAACTGTGGCTACATCGCTAAGTTCTCATGAATGGCACACAGTCCAGTACATATACTTGACAAAAAAGTATAAAAGAAAATATTAATTAATTATCCTAATACATCTCCACATATCCACATATTTACACCAGGTATCTACTATACTACTCCTTCGCCCCAGCAAAAGGACATCCCGAAGCAGACACAGCTTCACCCTCCTCCACCTTCACCTGTTCATGTCCCTTGGCAATCTGACGGAACATGTCCAACGGGTCGAACCACACATCGATACGTTGCAGCTTCAATCCGTCGTTGACCTTGGCGATCACGATACCTTGGATATCGATCGTGCCGCCGTGGGCGGCGATTTTGACTTTTTCGCCCTTGCTATATTTCATGTATTAGCATTATCTCTGGTGGTTGTGTTTGTATTAGAGAAAGAGGGGGGGGGGGGGGGGGGGGATGTACTCATTATATCCAACATAATCCCTCGCCATCACACCCCAATGACGCCACTTGAAGACCACGACCGGCGGACCACTGTATACTTCCGTGACTTCCCAAGCGAAGGTAGGCATCATGCGCTTGAAGGACTTGTGGCTTTGTTCGAAGTCATTGTGTGCGGGGTCGTAGTACGCGCTCGGTGTGAGGAGGGCATTGTATGTGCCGACTTTCAGCATGTGTTCGCCGGTGAGCGGGGGTCCGCCGTTCAGAGTAAAGTGGTAGGTCTCGTGGTCGATGGTGCGCCAGTCGGCGAGGTTGGTCTTGAAGGAGGCTTCGATTTCCCAGTTCTTGACGAGGTTCTCGACGAGGAAGGGGAGGCTGCCGGATTCGTGGGTCATTGTTTTGGCTGTTGAGGGGGGTGGTTAGTATCAGAGGGAGTTGGTGATGGAGGGAGATGGGTGAGGGAGAATTACTCTCTTCGTAGTAGGCGCGAGTCTTGCTGTAATCTGGGGGTCCTCCGTGGCGCCATGCGGCGTCTTTGTCGTTGAGGACTGCATTGGGGTCGAGGACGAAATCGGGGAGTCCTGCTGCGTCGGCCATTGTGGTGTTTGATGGTTTGGTGAGTAGAGAGTATGGTGGACGAGGGGATGGGAAGGGGGCTGTTAGCATATAAATAAAGTCGAAACTTTGGCCGGTGGCATGCCCGTCCCCGCTTGTTAGGAGACGTGGCCTATAGCAATGACCTCGGTATGTGCTGCTAGATACCTAGGCAATATCCGCGACATTGATTGCACTAAAGAGTGTCTAGTGGTGGGGGATGTCAGCCGGCATAAAGTCTTTTTTAGTGTTGTAGATAGCGCATGTGTCTATCTTGGCCGGCAGCAACGGCCAGGTTGCAGCGTTTGACATTGGGTTGATTCCCTGCACTGGATGCGTTAAGGCTATTGGTGACTGGGGCATGAGATGGATGGTGAGTACGGTGGGGAGAGCTGACATTGGCTCAGAGTTGGTGGTGGTTGTTACACTGAGCCCGTATCCTGAGGTTAATGGAGTCAGCACCCGCTATGTCTGCCCCGCAATGGGAAAAATTTTCGCTGATGAGATCAATGTCAGACAGCCGGTGTAATCGTTCCCTCTGATTCAATATAGATGGTAAAGGATGAAACCCTGCTTTGATTCTCAATGTTGCTTTGAAAGAGACCCCCCTGTATTGCCAGGATCAGGCCATCTCGCATGTCAACGAGGACGTCGAAGCCTAAGCACTCGATCCAGGGGTGAGATCTTAGAGCAAGCCGGCCTCCAATGGCGAGGCAGTTCTTACACATCGCGCCACGACCAAGTGTTGGTCTGGTCGGAGGCACACGGAAAAGCCAGCGTGATCCCCGTGCACTGCCATTGGCTTCTTCCCGCGGAATCTCTCCCGGTGGAGCCTCGGTCGGTCCCTCCGTGGCCAACCAGGCACCGTGATTGGTGAGCAGCCCAGATTGCAGAGCCCACCCAATATCGGAAATAGATTGGAATAGATTGCCCCTCGATAGTCTGGCCCGATGAGAGACGATAGCTGGAATGGCTATCGGGACGGATGTCAGAAACGTCAAGCTGGATCATGTTTAATTGAGATGCATAGGTTGCATCTAGATGCAGCTGTAAGAAAGAAAGTCTACAAAGAAAGGGGTCGGGCGTCTACGGTGAAATCTCAACAATAGATATGACAATCTCCTTGGCGATACTTGTACGAACTATTTCCAGCCTAGATACCAGTACAGACAGAAATCCTCAACAGGCCACAAGGCCAACGAACACAGCTGCCAAGCGTCACTGGCGGAATTGGTAAAGAGTAATGGACCTCGATCGAGGTCCCACTTCTCCGTGTCCTATAGCTAGTATCCCATCTTTGCTGGCCCAATGCCGCGAGCGATAGGAGGGTGGTAGCCAAAGGATCTTCTTTCCTTGCAGAGTAACCCACTCTGGTTTCAGCACACGTACCTCCGCTTTGGCGCTATCAAGACGAGCGGTATGGTATGATGGTGGTAGATCATATACGTCTTTGTCTGTCTGTAGAGAAAGCCCATCACGCGTGAATGCAAGGTCATAGAAGTAAGTTTGGGTGCTGATGTCATGCAGCAGTGTGCCAGTTGTCGGGTCCCAGAGTTTGATCGTCTTGTCAAAACTACCGGATGCCAGCCAGCGGCCATCGGGCGAGAAAATGAGCAACCTGGCACCTTCTGTATGCCCCTCAAGCGTGTGTTTGAGCGTACCAGTAACCGGGTCCCAGATCTTGATTGTCTTATCTTCAGCGCTAGAGGCCAACCATCGCCCATCTGGTGAAAAAACCACTTTTTTGATTCCTTTTTCATGCCCCTCTATAGTACGTTGCAAGGCGCCGGTGGCCGGATCCCAAATGTTGATAACTTTATCATCAGAACCGGAAGCCAGCAATCTCCCATCGGGTGAGAAAGCCACTGAAGCAACATGACGTCGATGATGCTCCAAGGTCCGCTGCTGAGCATTGGTCGCTGGGTCCCAGAGCTTGGTATTTAAGTCCCATATCTTAACGGTATCGTCATAGGAGCCAGACGCTAGCCATCGTCCATCTTCTGAAAAGGCCAGGCTTACAACCAGGCCATGGCTTTCGCAAGTTCGAGGGCTATCAGCGTACACCGGGCTCCAAAATGTGGTGTCTAGGTCCCAAAGTCTAATGGTTCCGTCAAAAGCGCACGATGCCAGGAGTTGCCCATCTGGCGAGAAGGCCGAACATTGCGCAGCATAAGTATGGCCCACAAAAGCCTGGTGCTGGGTTCCAGTGGCCAGGTCCCACAATTTGACTAGCTTAGAGCTAGAGACAGTTGCCAGCAATAGCCCATCCGGTGAGAATGCTAGGGATACAGGGTGATCCTTGGTATCAAGGGTTTGCTGCATGGTCATGGTCTCCAAATCCCACATCTTGACATTCTTATCAGAAATTGCCAGTCGACCATCAGGTGAGAATGCTATTGCGCTAATTGTACGGTGGCACTCTATGGTATGCAGGAGAGAGCTAGTTGCCGGGTCCCAGATTTTGACGGTTTTGTCCCAAGAGCCAGATGCCAGCCAACGCCCATCTGCTGAGAAAGCCACTGCATGCACCCACATCTCATGGCTCTTCAAAGTTCGATGTGAGCTGGTCTTCAAGTCCCACAATTTGACGGTATGATCGTAGGAGCCAGATGCCAGCCATTGTCCATCGGCTGAGAAGGCTACTGAGTATACATGATATCCGTGGCCCTTCAAAGTTTGATGTACATTGGCCTGCAGGTCCCAGACTTTGACAGTGCTGTCGGTGGAGCCGGAAGCTATTTGTCGTCCATCTGGTGAAAATGCTATTGAGATAACAAAACTCTCATGACCTTCAAGGGTCTGCTGTAGGATGCTAGTCTCAACATCCCACAGTTTGACAGTACCATCCTCAGATCCTGATGCCAGCAATTTCCCATCAGGCGAGAATGCCACTGTTCGAACAGCCCTGGTACCATGGCCGTCAATAACCTCAATCTCTGCGCTCCAGGTTTCTTCAACCTCTGGGAATCTGAACATCCATGTGGGCATCTCAAATGTTCTTCTAATAATTGACTTCGATGGGGCAAATATTAGCCCTGAACAGTACAATTGAAGGGGCGCGATGTCTGCTATGCGACGACACTTCAGCATGAATCGTTTGGCATCGTAGAGGAATTCTGATACTTCAGAGTTTTTTTTATCCTGTATATCTCAGTCACTGTTTAACGAACGTCTCTGATAAACTTACCTTGATAAGTGATCGTAACGTATCGATGGCTTCTACAATCTCAGACGCGTGACCCAGGACGCACATTACTTCAGCCCAGTGAAGGAAATGCTCTTGGAGAAACGAGTAGATGTTATCCATCAAAGACATCGAATTCTCGGAGTGTGCTAAATGCCGCGTCCAATATCGGCATGAATATTCTAATTCTGGCGGGATGTAATCGCCGACAGATTGACCGATAGTTTCTGTGCTGATCCCCATCCGCTCGAACCCCTCGTATGGCAAGTTGCAGATGTTCTTTCTCAGTTTGCGCTGCATAACTTCGAGGCATTGCGTAACAACCTTTTGTTGCGCCCTTCCCCCGTCTATCCAGAAGTCTGTTTTCTCACGGGTCTCCGGGTCAAGAAGGAAATCTCGGAATGACAAGTGAAAAAGTCCAACTGGCATGGCATTGCTATCGGGTATGTTCAGTACTGCATGCAGCCGATTTAATCGGGTATTGATGACGCTTGAGGAGATACCAAGAAGCTCTGACAGAGAGATGACTGATAGTGGAGACTCAAGAATAATGATCGTACCAACAATCTCATGGAATTCTTCGATGATCATCTTGCTCCGTTTCCCGCTATGAATCGGCATTCTTTGCAGTACTGGTAGATACGTTCCATCCAGTTTTGACTCTTCATTCTGATATTTGAGAATCTCGGAAAGACTCTGTACCGGATCCAAATCATAGTCTTCGAATACGCGGCACACGGTGGCTGCAAAAATGAATAACGGAACAGACATCTTGACCAATTGTTGGAACTCGGTATTGCCAGGCCAGTCTGGAGGTAATGACCGGGCCTGCTCGATCTTCTTTAGCTTATGCCTCAGAAACAATGATATATCATGCTCGATAATCGGCCTTGCGATCCTGTGGAGAACAAGATCCTGGTGTTTATCCCGAACTTGATCATCCTGGAAGCCAAGTTGTATTGGCAGTTCCGGGCGGCTAGTTATGAAAACGCGTAACTGAACAGGCTTTGACCGTTGAACTTGTGAAGATGATTGTAGTAGCGGCAAGAGTTGCAGCAGAAGGCGTATATCCTGTTCTTCTTCACACTCGTCCAGGGCATCGACGACAATTACCGATCTTTTCACCTGTTGACTATCATCCAAACCAGCTAGTGGCTGAAGAAGAAGCTTTTCAAACTGTATCCTGAATCCACGCTTTGAGATATCAGGGTCATCTTCAATGGCCTTTGACACGCCAACTGCGAGATCTGGGAATGCCGCAATGAGTTGTCTTGCGATTGTTGAAACAAATCTTTTTGCATGACCACGGTCACCTTCGCCTCTTTTGAAAAAATAGCTTGCTCCAAGTTGTCCCTGTTCCTGGAATGCTCTGGACAGTGAGCGTGAGATTGTTGACTTTCCTGTCCCCGCCATTCCATTCAACCAGAAGATACACGGGCCTTGTGAGGAGCCTCCCCAGTCACTGACTTGCTGAAGAAGCTCTTTTCTAGTACCGGGAAGGCATTCCTCCTCATGTTGGTTTTGATAGGAATCAAAGGAAGCCCCTTCAGCATCTGGTAGGTTGTAAAGATCAAATCTCCGGTGGAGGTCTTTGACCAAACTGATAACCTCATCTATCCGCCCCAGTAGTTCTTCTGCCTTCTCTTGCTGTTGGAGATGCTCATCATGCCTGACCCATTGACGCAGTCTTTCCTCGTCACTTTTGATTGCGGACTCAATCTGCTTGAGCGGATGGTTGGTTATCGGAAAAATACTTTCCAGTATTCTCTCACCCATAGTAGCCTCTTGCATCCTGTACACCTGTGCTGTATACCGCAATATGCCCTTGTAGACTTGGATGATGGCAGTTTCGACTTGAACCTGTGTTTCATAACGATTATCATGGTAATGTTCCTTTTCCACAAAGGCACAGCGTGTTAGGACATCCGTCAGGAATGCAGATGATTCGAACTGGGCTTTTCGTATGTTATGGTAGTTGTGTGCTATCTAGAGAATGAATCTGATTAGCTTGCTTTCACATTCTCGCATTCACTGGAAGATACCGTCAATCCTAGTAAGATGACACCCCAAGCACTTGACGCAACAAGGCTTTGGTCGCCTGACACAAACACGTCCACAATTGCTCTGAAAGACAGTGTGGCATTTAGAATTTTGTGTGCAATATCTCGAATGTTGATGTCCTCCTTATCTGGGCCTTGTTTGATCTTCAAACCCCCCTTTCGATAGTCCTCGTACTGCCTTTTCGTCGCTTCGATAACATCATCGACTATTTGCAATGCCTTTCCATGGTGTCCCTTTGATTGTGCCTCTTTCTGATTTCTTGCCAGGATCTCTCGGTCTGTTGGACCTAGGTCCTTGTATGCAATCTGCCACAAGTCCTTTGGGCATGAATCCGCCTTTTCTTGCCGTATTTGAGGCAGCTTGTCAGATTTCTGGACAGTGAAAGAATATTCAGAAGCAGTAGAGAAACTCTCGCGTGGAGATCGAGTATCGTCCCCGCCCTTCATCCTGCGCCATATTCTCTTAGAGTAGCGTTTCATGTTTGTTAGTTTGTTGCGTGCACTCTGTGCATTCCTCTAGTCGAGTCGATGTCGATGAAAGCGCAATGTGAGCTGGAAGGTAAGAAAGAGGCAGTGTCCCAGATGCGCAGCCTCAGTAGGCGCTGAGCTGGCGCGCGGCTGGATGGCGGGGTAACTGGCCATAATCCCTGTACTTTTGTCCAACGTACAGAGAAGGTAGCCCGAATAGCGACCACCTAAACATTACAGAAGCTGAAATGCATCGATCAGGTATTGAAATGCGATGATTCCGCTTCGTAGCCTATTACTTTACCGCGCAATTAACAGGGTTGTATACCGCATTATGCGCTAAAACTATCACGTCGGTTGATTTCATTCATGGATCGTATATTCAGTGGGCGCCTCGTAATCAGTCGTTGAAAATCGCGACGGAAGGGTAGGTAGGTAACCATCATCTCCAAACGTCTCCCCTGGGGCGGATCCAGACTCATGATGAATCGGACCGAGCCGGCAACGAAAGAGCCTATCAAGAGAACCTAGCTCCTTGACTCTTTGTCGTATCGTAAGACAGTTTAGCTTGGGTGGTGAAACCTTTCGGGCGGGTAAGATAAGCCCAGCACCCTACTCCATACACACACTGTAATGACTTTAGCAAAAGGGCGTGGAAGTAAGATGCAGAAAAGTTGCATTGCTTCAGGTGAATCCGAAAATACCCGAGGACGGAACAAAAGTTGTCCCGAACCGGCTGGGTGTCGTTTAGACAGTATGTTACTAATGCCTCAGGCATCGACGTGCCGGGGGCGGTGGGCGTTTTCTCTGGCAGAGTCCGGCAAGCGAAGTGATGGGCTCACTGTGGCCAGGCATCACCGCACCCCTATCCATCACGGAACGAACATGCCCTGGGTAAGCCAAGGCCAATGTCCTAAGAATATGGGAGAAACTCTGTCAATCTGGATGACACAGTCTGCTAGGAATCCACCTGGATGATGTGCCAGGTGAGTGATAAAGATGTCTGTGTACGGCACAAACTAAAGCGGTAGGTAAACAGCCAGGTAGATAGCAGTGAAGTATGGTGGGGGCTTTCGACATGGATCTCTACGTTTCCAGCCGCTTCCCTTCCAGATAAGAACAGTATCCGGAGTATCTTGTGCTCTGTACTGATGCCTGTCGGCTTTTTACGCAGCGCGCGATGGTGGCTCTTTCCCAAAATATGCTCTCCGGTCTGAGATGTAGCCAGTTGTCAAACTCCTAGATATTTTTGAGCAGTAAGTTTTGTCCATGATATATTCACAATCACTGCATACATTCCCCACTCACAGTGATTGGCGACGGCATACCACCATTGCCTACGAAGTTCCTACAAAATAAGGTGGTTGTTTTTCCTACTGAGGACTTGAACATTCGCTAGGGAACAGCCAGACGTCATCATGGTCATCCAAAACCGTTCTGTGCAACCACCCGACTCTTGAATCTGGCGCAAGTCTTCCAGCTACTAGATATGTGGAAGGGCAGATGGGAGTGCTTCGACCGAGAGTAGCAGATAGGACCGACTCCCCCACTCTGACGATCGAAGTGGATGAATCTGGCCACCCGGAGTCTGCAGCGTGCATCCACTCCACTCCATGCCGCAGCTGAGCTTAATGACACCTAACATCCCCCATCGTAAACCGGCAGAGAGATTGGCCAGTCGATGTTTGACCGTTCAATCTTTCGAGGGACTGAGTCTTTCCAGGATTAAGAACGATCCTAGATTGTTCAATGATGCTAAACCTCCGGTAGGTAAATTGGGTGCTTGAAGGCAAGGAAGGCGAGTTTATGATGCCCCAGGCCCCCAACGCTCATCCGGGACCCTTTCTGAGTCGCCAAGACGTGATGGGGTCTCGGCCAGACCGCTTTTCCGAACAGTCTGGCATGGAAGCTGAATGCCCCGTATCTTCTTACGAGACGAGCCGATGGTACTAATGAAAGAGGACACACGGGCGACGATCCTTCGATATATCAGTGGGGTCGGAAGAACGAGGTTGCCCCGGCTGGAATTGACACGCTGGTCGGATTGTGAATCACTTCCAGGATACCTGATCCGATTGAGTCTCTACCCAACACACCACTTACTCAACAATGCCGAGTTGGAAAATCTGCCGCCATTCGAATTCAATTAAGGCTGTGCCCGATGACATTGTACTATGTACTTGGAGTCTTGGATATGACGGCATCGACTGTTGCCCGAGTGGCAGTGTATGGCATGTTGGAGCTCACTAGCCACAATCCCCTGATTGGTACGCAGCTCGCTTTATTTTCCGTCTGGTGGGGACTGTGGGGATGGGACTGAGAAACCTGATGGCGCCCATCGGAACCGAGGACCCAATAATTGGTCAGCATCATGGCCGCAGTCCCGAAACCGCCATCGGTCGGACATTCCATTCGTCCATCTTGCCCACTGCAGATCTCCCAAAACGCAACGCCCTGTGCAGTACTGATCCTACTAGATAGGGGTACGATAAGAGGACATGGAGGGAGTGGCTGCTCATCTACTTGAGACCATGGAAAGGAAGGATTGCACCACCCCAACGCGTGGCCTCGACCAGCGCAGGAAGCCGAGACGTAATGGCATCATTTGGCGCGATCGGAGGCGGAAACCCACTTTGACCATGAGGGAAATAATACTAAGCACCTTTGCGGTGAGGGTGAAGTGTCCAGACTCCAGAGGTACCCCTGACTGGTCTTGGCGGATCTGATTCCGGAGCTCTCGCTCCGGCATTCCATCCGCCGCGATGTGGCTGTGCTAACTGCTACTAGTCAGTCTCTCCCAGTCTCCCTGTCGTCTCGAGTTTCCGTGGCACCTACTACGTAGCCACTAGCCAGTCGATGACTCGATGGAGTGTGCCCTTCACCTAGCCATCAGTCCCACTGCAGTTCCAACGTCGAGGGAGGGAGCAACCACGCAGGCGAAGGGATTTGATGAAACCAGCTAGGCCCTATTGGGTAGGAGGGTGAGGGTGAGACCGTGAGACAACTAAAAATGGCACGGATTCTCGCTGCTGAGAAACCACGCTTCCCTCTGTCCGAAAACGAAGGAAGGCCATGGACAGAGTGGCTGATGAGGTGGGCCAGTGGCCATTCCGATCGTTTTGTTATAAGGACGAAACTTCAGTAGGCGAGGGATAGTCGGGTGGGATTCTCGCTCTGTGACGATACCGATGGCCCACGAAGCCCACTTTTGCGGATAGCCAAGGCCCTGTCAGCCACTCACGACCGAAATTGCCTCCAACTGGAGCTTGTCTCGTCTTAGCTTCCACATCCAAGCCCAATCACTCTCCGCCAAGAACCCCCATTTTACTATGTGCCCACCATGGTGACCATACATCTGCCCCTCCGTTGCCTTTCCATTGCCTTTTCGGGGGTCCCTGACAAGCCCCCCACGGCAACGGAGGAGCTCAGCCTTCCATGATATCATTTAGCCCTCCATCAGGGGCCGGAGGAGGGGCCCAGAGAGCACTGTTGAGGACCACAGGGTGAGGAAGCTCAGCCTATATCTACCTCCTCCTCTCCCCCTTGCTATCCTCTTTTTCTTCTTCATCCACAAACATCATTTTCCATTCCAAACTTCACTTCATCACACACTAGCAATCATGGGTTGGTTCGGTGAGTACTCATGTTCCGCTGCGATATCCATGTGCTCCTCCAGCTGACCAGTATCGTCTCAATGTTCAGACAGAGACAGCGAGCAGGGTGACGCCTACGGCCAGCTTTCGGAGTTCACGGCCGGCTCGGAGGTCACCGAGGAGCACAAGGCCAAGTTTAGCCACGAGTTCATTGGCGGTGCTGCTGCCTACGAGGCCATGAAGGCCTACGAGGAGCACCAGGCTAAGAACGGTACATAATCCCTGACTTCCCTGACTTCCCCTGCCTCGATCTGGGATGCTAATTCCCTCTCAGGCAAGCCCGAGAGCCACGCCCAGGCCAAGGAGATCCTCGCCGGTCTCGCCGGTGCCTTCATCGACCGTGAGGTTGAGACCAAGGGTCTTGACTTCGTCGACCGTGAGCGTGCCAAGCGCCACGCTCGCCAGCAGCTCGAGGAGGCCTCCGCCCAGGACTTCTAAGCGATTGTTTTTTGATTTGAGGACACCTATCGATTTTATGATGTATGGTAGTGTGTATGACATGATCTAGAATATACCTCTTGAACAACACTATTTCTTCCATTGTAGATGTATTTTACAAAGATGTGGGATCCGGGGCAATTGAAAACATGCCGACAGATCAATTTGCCCCGCAGGAAACCGGTGATGTGATGAGATGGCTGCTGACCGAGGCTGCATGCATGCACTCGTCATCGACCCCGCCAATACCCAATCTGCCGCAATTGCCGGGATTTCATGTGAAGGTAAACCAAATTTGAGCGATGCAGCTAAACTGCAGACATCAGGGCGATTTCTTCGTATATCAATCCGAGATGTATCCGTAGTGATGTTGACAATGCCATTATTCCCGATCACATCTTATAGATCGTAATCCTTGCAGGGGTTTTCTTTGTTCTTCTCCCGGAGGTAGTTTCCGGGTCCTTGGCACTTTCGTGGTTGGTCGCTTTGACCTTCTGCCTTGGGAAGTCTAATCGCGAAGGCTTTCGGCAATAGAGATGAGTTTCTGGTAGAATAAGAATAATAAATAGGGAGTAGAGGTCTAAGAGGGATATATTCGTCAACTTTACAATCATATAGAGTCGTAATATCCGATCATACATGACATATAGTTAAGTATACCAGAGATATATTTATCAGAAACCGCCTCAATCCGACCCGTTTACCACAACCACTCCCACGAATGCTCATAGACAAGAGTGTCCATGGGTTGCCTAGGAGTGGTGGTCACATGTCGAATGAATGCCACGTAGCCAGATCCTGAGGGATTGGCCTTTGCCATTCATTAATAATTAACTCCATCCCGCCGATCCGTCCCAAAGATGCGCCAGATCCTGATCCACCACCGCCTGGTCCATGGGATCAAGATTCCTGGGGTTCCGTGGTTTTCGCAGTCTGATAAATTAGGGGATGGGATGGTAAATATTGTTTAGTTTGTGCGCGCGATCGTATATGAAGATGCGCCACGAATGAGGGTGGGTAGGCGGGAAATGCGACCGGGGATAGATTCAGCGCGGGAAGCGCCAGGATGTCTTTTTTGCTTTCAGGGATTACACGTGCGGATTTACATAGAGATTGGTGCTTCTGTTGAGGGATTGAGATTTAAGAGGCGAGTTACATCGATGTTATTATCGAGGAGTTAGACAGGGTGGATTCTAGAGGTATGCCAAGCATTTGAGTTTATGAAAGGGACATATACCGAGGAAATAGAAGCACAATGGACCAGATACAGACAGAAGTGGTAACATAAGCTGAAAGACGCAAAGAAAACAAAAGTGCAGACACGGCAGCTTTATGTTCATTAAACTTGATTCTTGTGACTATGACGCAGCAGTAATCTATTTCAACCCAGTCTCGACTGTGCTTTACAGTACTTATCATGTGGTCATTCATGACATAGGCAAAAAACAGCAACAACCACTCCAGCGCCCATTCGTGATAAACTCCACCATGGCTGCTGGGTCCTCGCCAGTGGTGCCAGTTCAAGACACAGAGTCATGAAAGATTAATCTGGGCATATTTCAAGAAGAACTAGAGCCCATATATGCATGGTTCAGTGCAAGGTCCTGGCAGAGTGGGAAAAAGTACCGATTCACAGCGCGGGGACTACCGTGTCCACATTGCTTATATTAACGACACTCACTCACTCACCAAGCAATTACATTGACAGGCATGATCCTGATTAATGAGAGTCTGCTCCAGGGCCGAGCCATGTTGGTGGCAGAGCAGCCGTTGGGAACCTTATGGAACGAAGCAATTCATTCCGTGTGGAGTACTCTTTCCGATGAAAAAGATACATGTCGATGAATACATGCCTATCGGAGGCCTCGTACAACCAGGAAACCGCGATGGATCTGATTGGAAGTTGGTCTTGCAGCTGGCCGTCCATCGCTTCATTCTCTTCCCCTCACAGGAAATCCAACCATAAATGTCAACCATGGCACCCTGCCACCTACCACTCCTCTACTTATTGCTTTTGATAATGGATCCATCCATCCTGGTCGCGGCGATGTCGCTCAATGCTACCGGCCCAAGCAACTTGAGCGGTGCTTGTGTAGGTTCTCCCGTTATGCGGCTATTGCATCCAATACTGACCGATCATCTAGTGTCTTGCGCTGTGGTCCCTGCTTGGGGCTGCCAAAGTCGCCTTTCCGGGCTCCCAGCTGTACAACTTGTCTCGCTCCTCGTACTTTTCTCAGCAAGAGGCCGAGGTCCAGCCCCTCTGCGTGGTCGCTCCCTCCACCGTGGACGATGTCTCTACCGCCCTGAAATCGATCACATCCATCGCGGCATCGCTCCCCGACGAGGAAAGGTCAACCTGTGACTTTGCCATTCGCTCCGGGGGCCATGCCCCCATCGCTGGAGCGGCCAACATCGAAAGAGGAGTTACCTTCGACCTGCGGGATCTCAATGCCATCGAACTGAGCAGCGATCGAACCATTGCCTCGGTCGGCGTCGGAGCTACTTGGGGCAAGGTGTATGCCATTCTGGATCCGCTGAATCGGTCTGTCGCCGGCGGTCGCGCCGCGCAGGTCGGCGTCGGGGGCTTGACCACCGGCGGAGGTATCTCGTACTTTTCTCCCCGCTACGGATGGACCTGTGATACCGTCCAAAACTTCGAGGTAGTGCTGGCAAACGGGACAGTCGTCAATGCGAACGCAGACGAGAACCCAGACCTGTTGGTTGCGCTGCGCGGAGGCTCCAACAACCTGGGGGTGGTCACCCGAGTGGATCTGACGGCCTTCGAGCAGGGTCCTCTCTGGGGGGGAGCTGTCTCCTACTCAGTCGACACCATCGATCAACAGCTGAAAGCCACCGCCGAGTTCAGCATCGCCGAGACCTACGATGAGTATTCCTCGTTGATTGCAATATATACTTTTTCGAGCGCCCACGCCGCCACCATCATCAACAGCATCAAATACACCAAGCCAGAGGAGAACCCTCCGGCCTTTCAGCCCTTCACTGAGATCCCTTCACTCCAGAACACATTGCGCATTGCCTCTTTATCGGACATTTCAGCCGAGGAAGGGTCATCATCACCCAATGGAAAACGGTAAGAATCAGCCCATCCATCCCCGTGCCCGCTTGGATCTAACCACCCTGCGCGATGCAGACAATTGGCAACGGTCACGACATTTGAGTCCTCCCTACCCATGTTGAATGCGACCTACCGGCACTGGAACACCAGCCTGGCAGCAATACAAGGCGTACCGGGCATCGTCTGGTCCTTTTACCTCGAGCCGCTGCCTCCGTCGATCTACGCCCGGGCCGGCACAGATAACTCATTGGGTCTATCTGACGCGTCCGGATCCCTGATGGTAGCTCTTCTCGGCGCAATCTGGAACGATGACGCTGATGATGAGCAAATCGAAAAAGTCAGTCGTGAGCTGCTTACTGCCATTGAGAACGATTCCCGTGACATGGACGCCTATCACCCGTTTGTGTATCTGAACTACGCGGCTCCATGGCAGGATCCGATCGCTAGTTATGGGGAGGCTAGTGTGGAGCGACTGAGTCGAGTGGCGCGGGATGTAGATCCAAGGGGGGTTTTTACCGCAAACGTGCCCGGGGGTTTCAAGATCCCTGGGGATCGTTCGGTGGAGTGAGATTGAGCGTTTCATGGGTATGTACAGTTAAAGACTGGACAGTAATATCAGAAAGACAGAAAAGTATTAGCAATTACCCCATTCACATATTTCCCTGTCTGCCATCAGATCATTAGCAAGGGTGTTAACAATGGATATCAACACGTATTGACCTCAATTTCGTCAGGACATCGCTGTGATTGTATTCATACAAAGTATTTATTTGCCATAATTACCTGGCTCCATCATTGAGATTGGAAACAGATGAACACCGCAGTTCCGAGATCCCATAACTCTACCCAATGATATCCACTCCTCGCAAATAGGGCTGTAAGGTTCAGTTTGAACATTAATTATATAACATCTAAGAATCTGTCTGAGAGCATTCACCACCTTCTTCAGGTAACACATATTTCCTGAGGCCATTTGAGAGAACTTCAATTTTACTCGATTAAATAAGGAAGAGATAGTAAGTCAGCGCAAGACCTAACCATCTAGTTATTCTTATATAGGCTGGTTTATTCAGAAGCTTCACTGAATCTTTCCAGTCCCAGACATAGAGACTCGAACCCTCAGAAATAATTATCAAGATATGCTGAGTATTCTGCCAGTCCCTTGGTAACCAAGCAAGCGCAACATGGGTCATGATGATAGTCTCGGCATTATGGGTATGTCCTCAGATGAAGACCGTCACTCGGACTTCCGGCGCATATTCAAAGAGATGCTGATTATGACTCTACGGTATGTAACGAGGAAATTTAGAAAAGGGTATTCTAAACGTGGTACTTGCGAGACCCACAATGTTTGTAGATGACGGGGTTTCAACCAATCACTGATACTCTCTGAATCAGGTCCCAGGAAAAGTGGGGATCATGCAGCTGGATGACGGTTTTTTAACCAATCACGACAGATTGTGAATTAGCAATCGAGAAGGAAGAATAACTTCCCGTCCAGTTAGATTGGATTGATTAAAGTTTCTGGTCAAGATTCTTTTCGAGAGTACCTACTAGATAAATACAATGGAGCATCACCAACGTAGTGGCTTTAAAACAAGGGTCATCGCCAGGCCGCCTCTGCTTAACCTTCATCCTCTATTCTCATTCCCACCCCTTCCTTCCATCTCAACTCAAGTACCTCGCAAGTAACCCACCATGCCTCCCTTCCACAGCCAAAACATCCCCAACCTCCACAACCAAATCATCATCGTCACCGGCGGCAACATCGGACTCGGGTACGAGACCATCCGCCAACTCAGCTTGCACCATCCCGCCAAGATCTACCTCGCTGCTCGCTCCGAACCCAAAGCCCATCAAGCCCTCGCCAATCTAAAACAATCCAACCCCACTTTCACCAACATCCACTTCCTCCACCTCGACCTGGCATCATTCGACAGCATCAAAGCAGCCGCAGCAGAGTTCCTCCGTCTAGAATCCCGTCTGGACATCCTCATCAACAACGCCGGGATCATGATGACGTCCGAAGCACTCACCAAAGACGGATACGAGATCCAGTTCGGAACAAACGTGCTCGGTCCAGCATTATTCACGCAGCTTCTTTTACCAATTCTCCGGGAGACAGTGAAAATGAATGATCAGGCCCGCATGGTGATGCTCTCGTCTGCGGCTCATGCCCGGGCACCGAGTGATGTTTATAACTTTGAGGAGTTACGGACAACGGCCTCACATAGACATACTACAGAGCGATATACAATTTCTAAACTGGCGAATTTGCATTATGCGCGGGCGTTGGCGGACCGGGAAACAGGGGTGAAGATAATCCCGGTGCATCCGGGCATGGTGGCTACGAATCTTCATCATGCGTCCACAGGGATGTTTCTGAGACCGTTTCTTCATGTTGCTGTTAGTTTGGCGGCAACGCCGGTGGAGAAAGGTGCGCTTTCGCAGATCTTTGCGGCGGTGAGTCCTGATGCGAAACATGGGCTGTTTTATGGTCCTGTTGGGAAGGTTGAATTGGGGTCGAAACTTAGTCAGGATGTTAAGCTTCGGGATGCGTTGTTTGCGTGGGTGCAGGGTGAGTTGCAAGGGCATGTGGAGACGGTTTGGTAGAGGTTTGTGGGTGCGGGTGTGTTGTTGATAAGATATGATTGTTTTGTATCTATAAGCTCGGTTACCTTTTTGTCTGAAGATGGGATTATTATCATTTTTTGTCACGTTCGTACTAGTATGCTAAAATGATATACCACTGGTTTCTGGAGAATAAATGGAACGAAAGGCTGTCCTAGCATTTTTGATATCTGTGGTATGTATGTATGTGCATGAATACCCTCCCTGGTAAGGGAGAGCAAGGCTCCTATACCAGTAAAGCCGGTATATGAGATTACTCAATATCTCCCACAAGATAAAATTTTCCAAATAAACAATACCCTCCATACTCTACTACAGAAGCACTACCCTATAAATCTAAAACTCAAACCTCTCCTTCACCAACTCCTCACTCAACCCCCAAAGCCTCTCCGACAAGACCACCTTCCTCGCAAACTCCGCAACATTCTCATCATCCACTTTACAATCCACAATATAAACCCCTTCACCTCCTCCCCAGCAATATCCACAGCCCCAACCCCTCCCCCACCGCCGCCCAAACCGACGAATTCGCCCCCTGCTCAGGACTTTTCCTCACCGCATCAAACCCCAACTCTTCGACCCTCTTCAACGCCTGCTCGATTTCACTCGGCGTAGCATGTCGATTAATATTCGTATCCACGGCCCCCGGATGCACGGCATACGAAGTAATCCCATACTTGGTGTACAGTTTCTGATTCAGCGAGATGGAGTACAGAATATTGGCTGTTTTTGATTGCGCGTAGGAGAAAAACCCATAGTAGAGATCGGTGGCATGGGTACTGCCGGTGAGGAATTCGGTTTTGGTGAAATCGGGTTGTTCGTTTTCTGGGAGGTCGGTGGGGAGTTTGCTGAAGTTGATGTCGGAGAATCGGACCGGGGAGAATTGGTGGCCGTAGGAGGTGAGGTTTATGATTCGGGGGTGGGATGAGGTTTTAGAGGCGAGGATTACTTTCGGGAGAATGAGGTTGGTGAAGAGGAAGTGGCCGAGGTGGTTTGTTGCAAAGGTTGTTTCGATGTTGTCTTCGGTGAGGGTTAGGGTGGGGATGGCCATGACTCCGGCGTTGTTGATGAGGATGTCGATGGTGGGGATGGTGGGGTTGGTCAGGAGTTGGGTGGCGGCTGCTCGGACGGAGGATTGGGATGCGAGGTCCATGATTAGGGCGTGGTAGGTGATGTTGGGGTGGGATGTTTGGAGAATGTTGATGGAGGCTTGGAGTTTGTCGATGGATCGGCCGGTCAGGATGAGGTTTGCTGGGGATTGAGATGCAAAGGCACAGGCGGTTGCCAGGCCTAGGCTGTTGGGGGATACGCCGGTGATAATGATGTTTTTGCCATGGATGGCATCTGGAAATGCAGCAGCAATTTCCGTAGCAGGAGTGAGGGGTCCGAAGGTGGCCATGCTGTTGGATTCTTGTTTTGGTTGAGTGGATTAGATGGTGGACAGGGGAGCTGGTGCCTTTTGTATTCAAAAATGCGAGCGGTAACATTCTCGGCCCAAGTTAAGGGTCTGGAAGTACCTCATTACTGGAGTAGATATGTTGGCACATTCATCGACTCTGTTTGGCGTAACTGGTTAGTGATTGGCTAGAAATGTGTCATCCTGCAAGGGATAGAGCTGGGCCTGCATTTGCAGTTCGGCTGAGTTATATCACTTCTCCTATCTTTTAGATTCCATGTGCATTTGATCGGGGTCAACTCAACCCCAAGAGACTCCGAGAGAATCTCGAGCCTTGTAGGTGGTAATTCAAAGTGGGTATCTAAGTGGACCCAATGATGTCTGTTTCCGCGCTAATGCACCTGGATGACGCTCCATCCTCCAATTGGATTTCAGCATCGGGCCTACCGAGACTGGCAGAAGCCAGTGGCTTAGTTCAGATCCCATTCACAGCCTTAAAACTCCTTATGAAGCCGTGTGAAATTCAGAGGCTGGTCGAGATCCTGAACAGAAAATGGCATCAATTGCTACTGTGCTGGAAAATAACTCCAGCATCACTCATCGATATGGATCAGACCTGGTCGCTGTTTTTGGTATGTTCTGACCCTGCCACCTCGGCCTCGTGGCAAATCAACATTATCATTTGACTGGATACTGACCTAACAGTCGGCGGAACCAGCGGAATAGGAGAATCGACAGCTTGCGCATTCATCCGCAACACAAATGCCTCTCGTGCTTACCTCGTCGGGCGAGATCAGGCAAGAGCAACGCAGATAATCGAAGAAATGCGCCAGATAAATCCGGACTCACAAATCGATTTTATCAAGTCTGACGTCTCTCTATTCCGCGAAGTAGATAACGCGTGCAAAGCCATCCAACAGAAGGAGGATAAAGTGAATATCCTATTCCTGAGCCCAGGGGTAGGAACGACGAAGGGCCGTGATGGTAGATGCTTCGAATCCAATTCAACTATCCTGATACTGAACCATGTATATCAGAAACCGACGAAGGGCTCGACAGAAAACTCAACCTCCACTATTATTCCCGGATGCGATTCGTGACCAATCTCCTCCCGCAGCTTATCAAGGCCGGTGACATGAGCAACAAACCCGGAAACTCCAAACCGTGTCTATCGCGCGTAGTCTCGGTTCTTGAAGCCGGTGGCGAAGCTGCACTTCATCTGGATGATCTTTCTCTCTAAACTCACTATTCTCTACGGAACTGCGCAAAACATGCGATTACCATGAACTCGGTTTCCATGGAGCATTTGGCTGCTGCGTACCCGCAGATCTCGTTCATTCATTCCTTTCCCGGGGTGGTGAGGACGCGTCTTGGGCGGGACTTTGGGGCCGTTACCAAATATGCTCTTGATGCTTTGATGGTTCTTGCCAGGCCTTGGGAAATTCCATTGGATGAAAGTGGAGAGAGACATTTGTTTGCGGCAACGAGTCTACGGTTCCCGCCTCGGTTGTATAAAGATGGTGTGCTTGATGCTGCGGAAGGTTCTGATGGTTGTATGGGTAGTGGGTTTTATCGACTAGGTTCCACTGGGTCGACATATAGATCCAGCAAGATCATGGGACAGTATCGTGTGGAGGGGGTAAGAGGTTCGATCTGGAAGCATACGCTGGATGTGTTTGCTATGGTCCGTGGTGCACAGGTCGAGCTATGATGCTCTTGTAAAATTCATTATGAACGAGGTTTTGGTAGGATAGTCTGATTATCATATCATGTGCAGATGTTAGTGAGTTTGTCCAAATTGAACCATCACAACCTGGTATGAAACGTACCTAGTCAGGGCACATGTACTATAACATTGGGTCTGCACGATGCACTGTAAAGCTGCCAACCTTAAACAGAACTCACTGTAAGCTTCTTCAAACCTCGTCTGGCCCTCCAGTAATTACTATGCACCAAGACCTCAGGACACCCCCTGATAACCCAAGACCATTTTTGAACAAACAACTGCGAGACTTCCCAATTCTGCGGAAGCCACGGGTCACCCCAGACCATGATGCCAATATCACCATTAGTGGGATCCATGATATCCGTACACAGCTCACAATCGTTGAATGACTCCGCGGCCTTGACAAGATTATCCCGCATTCGCGGGACCGGAAAACAATCTAGCCAGGGATGATGAGGAATAGAGCATTGAGTGGTGGTAGGAAAGAGACTAGCTGGGACGATTTCTTTGTTATGGTTGCTTGGCATATCAGTACTGAATGGAGAGATGACGTCGTCTCCCATGGCCTCGATGCTTAGTCCGAGAGATGCCATGTTATCCACGAATGCGCGAAGCACGTTGAATTTGGACAAGGTGAATAGTTGGTCTAGACATGGATCAGCGGCATAGTATCTCTCACGGGCTGCGGCGCTGAAGCGCGTCATCATTGCTACAGCATCTTGGAGGGTGGTTGGTGGAGACTGTCGCGGCCCTTTGGTTTGATCGGATCGTGGGAGGATCAATGCATAACGCCGTAGGTCTGCCTTGTTATTCTTGGACTTCAGCAGAAGGGCCTCTTGCCGGTCACGGCGTTTTCTTGCACCTACAAAGGGTTATTATGAGGTCTATAGCAAAGACAGCAATCTACGAAGCAGGATATGTGATAAAAAAGTACCTACGCAAAGCACGCTGGTTGAGTTTATTCTGCAGCTTCTTGCGCAGAGCAGGATCTGTAATCCCTGTCCAGTCCTCGTCGAGCCGACGGATCGGCACTTGCAATGACATTAGTGATTAGAGAAGCACCGGTGGTACTTGTAGCACGGCAGATGATGGCGGAGGGGTTATGGCCTGTGCTATCAAATGCATGACAGATGTGTTGCAGGTGGATGGAGATGATGAAAGGGGCGGCGGAGGGGCGAGTCTTTGTTTCACTGATTGGTGGCAACAAGGTTTTTCATGCAATTACATAAGCGCGCACAAATGGAACTTCATAAAACGAGACCATTAAAAACGATACCCCATGGTTACAGCAGTGACCGGAATGATGAGTTGAAAGAAGAGAAAGTAAGGTGGGTAGGCTCGGTCTTTGAATATACCCACTTTCAGGATAAGGACTAAAGGCTGTAGTACAGTTTATACTGGAAGATGTCTCAGACTCTCCTGCTACAGTGCTGTAGCTATGCATCGATGCTTTTCCCGTGCTGCACTTGACAGGACGAACTAAAACATGAGTGGACACTAGATGCGCGGTTTTGTGGTGGTATCATGGGCTTTGTGATGGATCAACATCATGGGATCGACTATTAATTATCAGTATCAACTGGTGAGTTCGATATTCCCACTCTCTGTTAATCCCATGTAACTGATGGGAATATTCTCGAGCCATGTTCCAAAGCAACGCGAATGATCAGAAGGATTGTCTTGGGAGAAGGGCAAGCAGAGGTCTCTTTCAAGGTGCTAAGATGCATCGGCCTATTAAATTATCAGACAAGCCCACAAGAAATAGAACCTAGAGGAGATCCCCGAGAACCCGTCTTAAGTTATATAACACCTGTAAAAGCACCACCAATCACATAAGGCTTAAGGCTTGTCAGTCAGTCGGGTCCGATCAGTCACCACACACCCACGCTGAGGGGAAATGATGGGGAAATGGAGAAAGAAATTGGAAGGTGCCCAATCAAGTGCTAAGATGACCCATGCATATCGCTGTGGGTCTGGAAATGACCAGTCCAGTCCTTCCCCGAGGTTAATATTCCGCTGCCAAAGTACCGGGCTTACCCAACAAGGCTGGCCTAAGATTCATCGATGGTGAGCTGAAATAATGGCTCAGTCCTGTTGAAACTACGGAGAATCCCGGATGTGTATCCCCGACCTCTGTGCGCGCAACAATCGCTATTTGATGCCAAATAGGCTAAATTATCCGTTGTGGGTCCTTGCATACACTACCTCGAATTCAGCTCGAATTACCTAGGGTTCAGTTCAGTGTGACCTGACTCTTATGACAGATCTATGTCTAGGATCATGTGCATTGGTATTAAAAACCTTGTTCAAGTGAATCTTCCTTCTGTAGGGATAGTTCTAGTCCCGAAAGGTCAAGGCAGTCAACAGAGCTCCTATCAGAAGTATATACCGTACAGTAAGCTGCACAGTGTCTGCTCCACTGGCCACCACTCAAACGTCTTCGCCACGTATCAGCAGATCCCAAAGTCAAGGTATGAGCTGATAGGATAAATAATTGGCCAATCCGGAGATTCTCATTGAGCCGCAATTATGCTCGCGCCAGTTTGTGCGCCATGTTAAATTCGCTGACGTGGGCACGATGGTCCTGGATGCACGAGGGGACGATCACTATTAAACTCATCCTTTAGCGTTGCTTTTCTGGGCCGTGACGTCGGAGAAACCACAAGAAAGTCGGATAAAGAGAGCGGCGTTGGCTGGGATCTCCAAAACCCCCAGTTGTTGACGATATTCTCACATCTATATGACATTGGTGCGGTTGGATTTGGGAGTAGATCACAGAGGTACTGGAAGATCCCTGCTCAGGGAAGAACTTCCGGTGTGGGACATTGTGCAAGCAACTAGACAGCACGATTCCACTGCATTTCACCCTCACCCCGTTGGCCAGAACAGTGTTTGCACTAGTACACCCTGTAAATCCAGCTAGTCAAGACAATCCCCTAGATACTGTCCAGGTGGCAGCAGTGAGCGCTGGAAGTATCAGCACAGGACGGGGTATGATTATTCCGGGACAGAACAAGCTGAACGGCTCCAGCCAATCATGGAACATGCCTTGTCAATCAGACGGGAGTGGACCCACTGTGCTTGACTTGGGTTTAGGGGCCTGAGGCGGCACGGAGCATCCGGCTTCTATTAGCGTTGTGGCTGGCCATTGGACTATGCTCCGATGGGAATAGCTCCTTCTCTCAATCGACCTTGCAAAGTGGGTTTAAGTAGGTAGCACTGATGACTGGTGCCCGGTCGGCGAATTCAGTGCGCGCAACTTCTGTTCACCACGTACCTACCAAGGACCTACCCCTACACGATGGGAGGTTTCTTGCCAGGCACCACCCGCCTCTGGCGCTGGCCATCCCTCCCAGACATCCAATATCGTCGGGTTTGGGGCGGCGCGCGAGGAAAAACGGACGTCGAGCTGGTACCTGCATCCCCAATAAGCACTAACGATGCCGGCAGTTCCCCAACACGAGTGAAGCCCATCACGAGCTGGAAGCCTTCCGCCCACCGACACAGTGATCGGAAATGGGTGATGGGTGTTCTGATCTGTGCCTATGCCGCCGCCGCTGTCTTGCTGATAAACATTATTCTGACCCTCGTGGCGACCGCCGTGTCGTTTGCGCGCCATGGCTCGCTCACGATGACCGCGGCCACCATCTACGAAGGCAGTTGCAGCCGAACGAAAGCCTGGACGACGGGGCTGCACTTGCTGATCAACGTCCTCAGCACCGTTGTCCTCGGCGCCAGTAGCTATTGTATGCAATGCCTGACGGCGCCCGCCCGAAATGATGTTGACCGCGCCCACGGGGAACGCGTGTGGCTCCATATCGGGGTCGCGAGCCTGCGGAATCTTGCCTGGGCCGAACGATCCCGTCTCGCCTTGTGGATGGCGCTCGCCATCACCTCCCTTCCCATTCATCTGATGTATGTCAGACCCGACCGTCGTGAGGACCGGGCCTAATTATGACCGCAGATACAACTCCGCCGTGTTTTTTGCCCTGGGCACGAAGGAATACAATGTCGTCATGGCATCAGCTAACTTTGACTTTGACCGTCCCCCGGCGCATTACAATGCCTCGTACGGCGAGTGCTTTGAGCGGAACACGGCTCTGAACATGTCCGCCTTCTATGCCGATCTCCCCAACTTCAAGAACTTGACCCGGAAGGAATGTGTACAGAAGCATACGGCGAATTTCCCGGCCAACCTCGGCACTTTGATCCTAGTGACCAGCAACCTCACCATCGCCAACGAAACCTTGCAGTGGGTGGCTGCGGGTAACCCGCCCTCAGACTATGAGGGCGGCGCCACATATAGCTATGAGTGGATGTGCAGCCAGTTCGGGGTTAGCTATTGCACTCCATCGAACCTACGGGCCGCCGTCGACAGTTGGGCCGTTCCAGGCGGGATCCCCTGGTCGGGCGCGGTAGTCAATGCCACGATCGATGTTCCCAGTGGCCGGGAGACCATCAATGGGATGGTACCGGATCTCTATGACCAGCGGGACTTCGAATGGCCCGAGCCGTTGTTAGATGACTTTACCTGGCTTGCGACGGATCTTCTCGCCTTTCCTTCGGAGTCCTATCTGCAGCAGTCCCTGGACAATGCCACCCAATGGAAGAACAGCACTTGGGCTCGGGCGGTTCGCCTGCAGGTCACCGACGAGGAGGCTTGTTCCCCTGACTTCTACCTCCAGCCCGGATGGACCGCAGGGGCCGAAGAGTATCCCGTGGAATATTGCCTAAGTCAGGAGGCCCCGGAGCACTGCGAGCTGCAATACAGTCCGACGATCTGCCTGGTGGTGATCACCTGCAACGTCATCAAGTTCCTGTGTATGCTGTTGACAGCCCGGAACGATCGAAAGGACATCTTCCTGACCGTCGGCGATGCCATGGCATCGTTCTTAACCCAGCCCGATCCCACCACCGAACAGATGGGCTTGCTATCACGAGCGAATCTGAGTGCCGGTCCACAGCCGTGGCAGTCCCGTCGAGAGCAGTACTGGCGCGTGTCGCTGACGGGGAAGGGAGCCTTGCAATCCCAAGCGTGGGCCAGACTCCCGCCACGCCAGCGATGGTACCGGGCGGTGCGACTTGGGCAGTGGATCACGACCATCTGCGTGTACGTGTCAAACCTCGTGTGTAGAGTATTACTGACCTGTGTAGTTGTTTGGTCTTGATCAGCGTGGGAGGTTATCTCCTGTCGCTCGCGATCCAAGGGCTGGCGGACGAAGGCCAGTCGTGGAGTCTCCCGGCATTGTGGAAGCTGGGGTTCGGTTCGCCCACGCCGTATACCATCATCTCGATGCAACATACGTCGGTCATTTCTATGGCTTTGTTGGCCAATTGTCCCCAGATAGTGATCTCGGCGGGATATTTCTTGTACAACAACCTGTTGACCCACATGTTGCTGGCCGCGGAATACGACGATTATGCGACCCAGCGGAAGCCGCTCCGGGTGTCCTGGCCGGAAGGATCTCAACGAGGCACCTATTATCTGAGCCTCCCGTATCGCTACAGCGTCCCGCTCCTGATGGCTTCGATGCTACTACATTGGTTGGTGTCGGCCAGTTTGTTCTACGTCGAGATAATTCCGTTTGACACGCAGGGGGTTGCATCGTATTCCGATCAGGTGATTGCCTGTGGGTATGCGCCCATTGCCATTGTGTTTGCCATTATCCTGGGAGGTGTGATGACGGGGACGGTGATGGGCCTGAGCCGGAGGCAGTACAAATCCCGAATGCCAGTTGCGAGTAGTTGCAGTGCGGCGATCAGCGCGGCATGCCATCCCCAAGGGGGGTATGACCATGCGCTGAAGCCGATTATGTGGGGGGAGATCCGCATGCAATCACAGACGAAGGGGGGTTTCCACGTGGACATCGACAGCCTGAGCGATGCTGAATCAGATGATGGGGATCTAGGTAGGCCCACGCGAGCCCGTGGCGAGCGGCGCGAGGGAGATTACACGCCGCTGGAATCGGTTGGCAAGGATACCTATGGCCATTGCAGTTTTACCTCGGAGGAGGTGACAGCCCCAGACCCATACCGACTGTATATGTAGCAGCCCGTGGTAGTGCCGACCGCGGGATGACTAGCTTTCAATAATAATTGCCTGGGGGCTGTTTTTTCCAGGATCTGTGAATGGGTAGCGATTCGAGTACCGTGCTAGGGGGGAGCAGGGAGCAGCCGACAAACGTGCGACCGGTATCGTAGAAGCAATCGTAGGATAGGTCTGGTTCTAAAGAAGCACACTGTCAGGTCGGTACCAGATCAAGAGGAGAGAGATGCAGCTGCTTCCACCTGGACACCGCTACTATTCGTATCATTCCTATCTCTTCAGCTGCAGGATCGGCTGGTCGCGTCATCACCGTGTCGCCGATCAGCCGATCGGACGAGCAATCGACAAGTGTCCAGACTGAATCCGGTTAGTCAGCTGTAATCCACCAGGATAGAAAGTATGGATGAAGTATTTGATTGTTACACCGGACAAGGGGACAGGGACAGGGACAACGACAGGGACAAGCGAATTGTCAGGAGGATGAGAGGATGAAAGAAGCAAGTTTGTCACGGCGGGAGGCCGATCGTGGCCCGGTGGGGAAAGATTGGCCGGACCCGGCCATAGCCGTAGTAGGCTAGCCTATCTAGTGGTGGCCGGCCCTGCTGCTCGGGCGTGGGGGGATCGCCAGAGTTGACTTCGACTTCGACAGCAGTCCCACCTGAGTCTAGACACCAGCAGCTGAGATGCGAGCCATCACACCGATTCCTCCCACCACCTCAGGGACCTCTTTCCCCCCATCATCCCTATAAGAATCCTCACATGTCCGTCCTAGCCAACGCACCGCACCATGACGGAGCGCAAGAGACGACGGGCCTTTGCGCCCAGGGCCCGCACCGGGTGTCGCACGTGCCGGTCAGCTCCACTCCCTCCCTCTTCTTCCTTTCCTCTTCTTCTTTCTCTCACTCCATCCGACTGACCCTGACTCAGCATCCGCCATGTTCGCTGTGATGAAACCCCCGGCTCGTGTTACAACTGTTCTTCTACTGGACGAAAATGCGATGGCTATGATACGGCCCACTTGCCTCTGGCGACATCCCGCGCCCGCAAGTCCATCGTCTTGCAGATGCCCGCCAGCATCGCGACTAACCTCCGCGGAATGACCGCCGATGAACGTCGTAGCTTTGCTTTTTTCCTCGCCCAGACTGTCCCGATGATTACCAGCTGCTTCAGCTCCGATCTCTGGCAGCGGCTGGTCCTGCAGATGACACAAGCCGATTCCGCCGTCGGTCATGCCGTTGTCGCTCTCAGCGCTATGCACCAGGATGCCCAGGTTCACACCAGCCCTCACAGTGCGCTCCGTCGGTTTGCTCTCGAGCAGTATAACCGATCCATCTCTATGCTCTACACGCGACTTCCATCCAACGACCCGCAACTGCGAGGGGTGGTGCTGATGTGTTGCTTCGTCTTTGTTACTTTAGAACTGCTCCAGGGAGATTATCCGGCGGCCATGGTGCATTTGCAGAATGGATTGAATATCCTGGGCATGGGCGGTCAAAGGACGGTCACGTTCTCGGCCGGGGGGAAGGCCGGACTGGAAATTCCCACCGGAGGGACGGAAAGGGCCTTGGTAGGAGCGTTTCGGCATCTATATGTCCAAGCCGTCCATTTTGCGCCACCTGGTACGGCTGTGCACTTTTACACGGAGGATCAACCCGATTCCGGCGAACAATGCTTATACAGCCTCCCCGAGGCCAAAGAGGCCCTTGATCCGATCTTAGGCGACATCTTATATAGCTTCCGAGTCCGCTGCGAGTTTGCGGTCGGGGACGCTGCCTCGGATTTCCTCACGCTGTCAGCAGAACGACACGGTTTGCTGCGCCGACTGAAAGCCCACCGGGTGGCCTTGGAGGCGCTGGTGGCACACCGGGATGGGTGGAGTCCTCGCGACCTCCGTTGCATCGATATTATGCGGGTGCATCATGTGACGCTCAGCATCATTCTAGGCACCTTGCTAAACCTTTCAGAAATGACCTATGACGACTACCTAGCTGAGTTTAATCAAGTCGCCGACCTATCAGAGAGGGTCATTAAAAGCTTAATGGCGGAACACCGAAGGGACGGTCTTCCGAAGATGGTGATGGACATGGGAGTGATCCCTGGCCTGTTCTGGACATTTTTGAAGTGCCGAGATGCGAGTTACCGTCGACGAGTATTCCATATACTGGAGGCATGGCCACATCGGGAGGGACCTTATGAATCGGACTTGGTTCTGAACGTTCTCCGCGTTCAAATGGAGATTGAGAGTGAAGGCGAACGGATCATCCGGACAGATGGTCAAACCACGACGACGATACCAGAGTGTGCGCGGATCCGAGAGGCGTGCCTGGAGCTTTCCCCAGATCGAGGGGATGCATTCCTGGCGTATCGATTATCAGGGGACAGTCAAATGCAGAAGCGACGAATACCGTTGGCGGAAGAGCAGTTTAGACCTTTAGACGGGGGTAAAACGCAGTACCTTTGGCTTACATCTCATCAGCCTTTTCATGATGTATCTGCTGAATAAGCGACTGTTTACACAGACTGGGAGTTGTCACTTATAAGTCTGACTGGTGTATAATGAATCTGATGTATACATCTGGCTTCTGTGCTCCCTAGCCTTAGCTATAGCTGTGGTGTTTGATCTGGTTCTGTATTGACAGGCATCAGATTGTCTGCTCAACCATATAACTTAAACTGCATGACCTAATTCATAATTATTCTATTTTCATATCCTTCCATCAAGTGTAAACCACATCCAGTACGTTTAGCAACACTTCTTCCACCATAATCCACCATATCCAACGACCTAAACACCAAACTTCCCCCGATTAACTTCCACCCACTCCCTAAACCCCATCGCCTCCCTCCCCAAAAACCTCTCAATATTCCCCACCGCACCCCCATAAACCGGACTCTCAATAAACGACCTCCCCTCCACCACCGCCCCCCTACAAAACCCCACCACAGACCTCGCAATCCCCTCATGCAGTCCCGACTCCCGCACCAAACTCTCCACCCCTTCCTCCTCACCCACCTCAATCACACTAACCTCCCTCCCAAGCACAGATCCAACCGTCTCAATAACCTCCCTCACACTCATCTGCTCCGGTCCAACCAGATACACAAACGACTTCCCCTCTTCCACCCCCGTCTCGACACCCCTAGCCCTCCGCGCTAATATCATCCCAGATACACACCCTACATCCCCCGGCGAAATCCAATCAAATACCCCCTCCGCCCAGGCAACCCTCACCCCATTCCCATTCTGGATAGAATTTCTCCACCAAAGCGAATTACTCGCATAAAACCCCGGCCGGACAGCAACATACCCATCATCCTCGAATACCTCCCGCAGGGAGATCTCCGCTTGCGCATGCACATACGCAATCACATCCTCAGACGCCACATGGTGAATATCACCCTGAACTCCAAAACTACTCAACAACACAACAAACTCCACCCCTGCTTCTTTGAGAGCGGTGAAAGTCCCGCGCATGTGGTCTGGGGAGGTGAGATCCGTGTAGATGAAAGCGTGTTTGGCTTTGCTTTGGGCCACGGCGGTGGTGATGCTGGTGGGGTTGGAGAAGTCGGTTTGGATACGGGTGAAGTTTCCCGACTGTTCTTGGGCTGTTGTGAGGCCGGGGATGGGTTTGGTGGTGTCGCGCAGGGCGAGGTATACTTTGCATCCTTGGGTGTGGGCGGTAAGCGCGGTGGCGGAGCCGACAGAGCCGGTGGGGCCGAAGATTATAACAGGGGTCATGGCTGATATGAAGCTTGGGATGGGGATGGAGATGGAGATGGAGATGGAGATTGGTGGGGATGGATTTATAGTTGGTATGATGGGTTGAAAAGTTGGAGGTTGGGATGGATGGATGAATTTGTCAGCCTCGGACTCGGATGATTCACGGGTAGCGAGAAACGCGAGTCCGAATTATGATATCATGGTATCATCCTTCTTGGTGGATACTATATCTGCTGTGTTATGTACTACGTACTACCTATGTGGACTGGGAAATCATGGTATTCGTTGCAAACTCTGCAAATCCCGAGATCGGGATCCATGTTGTCTCGGAAGTGGGTTCGGTTCGTGGTTCCTGAATTGGTAGATATTCCCGAGTCTGCCGTGCTACAATCTGTTCAACTGTAGATAGATGGAGGATGGATTTGATGTGTAGATATACTGTTTCAAGCTGGACTAAAGACTTCCTCTTATACTTGAACTGACCATCCCCTGAAGCCATTATCTGATGTCAATATATAAAGTATGAAAAAGAATTCCCAAGTACGCGAAATGATAAGAGTGACTAGAAACCAAAAAGAAGTCGATGGATATTGATACTATTAACCACAGCTATACAGCAACTTTATACTATAAATTGTCATGAGAAAAGAATAGACAACGCCGAAATCCATCCTTCACAACCATCCCCACTAATTATCATTACAACCCCTCACCAGCCAACCACCCCTCCACCATCTCCCCGAAATCCGGTTTATACAACCACTCCAACTCAAACGGTTCCTCCTCCCCATCCACACCATCACCACCACCACCAGACTGCTTAGGCATCCTCCTCCTATCAACCCGCTTATTCAAATCCAACACCCTATCCACCCTCTCCTGCCTCCCCTTTTGCCAAACCTTTAACCCTCGTTTCAACCTATCCCCACTACCCCCGGGAATACCCCCACCCACATCAGTAGCAGTAGTAGTAGTAATACACCTCTCCAAAACCAAAGCAAACGTAAAGCCATCCTCAAAAGCCTGATTCACACCCTGTCCCGCCGACGGCGGAATCGCATGCGCGGCATCACCAAGCACCACCACATTACCCAACCCCGAAGTCCAACTCTCCAGTCTCGGAACGATATAAAACGGCCAGAGGTTAATCGTATCAGAGTTGATAGAGGATACAGCCCGTTGCACGAGATCCGGGTATGAGGTGGAGTCTTCGCGGAGAAAGTCCACACACCATTCCTTGTTTTCTAGGAGAGAGGACCATTCTTTGCGGGTGAGGTGCGGGGAGTGTTTTTGGCGGCCGATCAACAGTTCGGTTCCTGAGGGGAGTTGAGGGGCGATGATGAAGGCGCCGTGCGTGGGGTTGAGGATTGTGACTGGTAGGGGATATATGGATGGGAGGTTGAGTTGGGATGTAGGTATTGTGGCAGTTACGCCCACGATATTGGTGAATTGTGGTTCGAGGTCTGGGTAGAGGTACTTTCGGACTGTGGAGTGGATGCCGTCTGCTCCGACGAGACAGGTGGCACTGGCGGTGGTGCCGTCGGTGAATTCCCAGATGACGGTGGTGGGGGATTCGGTGAGGATGTGGTGGAATTTCTTGTTGTAGTGGATGGGGATGCCGGCTTCGTGGATTAGGGCGGAGAGTTCGCGGATGAGCACGTGGCGGTAGATGCGCATTCCCGGGTAGTTGTATTTGGTGGTGTTGCCGAATTCGTAGGTGTCCAGGGGGGTGTCGGTGGTAGTGCGGAAGTGGAGATGGTCGAAGAGGTAGGCGTCTGGGAGAAGGCGTGTGTAGACGCCGAGATGGTCCAGGATGCGGAGGGCGTTCGGGGAGAGCATGATGGCGCCGCCGATGTTGAGGGGAGCGGAGCGGGCTTCGTAGATGGTGCAGGGGATGGATTGTTGGTGCAGGGCTAGGGCTAGGGCGAGGCCGGAGAGCCCGGCCCCGATGATGGCGATGTTGGACATGATGTGATGCTGTTGTGATGCTGTTGTTATGCTGTTGGAACAATATTGATTCTGATAATGGTTGCGATATTAGAGTCAATATGCGATGGCAGTGATGCTATACTGCACCAAGTAATAGATGATGCTGTAATGCTGGATGCTGATAGTTGAATTCCGAATGCCTTGTTAGGATGATATGAGCTGGGCGGTTGTTGTCTTTATATACCATCATCCTGGATCCTTAGGCTAAGGCTACTGTCCGATGTAACAGGCAAGCCAACCATTTGGCATAGGGTGAGGTTGATAGAACGGACGAACCGGAGAAGCTGTGGTCCGGATCCGAGTTCGGATCCGAACTGTCTCCGAGGCATTACCCTTTTAGGTATCTCCGATATTGCTATGTCGACGGTGCATCAATGCCTCGGGTGGATGCTAGTTGTGGATGCAGACGGATTTCTCGATCACTCTGCCCTCCTCGTGATGCTGTGTGGTGCCGAGCTTCACTAGGATTCAACAGCAAAGTGATTAGAACGGCGAGGTACACTACTACAATAGCATTGAATCATACATGTATATACACATCTATCAAACACTTTTCGCTAATCATCACCAAAAATGCATGGCTGTTATCTCATCCACATCAACTCGCTGCATCCCTGCATCACTCATCGCTACGCTACGCTACATATTCCACGCAAACGACTCATCTTCCAAAGAAAATGGATCCCCCCGGAAATTGTTGAACTCGGTCGCCAGATCCGACGACTCCGCCAGGAATTCCGGCAGTGGCGGCTGTGTCCCGGGCGTGTAGCCTGGGTCCGTTGTGGTGGGGAAGATGGGTTGCGTCGTGTGGAGCTGCATCCATTAGTAGGTTCATCAAAGTTCAAATGGAGGCGGCATACCATCTGGGTAAAATCTCCTAGGTTGAATGCAAACGATTCCTGCGCCACAGTCGGCAGAAGATGTTGTCGACACGCCGACAACGCCTTGGCGGCCCCCTGCTGCATCCACCGCTCCTTGACCTCCGCCGAGCCACGCGCCCGCACCGATTGCAGCACCACCGCCAGCAGCAGCACATCTTTAATATTGCTGCCCGTTTCGCCAATCGTCCGCGTCAGCCCGTCAAGCGTGTTCTCGACCACGCGCATGAGACTAGCCTTGGTGTGCGTCGCCGTTGGCATATGCGGTGAGTAGACCGCCGGGGACGCCATCGGCGTCTCCGCAGAATGTTGCTGGCTGGATAGCTTCATATAGCCGCACACACTTAGTGCCGCCCACGGAATGTCGTTCTTACAAAAGAGCTGATAGACGTCCCAGTATGGTGTTGACTTGAACATGTCCAGATACGCAACGTTCGGATCAAAGTAGTCCTGGTAGGACAGGACGACGAGCGATGATTCTAGACAAGCTTGTTCGATTTCGAAGAAGAGCTGGTCCTGGCGACTGTTGCCCATGACGATCGGTCGATAGAGACACAGCAGCGGCCGGCGCATGTACACGTCCAGGAGCACCCGATTCAGCAAGAGGGCCGGCCCCGGGGTCTCTCCATGAATGGGAGCCGGGTCCAATTTCAATGGCGCCGGGATCTGTCGGAGGCATTCCTCTATCCGTCGACCCTGCTTGACAATCTCAGTGAGATCCAGTCCCGGGCTGGAAGTTCGCACGAGCGACATGGCCCGGATCCGCTGGGGCAATGAGGAGGCCAGAGTCACTTGGGCAAGGGTGTCAGTCCACTCATGTAACGGTTTGGCAGGGGGCAACGCGGTGGTCGTGTCATCGAAATCCACGTCGTTCAGGTTGGACGGGATGAGGGGGTCAAAGTTTAGGTCCGGAATTGTCACGGGCATGCCCGACGCAATCGAAGTCTGCAGGTCCATTTCCACAATGGTGATCCACAAGCGACGCCGGACTTCCTTCTGGAAGGCTGACAGCTGCGTATTCTCGGCGAGGTCGAGATGCAGACCCACCACCATGGCAGAGCGCACCAGCGTCCCGGTGGCGCGCCATAGTTCTTCCTGCGACACCAGCCGTAGTCGGCGGGCAAGGATAACCAGGGCGTCGATCTGCAGAGAGACCAGCTCGGTGCGCTGCTTCCGACCAAGCTTGTTCAGCCACACGCGAACCAGGTTGACAGCGGGGGTCTGCAGATACTCCCAGGCGGAGGCAAACTCTAGGCGAAAGTTGGGAACCTCCAAGGGCAGTGCGGCCGCCAGGACGGCGGTCAGCTGGGGCAGGAAGGTGGCGGAGGGATCATTGTCCTGAGAGGAGGTGGCCCAGAAGTCGGCATACTGGCGGAGAAAGGTAGGAACATGCAGCATGCGGAGGGTACGCTCAAAGTTGGTAGTGTAGAGATTCACCAGGCGGTCACACACCGCTTTGGGTGGCAACGAGGCCTGCATCTGCAGCAGCTCTGGGGAATAATCGAGATCAGGCATGGAATCCGGAGAGCTCGTGGGCAGCTTGGATTTGCTCTGAAGGAACTGCACCTCCTTGGCTAGATTCAGAATGGAGGGATCCCGGGTGCACCGCTGGATGAACTCTCGGGCTTCGGCAAACTGATGCAACAAGCTGGTACGATTGTTCTGGCCATGGTAGCGGGATCGCGTGCCCTTGACTACGAGGGTGCCCGGGTATGGAGGTGCATGGGCACCCCGGGGGGTGGCGGAGCGAGTGGGAGAGCTCCCGGGAATATCCCGGAGCGGACCGGAATACGCATGAGACAAGGGTTTGAGGGCCAGATACTCTTCAATATAGGCGAGACGTTGTTGAAAGTCCTCGAGCAGGCCGATGCCTGACTGGCCTGACTGACCTGACTGGCCTGGCCGGCCTGAGGGGCCTGAGGGGCCTGACCGGGGCCTGGCCACCGGGTCTGCCCGAGAGTCGGAGGAAAGCGGAGGAAACGGAGAAGGGTCGAGCTGCACGCGCTTGGCGCCGGGCAGGTCGGGCAGACCATCCACCATCCCATCCGAGTGAAAGACGCAGTCGGTGGGACAGCCGGCCCTGGAGCAATTCTCACAGGGCAATAACCGGTCGCATTTGAGCTTCTTCTTGCGGCAGCGCAGGCAGGAGACAACAGGACGAGGGCGTTTGCGGGTGAGGGAGCCGTCCCCCACGTGGTCAGTCGAGTTCATGCTGGCACCGAGTCAGGGTAGGGTTGCATTCGGGGGGATGCTAGTCATGATAATATTCATAATACAGCAACATTGATGTTGTGATGGTCGGAGGAACAGATGGACAGACTGGCTGACAGCTCCAGGTAGCTAGATACGTCCGGTGTAGTAGTAGTAGTGGTGGGTGGACAAACAACTACTAACTCGTGGGCCTCCACTCGCCACTCGGTCTCGGTCCCGACCGGCCTTGGGCGACCCAGAGACACCTCTGGCGCAAAGTCCTTTGTTCCGTTGGTTGGATGGTTTTCAGCCAATCATCTATCCGCACGCTTCTTTCACCCCGGCCCAAGCCTGTGGCGGTGGCTGTGGCACTGCTTAGCCCTAGATACTCTTTCATTCAATACAAAGCAGTATCTAAATGTAGAACAGTATTAATAGATTCCTTGTTATCCACTGCCTTTCTGCCTCATACTCATCCTTCTCCTCCTGCTGCTTCCCCGGTCAGTTGGTAATGACAGGAGTCGAATTATCCCACTCCGTCCCCTCCGCCGCGTCCACCAACCACCGCGCCACACTGATACGACTCGTACTAGCCATCATGGGCACTCCCTTGCCATGATCCGGCCACACCTTGATCGGCAGGGTGGTATCCTCGCTCTCCACCAGCCGGGACGGTCGCACCATCACATAGTCCACCCCGCTGGCCCGTACCTCCCGCTCCGTCTCGTTATGATCATCATACTGGTACGACATGTTGGATTTCTTCATCAGCAGTCGCAACACGCAGTGCAGGTTGACCCATGAGTCTCCGACTCCGAATGCCTGCAGGATGACTGTCTTGCGCACCCCGAACTCCTTCATCGCTGCCACCACGTTGGCGTTGCAGTCGGCCATGAGTCGGGGCGGGGAAATCGGGGCCGCAAAGGGACTGTCGCTGGCTCGGGGGGCATTTAAGGTCACGATCACCACGGTGGGAATATCGGCTTGGAAGACACGCCGGACGTCGTCGAGCTTCGTGGGGGTTCCTGCCATGATGTCAGTTGGATGGTTGATTGGTATGCAACGTGGAGGGTATACCTGGCACAACTGTGAGACCGGCACGTGCTCCACCTAGGGCATCCGGCTTACGAGCCAGCGTGGTGACTTGGTGGCCTGGACAGGTTAGATACATCTACTTACATCACTTTAGAGGGGCTTACCTCGACTGAGCAGTTCATTGATGACCAGTTTGCCGCATCGGCCACTTCCACCAATTACAAGGACGCGCATGTTGATACAGACGTTGATGCTGATGAAGAAAATATGAAGGATGAAAAACTGTCCACCAGGCACTTTTCCAATAACTGCAGGAGATCTATTATGTTGCAACAGCTGACGGTGACAGGATCTATATACTACCAGTTTCACTACTAACACGGTATGATCTCCGGAGCTACCTTCGGATCCGACCGGACGAGTCCGTTTCCTCCGGACGGGATAGCCTACTCCCCCAACGCTGATCACATCGTCGGGGAATCAAATAGGCAATGACTCAACGACCATTGCGATTGGGCTTTTTTGGGGGTCTAAGCTTTTTGTTATTATTCTTATTTTACTTTCGGGTTTTCTCCGGTCAGGGGTTGAACCGGTTGGAGGGAGAAATACACCGTAGCCTGGAAATATATGTTCCCTAGCACCAGCCTTCCGAACTGATAGGGAGACCCGTCCAGCTGACCGATGAAGGTAGTAAGATGGAGACTCATGAGTAGAGACGAATGATGTTTATAGGTAATAGCCCAGTGCATCCAGGTCGCTGCAGTTCGCTACAGTTGGTAAGAGCCTCAGGGCCGGATCCGCTGTCGGATCCGATCAGCTGCACCAGCCCAATCAATAGTGGTTGCAGGTCGCTCGGGTCCGTTTTTTCGGTCGCGCGGTCCGCTACTAGTTAGTAAGCATTTTAGTCACGTGATGTTCAAGCGAGCTGTTACCCACTAACACTGTAAATCTCAGATTATATCATCTCTTTTAATGTTCTTATAGTTATCTTATTATTACTATGTATAATCCCCCCCCTCTAACTAACTAACATGACTACTCTGAAGTTAAATATCAGTAATATTACTTATTAAGTTATTTATTATTACTTAATTAATTCTAAGATAAAATGCTGATGAAATACTGATATATTTTAATAAAATAAAAATAATCTTAATAATATCTTAGAGAAATAAGTAATAAATATTTAGAACTTCCTGAGTACGAGCAGGTAAGCTTACTTTCTTGTTTTTAACTATTTAGAAGATACTTATTGTTACAGGCCCCTGCTAGCCAGGTCACTAGCGGAGCGGGCTCGTTAGGCAGAAAGCGTCGACAAGGCAAGTCTCGGACGACCAGCAACTCTTATCGAGTAGGATCCCGGTCTGAGTAACGTCCGGAGCGGCGTTGTGTCACGTGATCATCTACCATTGGATCTACCATCGAGGGTATACGCAAGGTATACTGGAATCCAGGAACGTGATTGGATCGACCCTCGATCTACCCTGAATGGTATATGATATGGTATACAGAGGATAGGATATAAGGACACTCTTATATGTGCTTAGCTAGTTCTGTTCTTCATGCTCAATACAATCATCTTTAAGTAACCATACGTTTAGAAAGTTTAGCGACAATACTCGTCTGTACTTACTTATGGATAGCTGCGCGGCACTATCTGGCCTTACTTCTCTTCTCATGTTCAGGACCAGTCATCTTTAGATAGTCATCAGTCTGACACTACCTTGATTCAGTTCGAAGGTACGTATATCGGCAAAGCTAAGCTAATAAGAACAGGGAGAAGCAATCCTAGGGTTTGACATATTGAGCACCAGTCAGTACAAGTGTTATCCAGTAATAATTAATCATCATGTTGACTACTTCGAACTCATCGCGCGCCCCACAGCAGCAGGGCCTGACAATACAAGAACTGATGGGTATGGTTGGTCAGTTATAAGAAAGCATCACCGTCTTAAAATAACGGAACCAGTTACTCAAAGATCGCTTAACAGTTAAATCTATTAAGATCTGACTATTAGAACCATTTAACAGTAATCGCGCGAAGCTCAGGGCTTTCTTAACCCAGTTAGACTTGTATCTCAACATGAACAGAGAGAAGCTTAAAAATAAGATTGATAAGATCCTTTTTATATCTACCTACCTGACTAAAATAGTGTTCAATTAGTTTAAGCCGTATATCTGCGAGTATCAAGAAAAGTCGGTAGATAATCAGGATAATAAAACCAAACAAATCTTCGCTAATTATACCAGATTCAAGGGACATCTTGAATAAATATTTAAAAACATCAACGCAGCACGCAATGCTGAATGAAAGTTATAATGATTTAAGCAGAGCAGATTAATATCTAAGTATACTTCCGAATTCTTACAAGTTATCAGTCACCTAGACTAGGATAAAGACGCCTATATCACACGATTTAAGGAAGAACTCAAGATAGAGATCCAAGAAAAACTTATTTAGTAAGAATAACTAAATACGTTGCCACAGATAATTGCAGCAGTAATCAAGATTAATAATAAGTTGTATGAATACAACATGAAACGGAAGAAAGACTGATAAACCAGCAGGTCTATACCTTAACAACAAAATCAACAAAGCTATTAAGCCAACAATAGAAGATCAGCATAGCCTAAAAGTCTGGAATATGAAGATCTCTACAGACTGAAGCTAATGGAGCTAGATACAGCACAGCATTAGACTTAACAAGACAGAGTATTCAAGGAGGAACTCAAACAGCGTAAAAAGAACTGCTTGTGCTTTAGCTGTGGCAAAGCAGGTTATCAGTCAAAGAATTATAAACAGAAACAGTAATAGCCTCAGAAGCAGTTAAGAACTATGCATGAAGATTAAGACAGAGGAGTCTATAATATTACTACTATTCAGCCCGAAGTTTGGACAGAACCTGCAACGTGGATATCAGATAGCAAGAAGCTACATATCATATAATATGGATAACTACTAGTATCAGAAAGCAGTATATACCAAGATCAGTTAAGGTAACAGGTTACTACAGATAAGCCAACAGCACCACCAGAATAACAAGAAGACTACTAACTATCTGTACCATTTGATTAGCCTATAGAAGTTAATGACAGTAATAAGCCAGTTCTGAGAAACGAATATCCTAATATAGTTTGGGACAAGTTTGACCCTTTAAATAAAGAATACAATACTTAGCTAGAAGGTCTTAAACCTAGTAAGAAGAGACTCAGCGAGATATCTAATATCCCGGAAAAACTCTCATTAGAAATTAGTAAATTATGTCCGATACAGTAAGATAAAAATAAAAAAAACCAGAAAAATAATAAAGATAAAATTACTTACTGGTTAGACTGTATTATAAAGAAATTCTCAGAGAATCTAGTATGATTCTACCCAGAATTCAAGAAAATCATACATCATTATCTATATTAAGACCTGAGATGTTAAAAATCATAAAACAAGACCTGGAAACAGTATCTGCAGAGATGTTCTTATTATCTAGAATTTTATCTGATATATGGATGAGACAATATAGATTACTATTATTAACTATCTGAGATTAGCTACAAGATATAAGTAGCTAGAACAGAACCTTAATATAATAATAAGAAATGTCTGTATATATACTTCAAAGAAAATAACAGATATTAGAAACATGATGAACTTGTCAAACCCTAGGATCGCTTCTCCCTGTTCCTGTTAGCTTAGCTTCCGTTCCAATACGTACCTTCGAACTGAATCAAGGTAAGTCAGACTGATGACTATCTAATAGCAACTAGTCCTGAACAAGAGAAGAGAAGTAAGGCCAGATAGTGCCGCGCAGCTATCCGTAAGTAAGTACGGATGAGTGTTATCACTAAGTTTTATCAAAACATATGGTTACTTAAAGACAGTGTTATTGAGCACGAAGAACAGAACTAGCTAAATACATGAAAGAATGTTCTTATATCCTATCCTTTATCATGGCATCACCATGATATGTCATGTCACTAATATATTATATTATAGTACTGCCATATCTTATCATAGTACTGACATATTATAGCATGTCGGTGACATGTTTATCGTGGTCACGTGTTGTATAACCATCCCGGTTGTAGGTTATTCAGATCAGGATTCTACTTAATAAGAGTCCTTGCTTTTCCAGACGTAGCCTTCTGCCTAATGAGTCCGCCTCACTAGTTTATTCAGCTAGCAGGGGCCTGTAACACCACTTTCCCTCTTTTAAGGTTTCTTATCCCTAAGAAACATAAATCTGCAGTGCCTCTCTCTTGAGATAAGTATCTGATATTGTTTTCCAAAACTTTATTCAGATCATTAACCATGTCGTCCAGTTCTTCTATTTGTAAGAAGAGCCTTTACTAGTAGATTAAGGACAAAGATTTTCTTGCAGTCTTTTCTTGCAAGCACTGTATTTACCTTTATAAAGTATATATCAAGTCTGAAAATTCTGATTACTGTAGTAAATATATTAAGACAAACAGTATTCATTATAAAATGCCTAATCCTTTCTTCTCTGACGCCGAGTGGAAGCATTTAATCAAGGCCCAAAATTCTATCAAAGAAGAGAAGAAAGTCATTCTGGCAAAGCTTCTTTAATTATAGAAACAAAAACAATTATTATAAAGACAAGCTAGCGATTTCATAGCTTGTAACATAAAGAAAATTAAGGAACTGGAAAAACTTAAGAAATAAGAATAAAAGAAACATAAAGCACAAGCAAAACTGCGTGATCAAAGAACTGTAATATCTAAGACCGAGGCTAGTACTATCACAGGTAGTGATATTAAACTAGTTACTATATCCGAGCTTGATCTTAATTTATCCTAACTAATTAGCTCTCCTTCTTTCTGGAAAAATTTTAACTTGCCTACTAATAATACTGTTTTACAAGCTGGTAACAGCCTATCAAATTCTTAATAAGTTTTTACATGTTTTCTGAGATATTATATTCTTCCTATTTTACCAGATATTATAATCTGCCACTAATTTTCCTGTGGTTTAAGATCCTTTCAACTTTATATTCTTTCTCTATATCATTATTAATCTCCATATTTTCTATAATTCTAGCATTCTGTCAAACCCTAGGATCGCTTCTCCCTGTTCCTGTTAGCTTAGCTCCCGTTCCGATACGTACCTTGTGAACTGAATCAAAGGTAGTCAGGCTGTTGACTATCTAAAGGTGACTTGATCTGAACAGAAGAAGAGAAGTAAGGCCAGATAGTGCCGCGCAGCTATCCGTAAGTAAGTGCGGACGAGTGTTGTCGCTAAGCTCTACCAAAACGTATGGTTACTTAAAGACAATGTAATTGAGCACGAAGAACAGA